ATACAGAGGCGTGTGCCCTAGAACCGCTGCTCCCTGAGAGGATCCATGCTAATCATTCGCGGGCAGTCCTTCCGAGGAGAGTGGATGTACCTGTGTGGTGCGTCGGATTTTCTCGTAGTACCCTTCTACCGTTTTCTGAGATCTACGTGAATCCACGAAGTTCTGTACAGATCCCTCAGGCCGTGTGGATCTGTCATGGACGGGAATCGCCGACAGCCCCGGCACGATGGAGGTCGTTGTCCACAAGTCAGATCCACACTATCGCCTCTACGAAGACTGTCTCGCCTATTTGAAAACGGAGTATCCAGTCGACTCACTCACCTGCTCGCTGCCGAACGACATCGTCGATCAACCTGGTCTTGCCCACCTGCACCCGTCCTTCGGGACGCTCGTCAACCTCCTCGCAGACAGATATCCCAAACCAGATTTGGACAACCTGCCCGCGGGTGGTCTTCCTGTCACATTTCGTCGTAGATCCGTGGTCGACTTCATACTCTCCGGAATGCTAGCGGTCACGATAACATTAAAAAATCACGTCGCCTGCGCACTCCGAGAGTCGCCAAAGGAGACAATACCGTCCACCTTGTATCAAGCCCTCTTCCTGGACTGCATCACAGCCTTGTGGAGCTACGAGTGCTACCTCCGCGCCGGTACTGCAGATTGGTCGCCCATGCCGTGGTCGCGCGCGTCGCTGAGGGAATTGTCTGGAAAAACACTCGTCCCAGGTTGGTACTATCTCGTTCCTCTTCTTGAGAACACGTCACTGACAGAGCGGATACAGAGCCCCCGCCTTTCAGAACACCTACTCTAAGCTTAGACGATCTCGCGGAGGAGCACAGCTCTGCGATGCGCGCCGCGCGAGCACTGGTCGGCTCTCCCATGGACATCCCTTGGCACGATGGCCTGCACGACGGGTACCCATTTTGCAGCACTCTATCCGCCTATACGAAGATTCGCCGGGACGGCGCCATCCAAAGTCTGCGGGACGATGCGTGGCTCTGGGTGAGTGCAATGACCCTTGGCGTTCTGGAAGCCGTCACCCGCGCACGGCTCCCCGAGTTCATGTTCGTCGTACCTGGGCCCAGCGAGGGTGAGACCGTGCTTTCCGGAACACGCATTCTTCAGTTCATGGTCCACTGGCACCACCACATGCAGCATCACCAAGACACCCACGACACAGACGCACATCTCGAGCACGGACGCGACGTCGCACGGCTTCTCGGTCGCGCGCTCAACGCCCTCGACGAAGAGGAATGGCAGAACGCGAGCGCCTTCTTCCGCGCGGGGTACCGCACCGACGAGGTCACCGACATGGTGTGCGCTGTTGCGCTCACCATCACCCCGCTCTGCACCGTTGCGCACAACGTGTGGGAGACGCTGCCCGAGATGGAGCATCTGCTGGAGCGCTCGCGGGTCAAGCTGCGGAACTACTACACCGCGACGCTCGGCTCGTGCGAGAAACGCATGTATCGTGCGGGCTGGTGCCCAAACACAGTCTCGCACCAGTTCATGTCGACGCTTTGGGGCCTCTCGATCGTGTCGAACCTTGTCCGACTTCCACCATACATCAGATCGCGCTCCGACGAACACAGGGATTGCACGCAAGAGAAGTGCGTGTTTTACACCGTCGATGCCGAGACGTATAAGCCGCGCCACGTCGACCCCTCGTGCCATTGCGAGAATATCAAGCCACCCCTCAACGATGTCATCGGACTACTTTCTGGTAAACTCCCCCGCGTCCCCGTTGTCGTCTACGATGGAAGGGAGCTACACGTTCAACCAGCAGACGCAGCCCCGTATGTCGCGATATCGCACGTCTGGGCCGATGGCATGGGGAGCATAACCGAGGACGGCCTGCCAACCTGTGTAGTGAAGCGGATCGCGGGGCTCGTTCAACAGCTCCTTCCCGAAACTGGTGCTTTCTGGATGGACTCGCTGTGCGTTCCGGACGTCGAGAGCCTGCGGAAGGGTGCCATCAAGCTCATGTCTCAGACATACCGAGACTCAGCGAAGGTACTTGTCATCGACGACTGCATCCGCTCGCAGTGTTCGGAGCACAAGACGTGGGAGGAGAACCTCTTCCGGATCGCGACCTCTGGATGGGTGCGGCGCGTTTGGACACTGCAGGAGGGTCTGCTGGCGCGCGACCTTTACTTCGAGTTTGTCGAGGGTCCAATGAACGTCGAGCAAAAGCTTGGACTCCTTCCATCCGAATCTGAAAGCACCGAACACGACACCCCCGTGGATGAGGATGACTCCCTCAACTTCCTCGACCCCCACTCCTGCCCCTCTCATGTCCCGGTGCTTGCCTTCCGCGCCAGACACCGCAGTTGCACACACCACCTGCCCCTCGACGACATCATTCGGCTACTGCGTCTTCGTACAACGACCAAGCCCGAGGACGAGACGATCGCGATATCCTCGCTCCTTCCCAATGTTGATGTTGACGCGCTCCTGCGAGTCGCTCGCATCCCCCGCGACAACTTCGCGCAGCGCCGCGTCCGCGAGTTCTTGCTCCAGCAGCGCAACGTCTCCAAGGCGTTCCCGACGCAGATCACGCCACGCCTCGAGCTTCCCGCATTCTCCTGGGCCCCGCGCACGCTTGTGTCTTGTATTGAGGGCGCGAGCCTCACATATGGCACCGGAGTGTGCACCGCCGACGGTCTCAAAGCCGAATACTTCGTCGCGAGATTCGAGAAGCCCGTCGTGATCCCCCAGGAGTGTAAGGACGGACACAAGAGCGAATTCAGCATCCTCCTCAGCCACCGCGCGTCGATGGCGACGTACATGCTCCGGCTGTACACCGGAGTAGGAAACGCGTCTGCACCGTCGATCGACGCACTCCTGTTCCTTGCGGGCGACCTCTCGGCGACCCGGACGACCATCGCGTGTGCTGCGGTATGTAGGACAGACGAGGGTGGGCCACAGAGTGACGAGGTTGATGGGGAGCAGGAGGGCCCGATTCATGAGGCAGCTAATACTGGAGAACAGAACCCTCAGTCCTTCAGTCACGTTGCTCCCGGTCGCCTCCATCGCATGGCACTGCACCCGGACAAGTTCGTGCTTGACGACATGTCTGTGTTGGGCGAGCTTTGTCAGGCCATGGTGCTTCTGACGTGAATATGACGCAGAAAAGTTTGTTCAGACACTCATGTAAGTGTATGATGCTGATAAGGTGCAACTCTCCCTTTCTCGGTAATGCAGAAGGCGGGGTAGCCTGATGTTATACATCGTCTCTATACCGACTTCGAGACGATTAACTAACGGCGTAGAATTTATACTGTAATGGGCCCTATGAAACCACTTTCTGCGGCGAGGACGTTGAACTGCTAGACCAATGTCAAACTCACAACTAATGATAAAGGTCCTCAAAGTGACTTGTACTCACCTCCGGTACTCCGCATACACCTTCGCAGCCGCATGCGCATCCTCGTACAACCCCTCCACCAACCCCCAACTCAAGCCCCCCTCGGGCGACGCTGGCGGGAACTCAAACCGGAAGACGCCCCTCCGAGTCTCGTCCCGGAGACACCCCGCCCCCTTCTCGATGTTTCGCAGTACCTCGCCCTTCCACAGATCCCATGCGCCCGTCCGGAACGGAAGAAGGTTGTCCAACAAGAGCTTCAGGAACGCCATGTCCAGCCCGAGAGGCAGGTACTCGGACTCGGCCAGTACGAGTAACGCGAAAACCGCCTGCTGGGTGAGATTGTCCAGCTTGTACTTGTCCACGCCTGGTATGAGTCGCGCCATGCTTGGTTGTGTGTGCGTCTTCTTTGCCGGTCGGGCAGGAATCGCGCCGAAGTCGACGCGGAGAACCTGCTCAAATAGTGCTCGGCGGAGAAGGGCGTCGACGTCCAAAGACGCGAGGCGGTAGTTGTACGCCCACGATACAGCGAGGGTAGCCAGGAACAGGAGCTGACCGTAGAACGTCCCTTGTGGCACAACGAGCAGCTGCGCAAAAGGTTGCAGCGAGAGGAGGACAGAGCAGACGCCAATGCCACCGTATGTTGGGCGGCGCCCGTAATCCAGGAAGAGACGTCCCGTTGTGATGGCGTCCAGAGCGCCTCTGGGGCCCTTCAAGACCACCATGTTCGCTGGGGTGTGCAGGATGCCAGCGCGCCGAGGGCTTAGAGGCCCGGTCGCGGACTTCGTATATGCGAAGGTGAGCGGCCCGCTTCCAATCACACAGCTTGATATGCCGCTGGCGACGACCCCGAGAAGGATCATAGACGAGCAGTACCAGTCGCCTAGTAGAGCGCATTTCACGCACGCGAGTAAGGAAAACGCGACGCAGACGGCGGCCATAACGAGCTTTTCAGTCCCTTGACGCAATTGAACGGTCTGGTTGGCATTCGGCTCGTGGTCGAGTTCGACAACGGTCACTCCGCACGCGGACGGGGTCGAATGGGTGACGGGAGGTATTGCTGCGGACTCATCGAGAAGGAGCCATGCGATGTTGCCCGTCTTCCTGCCATTGCCCGACGTGCCCGAAGGAAACGCGAGATAGGACGGGCCAGCCTCAGTCCCCTTCAGCCCACAGAGGACCGCCAGATCCACCGTCGCCTTGTGCGTCCCATAGAGCGTCTTGCAGATGCGCGAGCGAGCGAGCTGCCCATAACGCCGCGCGATATCATGGGTCCCGGGCTGGTTGTACCATCCAAGCCACCGCCTTCCGGTGAGGATGTGTACCGTCGTCATAGCAGAGAGCGTGGTGTGTCCTCCGAAAGCCGTGAGGACGCTCATGCCGCTGATGGTGAGCTTAGTCCGCGTTGCTGGCTCATTTAGCTGTGGGGCGGTATCGGCCAGGAGTTCTTGCCCAAGCAGATAGAGAGATTGTAGCCTGTAAACTCGGCGAGAAATCAGCTCTCCCGTAGCTAGGACCACAGTCGCGGCGCACGGCGGCGTACCTTTGCATCACGGGAATGTTGAGCGAGGGAGAGGAAGCATGCAAAGCGTGTCTTCGGGCAGCTGGAGCCTTGTTATAGTGCTGGAACGACTGCATGCTTGAAGCAGAATTATGAATGCCTTGTGTACAGAGCGCTACTTACCACGCATAAGAGGCCAGGCTACAACGAGCTAAAACCCGGTATATGAAGCGATCTAGCTCCGTCATTACCTACATCGGCACAGATAGTTAACGTAGTCAGGGAGCGGATGCCGCAGCGAACACTCTCAGGATTAAAGTCTAGAGTCCCGGACACCATCGTCTGCGAACAGACAAGGAGGTCAATTCGACATTTTCCCAACGATATACTCATAGCTCACCTCCGATGGCTCCTATACACATTTGCCGCAGCATGCGCATCCCCATACAACCGTCCCAGCAACGGCCTCTCGCCCTTCGCCGGCGGCGGGAACTCGAACGTGAGCTCGCCGCCCCGCGGCCCGGCCCCCCGTAGCCACGCCTCGTTCGCCTTCATGTTGCGCATCAGCTTGTCCTTCCACTCATTCCACACCGGGGTGTCGTTTGGGAGCAGGTCGTCCAGCACGCGCCGCAGCGGCCACGTCTCCTCCGCAGACTCCGCGAGGACGAGTAGTGCGAACACCACCATGCCCGTGCGCGTCCCGAACTCGTACCGCTCCATCCGCGCCGCTCCCCTCACGTCCTTCTCCTGCTTTTGCTGCGCCGGCGCCCGGTGCACTACGGACGGCCTGTCGACACAAAGCACCTCCTCGAACAACACCCTCCGCATCAGCGTGCCCAGATCCGGCGCTGACAAGCACGAGTTGTGCGCCCACGATACGGCAAGCGACGCGAGAAACAGCAGCTGCCCATACAGCTCGCCCTGCGGCACAACGAGCAGCTGAGCCAGCAATTGCAGCGACATCAGCACCGCGCACACGCCGAGGTCGTGGTACCCACTGGGGGCGCTCTCGTACAGGAGCGAAAAACGACTGCGCGTGAGCGCGTTCAGCGCGCCTTTCGGTGCGCGCAGAACGACCACGTCGTCGCCGTCGTCGAGGAGCCCCGCGCCGTATGAGATTACGGGCTCGTCTTGGTCGCGTTTCGCGCACGTGAAGGTGAGCGTGCCGCGCCCGAGGATGCAGCACGATAGTCCGTTGGCGAACATCCCGAAGAGGATCATAGATGCGCAGAACCAGTCGCCAAGGAGTCCGCAGCCGACTGCAGCGCCGACCGATACGAGGATGGGGACAGCCGCGAGGACGCGCATCGCGGTGCTCTGCCGCAGGCGCGGGGTGAGCTCCGGCGCTGGTTCGTGCTCGAGGCGAACGACCGTCACAGATGTGGGGCCCGTTTCCCTAGACGGCTCCAGGACCTTGCAGTGCAGGGATACCGGCATCGTCTTGCACTCTTCCACAAACAAGCGCGTGATGTTGCACGTCTTCGCCTTCACCGTGCCCGAGAGCACGGACGTGAACTTCGGCCCCGCTTCCGTCCCGTCGATCCCGCACAGGACAGCAGGGTTCCCGTTCGGGCCGGGGTAGAGGGCGTCCCAGAAGTAGGAGCGCGCAAGCTGGCCGTAACGCCGCGCGACCTCGTAGCTGCCGGGTTGATTGTACCACCCGAGCCACCGCCTGCCCGCGTACACGTGTACGGTGGCCATGGCAGAGATGGCGACGTCTGCGCCGAAGAAGCCTGCGACGCCGGAGATGTCGAGGTCGAAGCCCTGCGAGCTCGAAGATGCCGCTGCAGCGCTGGCATCTGCGAGGGTGGCTCGTGCGGAAAGCCCACTGGCAACATCGCGGAACCTGATGATAACGGAGAAATGTCGTCAGCGCCAAAGTTTGCGAAGTCGCATACGAGAGTGCGTACATGTGCATAGTACTGGACGTCCGCGGAGTACAACTTGTGAGGTGTGCGATTTCTTGAAGGTGGCCTTGATGATGAAGGGGAAAGCTTTCCACAGCTGACAGCAGCACTGCTGGTGGACCGTGTCATGCCTCGTGTTGCTAGGCAGATAGATCAGCGCTGATGGGGGACGTGACTGGCAGTGGAAACTGGGGCGCCCGCTTGAGCACCCTACTAACCTCCACATACATGGTCTACATAGCAGGCTAGATGTTTGGATAGTATTTCATCCCGAGCCCTGCAGGGACATGTCTGTACAGTCAAAGTTGTCATTATGCAGTCTTGCCAGACCGACAGCGCTGGTGGACTGACCTTCGTAGCTTCCGTATTTGCAAGAGGCATCGCTGCTCCTGAATCGGGTTTGAGCAACGTACAATGGTGAGTTACCGGTAATGAACTCACTGTGGGGAGTTCTACCACCCCATGCGCAGTCCGTTAAGGTACAACGCAAGGCAGACAAGCCTCAAGCCTTCGTACACATACGTACGCAGCGTCAGCGTACGGCATCTCGAAGGAAAAGTGACCTCTAGGTGGACGCACCTACATAACACGCCGGTAACTGATGTACTGGGATAGAATTGTATAGAACATCGGTTTCTCACAAGCTCAAGCGTACGCAGATGAAGAGGGAGAGAGGGGATGAGCGCTGCACGCTTGGCCCCAAGCCTACATGAATTCGAGTGCGTTCGAACGGCAGCGTTTCCGTGCAGCAGCCGGAAGCATAGTGGCGTTAATTCACCCCGAGTGAGGGTCATGTCTGTACAGTGGAGTTTGTCATTATGCAGTCTTACGAGACCAACACTGGTGGGCTGACCTTCCGTATTTGCAAGAGGCATGACTGCTCCTGAATCAGGCCTGAGCAACGTAAATGACGGCCGCATGTCTACCGGTACGAGATCCGCTCTACCACCCTATGTGCAGTCGGAGAAGCTACAGTTTAAGGCAAACAAGACTCAATTGCAAGCTTTCATACTACAGTGTCAGTTAGGACATATTGAGGGATATTGTTACCTCGAGGACGCGCCTGGAGAACGCGCCGGTAACTGGCGTATTCGCACAGAATTGTGTAAGGCATAGGCCTTTTTTTTCAAGCTCAAGCGTAGATGAAGAGACGAAGCTTTTGAAGGCTGATACTTAAGCGCTTGACCTAGGGCTCTGCGGATTGGAGACTCAGACTTCGAGTGCGTTCGAATTAACTGAGTTTCGGTGCGGCACCCGGAAGTATGGTGGCGTAACACGGAGAGCGTGAAGACGTAGAAGCATCGTCAATGGCAATCTACAAGCGGCCAGTCCTTCTTATGCTGCACCTGTCGTCGCGTCGCGGTGAGCGACGGGTACGCGTGTGATTGGATGTGCTCTGTGGACTGCGTCGAGACGCCATCCAATAGAGAGAAGGGATCGGACATTGTACGGGTCGGGTGCGGGAGTCCGACCGCAATGCTGGGATGGACGTGGCAGCTGGCAGTGCGGAGATTGACCTGATTGAGGAGGAGCGACGAAGGCCGAGTTCCGAGGACAGGCCTGCAGACCACGGAACGGAAAGCCATGTGTTTGGACGAGAGCGAGCGCCGTGGGCGACTCAGCGGCGAGTGGTCATGGGACGGCGGGGACGAGCCGGCGGACGATGAGCGGAGGAGAATGATCGCTGGGCGGGGGCGCGGGGGCGGGCGTCGGCCAAGGCCCGGAAAGCGGGCGGGGGCGAATGGGGAGGGGAGGATTTGGGTGGACCCGGGTGGGCCGAAGGCCGGGGTTATTCGGAGCAGGCAGTCCGAACCCAATCAGCTGTGATAAATTCGTCAAGGCTCGTTGGCGCCCTCCACATCGTCCCTCCTCTTCCTCCTCCTCCTCTTCCTCCTCCACCACGTCCTTCGTCCCTTCCCCCTGCGCAAGGTGACAGGCATGCTCAACCTCTCCTCCAAGACCCATGCGGTCAAGCGCTCTCTCCAGCGGCTGGCCGCCGGCATGGCCACCGCTGCTGAGCCCATCGGTGCGACCAAGGTCCCCATGTCCAACCTCGAACCCAACGCGTACATCAACTACCAGCGCATCGAGGACAACCTCGCCATCGTCCGCGACAGGTACGTCCCCATTGCAGCCGCTGTATGCGGCGCGTTACTCACCCTGCGCGCAGACTGAGACGTCCTTTGACGCTCTCTGAAAAGATTGTCTACGGTCATCTCGACGACCCGCATCACCAGGACATTGAGCGCGGCACGAGCTACCTCAAGCTCCGCCCTGACGTGCGTTTTCTCTCTCTAGCTCACCCTTCCGTCGCGCTGTACTGAGGCTCCTATCTGTTGCCAGCGCGTTGCGTGCCAGGATGCCACCGCTCAGGTCCGTCCTATCTCGCTTGCCAACTCACGTGCTTTTCTGACGTCATTCATTTGCAGATGGCAATTCTCCAGTTCATGTCTGCAGGCATGGACACCGCTGCCGTCCCCACCACCGTCCACTGCGACCATCTTATCGAGGCGCAAATCGGTGGTATCAAGGATTTGGCACGCGCAAAGGACATCAACAAGGAGGTTTACGACTTTTTGGCGACTGCCACGGCTAAGGTGTGTTGCCTCATACCTGACGTCGTTTCTCCACACATCCTAACGCCCATCCACCAATAGTACGGTCTTGGTTTCTGGAGACCCGGCTCCGGTATCATCCACCAGATCATTCTCGAGAACTATGCCTTCCCCGGCGGTCTCATGATTGGTACGGACTCGCACACCCCTAACGCCGGTGGTCTCGGCATGGTTGCTTGCGGTGTTGGTGGTGCCGACGCGGTCGACGTCATGGCTGGTCTTCCCTGGGAGTTGAAGTGCCCGAAGGCCATCCAGGTCAACCTCAAGGGCAAGATTGGCGGCTGGACTACCCCCAAGGATGTCATCCTGAAGGTTGCTGGTATCCTCACGGTCAAGGGCGGTACCGGCGCGATTGTCGAGTACACTGGCTCTGGTGTCGAGTCTCTGTCTTGCACTGGTATGGCGACGATCTGCAACATGGGTGCTGAGATCGGCGCGACGACCTCGCTCTTCCCCTTCAACCATCGCATGGTCGACTACCTCAACGCTACCCGCCGCGAGGACATCGCCAACTACGCCAAGCGCTTCCAGCACAACCTGAAGGCTGACGAGAACGCGGAGTACGACCAGACCATCGAGATCGTGAGTAAATGTTTCTTGCCATCAGATAGCCAATCCTGACGTTCCTATTCGCAGGACCTGTCCGAGCTCGAGCCCCACATTAACGGTCCCTTCACCCCCGACTTGGCCACTCCGATCTCGAAGTTCGCGGCTGAGGTTGAGAAGAACAACTGGCCCGCCGACCTCAAGGTCGCGCTTATCGGCTCTTGCACCAACTCGTCATATGAGGACATGACTCGTTCCGCCTCCATTGTCAAGGAGGCGGCCGACCACGGCCTCCAGACCAAGAGCAAGTTCACCGTCACCCCCGGTTCCGAGCAGGTTCGTGCCACCATTGAGCGCGACGGTGTTATCAAGGCTTTCGAGGATGCCGGCGGTCTCGTCCTTGCCAACGCGTGCGGTCCTTGCATCGGTCAGTGGGACCGTCGCGACGTCAAGAAGGGTGAGGCCAACTCGATCATCACCTCCTACAACCGTAACTTCACTGGCCGTAACGACGCGAACCCCGCCACCCACGCTTTCGTCGCCTCCCCCGACGTTGTGACCGCGATGGCCTTCGCTGGTGACCTCCGCTTCAACCCCCTCACGGACACCCTTACCGGCACCGACGGCAAGCCCTTCAAGTTCTCCGACCCCTCCGGCTTTGAGCTCCCCCCTCGTGGCTACGATGCTGGCGAGAACACCTTCCAGGCGCCCCCTGAGGACCGTGCTTCCGTCCAGGTTGCTGTTTCCCCCACGTCCGACCGTCTCCAGCTCCTCAAGCCCTTCAAGCCTTGGGATGGCAAGGCTCCCACCGACCTCCCGATCCTGATCAAGGTTAAGGGCAAGTGCACGACCGACCACATCTCCGCCGGTGGCCCCTGGCTCAAGTACCGTGGCCACCTCGAGAACATCTCGCAAAACTGCCTGATTGGTGCCATCAACATCGAGAACGAGGAGGCGAACAAGGTCAAGAACCAGATCACCGGCGAGTTCGGCGGCGTCCCCCAGACCGCTGCGTACTACCGCGACCACGGCATCAAGTGGGTCGTTGTCGGCGACCACAACTACGGCGAGGGTTCGTCGCGCGAGCACGCTGCGCTCGAGCCGCGCTTCCTCGGCGGCCTCGCGATCATCACCCGCTCGTTCGCGCGTATCCACGAGACGAACCTGAAGAAGCAGGGCATGCTCGCCCTCACGTTCGTTAACCCCGAGGACTACGACAAGGTCCAGCCGTCGGACCGCGTCGACATCGTCGGGCTCGAGTCGTTCGCGCCCGGCAAGAACCTCACCCTCGTGCTCAAGCACCAGGACGGCTCGAAGGAGGAGATCCCGCTCGCGCACTCGTTCAACGAGGGCCAGATTGAGTGGTTCAAGGCCGGCTCCGCGCTCAACCTCGTGCGTAGTCCCTCATCTGTTTCACCATGCACCCATCGCTGACACTGATGCTCCCCACAGATGGCTGCGCGCGCAAAGGAGAACAAGCAATAAACGGTTGCAGTTCGCCCTGATGCTGATGCTGGCGTTGGAGGAGGCAGGGGCGGGGATGATGCTGGAGGCAGCAGTGGCAGCAGGCCGGCTGCTGCATGGGAGGGCGTAGTGGTAGATGTGGAGGCTGCGGACGATTTCGAGCACCGTCGCAGAGACGGGTGCTGTTGCCCAGCCGTCGTCGCTCACACTCTCACTGTACGATCGCACTCACGTCTACGTGTTTCTAATGTCTCTCGTCTTCTCTTGTGTAATCAACTAGCCTTTCCATCGCCTTCGTCTGTGTCTGCGCCTTCGCCGGTGCCCGCTTGAGCACGGCCTGGAAGTGGTAACGGTCTGCATTCGGTCTGAGAGCACTTGAAACGAACCCCCATGTCTGCCGTCCTCGTAGCGTCGCTGGCCGTCGCCTTCACCGGCCTCCTCTCCCTAATGTCCTTCCTACGCTCACCCGTCCGCAAACACGATGACCACCTCCCCGGCGAGCCCGGCGCCGCGTACATCCTCGAAAACACCGTCACGCACGCGCGCCTGCTCCCGACGCCCGCGACCCACGCGTTCTCCTACCCGACGCTCGCGCTGCTCCTCTCGCTCGACGCGTTGGAGGCGGGCGCGCTCGACCTCGGCCGTGGATGGCTCTTTGGCTATGGCGGCACCGCGTGGCGGCTTACTGGGATGCGGAGCGGCGCGTACCTCTTGCCTAACACCCCGTCGGCACCCAAGTCCCTGTCTGCGGGCAACAGCAACGGCAATGGGAGCAATGGGGTAAATGGAAACGAAGGGAGAAAACGCGAAAACGGGACCTCGATCAAAGCGAAGCTCGCGGAGGTGCTGGTGCGGCAGGGGAAGGACGGCGCGCGGGTGTGGGCGTGGGCGGACACGGGCGACGCGTGGATGCTGACGATGCCGAGCTATGTGGGGTACGAGGGCATCAACCCGCTCACCGTGTACTTTTGCTATGCGCGGTCCGAGGAGGAGCAGGATGGGGCGCTGGAGTGGGTCGTGCTCGAGGTGCGTACTTGTGGTATTTGAAGGGAGAGAGGTGCAAGGCTGATTGGGGGGCGCGGCGGAAGATACACAACACGTTCGGGGAGAAGCACGTCCACGTCCTCGAGCCCGGCGTGGGCGAGGAGCAGTCTACACCAGGGTACGTCCCCTTCTCCCCCTCCTTCTCCCTACCTGCCGCACAGGACCAACGCATCGCGCGCTGTAGGTACGACCACACCTGGACCTTCCTGCGCGACTTCCACGTCTCCCCCTTCAACGACCGCGCCGGCTTCTACACCGTCTCCATCGCGCTCCCGCCTCCCCCACGCTCCCCCCTCCTCTCCGCCCCACCACGCCCGAAGATCCGCATCCTCCTCCGCACCGCGTCCCCCGGCCCCGGCCCCGTTCCCGACAAGCTGAAGCTCACCGCGACGCTCTTCGCGCGTCGCGCGGTGCCGTTCACGAGCGCACACCTCCTGCGCGCGCTCGCGCGGTACCCGTTCGCGCTGTTGCTCTCGTTCGCGCGCATCCTGTACCACGCGGGGATATTGCACTATAAGAAGGGCCTCGACGTGTTTCCGCGTCCGGATCCCAAGCCCGCGGCGCAGGGCTGGCGTTCGCCTGCATCGGAGGAGACGGAGGCGGGGGAACGCGTATACGGCGGCATTGGGTGGCAGCCTGAGGGCGCGCTCGAGGCGTATGCGCGCGGTCTTATAGAGAAGCTCCTCGCGCGACGCGCCGAGGAACTGGGGATTCAGATCGAGCTTGTGTCCGGAGACCCCTCTGTCCCACGGCAGACGTTCCAGCCGTCCGCACGCGCGCAGGAGAAGGGCATACAAGGAGAGGCGGACCTCACGATCCACTACGCGGCGCCGCGGTTCTTCAGCACGCTCCTGCTCGCGCCCTCCCCAGAGCACATGCTCCTGGTCGGCCGCGCGGAGGACCTGTTCCGCGTGAACTCGGATTCGCTCTTCTCGCAAGTCTTCGCTGCGTCCGCAAGGACAATACGAGACAAGACGACGAGTTCGCTCACGCAGCGGATCCGCACGGCATTACTCCCGACAGGTTACTTGATGTCTTTGCCGACCGGGACACCAGCGCGACATATACTCGACGCCGACCGTCCTCTCGTGAACGCGCTCGCTGTATGCGCCCTACACCTCATGGACCACCTCGAAAAGACGGTGTTCACCCTACTCAGGGCGCGCTTCGTCCCTGGGATGGAACCGTGGCTACGCTGGGACAGAGCCGCCGACCTCGCACTCACCGAACACACACCACCACCATCATCATCGTGACAGCCTCCACATAGAGACTACGAACTGGACTGGATGTGTATTATCGATACATCTTGGGCTCTTGAGGGGTGTTACATTGCTTGTACTATACTGCTTGTTCTTTCGTTCATGGATGGTTCCTGGACCGCACCGCACCTTCAGTCGGTGAACATCCCGCCCTCTTCCTTCACCACGGACGGCTCCGTCTCCTTCTTGAACACCTTCCCAGTGCGTATCTGGACATCGCGGCCCGTGCCTGGCACGGAGTCTGTTGATGCGGCTGTAACGAGGACCAGCAGCAATTGGTACAGGCACAAAGGTGATTGTATGCGATTCCTAGTACTCACCCTTAGGGTCGGATTGCGGGAAGACCTATGCGCGTTTCATCAGCACGAGCTCAATATGTTTGCGACAATGTGCACGCACCTGTCCGGGGTTCTCTCGCGAAGGCGAGGGAGGCAGACCTGCACCGTGCTGGCCGGGGAATTTTGCGTCGGCTGTGAGTAGTACATGAGCACTTGGCTGTTCGTGTGTGCACGAAGGATGGAACGCACCGTCGCCCATGGACATGTCGATAAGTAAGAAGTGGATATGATATATGCGTGGGGTTTGGCGATAAGCAATAAGCAGGTCGTTGGAATGCGTGTCGTAAGGGCGAATTCGCTGGGACGGCCTCCTGAAATACTGCGGGAGGCCGGGTGGAGCAGCCACCGATGACGCACTGGCAAGGCCCGATCTAGCATCCTCTACTCAACGCCCGCCACACCGGATAGCAGTAAGTGGTGCGTGTATTTATTGTGCATTCTCTACTTAATATAAGCACGATACTAATCGGATACAGCGTCGTCGCCATTACGCGTACATACAATACAATCCAGCACTCCTCCGCCTTCTTGGCGCGTACCATCGAACTTAAGACGCACTACCGATCTTAAGACGTACTATCGAACAGGCCGTTCACTGGCCATCCTTGTATCTCCGCGAATGCCGACCAGTCGACGTCGAAGCTCTCGGCGCCGTGCAGCATGTCGAACGGCATCCCCATCGTCTGCATGCTCGCCGTCCCCAGCGCGCCGTTCGCAACCGCCGTGTCCATCCCCGAGCTTCCGGACGGCATCGACCCGAAGTCCCGCGCGTCTCCACCGCCGCCGAACAGCATCGGCATGGTGGCCGACGTCGTCTGCGCCGGCGTCGTCAATCCCGGGAATGAGAACCCGGGGAACGGGCTGCCCGTCGTCAAAAACGGGATGGGATTCGTCGTCTCCGGTGTGCTATACGTTAGGCCGCCGAACAGAGAGGGGTCCGCCAGCGGCATCCCCTGCGGGAACACAGGCTCTTGCGCCGGCCGCTCCGTCGAGGATTCGGGAGGCGAACTGGAGTTCCTCGCCGACCCATTCCCGTTCTGGCCGTTCTGGCCGTTCGCCTTCCGTGCTGCCCGTGCTGCCCGATCCTTCCTGAACCGCTCATCCCACTGTCCAGCCTTCCTCAGCGCACCGATGGTCGTGATTGCCCGGGCCGCAGTCTCGCCCTCCCCGTCGCGGTTCTCGACATCGCGCGTCGCACTGACGCACCACTGTAGCATCCGCAGTGCGCGGTCGATGAGGGCCAGGCACTCCTCCGCTTTCGGATGCGGAGGCTCCTGCGAAAACGCGCCTGCGATAGCGATAACGCCGTCGAAGGTGAAGTACGCGTAGTGGAAGAGCAGAGCAGGCAGCTCGCGGTCCGGCTCCCATTGCGCGGCCTCCTCCTGTGCATCGCACATCACGCGCACGAGCTCCATGGCGAGCTCGATACACCGCTCCCGCGACGGATTCATGATCACCGTCATGGTCGCGGACAGTGGCTTTGGCGGGGGCAGGATCGGCGGAGCGTGCATTAAGTACGGCCGATGTAAGTTCATCTGCGCCGCCAGGTAGTATCCCGCGCAGAGGTGCCTCTGGTAGGCGCGCGAGCGTTCTTCTAGTGTGACAGGGTTGGATGTGGGGTGCGGCTCGCGCCAGTCAAGCGAGGTGTGTAGTCGGCAAAGCCAGAACTTGAACTTTCGGTCCATCTCGAGCGCGGTCGCATATGCGGGGAATGTGATGCCCATGCACTGTAGGACTCGGTAAGCATCCCTTGCAATTGTGCATCGATGGACACTCACTCTAGTGACCATCTCCCCCACAATTTCGCCCAACCCAATGAAGTGTTCTTGGAAGATGACGTTGGGATTGGGTGATCCATCTCCATGCACGTCAGCCGGTAGCAACTTCACATCGAACGAGCCCTCGGTCGCCATCATGGGGCGCCCAAGAATAATAGAATACAGCCTAGAAACATCATCAGATTCATTTCGTTCACTGTCGGACATCTGCTTTGGACTCACCTATCCGCGTTGACGAGTGACCACCATCCTAGCAGACGTAGCTCGCGCTCCTGCTTGTCCATTGCGTCCCACTTCTGCCAACCAGGATCGCGGTGAAGGCCCACCGCCTGTGCATTCCGGAGCGCTGTTCCTGTGAGCTTCCAGGCGTCGCTGACCCGGCCCCGGTCGGCCAGGTATCTAGCAAGCAGTGCCGCTCCGATGCAACTCAACACGACACCCTGCACCGCTCCCGGTTGCGAATACGCCCGCGAAGCGAGCAAGATATCTTCGACAAGCCGGCGCGCCTCCATTGCCTTCAGGAAGTACGTCTTCGCGCTGCTGCCCACGAGCCTATGCGGCGCAAGCGCGAGTACCGCGAACAACAGCGCAAGCCAGTGGGGGTTCAGCTCCTCCGTACAACGCGTGCAGCCACCTGTCATGTGGCATGATGGCCCGGGACAACGCAGGGCGAGATGTTGCCACATGTGCTCGCATGATTGGCGGAACCAGCCCTCAGGAATCCCGAATTCCCAGTTGCGTTCGGCAAGATAACCGTCCACGAGGGCGTCGACGACCGCACGCGAGGGAAGGCTGGCGACGAGCTGTTGGATCGGTCCGGACAGAGGATGGCTTCCAGGCTGGAATGGCTCGCTCACCGTCGTGGTGTTTGCAGAGCGAGCGACCTTGAACCTCGCGCGAAAAGGGTCACCGAGCTGATAAGGAGATCTTAGCATATGAGATAGCAATTGCGAAAAAAAGCACGTACTTTGTTGAGCGCATAGGGGATGGTACCGCTGCCAACGTACTCGTCTGCGGGGGCGAGGGAGAGTTGTGCCAGAGCAACTGCAGCACGTTGGACATCGTAATCATAGTGCGAGAGAGCGCACTCCTCATCCTCAGAGTTAGGGGCCGTGCAGTTGTCGTGGGCGTGCCCTCCGCCGCGGTTGTTCTTGTAGGCACTGGTGACCACCGGAGCATTGCTGTTCCCGCTCGTCGCTCCAGAGCTTTGTTCTGAGCCCGACGCATCCGATGGCGAGGAGGCCGACGCATACGCAGCGGACGCCATCACCGACTCGACTGTGACGGAAGCTGTCAGTCCCTGAGCCCCCGACGAGCCGGCGAGACCGCGAATCTGCTGGTTCTGTCGATTGATGACGTCCTCGAGCGAAGCGATGCGGGCAGACAAGTTCGCGATGGTGCTCTGCGCGGAGTCTGTTACCGGCACCGTCGGTGCGCCTTGCGGTGGCCGCTGAGGGGGTGGCCGGGCGGCGAGCGGCTCCCACCTGCAGAGGTGTGGCACACCGCGTGAAACACAAAGACCACACGGGATCTGACGGTCACATTTCTGTACGTGGGTTCGGAGATAGGGTCAGTTATAAGTACCTGCGGGGATTGACTGCCAGACGGACTGTACTGTACCTGTCGTCTGCGGGTGCACTCGACGCAGCTGAGCCTCTGCCTCCTCCTGGTCTGCTTGGCTTTGCCGCTTGCGCTAAGCTGGCTGTCGGCGGGCGGGTGTTCTTCAGGTGAGTTCATAGCGGATATAGCGTTCGACGTAGGAGTTAGGGAAAAAGTGGGGGTGGACCATTCTCGAGCTACACAGCCTCCTTTGACTGTCGACGATCGTCAAGCGGCCCCGCCGGTCGACTCGTTGCAGAGAACCCACCAGCATTTCCGACCGGCACGGCGCTTCGTTATGTGCTATCCCCGTGGCCCGATATGGACATTGCGGTGTTACATCCGCGCGTGGATCGCGGGATTCGGGAGTTTCCGCGCGACGTTGTCGGAGGGGCGGCGGAGAAGGGCGCTGGTCGGCAGGAAGTGGTTCAAGAGCAAGAGACGCAGTGTGCTCAGACGATTTCAAGGCCTTTATATACACGGAGCAGGGCGCAGGGTTTTGGGATCCGAACAGAACGTACATGTCAAGGATTGTCAATGTGAAGAGACGAACGTGTGGGCGCTTGTGGGGTGCTTCAGGCGCTTCGACTCAGCGGTCGAACGCCTGGCTGAGCGACTCGGCGAACGCCTCACCTTATGACACTCACGTCGTCGGTCGCGCCTGCCATACCCAATCGTATTGCACACATAAAGCTCCCGAAGCCTAAGAGTCTGTCTGGTCATGTCTGAGCAGTCTTTTCAAGTGAGCGATCTCCCGTCCAAGTACTCTCATGTTCACTTATAGGTGTCCATGCATATGGCTGACAACGCCGCCTCTCGGTCCTAGCAGAAGGTGGGCAAAGATGCTTTTATATGATGTAATATACGACTAATGCTTCGGGGTCTCCCTCTGCCAAGAGCGAGGATCCTGATATCAAGCTTGAATTCGACCCACCCATCCCATCCTTGGGGCTACCTCGTGCACCCTCTCCAGCGGTGCCGGTGAAGGGAGGTAAGTCCAAATCTTCACAGCCGCTTCACACCTCCGAAAGGATCTAATCCAAATACCCCCTCTGTAGAGCGGGAGGCCTTTGAAGACGTCGGCGCGCTCGAAGCGCCAGCTCGAAGTCCCAGAGCCAAAAGCGCAGAGGGGTCTGCTGCAAGCTCCCAAGACGCCAGCTCAACGGCCGGTGGTTTACGTCGATATCACAATAACATCGCGGTCTGCGTAGTGTTATCGTTACCCGCACTCGTGTCCACGCTAAGACTGTCATGGGTCACAGATGGAAGTTGAGGCCCTACTTGACCACCCAAGGTTGGGGAAGACGGGAACCTTTGCGTCCACACGCGCGTACTCGGACGCGCCGAGCCCTGTTATTGAGTTGAAGGGACTTGGAACCCTTGGACTTCCGCTAAGCTCTCGCACCGCAGCTGCGCTATGCGCCTATGGAAGCGACGCCCATCCGAATGGCAGTGATGTGGAGAGCGCTTGTAATCTAACGGTCTCAACGGACACTTGTCTGCATCGAGAGATCGAGGAGAGTAAGGTACGTTATCTTGCCAGCATCCGTACCGTATCGCATTCTCACATCATGGCGTGTCTAGGTCATATTCCATAACGCCAGGTGGATTGCCTTCCTTGAAAAGGCTTGCTTAGCTGTACGATTAACACTGGGAATCCTGGCCAAGACAAAATGTCAGCTCTCCCGACTGCTCTTCCAGGAGCCAGGGAAGTGGTACGTGCCTAAACACCTTGCACATGTTTGGCGGTCCTGAGGTTACGACAGCATTCAGTACCGCATAGCTAGGGCCTTGTACGTGACACTAGGCCTTAGATTTTGGGCTCACCAACGCTCATGCATGTACTAGCTCCGCGCAGTCCACGCAAGTCGTCGGAAGGATCGCCATTGCTCTACCTGCTCAGTACGCGGGCGGCGACGCAGAGGTCATCCACGGCAATGACATGATCCAATGTTCCCCCGAGTTGCACGGTGCCTTCGCTACAAGTGTCATCGCCTGGCGGACCGACGCGACGACCAAACTTGGGCCCCTCACACAAGGCTGTCGCATCCTCCTCACATTCGATCTTACAGCAGACGTTGAGCCTTCGAAGGCATTGCTGCCCGTCAACAACAAACTCCTCTCACTACTACGCCGATGTTTGTCCACATGGGCAGACTCACGGGGCCGGGGTGACGTTCCCTTCAAAAACATATCTCTCCTCCCCAACCGCCACAAATATCCTCGTATGAATCTCCGGGCGAGCGCCCTCAAAGGCACGGCTGCGCGGCTGGTCTCCATAGTCGAGGAGCTCGCCCTGCCTCTCGGCTTCCGTCTCGGCCTCGCGAGCGTAACGTTGCGCAAGTCCCTGGCGGGGTATGAAAACAGGAACCGAGGCAGCCCGGGCTACGGCGACATCGAGGAGCCGGAAGAAGTAGATTATATGAGGTCTGTCGAGATCAAGAACCTTGTCAGTCTTCAGGGAGAACTCCTGCTACAAACCGTCTCAATGGAGAGCGAGGAGGGCGGGATGGTCCCCCGTGGCTGGGATTACAGGTTCTGGGATTGGGACGAGTCGGACGAATCGGAAGAAGATTACGACCATCCAGGCGACGACGCGGTAAGTATCGCGTCACTCGTCGCCGTCGTCTCCGAGTGGACCTTACTGATCCAGTCAAATACAGGAGTATGCTCTTATTCATCTTGGTCAGTGGCACGCTCGATGCTGTATCGCTCATCATCGGCTTCTGACATCTTGCGTTCTCTCCTGACTCACGCAGCGTCTCACAGGGCGGCTTTGGTCATATGGCCGGCCTGGGCGAACCGCGCCATGTTCGATTCGGAAGACTTTGCGCGCGCCCTAGGCGTCGTCAAAGATATCCAATCATCCCGCCCTAGCGCGGAAGAGCTGGAAGCCCTCGAGGCAGTCTTAACCCACGCACTCCCAGCAAATGCCCCGTCAGTGCTGCCCGCCGTAGCTCGTGTCGCGTTGAGGTGGAAAGATGTCTCACTATGGCTCCGCGCGGTTCAGGCGTACGACGGGGACACTTCGGTGCGGGCCTCAGGCTTAGCAGATGTCGACGCAGCCTACAAAACCTTTGGGTTCGGAGAGGTGCAAGCAGTGTAAGAACATTTCTTCTTACGAGTCCACATCATGCGACTGACGATGTGGTTGCCAATAGAATCGACCGCGCCCTTAGTGGAGAAGCATCGACCCTCACAGCGCTCGACTTCTTGCAGAAGATCCGCACATGGATATCCGAGGACACCGCAGATAGTACTCTAGAGAACTTTGTCCTCCTCCAGCTTGGCAAAATCCTCACCGAATTCAAGGAGCCACAGGCGGACGATGTACCGCGGCTACTAGAGGCCGCACACGATTACGGAGGCGACGACTTCCTGGAAACTGTGTACGTCCGTTTCGGCCAAAAAATCCATTATATGGGCTGTTCCTTATGCCGTATAAACCGCAGTGTCATTCCTCGACTCAAGACCTTCAACAATTCTGCTCTGCTCGATGCATGTTTGGCCCATATCCATACCATGACCGGTCGCGTTCACCCTGAGGTGTCCCGCCGTCTAGTCGAGGACATCCTGATGACGTTCCTGTCCCCCCTCGATATTTACAGCGTCGATGATAAGGACCCTATCGAACACTGCGTCCGGCGTTGCACCCGTGTCGGGCGGAGCGATCTATGCGCACCATTATTCGCACGTTTGGCGACACTGCCGACAACATGGGACATTAGCTGGCGGCAGGCCTTTTTGGAGAAGGTGCTGCTTCCGTTCCTCCTGTCTGTCGACAGCGGCTTGGGCATCTCACCGTGCCTTTCGGATCTGGTTCCTCCCCGGAGACTCGTAGTTTCGACTCTCTTGGAGGCCGTCCAAACCCCACCTTTCCTCGACCCTTCGAAGGTGTCTACCCTCACGGACCTAGTTGAAGCTGGAGCCCCGTGGGAGCCCTGTCTGTCGAAGTAAGTTGTGGTCTCTCATCTGTGCCGTATTCCACCTGACTAGTTGTCATATGCTCTCTTCCTAGTATCCTATCAACGCTCTCATCGGTTCATCTCGACCGCGCTCCACTCCAGGAGCTACTTCGAGCGTTACTTAAAGGGCATCGTGAGCTCATCACGAGTTTGTCAACTAGCGAACTAAGCAAACACGTCCGTGCGCTGGTCGACCACTACCTGGCCACGGTCATTCCCGAGTCCCGGGCACCCATTGCCCTAGACCCATCGGCCACCCAGCAGCTCGTTGACTCCGTCGAGCTATGCCTTGATCTCGGGCTCCCAGAAGCAAGTTCGGCCCATATTAGCCACATCCTCTCCTCTGCGGCTCTCAACAGGGAACCCCAAGAACTACGAGAGTTTCTCTTGATCCTCGTCCCTTCCCTCCGTGCCGCGCTCCTCACTCACCAACAATCTCCCACGTCCGAGCTCTGGACCCCCGTCTTCCGCCGGATCATCATGCGCTGGCTTCTCGATGTCATGGGGGCTTGTCCGGACGACTTCGACCACGTCAAATCGATGCTACAAGACGCTCTGTCGACCTGGACCTGCAACTGCGCCCCGTGTTCTTCCGCCAAGACATTCCTGAGCGAGAGCACCGACACGACCACGGTGTTGGAACGCATAGGACGGCAGCGACAGCACATCGAAAAAATGCTGCAGCAGCACGCATCGCTGCTTGCTCGATGGTCGGTCTGGCGCGTCCCGCCTGTCCCGATGTGCCTTACGGTATTTGCTATTGATTCGCGTTCATGATCAATCACTCACATCCGGGCTCTCGATCGCAGCTCACAAAGACCGAGCCTTTAGCTGAGGTCGTCCGATGGGAGACATACCGCAAAGAAGGGCTCGAGCTGTTGAAGACCATCGCTGCCGCCGACGAGGACCGCCAAAAGATACTCGGCTCGGACGTAGAATGGGTCTACGAGTTGCTGGTGGACGATGCGCCTTCGAGAGAACAGGTGCTCATGCTCGAAGCGGCACCTGCACCTTCCGCGGTCCTTGTCGAGGGGGGTCCATCATTGCCTGTCAAGCGACCACGCTCTCCTTCGCCTCTACCCTCTACCCTGGAAGCACTACAATCGGATGGTATGGCAAATGCGGAACGGCGACCGGTGAAGCGGGAAAGGTCGCAATCCGTCACGATCAAAACCGAAATGGACATGGATGTGTCGTAGACCACATGTCGTGCTGACAGCCGTCAGGGAGATTGGTATGCAAACAGTATTGATCTTTTCGAAAAAGGAGAGCATGTATACTGTGTGATATCAAGAGAGAGGCGACAACACTAGCCGAGTAACCGCAACGCAAGTTGGGTAACGTAACTAGCGCTTGTTTGCGCTTGCCACAGCCCTGCCACCTCTTGCCACTTGCAATCCGAAAGTTGCGCTGATACCGCGCGTCTGACCCCTCTAGAAGCTCTACGTGTCTATATAGACCGTGCATATCCTACGGCACCCAGCATGGACTCTGATTCCGAGTCTTCATGGGATTCCTTGGACAGTGATGACGAGTTTGATTCGGACATCTCCGTACGTTCGTCGTTGAACCCATGTTCGCTCTGCTCACATCCAAATGTACTACAGAGAAAGTTCGACTATCTCTGCGAACGGTTGAGGGAATCGGGCATGGTCTCATCCTCCCGCACATATGCGGATGCACCGAACCCTGCCCTCGAGATCAAAGATTTGGGCCTGATTGGTCTGCCCCTCAGTGCTCGTGATGCGGCCGCGTTACAAGGGTATGGAACAAGTTTCGACCGTAGAGTGCCCAACGGCCCTTTTCGCCCGCCAATCCCCGTAGTGGGCGGCCCCTGTATAAACCGGAGGGTTGACGAACGCCAGGTACGCATGCCACTATAGCTGTTACTACTATAGCACACACTGACATGGCATGTGGCCGTTAGATCACATTTCACCACACGGGTTGGGCGAAGTTCATCGAGAAAGCCTCTCAAGACGCGCGGATGGCACTAGGCATCCAAGCTGAGATTCGTTGTCATCTCGCCCGGTTCATAGTTCAAGCACGCCCAAAAAAGTATGCAAGTCGGCCGATCCCTTTGCGTATGTTATGAGATACTTATGCCGCACCACAGCGTTCGGTACCGCGTCGATACGCCCTCGTACGTGTGGCTCAAATTTGTGACACGCGTTGTCTGACGTGTACTACTTGCCAGCCTTGCCCGTTGCACAGACCGTCATCTCGTAGGGACTATGGCCGTTATCCCGTGCTCGCATTACGCTGGAGGGGACGTAACAGTATCCCATGATGCCGGCACGACTCGCTACACTCCAGGCGCGCATGACACGTTCGCCACCACCTGTATCGTTTGGCGGTCTGACGCAGCCCTCAAGCTCGGGTCACTTGCGCACGGCTCTCGTATCATATTCCTCTTCGCCATCACAAGCGCGGTCCATCCCTCTGAAGGAGCACTGCTTCCTGTCGACAACGAGAATTTGTCTCGACTCGGGCGATGCTTCTCGGATTTGTCGTACTCTCTAGAACATCTAGGCGACCCCGAAAAGATCGTCCACATCCTCAAAGACAAACACTCTCGCGTCAACCTCCGCACCGACGCCCTTCGCGGAGAAGACGCCCGTGTTGTTGCCATAATTGCCGAACATGCCTCGTTGCATGGGCTCCATTTCGGGCTTGCAAGTGTAGCTGGCTCTGTGACTGAGACGGGATATGAGGTACCGGAACGAAAGGCCTCGCGATATGGGAAGCTACGCTATTACGTCCAGGATTACTACAACGATTACACATGGGTTTATATGGAGAACTTGGTGAGCCCTGCTGGACAGCTCTTGATCGGCGACATCTCCTCGGAGGATCCGCACTGGGGTCAGAAGATGTCTTTGTCCGGTGCTCTTCGCGACGAGGTATTGGAGGGCATGTCGGGACATGACGAAGAAGAACTTGAACATGATGTACGCATCATCTCGTGGAAGTTTGTTTAGCATACACTGACAATATTACGATAGGGTGACTCAGTCAAAATAAAACGAAGCAAGTACACGTCAATCTTAAGCCTCCCTATACATCCTGACACCCTGCCATCCTATACAGTATATTACAGGACGGCCTTAGTCGTCTGGCAGCCTGGGGGAGCATTCCAGCGGAGCTTAGCCAGCCGCGCCGATGGCAAACCACTCTCCGAGTCTCGGTCTACCGCCCTGCGAGTGGAGCGCCAGGCTATCTTAGACGAGGAGGACCAGAAATCCGATGAACTGGAACTGGTGGATTGGCCACCCAGCCCGTCGCCTTCGGAGCCTGCCATCGACGGCGTTGTTGGATCTACAGCGAAGTTTGCGGCTCCTGCGGCCGGAGCAACCCCCATGCTAGTCGTCACGGTCAAACGGCAGCGTTCCATATCTCCTCTCCCCTCCACTCTGGACGTAGTTGATGTAGAGGGGCAAGGGAGACGGCCTGTCAAACGGGAGAGGTCGTGGTCCGTTGCGATCAAATCCGAGGAGATGGTTGTAGACTGGCCTTAGCAAGTTTGTCGCAATGCTAAGTCACCTATATAGAATCATATCTATGCAGCGCCCCACTAGTTTACCCTGAGCTCGGTTTTCTGTCTCGGACACGAATAGACATTCACAGCGATTTATGGCAGTGACAGAGCCAGAGACGAATCCACACTCTGGGTCGTCCACACAGTATTGGTCTGAGACCAGGAAGTCAGCGATTCAGCGAGCATCGAAACCATACCAAAATTGCGCATCATCAAACACTCAATACAGTACCAGTCGACGCAGAGGTACACGAGAATGGGAGACGAGGCTGATGATTCATGGAAATGACCCAGGGATACAAGGTGTGCGCGCCGACAGCGATAGAGAGATCAACGATACGATATAGGGCAGCGGGCTCGGGGAGTAGGGGTGACAGAGAAGATATACGCGAGAATACTACGGTCCTATAGACGGCAAAGCGGGTGGTGCGACGGACGGGCGGGGGCGGGCTGCGGCGGCTTCTACTACATATGCATATGCGGCATGCGAGTCATTACGAGCGTGAGATATGCGACGGGTCCTCCTTCAGAGGGCGATTGCTGGGTGCGGTACGTTGAGTGAGTAGAGATAAGAGATGTAAGATGGAACACGGGAACAGCGGAATATGGTATTCTGACAGGGGAGGCGAGACGGACGATTTCTTAGTTCTACACGGTGGCGCGCTTCACCATCTATCGCGCGGGGTCATGCGTCAGCGCGGAGAAGTCTAGGAATGAGGGGCATCACGCACCTCCCGGGCCCACCGCACAGTCTTCTTGGTTTCGGGCGACACACGGCTCTTCAAGCGGAGCTCGTTGGCAATCCAGTCCGCGAGCAGGTAGGGCTTGATCTGGCCGTTCGGGAACGCGTCTGCGAGGTCGCCAAGCAAGCCAATAGCGAGCTTGATCGAGCTCTCCGTGCGCTCGGAGTCAGCCAGACACCTCTGCACGAGCTCGAGCATGGCGGGGACGTGCGGCAGGAGCAACTCAACCTTGGGCGTGTTCTTGAACCCGGCGACAATGCCGGTGTACGCCTCGAGGATACCGTCACGTAGAAGGCTGACGTACTCGACGAGGTCGATGTCGAGCTAGTTGTAGCCGGGTAAGCCATTGCATATAGCAGCACAACAAATCACTTACCGGGTTCGGCTGCACGGCACCCGCTTGCCTCAACACGCCCATCGTTGCAGACAGGTAGGGCTCAAACGCGGGGCCGATGGCCATCGCGATATCACCGAAGCAGGACAAGATGGAGATCTTGACGTTCCGGTTGAGCACGTCACTCTGCAGGTTCTCGAGGAGCACGTTCATGAAAGCGCCTGAGTACTGCGCTGTCTGATCACCCAGCGCGCGCGAGATGTCGCCAATAATGCCAACGGCGACGGTGCAAAGCTGCGTGTCCTCGTGCGCCTTGAGCGCCGGGTAGAGGTGCGGGAGGAAGGCGGAGATGTAGGGCGCAAAGCGCTGCTCGAGCGCCGCGGACAGCGCGCCGACAACGAGGAAGGCGTCCTCAAGGAGTGTGGAGGTCTTGCCGGCAGCGTTGATCAGCTGAAGCAGGAGAGTCATGATGCGGTCCGCGAGGGGTTGGATGCCGTCGCCGAGCTTGCGGATGACGCTCTGAAGGGATATGAGCGCGCAAATTACAGTTTGTCGAAGTATAACTCACAGTGATAACAGCACAGAAGTTGCTCATCAGATCGTTCCAGTTGTTGCGGTCGTCGGCACCTACGATTTGGTTCTATCACAAGGAATTAGAACTGACAGGTTCGGAAGTATCGAAAGGTTGAATCCGTACCTGCATACCGAGCAGCTGCTCCATACGCAGGAGGATCGTTACGGCCGTGTTCTGGACGACGGGGATAGTATCGAGCGTTGAGTGTGTGACGAAGGAAGTGATCGCTTCGTAGGCAGCCGTTCTGTGCTGGCCCTCACTGGTGGCACTGGAAATTAGAATATTGTCAATACATCAACTTCTTAAAGAGAGCAGAGCAACCCACGTCTCAGTCAGATGGAGCAGAGCCTGGACGACACCCTCGTAGTATGGGGAAAGTACACTGGGCTGGTTGAAGGTCTCCTGATCGTCACCCTCAACGTAACCAAGCTGGTCGGCAAGGTTCATGAGCGCCCAGCAGCAGTTAGCAGCGATACGCGGGTTGTCCTGCAAACCAGCAACCAGCGCAGAAACCATGGGGTGCAGGTGAACGTCGGCTTGGATAGTTGAGATCAGGAGATCGCAGATGCGGCCGAGAGTCCAGGCAACGGTATCCTTGACATGAATGTTCGAGTCCGCCATCATGTCGATGAGGATGGGCAACGCCTGGTTCACGAGCGGGGTAAGGACGTTCGGATCCGGCCCATCGAGGATGGAGCCGAAGGTCATGACGGCCGCCTCGCGCATGTGCCAGTCGGTCGACCGAATGTTGGCCTCGATGAAGGGGATGACTGCGGCCACGATGGTGTCCTGCACAGCTTGTGCAAGCAGACCAAGACATGTGGCGGCAGCCTTCGAAACGTCCCACTCGTCCTCATCGGCGTCCTCATCCTGGTGGGTAAGCAGGTCGAGCATGACAGGGACGATTTCAGGCATCGCAATCTTCGCGAAGAACTTGCTCTCGTTCTCGGGCACTTCGCCGTACTCGTTCGCCTGGTATATGTTAGCAAGGCGCCCCCAGACTCGATTGAACGATGTAGCGCACCTCAGACGCCTCCCACGCGAGCTCACTCTCGAGTTCACATACTGTTGACCAGAACTCAATCGCTTGAAGGGATATCTCTGGTTCACTGTGCTTCATGCCCATGACAGTGAGCTATAAAGCGAACCTACGTCAGTACTCGCCGAGATCATTGAATCAATGCAACGTACCCCGAAAAGCGCGCGCTCCATATAGTAGTTCATTTTGTCGTAGTACAGAGACATGATCTTCACAAGACACTCGAATGCTCCGACCTGGACAGGAACAGCGGCGTTCTGCGTTGCCTCGCAGACCACCTGCATGATGTAGTTTCTCTCGCCCTGCATAAGTTTCAGCAGACGTTCGGTGTATATAATCACTGGAAAAGATCACCTCTCGCTCAAAGTTGTCCCGAACAAACTCGAGGGAGTTGAGCAATGCCTGGATAGCCGCGAGTTGAACTTCCTGCGAAGGCTCCTCCTTGCGTGCTCCGTGAATGACCGCAGTCAAAATTTCATTGGAGCGCATCGAGAGGATCTCAGGTTTCTGGGACGAACATTATCAGATGATGGTAGCCGAGTTGGGCAATAAAACGCACGTTTTGTAGTGCTTCGCAGGTGAAGCCGATCGTTTGCAGGGTGGCGACGCGGAGGCTCGTATTCGACTGGTCACTCACGAAGCCCAGCAGGATCCCAATGACATCCATCCAGTGCCCCTGTGGCAGTTCGACGGCGGCGATGGCAGACACGACCTGCGCAGCTACCGTACCGACCTTACCAGCGGGAGAGGCCAGGGCCATGAGCGCGTCTTGCTTCACTTTGTTCTTCGTCCCATCGTCGAGCGCGAGCCAGCGGTTGGCGTAGTCGGTCTGTCGCGCGATTTCCTAAGAGTACAATGATTGGAATGGTGGCGTAGAGTCGAGTAGATCGTAGCGGGACATACGCGTGCTGATAGGGAGTTCTTAAGCGCAAGACCAGCGGCGTTCCTCACGTGTGGCTGTGAAGACTCGTTGACCAGCTCCGACGCGAGCATTGCAACATACGCGGGCTGGATGTGGAGGCATGATGAGCGTTCCCGGCCGCGTAAGGCAGGATCAGAGTGGAAACTCACGAAGTTCTCCCTGGATGCATTCTCAAGCTTTTGGGTAGCATCGTCACGCGTATGTGCGTCTGCAGGATGGAATACGGATGAAATTGAGCATGGATGGAACGAGGGGACGCGCCATCTGCGGCTCGGGGCCGGGGCGGGCGAAAAAGGACGTACCGGGCGAGAGGGTATTTGCGAGGAGTTCACTGGCGTTCATGGTCGTAAATGAAGAGACTGTGCGTTGTTTTTAGCGGATCAGCGAGATTCGTGTGAGCGATGGTGGTGGTTGGCGAGCAAGGCGGAGAGAGCGAGTGGCGGCCTTGGACGAGCAGGGTCAAGGGAACGAGGTCGCAACTCCGGGCGTTTCTTTTTCAGCCCGACCCGCGTCTCTCTCCCAGCATCGCCTGCCCTCTTCCGTCCAACATCTTCACAAGGCAGGTCGCTCTTTCTTTTGTTTTCTGTCTCTCGAGCTCATCAAACACCCCTTTGATCGCAGATTTCGCCTCGGGCGATATAGTCTGACGACCACACTCCACCCGAGCGCTTCTCCCCACATCCCCAGGCGAAACAATGGCCGATAGAGTACGTCTGCCCTTCCTCTTCCTCTGAACGCGAATGACCCTGAGTGCTGAAGGGTCGTGGCGGCAGCAGAGGCGGATTCAGAGGGGGCGCAGGCCCATCCTCGCGGGGCGGTAGGAATGGCCCGTACGTCTCGCCACCACCTCATTGCATTCAGGTCATGTCTGATCCCCGGTCACGTCAGATCACAGCCAACAATGGACAAGCCCAAGCGTGAGGCCATCCTTGACCTGGCCAAGTACGTGAACGAGCGTATTCGCGTCAAATTCACGGGCGGACGCGAAGGTCAGCCCCCTTGTACTCTCGCGTTAATTGTATGCTGACTCTAGGCTAGTGACCGGAATCCTGAAGGGTTACGACCAGCTGTTGAACCTCGTGCTGGATGAAGTACAGGAAAATTTGCAGAGTGGTCAGTGCGAATTTAAAGACGTAATACGCGCGCTCGGGAACTCATGTTGCGATAGCACCGGACGGCGAGTCCACCACGCGCAACCTGGGCCTTGTAGTCCTCAGAGGGCCGACAATCACCCTCCTAAGCCCCGTGGACGGCTTCGAGGAGATCGCCAACCCTTTCCTGGCACAAGAGTGAAACCGCTCTTGAACTTGATTGCCCCCACGGGTCTGCAGGCCGCAGATCCGGGAGCATGTATTTCTACTGTATGAGTCGTGCCTACCGTAACCAGATGTCTTGCTCATTGCGAAATGCTCACGAGTTTTTGACTATTTCAACCCACCATTGATCATTCGGGAGGACGTGAATTTGAAGCCTCGCGCATATAGCCGACAAGATTCACAAGCAACGCGCTACCGTTCACAAACATACTCCCAGTATAGCAATTGAGGACCGACATCGAAGACAACACAAGAAGTCAAACCACGGTCATGTCGGCATAAGCCCTAAGCCTCACGTGAGGTCTATCACGTCCTGAGGGTCGTACGCGGCCTTGCGACGTTTGCTTGGACGCTCGGACTCCAAGGGCGAGCCAGTTCGGGTCGGAGACGGAGAGTGCGAAGGAATTGACGCATACGAGACCGGACTGCCGATACTTCGGCCTACGGACGCAGTCGTCGGATGCGCATGGGAGGGGGGTGCGTCGGAGTCGTCCACAGATATCGGGGAGAGCTCCCGGTCGGTGGGTCCTGACACCATCAGAGTCGCGAAACGCTCCTGAGTGGACTCCGTGGTTATCTCGGAGACACCGTCAGATATATCCTGCCCGCTGAAGAGAGCAGCGAGGACCGGTCCGTCCGGTCCAAGGATTGTAGACAGTGTCTCGGGGTCCGAGCTCACGGCCCTCAGGAGTCGGATCCCGCGTTTCTGGTACGCTGTCCAACGAACGGGCTTCTCCACAGTGGCATCCTTCATGACCTGTAAAATTCAATGAGCTACCGATAGACATCTACCGAGTTGAGCGGACCTTGATGCCTTGAGGTGTGGTCATGATCGCTTTGAACGTCGCAATACCTGCCGCATGTAACTTGAGGAACTTCTCCACATGCTTTCGCTTCGTCCCGCCAATGCGTGCCCAAGTCTTCTCTCCCTCCGGCTCATCCCTGAGAAAAGCACGCACGGAGACGCACGCGTCACATGCGCAGGACCACTCCTCGAGCTGGTCGAGCTTCCCGAGCGCTGCGGTAGTTTCGGCGGGCCGCGGACCCATGACCGTCCGTCCCCATTGCAGGAGGATCGCTCGAATGGCAGGTGTGAAAGCAGGAGAGGAAAGGGATTGTCTCTTGCGTACGAGGAAAGGAATGAGTCGCACGAGAAGGGGCGCGAGCGATTCAATGATGTACTCGACGCTGTCATTGACCACCCAGTCCGGATGGACGACTCGAGCAAGGAGCGCAGAGCAAGCACCTGGGTTCCCTGCTGAGAGACAGTACTTGATCGTGTCGAGGGTGATCGCTACACGCTCTGCGGGCGAAGCGTTTTCGAGGTCCACCGAATTGGCAAACTGCTGGAGGAGCTGTGGGGTGACGTTCCCTAGAGCTTGTCCTCCTGGATCGAGGGTAGCAGCCTGAGTACGCAATTCGTCGATCAAAGCGCGCAGTACGTCGCTTCGAATAGGTAGAGCCTCGATTTTTGGTATCAGGCTGCCAGCGCGAATCAATAATGAGTACCATGGTGCGGAAGATACTAGATGGCTCACTCAGTGAAGATGAGAGATGGCTCGCTCCCCAGGGCCGCAGCGCGCACTATAGTCGCAATCGCCTCTCCTGTGGTATCGTCCGGCTGGCGGAGGAACGCGTCGACCTGCGCTTTGACTTTTTGGAGACGTAGAGACCTTTGCTCGGAGACCCATTCTAACGCAGCTGGAGATGGTTCTTGACCCTGGTTCTCGCCGGTGCGATCCAAGAACTCCCGCAGAAACTGGAGAGCTGCGATGTCAGATGGGTCTCGCTGTATAGCACGCTCCGCGCTGTCGTGACAATCGATGTCTTAGCCCACTGCATCGACAATCACCGGAAGAATTAAACTCACGTAGGCCGAACCGCTTCAAACCCGAAAATGTCCTTGGCCCCGAATATGTTTTCCTGATCCAGTGTTGCAATAGAGCGGTCCGCATCGCACGCCTTGACGGCGCGCAACCACAGATCTTGGTCCTCCCATGTCCGTGCCGCACGACACACAGCGTTGACAACATCGCGCCAATATTCGGGGATAGCACGAGCCACGACGAGATCAACGAGCTCCTTCTCCTCCCCAGTGGGGAGAAGGCTGTCGGAGGCTCGCAACCTCGTACATGCCTCTGTGAAGGCCTTGCGACCATGGACAACGTCGAAGTCGGCCCAAGATGGCCAGATCACCAACAAAAGGTGCCGGTCCCCTATACGTCCGATGTCAGTACCACCAGGTTCTCGATTCTCAATAATACTCACAAGATCCAACATCCCACTTCAGATAGGTCTACAGCAGGCAGGAGATGTCAGGCAAGTCCGAAGCTCTAGCTAACCAGCGTACTCACACTGGGCGAAGCAATGAGCGTCTTGTGCAAGGCGAGTGGGATAACGTCTGTGCCGCTGTCGTAGTCCATCTTGTCCCGCACGAGATTACCGGAGAAGTCCACAAGTGGCCCAATCCTCCGCAGGGGTTTAGAGGCTTTCGAGTAGGAATGTATGGGACAGTATCCGGGAGAGCTGAACTGGGATGAAGACAGAGATTCTGCGTCTGAGTCGGGTGTGGGGGGTTTTCCGCGATCGGACTCGTAGTCATAAGAGCAGTGATAATCGAGTGGGTCGAGGCTGGAGGGGGAGGGCTTCATGTCTGGTCTTGAGGTGAGATCGTTTTGTAGGGGAAGTGTGATGGGCTCCTTGTGCGCGTCATCGTCATCGTCCGCGTAGGATACGCCGCCCGGGCTGTCGGCGTTTGAATCGGCATCCGTAGGTTCGACCGAGGCGTCGTCGTCTTCGTCGCTATCCGAGCCAGAAGCCCGCGTGCGGACTCTAGATTCGCCGAGCTTGCAGGTCAAGACTGCGAGGCCGAGTTTGAAACCATGTGCGCCGGCACATATCTCGAGAGCTTCCGCGAGATGTGCGTCGGATCCGCGCAAGACGCCCTTGCGGACGTCGCCATATGAGTACTTGTGTTTGAGCAAGTACACGAGCTTGGAGGGCATAGTGGCCCTGCGACCTTTCTCCCATGTTTGCAAGAGCTGTCTTAGGCGTGCAAGCTCCTTGCATTGCGGGCCAAGGGTCGGCGATGGCATGGTAGGATTTGAGCACACAAGATCGAAGGCAAGGACCAGGTATGAACCACTGGTGATGAGCTCTGAGGCGAAGGTCGTTGTTGCATGCCAGGCCAGTACTGCCACGTCGCCTGGCACAACGGTGTCCAACTGGAACGTCTGCGCATAGTCGGCGTGGTGAAGTCGCACCGCGCCACCTTCGAACAGGGAGGGCATGATCATGAGAACAGTGCCCAGTTTGCTTGAGATATTTGACTCCTGACTAAGGTGTGCTCAGTTGTCGAATGGGGGTAAAGAGATAGTCCCATGGATGTCCGACTCACGGTATATGCGACACGTCCGCCCTGCTTAACTGTGTCAGCTCCAAAACGTTGCTGCGTGATACGTAGAGATATACTGACGCGGTACCCACTCCATACCAGCTGAGCGAGGCTTTTGGAGTGTTTACTCCCCCGGCTGAAGCATCGTGACCGAGCGCTGTGGAGGCCCACTGTAATACCTGCGCAAGAAAGGCCCCAAATTTTGGATTCTCGAAGCGAAACTAGTCAAGACGGCGATAGTAATATGTCAGCGCTTCAGCAATGACAGTGCTGGAAGCGGGCGGTGGTTAACGAGATTACCTGGGTCGCATCGAGAGACCATGACGACGATGTGGCGGTGACTTCGGAAGACACATTATGTCCCAAATTGACAGCTTTTCCAACGTGTTCGCCTTCCAGAGCATCAAGAGGAACGCCAAGGATACCGATATCGTTCACATAGAGCCCTGGGTTTGGGGCATCCGAAAACACGCGGTAGCACCACGGAAGGCCTGAATTTTGCAGGGCGGTAGACGTCGCAATGGACAGGATCTCCTCCTGCATATAATATATGAATGTTGACAAGGTAAGAACAGGATACCAATGTACCTTGATATTAAGATTAGGATGTGCAGGAGAAGGTTGCAGATGATGTCCAAACTGAGCAAGCTCGATGGCCATGCCAGTGTCACCGAGATAGTTATGCTTTTGAATTCAAAACAACAGTGGAACAAGCTAGCCTCTTAGGAGTACCGCAAGTACGCTTTTTGCGATGATTCAGACGCGAAGATGTTGACTGGTGCTCGAACGTAATGGTGGTGGTGGTGGTAGCGACTCAAGCGCGGTGTGTGCACGATGTCCGGGCGCCTTTCAGGTTCCCACCGAAACGTTGCTAGCGCTGGCCTCCCTGTTAGCATTCAGCCACGTTCTAGGCCACCGCGCAAGAACACAGAACCCGCTCATCTACAGGGTATAACAGCGTCGGAATGGCTACACGAGAAGCCAGACCAGCTCGACAGGCGGAGCCACGTAGCACGGGAAGCGCAGGTCGCCAGGTTGTCTGGACTTTGCTTGCGTCCGCCGTTGCAGGCCTTTCCACATATTACTCCGCATTCTCCCGGCGTCCGAGTACAACAACTATCTCTTCACTGCCAACCTCTTACGCTCTTTGCGCGGAGGGTTCGAGGATCTATACGGTCGATGAGGCCAAGCCAGCAGTTGACTGTTTCTCGGTCGACAAGAACGTCATCACAGCCACAGGAACGCTCGGTACGCGCAACCAGTTTCAATTTGACCTGATACTTACAAATAATGTTACACAGTGGAGGTTCAGGCACATTGGGACGAGTACCAGAACGATCTCATACGCAAGTTCTACGGGAACGAGCCCAGTGCGAAGAAGCCGCTCCCTGTCTTCAATGCTCCTGCTGGTTCCATAGTCGTCCCAGGCCTCGCAGGTTAGCCCGCGTGGCCATGTTATGCTTTTCAGGGCTGATATGAAACTAGATGCACACGCCCATATTGTACAATATGGTTTCAAGATGCAGCTGCGCCTTGACGAGACGCGTACGCTCTCTGGGCTGCTCGACCTCCTGGAAGAATATGTTGCCTCCCATCCCTCGGACCCGGATACATGGGTAGAGGCAATGGGGTGGGACCAAACGCGGTGGACCGACACTGATGGATCATTCCCCACCGCTGTAGGTCCTCTCTCCCCGTGCTTCCGTGTGACATTCATCTTACTCCTCCCAGGCAGATCTAGCTTCTCGTCCTTCCCTATCCTCACTTCCCATCGCACTACACCGCGTCGATGTACACGCCCTATGGCTCTCTCCGCGAGCCATCGCACTTACGAAAGCGCACCTCAACGGGACGTTCCCAAACTCCACCCCGGGCGGCGAGATCATCCGTGACTCCTCCACTGGGGAGCCAACTGGGATCTTCGTCGACGCCGCCATGTCTTTGGTGCCTATTCCGAAATGGTCAGAATGGCAGATGCGCGACTACGCAGAGCGGACTGTGAAGGATGCCCTTGCGGTGGGGCTTACGAGCGTGCATGACGCCGCCACTAGCTTGCAAGAGTTTGAACTGTTCAAGCAGTACGTCTCCCACTTGATTTGTAGTACAGTCGAGTATTGATTCCCTCTCTACAGAATGGATGAGGACAATGAGCTCCCCGTACGTTGAATCTGCTCGGAGGCGACACCACGCTGATTGCTCCTCCAGATCCGGGTATATGCTATGGCAGACTCCGACAGGCTGTCTCCTGAGGAAAGGAACGACATCGAGATCCACGACCCAAGCCCTGGCGCCCGCGTTCGCATGCATAGCGTGAAGCTCTTCACCGACGGCGCACTTGGCTCGTGGGGTGCTGCGCTGCTCGCCCCCTACTCCGACAAGCCAGACGCCCGCGGATTGATGCGCATGCCAGAAGAGGATCTGAACAAGCTGGTGCGCGAGTGGTGGGACAAGGGATGGGGTGTCGTAAGTCTTACAGCAGGTCCGCGTAGGTGGCACTGCAGTGTACTGATGATGTTTTTGCGTCCTCCCCTTAGAACGTCCACGCAATTGGCGATCGTGCCAATAGGGCCGTGCTGGACGCATTCGAGAAGATCTCGCAGGACCTTGGCTCGCAAGAGGGTGTTGCGAACAGAAGGCCGCGCATCGAACATTCACAGATCATGCGTCTGGAAGACTTAAAGAAGGCTGGCGAGCTGGGAGGTGGGAGGCGCTTTGCGCCCTAGACCGTGCAACTGTATCTGACATCGCAACGTCTCAGTTCTCTCGAGCGTGCAGCCCACACATGCGTAAGTCGCATACACGCATAACATCATTCTTGTTTGCTGATTCGATTGTAGCACGAGCGACATGTGGTATGCTGAAACCCGCCTCGTATGTCCCTGCCGCCGCCACTGAAAGCACCACTGACCAGCCCATAGGGATCGGAGCGTATCAAAGGCGCATACGCATACCAGACCCTCCTGCAAGCATCTCGCGGTGGCGTTCTCCCCCTCGGATCCGACTTCCCAGTAGAGGGCATCAACCCTCTCCTCGGCTTCTACGCTGCTGTGGCGAGACTCGACACCGAGGGCAAAAGCCCCCACGGAGAAGGTGGATGGTGCGCACTCGATACCCATACCCCCGCTTAGACTGCATATGCTCACCGGCTTGTAGGTTCCCTGCGGAACGCCTCACACGCGCGCAGGCGCTCAAGGGCATGACCCTCGACGCCGCGTACGCGTCATTTGCCGAAGACACCCTGGGCTCGCTGGTCCCGGGAAAGCGCGCAGACTTCGTCATCTTGGACCGTGATATCATGGACACCAGCCAGCCATTCAACGAGATTCTGGAGACGAAGGTGAAAGCGACGGTGGTCGACGGCAAGGTGGCGTACGGTGGCATATAAGGGCACTGTGGCCACCATCGATTGGGTGTCTCTGTGGGCAAGGTGCGCGGTGTCTAGATTCGGCGCTGTGGAATGGGTCGCTACAGAAACCGGGGGCTGTTAGAGCGGATATCATGGCCCATCCCGGATATCGATGCGTATGGCCGGAAACAGGTGTCTTGTCACTGAACGCATGTTTAGCGCCCGTTTCAGAGCGTCGCTTGTTGCACGTTTCGCTTGCATCGCACAAATCGATCAGGCTGATTCAACGTGGGTGAATGTGTAAACGGTGAACGATCGGTTTGAGGTAGGTTTGAGGAGTCTTGACGGAGGTCTCGGGAGTACGCCACCTACATGGCCAAACAAGTGCAAACCGCGAGCGGGCCCAGGCCCTGGCCGTCTGTGGGCGATTGCCGCTCGGACCAGTGGCCCTTGACTCAACTACCACGCCATGGGGCGTATCTTTTGCCTGGCATGCTAGCGGTGCTTCGCGTAAACTATCCGTACACCTGGCGGAGGAATGCCTTTTCAATCCTACCCTCAAAATTGAATGGCGGGGCGGCGTGGAGTCTTCCCCTTGTGCAGCCCGCCCATCTGCACAGGATCCATCAGGTGTGTTCTCACCATATTCTTCTTTTCTTATCATGATTTTTGGAACAGGAAAGAGTGCGTATGCGGGTGTGCGCGCGGCCAATCATATGATAGCCCCTTCTTCATCGCAGCTCCGCCTCGCCTTCTGGACCCATCCGCGGACCGCCCCCCTCTCACGCCTCCGTCCTGACATGGAAGGAGAGCCTCGAGGCGTACAAGCACCTGCCCTCAAGGCGCTGATAGACCACTTCTGCGCCTGCGCGGCCAGGTCGGATTTGGCATGCCTGTTGTTCACGGGCGCCGCTGGCTGGGGCACGTTGCCGCCCCCGCCCCCTTGTGTTAGACGCTGCCCCCCGTCCGTCTGCGTATAAAAGGGGGCGAGATTCTGCACTAACCCCCCAGCTCCTCCTCCTCCTCACTCCCAGCGACTCGAACCCCGGCGGTGCCCAACGGCCCGCTGGATCCACGGTGCGCACGCGTAGGCCCGGTAGTTGAGCTGATCGGCTTTCCACAGCACAGCGCGTCCCGGATTTTATATTGTGAGGATGCCCTCTCTTCATACCTGTGGCGACGTCTGACGCTTGGGACAGATTGTGTGATTTAAGCTCAAGACCCTCGGCATTTTATTATTTCGACCTCGGTTTCGTTTATTGTTTCGGCTTGGGCACTATTTGCCTGGCACCCCACACGACGCGTAAGAAAACTATGTACGCGCCCCCTTCCTTACCCTGTCGACCCGCGTTCTAACTCGTTCCGTCTCGAATCCAGATGGATTCGGCGGCTTGTTATTTGGTAAGCACCCAGTGTTCCTCGTTCCCGTCCACTGCGCTAACGCCACCTCTCACAGAGTGTTCCCTCGGCGTTTGGTTATTTCCCCCAGGATAGGTATTTCTACTAACCTCACAGCAATTCATATATTGTAGCGTAGTAGCTTTAGTTAAGTTTTTACTGTCCGGCTCGGGGGCTCTCTACGGGCCCTCGTCTCAAGCGTCGGTGAAGGCTCCGAGCAAGCGGTTGATGAAGAGGGCGACGGGGAAGGGTCCCGGGGAAGGGGTCGACTCGGACCGCCACCGGCGGGCCCGACGTCGACTCCGGCGCAGGCCTCTTCGTGGCCCCCGGGATGAGTACCTGTGTACGGCAAGCCAACTGGCGCTCGCGACGAGTTCTCCGCCGCGGTGCCAGTCGAATACACAGGGAAACCAACTGCGCTTAAACAAGATCCAAAACCGCCACGCACACCTCGCCCTCGGAAGCGGCACTTCAGGGAGCGACGCCTGTGAGTTGTGCACTTCACCTGTAAGTACCCTCGTCACTGACGGGCATAACCCTTTGGCGCAGGGCGGGCCGTTCGCGCAAGTCTAGTGTGTTGTGAGTGCGATCCAACACATCCAATCAGTGTAAATGTTATACTCACCACTACGACTTCTAGGGTGCCACACTGCACTTGCGGCGACGACGTCTACGACATGATCGCTCGTGGATCAGTCGTATAACTTATTCCTATTTATACGACAGCAACTAAGGGCGGTATCTGTTCCATTCTCACAGATTGCATCTGTGGTCAGGCGCAGCGATTAGGCTTTAAGGGGGGCCTTTCGAGGCAAACGATCGAATGGAACAGGCCGATACTTAGTTTCTATGTACTTTCTCTATGCCCGGAAGATATGCACACAGCACGGCCATCTCATCACACTTGTTTGCCTGCGCTCCATCTGATTTGTCGTCTTTGAGGTTCGAAGTATCCTGCTGGAGAGTCTTGGGTCTCGATCCTTAAAGCGTAGCGATATCGGCGTCGGAGGTCTGCAGGTAGGCAGCAGTGGCCACACGAACTTCGCCTCAGCAGAAAGCACACGCGCACGATTACCAGAAACCCGATCCCATTAAACAGCACTACGATAACAAACAATTCACACCCAATCGGCAGCAGGTCCAGCACCAAAGGACGCGCCTACTGGATCGCAATCTTCTTCGGCGCCAGCTCCGGGGTCGACCGCGGGAAGGTGACCGTCAAGACGCCGTCGACCATGGTCGCCTTGATCTCCTCAGGCTGCAAAAGCATCCGTCAGCACCCCTGCCGCCCTCAAAATTGAACAGAAAAACTTACGCTAATGCCCTGCGGGAGCGGGATCGACCGCGAGAACTGGCCGAAGCGGCGCTCGCGCAAGGAGTAGCCCTTCTCGTCGCGCTCTGTCGACAGGGTGGACTCGCCAGCGACGGTCAAGACGTTGTCCTTGACGTCCAGCTGGACGTTCTCCTTCGTGAGGCCCGGGAGCTCGAACGTGGCCGTCACGAGGTTCTTCTCCTTGTCTTCGTGCAGGTCCATCCTGTCGCACATCGTCATCAATACACGTGTCCGCGACTTCAGTCAAGTATAAAGGGTGTGACTTACCGTGGGCGCATGGGCCGCACCGCGGTATTTCCCTGCTCGCGCGACGCAACAGCAGACGAGCCCTGGCGCGTGCGCGCGTTGAACGCCTCATCGAAGAGGCGGTCAAAGTCGGAGAGGGAGTAGAACGGCTCGGTGAAGAACGTAGAAAGCGCCATCTCGAGTTGTTGTGAAGTGAAGAGTCGTTAAAGTGTTGGGAGAAAGGGGTATGCGGGTGAGATGAGGAAAGCGGTCGTGAACTGTGGACTTGATACTTTGCTCTTGCTGGGGAATCGCTGCAGCGACAGGGCCCTGTTTTATACTGTGCCCGGGGCTAACACGGCGTTTCGCTGAACGTTCCAGAGGCTGATGCGTATACACTATTAGCGATCAAATGAAGTCATTAGTTGCGTCACGAAAGCCGGAGAAGAGTCGCGACTCACCTTGGTACACGGTTAAACAGCGTGGGCGCTTGTTCGCGATCTTTCTACGAGTTTCCCCGCGCGACTAGTGCCAAAACCACGTGAAAACTACGACATCTACTCGAGCTGAGAGGTTGCACGCAACGGTGTTAGTAGGTCTGAGCTACAGTCAAAGCAATGCTGCTCGTTCTTCATTGCATGTATGCGGGTATTAGTCTAGTGTACATATGATAGAAACATGCCTGATATCGTCCATGGGTGATGCAACTCGTCGCTATGCCCCTACTTCTGCCCGCCACCAGGTGCGACGTAGTCGCGCGACAAATCGATCGTACCCTTGAGATGGGTGTTCGTGATGCGGACCTGCCGCTGTCGAGGGGCAGACTTCTTGCCCTTCTTCTTCGCGCCGCCTTTCAGCACGGGCGCGGCAGACGCAGTCGCCTGGAGACCCTCGGACGCGAGCGCCTTGAGCAGGTCGACGTCGTTCGGGACAGTGAGCCCGTGCCACAGGTCGTGGAACTCTGTTTCCAGAGGCTCAACCCGCCGTTCCTTGGCGGCAAAACCGGGGGATGATACACACCTTTCTCGACGGCCATGCCGCCCTGCTCTTGGGTCGGCTTCACCTCGTTCCAGAATACCATCCGCATCTGTCCGTCTTTGAGCGTTCTCGTGACATACACCTCGCCATCCTTCTCTAAATCTTCGATCGCCTGTGGCGCCTCCTTCCAGCTCTCCTTGAGCGTTCGCACGGACAGTCCGCCACCTTTGCGTGTTTGACGCTGGATTTCGGTCAAAAGGGCGGCCTTATTGCGCACGTTGAAGTCGTGCTATAGGTCCGAATTTTTTTAGTACACCACCAATCACACAGAAGTACGACGGAAATTAGCCCATTTCCTTTGGCTGAAAAGGCGATACCACAACGGGCAATTGCCCCAGAACTCCGGTAGAAGCCCTGACAATAAGGAGGAATGCCTGATGACGACTTTCGGGATTTTCCCCAAGTGTTACAGACAGCCCACAGGCCACGGCCGCGCAAGAAGCCCGGTTGCCAGCCCAGCCGAAGCACGCTGGCGAGGGGGGTAGGTCGACGCCGAGGACCACCCCTGCCCCCCGGCGATTTGTCCGGGCGACAGACAGGCGTACCCCCAGAGCCCAACCAGTTGTTCGACATGTTCAACAGGTTTCCTGGCGTCGAAGTTTCAATTTGTCTGGATCAGGGAAGGCATACCCTCCAAAAGGGCTATTCTTGCCCGGATTGTCGTCAAGCATGCCCACTTAATGTCGGAGGTCCTGCTCCGGTCCAGAACAAGCTTAGAATATGGTCTGAATTGGTCTCCTGTTCAGGACCGGAGCGGACAACGAAGCACGGTGTCATAGTGATGCACTTTGTTATCCAAGCCTGCTCTGGGGCGCAGTATAGACCACTGCGCGTCGTGGGACAAAAATCTCACCGGCGCGGTCACCTTTTCGCGTCGCTCACACCGGGGGCAGATGTCCATGTAACACCCTGTTACACCTTGATACCATGAAAACTTCTGACCACCTGCCTTCCCAACTTCCACATCCTGATGGCATTCAAGATGTAACGAGCAAACTGGGTTACATGCTGATCACACCTTGAATGCAGTGTGTGATCAGCGTGCACCTACGGTGGCACAAGTTGATGCACCAAAAGCACAGTCGGACTTTGGTTACGATGTGATTTCGGTGTACCCTCCGCTTACAGAGGTATATCCCCCGGTGTTGTCAAAGCCGATGGGAAAGCTCATGCGCGCAAAGGTTACCGCTCCGGTCATATTTTTGTCCCCCTTCCAGCCAAACAAAATGGGCTAATCCCCGTCGAGAAGGAAGCACACTCACCCGGTATGAGTACAAGTCGGTTTTGGGGTCATGTATGACGCGGTCATGCCCCTTGAACTTCTCCAACAAAACCTTGTCCGTGTCAACAGCCGTGTTGGTGATGATAGCCAGATCCTGAAGTCGCATGGGGTTGCCATTGGACTTCAGGTGATTCACAAGATAGACGAGCTGAGTGTTGACATTGGTGCCGGTGCCGGTATCGGCGGGCTGGGAGAAGACCACATCTGCATCGGCAGGTCAGCCTTGGCTCTCACCATGGGCAGACAAGCCAAGCAGAAGAGACGTGCTGGACTTTGGCCGTTTCTTCTTCTTTGGGGGCTCGCCGTCTCCTGCGGACGTCGCGGTCGTTTGCGCAAGCTGAGGTGGCGGTGGCTGAGAGTGCCAGGAAGTGTAATCTTGCTTGTGAAGTGCGCTTTTAAACGCTGCAGCGTCGCGAGCCAGGCCAGACATGGTGGTGTGAGAGAGAAGCGAGGTGGTGGTCGAAGACGAAGGGAAGAGACCACGATGAGCAGACTCAAAAGGTCGGTCCCGGGGAGGGCAGTGGCAGTGCCGGGCGTGGGAGAGAGTTTTACCTCATCCGGCGCCTGTTTTGTGAGAGAGCGATCGCTTGGGTAGCGCGCGTTGTGGGTTGACCTTCACCTGCGCGGACGTCGTCCTCCGCGTCCGACTCCGCCTGGTCGACCATGGCTCACGGCGACATGTCTTTCTTCTCAAGACCCTCTTCTTCCGCAATCAAGATATCCGCACCCTCCGCTGAGGAGCCGTCCAGTCCGAGGCCGTCTAAGAAGGGTCCGTGTGACTCCTTTCCGTCTCATGCCAATCAGCTTCACAGTCCTGCACAGACAACACCCAACGACAGTGTAGGAATATTCTCATCTATGGGTGCGTCAGTATCGCGTGCAGCAACACTGTGCTCTGATGTCGCGCAGGCATTGTAAATACCAGGATAAAGGCTGTATCTACTACCATCCGTCGGTACGTGACTAAGTTTGTTCGGGTGATCGGCGTCACTCATTTCCCCTCAGCGCGATGCGCCCTCCCCGGCGTACGTGCAACGCACATTTCTGGGGTGTACATTCAGTTGACAGGCAAGCAGACCACCCGATTCTCCCACTCCGGGCGCGGCTCTGCCTGCGCAGGCCGTAAACGCGCCTGTATTTGTTCCCAAGACCAATCCTGCAAGTCCAACTCCTGCGGCAGCTGTACCAGCATCTTTACAACAACAATCCTCCACCTCTTCGTACGTCACGCCACCCCTCCTCCCGCCACTGCGCACCTGATGCGTCCATCTCCCAGCGACTCCTCGTCCGAGCAGTCCTCTTCTCAGCCGCCGGAGCAGCAGTCCGAGTTCGAATCGGCTTTGGATCCTGATCAATATGATCCCTACAATCCTTACTCATATGCAGGCCATAGTGCTGAGACGTCGGAGGATGGGGGACATGCGGTAACTATCTTCGCTGTATCGTGTCTCCGTTCATACTCATATTGCCTGCGGACAGCCTTCGATGAACCCGTACGAACTCCCTCCAGGTTATGACGCAGCCACTCTTGATCCCTTCTACAATCCCTCTATGGGTTACCACAACCAATCCGTAGGTCATCTTCGCGCCCCTCATGCTGAGTCAGACACACTAACATAGTCGCACAGCTCAACTTCCATCTCTACACCTCCCCTCGCCCGGAAGCTCTCTCACACCGGTACTTCATCTCCGATGAGATTCGAGAAGAGCTGCAGAGACGATCGGAGACTGTCCGTGCCGCGCCGCCCAACGGCCTCGGTCTGCCAGAGGAGCTGCAGGGATACCACTCCCTCGTTCCGCTAGAGCCCATTGGCGCAGAGCGTCGCAAGTTCGGCAACTGGTACTCCACCTTGTACCGCGCAACGAACTCGAGCGACGGCGTGACCTACGTTCTGCGCCGCGTTGAGAGTACGTCTTACTGTGTACGCCGGTCATCAAAAGTCTAACGCGCGCGACCCTCCGCGGCCAGACTTCCGTCTCATGCAGCAAGCCGCATTCTCAAGCATCGAGACGTGGTCACGCCTTCGACATCCGAACATCGTCTCTGTGCACGAGGCGTTCACGACTCGCGCATTCAATGACTCGTGTACGCCCTCATGCACTCACAGCACATCGTACTATCCTCACTCCGCGCGTGTCTTATAGCCCTCGTCGTGGTGTACGAAGATCATCCGGACGCGCAGACCATCCACGAGGCGCATATCAAGGTCAAGCCACCCCAGTTCCAGCACGGGCGGCTGCAGGCACAGTCCAACCGCGTCTCTGAGCGTACCATATGGTCGTACATCATCCAAATCGCGAATGCGCTCAAGGCAACACATGACGCTGGGCTTGCCGTGAGGCTCATCGACGCGACCAAGATTCTTGTCACTGGCAAGAACCGGTATGGCGCAGTCCTGGTATCCTATACCGCACAAGCACTGATGATGCACACGCATGCGTCAGGGTGCGACTGGGCTCGTGCGGCATAGTGGACGTGCTCATGTACGACATGCCGGCGGACCTCACGCAGATGCAACAGGATGATTTGACGATGCTCGGCGCACTCATCATGCAGCTGTGCACGGGCAGCATGAGCTCGATGCACAACATCCAGAAGGCGGTCGAGAGCATTGGCCGGAACTACTCTGCGGACCTGAAGAGCGTCGTGCTCTTCTTACTCTCGAAGCCCGCGCACAGGGTGGGTTCTCTGCCGTGCGGGGCTCTGAATGAAGGATTAATTGTGTCGTAGACTATCGGACAGCTCTTCGACATGATCGGCAGTCGGCTGCTGACCGAGCTAGACGAGACTCAGAAGTACGTGCGCCTGCTTCTCGCGCTACCCAGTATGTGAAGCTGATGGCCTCACTAGCGCCGTCGACCGACTGGAGGGCGAGCTGATGACCGAGCTCGAGAACGCGCGCCTCGTCCGTCTGCTCTGCAAGTTCGGTTTCATCAACGAGCGCCCCGAGTGCGTCCTCTCCCCACCCATGTTATCACTCACTGCTCTGACACTCAATCTCGTCATAGGCACAACCACGAGACGCGATGGTCAGAAACCGGCGACCGGTACATCGTCAAGCTGTTCCGGGACTACGTCTTCCACCAAGTCGACGAGGTCGGGCGGCCGGTCGTGGACATGACCCACGTGCTCGCGTGCCTCAACAAGCTCGACGCGGGCACGGACGAGCGCATCATGCTCGTCTCGCGCGACGAGCAGAGCTGTCTCGTCGTTAGCTACCGCGAGGTCAAGGCATGTATCGAGTCTGCGTTCACGTGCGTCTTTTTTCTTCGTTGCTGGCGCTCGTCGTTGCTGAAGTAATGATTCGTTTTGTAGTGAACTGGTTCGAGCTTGAGGGGCTGGCGAGAAGCGATGGACATGAAGATGGATGACGTTGGACACGATTCCTTCTTTCTAGCGGAGAAAACATGTAGAATCGAAAAAGACTCGGAAAACGCAGACAAAATACGACTCTCTTAACCTATCAACGCTTTGCCGGTGACAGCAAACATCAACATCGAGCATATATACAGATACATTGGGATGGAGCACCATGGTAATGGGACTGGTCTTATGATACATAGAGAACAACTATACATGTGCGACGAGCGATTGAGGACAACATACAAAAACAAGAAACAGAGCACGACAGCAAAATCGACGACGGTACATACCCAAAACGCGGGAAAAAGAAAACCCAATGTTCAATGCAATCGCGCTCTCTTCAACACCGGGGAGCACCCCCCGCCGCCTCCCTCAACCTCGTATTCATCGTCCTTGTCCGAACCGTCGGCGCCCTCAAGATCAACAACCTCCAGCACGCTCTCCGCCCGCTCACTCTGCGCCCGGAGAATATCCAACAGCCTCTCCTGAATCGACGCCGCCTCCGCATGCAACCTCGCCCTCTCCCTCCTTTCCCTCTCCTCCTTCCGCTTCACGTCCGCCTGCAAGCGATTCGCCCGCGCTACCTGGCGCCGCAGCCCTCCCCTCAACCCCTCGATCACCCCGTCGCGTGCACGCAGCATCTCGTCCTTGTCCTCGAGTGCCAGCTCGCGCGCCGCCAACGCCTCTTCCTTCGCCGCGACCACCGCCGTATGCTCGGCGCGCTCTGTCGCAAGGGTCGCGCGTAGCTCTTCATTGATCGCATGTGCGTGCGCGAGCTCATCCTGTAGCGCACCGCGCTCACGCGCATGATACGTCTGAATGGCACGCACGCTGCCGTCGATGTGTCGGTGCATATCGCCCACGATGTCTTTGAGGGCCTGCGGAGCGCGTGGGGATGTGGCGCGGCCACGGTTCTCGCCCAAGAGGTCAGACGCATCTATATCGGCCAAGGCGCGGTCGCGTCCAAGGGATGTCCGTGTGTACGGTTTGCGTTTTGACGGGAGGGGCGTGATGACAAAGGCGGGGGAGCGCGCGTGGTTGCGTCGACGCTGCGAGGGCGACACGGGGGACCGGTAAGCGAACGAGCTCGCGGCCTGTGGCTGCGTAGCGGGCCCTGCGCTGGTTTCGCTCGGGACGGGAGAGTCGCAATACTCGATCTCGCCGTCGTCCCATGTCTGCGCCGTTCGTATGGAACTGATCGAAGAGCTGGAGGCGGCTCGCGGTGCAGGCTGCGTACACTGCAGCAGGGCGTAAAACACGGAGGTTTCCGACATCGCCTGTGGTCCACTGGTAGGCCCGCCCGTTTTCGACCGCCAGCTCGCGACGGCCTCCAGCAGCACCGGCCCAACCCAGCATACGCATGTCTCGGCGGGCTCCAGAGCAGCGTGCTCTTCGCAGATGACAGACGCGCTCATGACGAAGATCTCCGCGGCCACGTCCCACACGACGCGCGGGTAGGGATGGTCGTACCCGCGTAGTGAAAGGACGTCGCCTCGACACATCGGAAATAGTATGGAGAGCGCGGCTACGAGGTTTTCTGTCCCGTAAGGCTGCTGCAGGGTCCCGGGGGAGGAAAGGAGGAGCGCCTCAGCGTACGCCTTGACGGCAGGGTACGCACCAGCCTTTTCCAGCAGGTGTTGGACGTGCGGCTGTACGGGGACCGGCCGCATGCCCAGGCGCTCGATGAGCATTTTCTCTTCGGAGGCGTCCTCAAAGGCGTACGGGTATAGACCCAGAGCTGGGTCGGCCAACGAAGAGTCTAAGCGTCGCCAGGCAGCCTCGAAGGCAGCATGATATGCGAGCTTCCCATCCTCGTTCACGCATCGAGATGCGGAGAGGACCCGCCCGAAGCTGTGGGGATGCGCCTTGGAGTCGGTGAGGATGTCCACCGCGAGCTCCGCAGCTAGCTCAGGCATGGTGCAGAATGCCGTGTTGAGAGCTAATCCTAGGTGCAGAAGGTACGCGCTGAACCGTGGGCCTGTCGTCACGACTGCGTGGCCGGCATCCGTGAGATCCAGATCGCCCGAGTAGTTGACTCCGAGTTTGCTGAGAGGAGGGCCCAACGGGATGAGGTAGCCACGGTGGAAAAAGTGAGGCATCGATGCCACCCTCCCGCCAACACTTTCGTCCGGCAGTGGCTTGTAGAAGACGACCTGTGAGAGGTTGTGACCGGGAGCGAGGATGGCCCAAGATCGCTGAGGTGGAAAGATGCTCCACACGGTCGAGAAGAGGGCTTCTGGAGTGGATGACGGGTGGAGACCGCTGATGGTCACCAGTACCTCGTCTGCTTGCACCAGCGGTCGCTCGTGGGCGGGTTCCGTCGCCCTCACGTCCGCGATCGTCTTTTGGGACATGCGTAGCAGGAAGCGCTCTCGATAGATGGCGGAAACCCGTTTCTCCTTCGAGATTTCCCGAACGGCCCTCGGGGCGTCCTGGTCGAATGGAAAGGCAAAGTCTGCGGCCGCCACGAACAGTGAGCGACTATCAAAGGTCGTTATGAGGTGACTGGGGATACCAGGTACGCTCTGCACGTTCGCCAGGCTGAGTGGACACAGCTCGTATTGTCTAAGCATCAGTTCGCGCTGCCCGTCCTTTGGCTCGCTCCATCCGTATTCGCCTACCGAGTCGCCGACGCGCAAAGCGACGCTGGGCGAAATATCCTTGATGGGCACGGTTTGGGGGAGGTACAGCTCGGTCATGAGCGCTCGAACAGCGCTCAGGAAGCCGCTGCCCCTGCGCCCTGGTGTCCACTGGGAGCGCCGTTTCGTAGAGAGGCCCTCGGTGACGATGTGTCGAAAGTCTGATTCCCCATCAAGATGGTTATTGAACAGTGTAACAGATAAGGTGCCGGATCGTGTGTGCTCCCAAACGACGTTGAGGATACGGAAGTCGGAGAGATGTGGTGTTTCTGCTAGTGCAGAACGCGCAATGGTCACTGTAGAAAGGACGTACATAGGCGACCAGGCATCCTCGTTCAGCGCTACTGCTCCGAGGCCAGAGAGCATGCCCGGGCACTCGCTCAACAAGCTCTGCTTCTTAGCGAGGCGGAAGGCGGGCGATGTAGAGCGTAGGTCCTCATGCGTCCACTCGGCGCAGTCTCGTCGGTGCGCCTCTTTGAGGAGTTGATCGACCTGATTTTGAAGGAAAGCTTGCAGCGCAAATGGGGTGTTCATCCACCCTAAGCTGACTGTGGGCTTCCACATCCAGCGCCAGAGCGTGTTGGGTACGACCGTCATGCGTAGAGGCAGAGTGGTAGCTGGAGCGACATGAGGCTCACTGCACGATATCGTTGGAGGGAAGGTGTGAAAGTTGCACATGGACAAGGAGGTTTGAGGAAGCCATGGTTCGTCATTTCTTAGCCGAACGGCTGCCAACGTTCCGGCTGCGTTCACTGCCAAATAAACTCGGTAGCTTCAAACGTGTCACATAGCCTATTCAAGCATCATGGAGGAATATTACAGACATCAAGTACACACCCGGCCGCCGACTAGTACTGGTCAAGGTGTAGGTAAGGCTCGAGGAGAAGTGGTTTCACAAGATGTTGCGGAGCTGCCAGATTTGATTGAGTGCGTGCTCGTATAGGTACTGCTGATGACCTGACGCATTATAATATCCACACTCATGGTGCATCTATCGCATTAATGGGGTAGTGGTAACCTGGGTCGTTGCCATCGACCCGCCGGGGGTTCGATTCCCCCTTAATGCAAGCAATGTTTTGCTGCACAGGACAACTTCAAACTTCCATCTCTCAAGTGTAAATTTTTAGTCCTATCCAGAAGCAGCGCAGATGAACAGGCCATGTACTCTAATAGCAATGGCATGCACTCAAATTTGCCTGTCACGGGTTTTCAACCTGTCCAGGAACAATTATTACAGCGTCGCGTACGAACTTACTTGCCGTTCGGAGGAGCTCGCGATCGGCATCGGAGGAGAGATCTGCGTGTTTCACGGAGCGCCCGGGGGACGCGTTTCGACGCGTTCGATACATACACGAGACGCGCTGGGACGCGTCGGGACAGCCGCATACGTCGCAAGTCGGCTCTTTCTGCTCTCTCTTCCTCTCTCTCATCATCTCCCTGCGGACCAGTCGAACACACATACAACTTGGACAGAAGCATGCCCAGCAACAAAGCAGACAAAGTACATCACTACCCCGTCAACGCATAACTAGTCTATGGTACTGATATCATGGTTACTTGGCCGCAGACTTCACCACAATCCATCGGTAGCGATGATGCAGGGTAATCGCGTCTCTACAGTTGATGCAGCGCGAGGAACTGACCTGAGAGACGCAGAATAATGGCAGCGGTGGCAGCCCAAATGCAAAGTGGGCGCATATATCCAGCCCCCAAGGGCTTGGTGGCTAATTGGGAAGTGTAGCGTCTTGGGAGAAGAAAAGGAAGGACAAGGAGTCCAAGTTCCTGCAAAGTGCGAGGGTAGACCTGGATAAATGCGTCAGTAGCCAAACTAATACATCAACCGCATATAGCCAGCTTACTTTGTGCAGATCACAGGAAGACTGGAGGAATATAACGCTGCCGTCGGAGATTTGTGGGTCAATGATACCAAACTCGAAGCCGTGGCTTACCTTCATTTAGGAACAACGCATATGAGAGATTCGTCCTCGAGTATGCTCAAATTGACGATCAGATACGCAAGCTGTGGCTGCAACTGCAGCAGGAGCAACATAAGCTCCTGGTAAGCCTGTTTATTCTAGTGGGGTGTGCGGATGGCCTGAATGGCATTGCGCAGTTGTTGTCGGAGCGGAAGCACAAATCTATGACCGACAATGACCGAGAGCGCGAGAAGGGCCAAGTGAAGGGCATGGCTATAACCAAGAAAGCGGTGGAAGGTCAGTATTAGTTGTCCTTTGATGAACCGACAGCTCACCGTTGAGCATCGCACCGTAGATTTCGGAAAGTTGATCACTTCTCTGGAGGACATGTGATGTATGTCACGATTTGGCCTTCCAAAGGTCAGCTCGAGCATCCGGCTGAATATCAAGATGGTTATGATATTACCGTTGCGTTGAGAGTATTCAAGCGTCGCTGATAAGTTTCAAGCGACCCACATTACCGTATGAGGCTGCGTTGGTCGCCCGGGGAATTTTACTCGAGTAAGTCTTCTGTTCGCATCCTTACCTGGCTCCAGCTGTTCGCCGGCGGCCTGTGTTCCCGGAGCCCGTGGTCGGGCCACACAGATCGCAGCGGCGTCACAGGAGCCACGGTGGGTTCCAAGTAAGTTCTGTTCAAAATTTATTTTAGCGTGGACGTTGGTAACTCACTGGAACATCCGATCCAGATTTTCTTCAGTGAGCGAAGTTGAGGTAGCTGCATCCGCTATCGAAGCTCGAAGCGTTGAAGCCATACTACCCGTCGCTGTTCATGCACATGAGCTAGTAGTCAGCTCCACCTAGCCTGCGATTATGTTGAGGCCGCGTCTCCTTCAAGGGGCGTCCTCAGCACTGCGGCAGATAGAACATCAATGACGATTGCAATGGGCGGCCACATGGTAAAATGCGATGGTGCGAATCGAATTCAGGTTCAGGGGTACCGGGGCGGCTCGGCACATTCCGGCGGTACGTAAGTCGATCTGGACGAGTAGCGAGCGCCTGACCTCCTTGTCCTCAGCCATTCCGCACGACCGTCCTCGCATGCTCCGCGACTCGCCATCCCGCGATCCTGCTCACAACACGCCGAAAGCTTCACGAACCATAGGAGACGCCGCCAAGTAGCTGTGAGGAACTACGAAATCTCAGTCGATTCGCCGTGAGTTTCTCTCGTTCGGTCCCTTCCGCCGCGGACTTTACGCGCCGTACTCACACACAACCGCTCGAAGTGCTGGATGCCTTCGCAGAATGACGACGCGCAGAGACCGACGCGACAGAGAGCGAACACAAGCGCTTTCCCGTTCGGCTGGCGACGCAAGGCAGAAACCACCTCCACTCCCGCCCCGCCTGCTATCTCTGCTCCTCTCCAATGGGAGGCTCTGATAGAGGCACTTACCCCGCCCGCAGTACCTTCCCTCAGCTACGCCAAGTCGTTGGCGACCGCTCTCGGGGCCCTCGACGCGCATTCTCCACCTCCACGTCTCGCCGCGCTCCAACCCATTCTCGCGTCCCTATGCTCTTGCGAGTCCCCGACGCCTCTTCAGGCCGCCGGATACGACATCCTCGCCGCCTACTTGGAGGGAAGTGGCTCTGCCATCATCACTACCGCGGATAGGCTCTCCTGTCTCTCGCTGTTCATCGATGTGCCGTGGTCGCAGGAGCTTTGGGAGTCGCGGACGAAGGCGCTCTCGGCTCTCATCGCCTCAGGGTCGCATGCCGTGGGCATGGAGGGCCCCATATTGCGTATGCTCGAGAGTTGGATCGAGCGCGCGTTTGAGGGGCTCACGCGGACGGATGCCATCTCGCACGAGGACAGACTGGAACGTCAGCGCAGCGTCCAGTCCCTCACTACCTTCCTCACAAACCTTGTGCGCAGGCCCGAATTCGTCTCGCGACTCACGGAGGACGATACGGCAGGTGTATTGGATCTCTGGGAGCGTCTGGTCGATAGGTCTCTGGCTGTCCCTGTGGAGTATCTCAACCTGGTCTCGCCTCCAAGTTCTCCGTTTCTCGAGCCCCAGTCCTCAAAAGCGGCCTCTCCGCCAAAGCTCTCCCTCTCCCATCGGCGTCACCATTCGTCTACATCACTTCCGAAGCTCTCCCTCCTCAAGCACCCAGCTGATATCATAGTCGACGCGTACTTGACATACCTGTCTGAACGGCTCGTCGCTCTTGCGCCCAGCTTCCTGACGTCTATCCTACCTCTCCTCTTCCGCTCACTCGCGTTCTACTCTACACCGCTTCCTCGTATCTCTCTTCAACCTAGCGTCCCACACCAAAATACTCTGGAGCAGAAGATATCAGACGTCCTTGCGAAGCTCGTCGGGGGTCCGTATGCGTCGTCTTGCAAAGTCCTCCTCAAGCGCCATTTCTTCCCATCTCGGCAAGTATCCTTGCAGAGCTCGATACAAGCGGCGGCTGGTGCCATTCGGACGCTACGGATCTCGCTCAGGCGCGTGCTGGAGAACCGCCTCGCGCGAGCGTACATCGAGCGTGCATCCATCAACGACTACTCACCCGCGGGCGTGCCTATGCACCTGTCCCTTGAAAAAGGACTTATGGAGCGTGCGTGGCCGGCGGACGAAGGCGCGTCATGGGACCTCATCCGCTTCGCTAGCGTGCTTGCGCGTGCGGCGAAGGCGTGGATAGCACAAGAGCAGGAGACGACGCCGAACGTGATCGCAGCGCCAAAGGAAGCCGTCCTTCACGAGATTGCAGCGATCATCAAGGACGCCATCCAGGCCATGGATGAACGCGGCGACAACGAGGATGTGGATGACGAAGAAATCAGCGCGATTGGCCGCATCCTGCGCGAATTAGTCGTCTATGTCCGCTCTGTGAAGTATGTACCCTTTGCCGTCGCCCTCCATAATACAGTCGTTAATCGGAGCTCGAAGGACGCCTGACGGAGGCCTCATTCCTATTTCGCTCCACCGTCCGGATGGCTCGTCTCCCTTTCTCGTGGCCATTGCCACTATTCTCGCGCAGGACCTCAAAACCTCGCCATTGTTCCTGGTCCTACCTTCCATCATTCTCTCCATTGCTGAGCATCTCCCTGACCGTGACCTGACGCAGTTGTTGATGACCATGGCGGAGCGCCAGAGTCTATCGCCTACATCACTGTCATGGCTGGACGAGTGGAACAACCTGCTCACAATGTCCAGCCTCTTCGCCCCCTCTCGAACGGCGACTCGACAGCACGTCATGGAGCAGCTGCACTCCGTTTGGGAGTTTGTGAAGGACATCCCTGCGTACAGGAAACCGCTCGCCACTCTTGTCTTCGACGTATGGAAGCGGCATCCTGCAGAGGAGCTAGAGGACAGCAGTACTCTGGTCGTTTGGAATCTGCTTGCGGATGAAGCGGTCATGCGACTTGTCGAGAAACATGCGGACAACCCGGATACCGCCGAGTGCGCGGAGCAGGAGGGGCTGTGTGAGGAGATCCTGGACTTCCTTCTGTCGATGGCGCTCGAGAGGCAGGACGAAGAGGATGACACCGCATCGATCCGCACGGTAGAATCCCAGGTCCCGTCCCCTCCGGGAGTTGTTCCGCCAGCGAACTCAGTGTCGACATCCCCCATCCTCTCGCGCATGACATCTGACTATCCCGGAACGAGGGACAAGGAGACGTCACTCCCTTCTGTTATGTCTATCTTGACGTCGCTCACGTCTGGGGCCCCTTCACGCTCGCAATCCAAACCCCGGCGAGCGACCAACGACATGCCCGTAGCCCCGGAAGCATCACCGGTAATCACAGCGGAACCTCCACCTTTCACTCCCAAAGCTGTCGGCGCGGTCATCGGCCTCGTCTCTGTCTTCAGCCAGCTCGTTTTCACGCCCCTCGCGATTTCGCAATGCAGCCTGTGGCACGCCAAGCGGATCTTCGGACATCTCGTCGAGCTCGTATCTTCTGCCGGCTGTGTACGCGCCCGACTCACAGTCCTGCAGTTTATGATGCGCCTCCGCGTCGACCGGGACCACAGGCTATACTACACCTCCGCAGAGTACGACAGGGACGGGAACATTGCCCACCTCGCTGCACTCATCAATAGGGCTGAGGTAGGGCCAAGCACTGTCGAGGATCTTCTGCGGGATGACGAAATCAGGAGAGCACGCGCACGCGCGCCGCCACAAGAAAGAGACGGACGGAGACCCTCGCGCGGACGTGGTGCCCCCCGGATGGACGCGAGCAGGAGCCGTTCGCGTGTCCCGGCGCGCGTCCTCCCCACTGCGATGCTCAGGCTGAAGCCCCGCGAACCGCTCTGGTCCATCCCGGAGGCCCTCTCGCTTTCTGTGATGGCGTCAGATGTGGCCAGCGAGGGTATGAATTCATTCGACCCGAGCAATCCTGGCCATAACGAGGCGGTGCTACAGCTCTCGGTGTATCTCTCCAAGCTGGTGGAGATCATCGAGACGGAGCGGGACTGGGAGATCCTCTCGTACGTGCTCTGCCATCTCCCGACACAGCTCGCGAACAAGCACCTCTTCTGCGGCCCGCGCTCCAAGATTGTCATTTCCAGACTCCTCGCCTCACTTTGCTCTGGCATCACCGACGGCACTCTCGCGACGAAGATCGAGCGGTGGCCAGACGGGATCATCTCGCGCGACGCGCAGGGCCTTGCCTTCCACACACTCAACGTGCTGATCAGCTACAAGCGCTGCTTCGACAACGCGCAACAGCTCCACCACCTCGTCGAGGTCTTCCTCATGGGCCTCAACGGCCAGCCGTCGACGCAGCGGTGCTGCCTGCACGCGCTCTCGCTCGCCGCGTTCGAGCTGAAGCCGTCGATGGCGAAGCACCTCTCACGCATCATGGAGAAGCTGTCGCAAATCATGTCGAACCCTGCAATGGCCGTGCACATCATCGACTTCCTCGCCATCGTCGGCTCCCAGCGCGCGCTCTATGTCAACTTCACCGAGGGCGACTACAAGATGGTCTTCGCGGTTGCGCTCAAGTACCTCGAGAACCACAACCGCGCGGACGGCTCGCTCTCGATCTCGTGGGCGCTCTCGCAGCACGTGCGTATCATGTCGTACTACATTGTCTACGTCTGGTTCCTCGCTGTCGACCTAGAGGACCGGCACAAGCACGTCAGCTACATCGTGCGGCAGCTGCTGCTTGCGAACAGCAACAAGACCAACGTTGATGCGCCAACCGAGGTTGCATTTGACTGGCTCGCACGCTACACCTATGCGAGCGCAGACCCGCGACCAGCGAAGTCGACGTTGGACGAGATCGTGATGAACCCCAACCTGCAGAGCAAGGGTTCCGAGCCTGCTATCAGCGAGAAGACGTGGATCCTGGGCAACTCAGTCGTTACTATCCGCGCGCTTGCGAGGCGCGGATGGATCGAGGTACTGTCGCGCCGCGCGTCCGGGATGACAAAGTTCCTCGTCCGAGCGGAGAACATCCCCATGGTTCCTTTGGGCGACGTCGACCCGGACCTCGTGTCCATCTCGGCCACACTCATGATGGATCGAGAGGATAATGGCGAGGACGGCACCTGCGAGGAAGATGCAACGAACCAGTTTGTAGGGAATCCAAGTCTGGTGCGTTGGTTTCTCCGTTCTATCTGGATGTCGTTTGATACTGTGGTTATTTTGTAGGACGAGGTCAAGGGCGCGCTCGGCGAAACTGCACAGGCTGTATTGAGCGCCTCTCGTCCAGATCCCATAACCGGCTATGTCTGGAGTGGCAGCGCGCCATCGCAACGGCGGAAAGAAGTTGCCATCGACCCCAGCTACTTCGCTCTGCAGTTGTCTGCGTATCCCGATAAGCGACCAACGGGACGCGGACGCCTTGTGAAGGACAAGTCCAAGCTCGCCAGTTTCTTCCGCATCTTCGACCGGATGCCCGTTATCGACACGCACAAGGTCGGTGTGATGTACGTCGCGCCTGGTCAACAGACCGAAGCGGAGATCTTGCGGAACACTCACGGCTCCCCCGCATACACGCGCTTCCTCGAAGGGCTCGGACGTCTGATCAACCTGCGTGGGCAGGTCGACGTCTACGACGGCGGGCTCGACCCAGACGTGGACGGCGAGTACGCGTACGCCTGGTGGGACGACATCGGCCAGATCCTCTTCCACACCGCGACGCTCATGCCCACCGGCGACGACCCGAACTGCATGGCCAAAAAGGCGCACATCGGGAACGACTACGTCCGGATCGTCTGGAACGACTCGGGGCGCCCGTACCGGTTCGACACGCTCGCGACGCAGTTCCAGTTCGTGAACATCGTCATCGAGCCGCACTCGCGCGGCGCGATCGCGGCCTTCTCGAACAACCTGCACGAGCACGAGTACTTCAAGGTTACCGTCCAGCGTGCAGAGGGCATGGTCGAGTTCACGCCCATCGGCGACTTCAAGCTCATCTCCGCCGCGAACCTCCCGCAGCTCGTCCGCCAGCTCAGCCTGCTCTCCGACTGGTTCATCGCCGTGTGGCAGAACACCGGCGGGGACAAGCGGCGCGACGAGGTCATCACGAACTGGCGCTCGCGCCTGGAGGCCATCCAGCGGTTCCGGGACCAGACCTTGGCTGCGGACAAGGAGCCCGAATCGGACACGGTCGATGGTCTCGCCGCACAGCAGCGCCTCTGCGACTTCTCGACGGCCTACTAGCCCTGTATCCTCTTGTATGACAATACGACGAAGCACGACGACGACGACAACGGCACGGACGCAGACGGACGTCCCCACTCTCCTTTCTCTGTTTCACCCCCTTTGCTTACGCTCACGTTCACGTTCCTCATATCACCTGTTTGTTTTTACTTTGGCTTTCTCGACGCATCTGTAGCATTCAGCGCATCATACCACCACGCCTCATCATCTCTCGCCACATCTACTCTGCACGCGACGTCCGTATTGGATAAGTAGTAACACAACACTGTATTCAAAATACACAAAACCCAAATAATTATGTGAGATCGATAATATCGCCCGGGTCGTAGATGCGTTGCGGGGGCTTCCGCGAGGCCTGTGTAGATGCTGAAGTCATAGTCGTAAATGATGTCGTGGTCCGCGAACTGGAGGCCGAAGCGGTCTTGCTCAGCCGTGCTCTAACTTGCTGCAGCGGCGCGACTTTCTTGCGTGGCGGTAATGGGGGTAGCTCGCCTTCAGAACCGTCACTCGAGATGGAGATGATGCTGAGATCTGCGGGCAACGGCGTGTGCTTGCGTGCACCGCCCAGAGAGATCAGCGGCTTGTTCAAAGGAGGCAGCACTCGTTTGCGTGCAGGTGATGGCGACGGGGCACGATCAGACTCCTCTTCCTCTTCTTCCCATCCGGTGGTAGCTCGTCCAGACAGCGCGGTCGGCAAACGCCCCTTCACAGGAGATGGCGAAGGCGGTCGGCTGCCATCGGACTCCTCTTCCTCCTCTCGCCTCACCGTAAGAACCTTCTGCTTGGCTGCAACTTTAGACGGCGACCCTCGCGGTGAAGCGTGCTTCTCCGATCTCCGTGGTGATTTCTGCAGCACATACTCGCGGGAGTCCGAGTCCGAGGAGACGGTAGAGCGCGAGCGCGTCCGTGCAGACGATGACCGCGACCCAGACCCGAACCCATACCCAGAGCCCGAGCCAGACGAGACGCGGTCTATGGTGAAGAGGTCTTCGTCGACGGGTGACGGCTGCGGAGAGTCTTCTTTGAAAAAGTCGAGCACCATCGGGAATGGGCGTATGGTACGCGGCTTAGATGGGGAGGAGGTAGTAGCCGATGTAGAAGCCGATGGGAGGGCGGCGGGGGCGGATGCTGCAGCCTTGGGCTTGGGCCTTGACGGGCCTGCTTGGGATGAAGGTTCCGATTTGCTGGGGTGCGAGGTAGTGTCGAGAAGGCTGAGGATGCGGCTGGGGGCCTTGCTTGGAGATGTAGACTTGGTTGAAGATGTGGTGGTAGGCTTCGTCGAGACGCGGGAGAGGATGGGAGGTCTGGGCACTTCATCGTCGTCTGTCGTGTCCACGAATGTGGGTATATGCGCCTTTCTCTTCGGGCTCGCAGGGATGTCCTTGAACAGATCGGCGACGCGCGCTGCGGTGCTGGTCGTGACCTTCGTAGCCTTGGCCGGTGCCGCTGCAGTGGGCTTCTTCGCCATGAAAAAGTCGTCCATCGCCTTGTCAGACGAACCAGAACCTTTTGCGGTAGGTTTACTAGTCTTCTTCGCCGGCTGCAGCGCCTTCGCCTTGGGAGGGGGCATGGGCTTACTACTCCCCGCCTCAGAAGACTCTCCGCTGCAATCTTCCTCCTCTTCTACTATGGCGACTGTCGCAGCCGCTTTCTTCCCCTTCTTCGCTGCCGTCGCACTGGGCGCTGCTGCTGCCTTGGACGCGGCGCCCTTCTTCCCCGTACCTTTCCCAGCCTTCTTATCCGCCTTCATCTTCTGCACGCCCTCGAACTCGTCCACCATCTCCGGCTCGACCATCTCGACCATGCACGCCGGCAGCCATATCCTGAGGTGACTGTCCGGATCAGGCGGGGGCTTCTTCGTCTTCTTCTTCCCCTTCTTCCCGCCTTCCTCATCGTCCTCATCCCCGTCTTCTTCGGAGTCAGTGAGGTCCGGGGGCACCGCAGTGCGCAGGCCCTTGAGCCCGGCCTTGCAGAGGCGCACGAGCTGCGCGGGGGCGACTTCAAGCCGGTACTCGAGGATCTTGTCCGTGGACGCGTGTTGCCGTGAGGAGTGAATCTTCACGATCAAAGGGCTCTCGTCTTCTTCGTCCTCGTCCTCTTCGTCCAAGGTCGCAACCCGAGATCCGTGCGGAGAATCTAGTCGCATCGTTGAGAAGTGCCGCGCGATCATGCTGGAGGGCGTTCCAGGCGGCGCGCGGCGCTCCTTCCCGTTCTTACGCGGGGTCACGGGCACGCCGCTCGTTCCAGCCAGCCGCGCCTCCCGCCTGTCCTTCAATATCGCCGCCCGCCGCAGAATACGCAACACGGCAGACGGCCACAGGACGTTCCTAAATCGCTTGATGATGATATCCTTCAGGCCCCACTCGAAGTACATCTCGCACAGCCCCGCGATCTTGCCCAGGTCGGGCTCCTTGTCCCAGTTCAGAACCGCGTTCTTATATGCGCGACCCTTCGCCTCGGACGTGACCGGGTTCGTGTACGCGAGCACGACGTCCACGTTCGGAAAGTCGTCCGGAATCGAGCGCGAGAGCTTCGGGCTCTTGCGCGGGAGGTGCCCGCGCGCGTTGGTACGAAGCTCTGCGCGGATCTCGTCGCGCCAGCCGTCCAAAAACTCTTCCAGCTCCTCGCGCGTCTTCGTGCGTGCTGTCGCGAGCAGTGTATCACCGAAGCCGCACTTCGCGAGCCCGTGTGCGAGAGCGGGGCCGCAGCCCTCGAGGCCCTCCTGGCAATAGTCGCCGCCGCGGAGAACGCCAATGAGGATGAGTCCGCCCTGGGTGAGCTGGATGTCCTCGCGGTTGAGGATGTCGGAGGAGCGGTAGACCATAGCGTGGTTTCCGTCGTCCTTGCCAGCGGAGTTCTTCATGTCTTGTCCCTTGTTTCCTGATAGTGTGGCATTTTTGCTGTGGAGGTGGAGGGGCTTAGAATCTGTTGGTCACGGAATGTATACCTAACGTACTTGCGAATGACCATCTTCGCGCCGAAGAGGAAAGTATCGACATCGTCCGAGAGGACCGCGTCTATCACGCCTATGCGGTTCAAGTATGCGAGTTCGGCCTCGGCTTCTCCGGGAGCCTGATCGAGTGCATACTGAGCGATGAACATGTCGACGAGCCTGAGCCACTCACCATCCTCCACTCAAAGCCGAACGCAGTGATGATTTCCTGCATGCCCTGCACTAACCAATGGTTCTTCCCTGTGATCCGCTTTCCCCGCTTCATGTCTGGACGTTTGGGGCCATCGAACACAAACACCGGGAGGAAAGGCATCTCCATGAGACGCGCGCAGCGAAAGAACAGCGTCCTCAGCTCCGGGTTCTCGCCCTCTTTCCCGTACGCCGCATGATAGAACCAGATGCTAGCATCGATCCCGACGCGAAACCCACGTTTTCCGTCCGGGTTTGCTTCAAAGCCGTCCGTGACGGATAGATGTGTGAGGGACCTTAATTGGCCTGCTGGCCGCAGGATCTGGCGCCCCCTGAGCCTCAGTACGAGCGAATGTTGGACAATAGGTTCGAGCACGTACGTCCCAGAGTCCCGCAACGCCCATTTCTCCTCAAAAAAATCACTCGGCTCGTCTAGGTGTCGCAGAGAGAAATAAACAAGAAATAGTATGAGGGGTGGAGGAGAGGGGTGCGCGATCCGAGTGGCTTGGAGGTTGGTTTGGGGCCTGGGCGCTAAGTGACAGGAGCGTGACAGTTGGCGACTCATTAGCGCGACGCGACGCGTTGCGTCGCATCATGTGCGCGCGTTCGATTCCCCACGCGGCACTTACGGCCGCAATATCCGTACATTTCTCACCGGCCTTTCATTTCGCCACCACTTAAACACACGATGGGAAAGCATGTCTGCAGGCATATCACCAGATGATGCATACACGATAAGTATACTACACGCGTACATGGTATGCAAAACTCGTTCGAGCACGGGCGGAGCGGGCGCGCAACCGGCTGCGGGCGCACTGCGCGCGACGGGAGGGAGGCGAAAGCGAAGACGGGAGAGCGAGGACGGAGGGGAAGAGCGAAGAACGTGCGCAGTTGCTGCAGTCCAATTCCGAACATGCGCGCCGGGCTGGGGACGAGGGTGGTACAAGCATACGGGTCCGAGGAGGGGGCATCCGCCCGTTGAGGCGCCTTCGTGCGTACGCCGGCAAGGAGCAAGTGAGGCGTTGCAGGAGATGGCGGGGAGGATGAGGTGGTGCGAGGAGATTAGAGAACAGTAGGTTAATGCGCGGAGGTGATGGTGGTATGCACATTGCGTGCGCGCCGCGCCGGGAAGCAATTTCGACGTGGGCGCGCAGGAATACGAGGGTGGTCCTTGGTGATGCGATGTTGACTGGGTTGATTTCTTGATTGCATTGCGAAGATTATGCGGGGTGATATGGAGGATGCGATTCAGATGATGCTGAGCGAATTTACCAAGGCGAAATGTGGGCCTTATTTCTGGAGTTTGAGCGAGAGAGGAAGAGAGATGAAGAGCGAGGGAAAAGACAAGACAAGATGGGATCACAAAGCCTGTGGCGCATTCGAGTCGATGAGTATCTGACTCGTATCGGCAGCCTTGGCGTAAACCATTACACAGCAGGCGCAGGCAGCAGTGCCCACGCATTCGGCCGCCAGGAGATTGTACATCGCGTACGAACCGCTCGATCCATGGCAGAGTTTGGGGTGGAAGTGAAAGTGAAAGGGAAGGGTATACTACCGCTCGGCGACGACGGCAGCATCTTGTTGAATGGCGGCAGGTTCAGGAGTAGCCTCCTCCGACGCGGGGGTCTTCTCTGTCTCCTCCGAAGCCATCGAGACAACCGGAGGGGCGTCCTTGACGGCGCCCGACACTTCCACCGACCGTTCCTGGGGCTCCGTCTCAGCCACAGCCTCCACCGGTGTATCATCCAGCGCCCCTTCCGGCGATGCCCCCTGCCCGTGCACCGAAACAGGCACAGGCATCGACGCCTCCTTGTTCGGTGCATCCAGCAAAGGCGCCACGGGCACGGGCACCTCCGCCTCCACCAGCGGCCCGAGCGCCCGCAACGGACTCACCGCCGCGCTGCTCTTCGCCTCGCTCTGTGCCGGACTCGGCGGCGACGTCGACAGCGGAGACGACGACGGTGCATACTGCGAGCTCGCGCACGACATCGGCGGGGACGCACTCCCCGACCCGGACGAGTGTGACGCAAACGGCGAAGGGGCACGCCCACCGCCGCTGTCCATCTGCGCGTGCAGCAGCGTCCCCGCCGCGAGCACGCGCGGGTCGGCCCCAAGGCGATCTGCGCGCAGGCGTGGGGGCAGGTTCACGGGGCTCGGCCGCGGGCTCGGGTACTGCTGCTGCGCGTACGCGTACGAGTGCGGCGTGGTCCGCGGCGAAGGGGGGAAGGGCGGCGACCGGGAGCGCGAATGTGACTGAGACTGGGAATGTCGCGGACCGAGCGTCGTGCCGGATATGGGCGCGGGGAAGTGGTGCACGTTCGCTGGTGGTGTGGGCGCGGTGACTGTCGCGTTCGAGAGCGAGTGATGATGCGAGTATATGCGTTCTCCCCGCTGCAAGGGTGATGATGGCGTCGGCGGTGAGATAGGGAACCGCGAGGGTCCGGCGACAGGCTGGTCCTTCGTGGCCTCGGTCACGGAGGCACGGCGTATGGTAATCGGAATGTCGTTGGGCAGCGCTGAGGGTGAGCGACTCCTGCTTCTGCTTCGACTTCTACTCCTACTGGCACGGGAGCTGCGACCGCCGTACGACTTCACGCGATCGTACAACGGTTGAGGCGACACATATGGCAACTGCGGACTTGCACAAGACGTCATGGCGCGGTAAATCCCTCGCGCAGGGATGGCCTCATAGTAGACGTTGGCGTTCGCCTGGTGTTCTGCGGCCTGCAGGACGTACCGCGGCGGCGTATATTGCACCGGGGGCGATATGTGTGTCTGGTAAGCAGCCGCCGCCAAATGGTTCGGGACGACCACGGGCATGGCAGGAAGGGAGAATCGGTTGACGTTCCGCACCGGGAAGGACATTGAGCGCCGCGGAGTATGCGTATCCATTCTTGGTGGGGGCATGAACCCTTCATTCCGGTCTCCAGGTGTCGTACGACCTCCTGCACTTGCCTGGCTCGTGCTTGCCTGCGATGCAATCCGTGACGCTGGTCGCCCCCGCAGTCTGGAGATCATCTTCACGTCGATGCCACCCTCCATGCGGGAGTTGACCGGCATAGCAGAATGTGTGCTTGATGCTGAAGGGTCGCTCCCGTACTGCTGCTGGATCGCACGCTGCTGCTGCTGCAATGCCGCCAGCTGTCGTTCACGCAGCTCCCGATTGCGGTAGACAGCACCTTCTTCGACGTACGACTGGACAGAACGCACATCATCCGACTCCGCGATGGACTGGCGCTCGTCGTCTGTATGTGTCTCGCTGTTGTTCGACGACGCATAGGCATGCTCGTGGAGCCGGCTGGCATTGGATGCTGTCGCAAGTGCCAGGCTTTGACCGAGGCGGTCCTCGAAGGCCGAACGGTCCTCATCAGTGGCCTCAGCCGGTGGCGGGCTGGTCCACTTCCCACGAATGGGCGCCATGTGGTCAAGCTTATCGACAGGCAAGCGCAGGGGCAGACTCGCCCCGATGGAGCGGTCGGGAGAGTCGCGCGGAGACAATGGTGAGGGTGAAGCGGGGGAAGACGGGCTGTGAGAGAGCGTCTTCGGAGATGCAAGCTCTTCAGGAGCAGGGACCGCGAGAGCAGCCGGGCGCATAGGGCTGCTGCCGACAGTATAGGGCGTCTGCGGGGGTATTGAGGTGAGACGTGGTGGACCATTAGAGGAACGTTGTCTTGTGGGCGGGGGCCCAAGGGTCTCGTCTTTGCGTTCCTCACAGAGCTGTGCGAGGGCGAGGATCGCGCGGTCAGGTCGGGCTTGCAGGATCCGCGACGCTCGCATGAACTCTCCTCGGATCTGTGCGAAGATGTTGGCGGGTGTGCGAGGAGTGCAGCCTAGTCACTTACGGTGTAGAGCCCGTCCTTGGTGACGCATCGTGCGACATTGAAGTCCGTCTCAAATGGATCCTGATAGACGTCAGTTTGGTGGATACGATCGATGACAGGCGTTGGCATACCTCTATGCATAGACGGTTTCGTTCTCGTCCGGTTCCATAGTCCTTGAGGAGCATCTTGGATGAGCCATTGCCTGAGATGATCATCGGCTCAACAACTCACCTCGCTCAACCAGCCCTTCGTGTCTTTCTTGAGGAGTCCGGCTCTAATTGAGGCCACTCCAGTGTTGTAGGCAAAGTCGCGGGAGTAGAACTTGAAGAATTCGATCAACCTGACGAGTGTTCATCAGCACAGGTATAGATGGAAATATGCGTATATGCTTACAGTTCGGCGACTGTATCAGTATTCGATGACTTCCACCGCTGACGCAGTAGCTCTATGTCATCGAAGAACCTGCATATAGTCAGCACCATATGATGGCATGTCAGAGTGGGGCGTCATTACCATATGTTAAATCCATTTAGATGAGACTCTTCCTATGGCAAGGGTTGAGTAAGGCGATTTGAATGCGCAGGAATGCGGACGTACCTCGGAGATAGGCCGCAGAGGCGGCATTTGCTGTAAGTTAGGGAGTACTGGCGGGTTCTTGACATGTACAAGGAAGTAGATTACAAGGAGGACATAGCCATACGATGATAGGGTGCCCTTGTACGGCGAATTGATTTTGCTAGAAAGTGTAAGCTACATTGCTTTCAGCTTGGAGGTGCATTTAGACATACCGCCGTTTGCTCCAGACTTTGACTGTTATGCCGTAATTCAGTAAGGTCGTGTAAATGATTAAATCTTGAGGACGTACGGAATAGGACCATAGTGCGGACTCGAGCGGGATCAATAGACGCATAACACATCAATAAACGTGTGTTCTCCAGCGCAAGTCTATTCTCGAACCCAATATCACAAGCAATGCCGAAAGGCAGCGCAGGGGATGGGTCGAGAGTGAGCTTCACAATCGGTATTCGAGCGTGGGGGAGCGGCTTGACATGGAACTTCGTTTCTGTAATGCAACCGATGGGCATATTGATCCCGCACTGCAGGGCGCGCTGCGTACCTCGTTCCAAGAGATCCCCGACCATGGTGACAAGATCGGCCGCGTTGAGACGCTCCCCGGAGTCAATGAGACAACACAAGTCCATGTCTGGGCGGCGTAAGTCGATCAGCAGCCCGTCGGGCATCGCACCGTGAAGACCGACGCACCGGAGTTCTTGAGGCTAAACCCATTGGCGGAGCTGCCGAAGGAGAGCAGTCTACTATCGGGTTCGATGGTGCGGATGAGGCGTTCTAGGAGCTTGCGGACGTCCTCCTTAACAGCCATCTCCTCCGTAGTGGGGAGGAGCTGCACGACGAACTCGAAGAGGCATTGGGAGAAGTCGGTAATGAACCGCTGCCGCGAGATAAGCCTCCGATGTTGCTGGGGTGGAGAGTTCGGGTCGAGGAATTGCTGACGCGGGGATTGGTGGACGGAGCTGGACGGGGAGGAGGCAAAGGTAGTTGCCATAGGTGTGTGGGGGCACTGCGAGCACGCAGCAGGCGATCCGACCAGCAGACTGTACGAAAGCGATACGTCGAGGTCGACAGCAGGCAGGAGGTGCGTATGATGGAGACGTCGAGGATACTCTGGGCAGGTGGGGGTACGGAGGGGAGAGCGGCAGAGGTGCGCCTTGTCTATGGTTTGGTGTAACGAACGCCGGCGGTCACTCTGAACTGTAACAATCCGGCTAACCTCTTTATCCCCTTTACCGGCCACCACCACCTTTCGTCCTTCTCAAGTCCTTCTTTATAATCAAATCGCTCACACCGCCTACAATAGACTACAATAGGTTGATAATGGCCTAACGGAAGATATCAACACCACACACATAACGCCTCAACAGCTCAATAATCGCAGCTTGCCGCCGGGCTACCGCAGCGCACCCATGGCCAGTGAACATGCCCCTGCCGCTAAAGATACCCTTGAAATAGACTCGGAGAGTTCCTCAGCCCACTCCCCCCTAAATACCTCCAGGTCCCGCTCACGGCAGCTCACGGCCCAGCCCGAGTCACCGGGCGTACCTCCACGGTCCACCACGGCGCTGCGAGCCTGCGAGCGCGGTAACATGATCCGGCCTTGATCTTCGCCCCGCATCATGCACAGACTCGGACGCGCGCCATGCTGCCCACGGATGCCATCCATGCTCTTCCGACGCACTCGAGCCCAGGGCGCATGATGCCTCGTTGATTGGAAGCCCGCGAAGGGCCTCACGCAGGTGCGTCCTCTCCGTCCTGCGCCCCGTGCTTCACTCATCGCTCGCTTCGCCCCCCTTGTTCCCCGCAGACACCCCAACACAGATACGTCATGGGAATGTGTGTCCGGGGCGAGACAAGCCCTGGGGCCTGTGAGAAGCTGCGTCTAACGTGGGTTCGCGTTCTCAAGATCGCCGGTCAATGTCATAAAACGCGGGCTCTCACGCACACGGCCCATCCAATTACGGCCCCGTCGACTCGGGTGCCTCTCAAGAAGCCACGCCGATGGGCATGGCTTGCTCATGCCAGTCATATGATTGGCAGAAAGAACTGCACTCTGTTCACGGGGTTATCTGCTAATAGCTATGTATCACTCATAGCTCTCTTTTTTGACTAATAGTTCAATAACGGTCACGTTTGGAATCCTCGCAAATGGCTATCACTTGGAGGCTGCCTGGTTTGGTGTACGCTATGACCCTCAAACTTCCAGAACGCACATACAGAACTCGTGCCAATCAATACCCACCGTGCTGTGTGCGATGGCCACATCCTTTCGAATTCGTACTTTACATATTTACCATGGCTATCTTACTTCCATAATATGCGCATTTAGGTAACATGAAAGGGAGCCATAAAGGAGTCGACTCGAGACCTCAAGCCGTGATCAAGCCACTTCTAGGCAGCAAATGAGCCTACGAAGGTCGATAACGCTCGTGCAAGAGCCACAACGTTCAAGCTAGAAGCACAGCGGCTGACTGTCTGACTCCATGGGCTCGTGCTCGCGGACCCATAATTCCGAGCGTTGGAGAGCACCCTCCCAGATTGGACTGTGATGTATTCTGGGAGGGTTTAACACATCGCCGTATGACATGTGAAAGGGCGTAGACCCACCATCGACTCGGGCATGTCTCCGGGCAGCGGCGTGCGACCAGAGCGTTCAAATAAGCCGGCTACAAGCTTAACGCGTGAGCAGTATACATACCTTGACTGGCACGTTGGTTCCGAATTCGTGCAGCTAGAATACCGCCTTCAATCAATTTCTACGATCGATGGATAAATCAGAACGGCGTACCGCAATACTTGATATAATAGCGTAAGATCTTAACTAACGATGCGAAAGCGGGTGCAGAACAATATGCTACAGTGTGCCGGAAGACGGAAGAGCGATGTGTCGATATCATTTGGTGAGTCCTGAACCTTCGCCGTGTTCCAGGGGCGCCATATATGCAGTGTCCTGTCCATCTTAACATCGTCCAGCGTGTGCGCCCGCGCCGCCGCCGAGCCCGGGTTCCCAAAGTCCAGCACCGCCGCGACCTCCTCGGGTTCCCCGAGACCGCCGGGAGATATCTTGAGACACCGCGCCACACAGAGGCGCGGTACGCTCTGCGAGCACTGCAGGCTTGCGACGGAAGATACATGGAGGACCTCAATGATCCGCAGACAGAGGTCTGGAGCGATCCGCGGGTGCGCCTGCGGGCGTTGCGTCTGGAGCTCCATGTCCTTGTACCATAGCCCGAGAGTCGTGTTGTGCTTCGCGAAGATGCGTTGCGCGCGCTCTGCCAGTCCACCCCTGCATCACGCGTATCAGCCGCAAGTATGGGAGTCGCCGCAGGTCAGCGGTTCATGCTCACCTGGTGAACTTTGCGCTCTTCGACTTCGATGCCTTCTCGGGGCTTTGCTTGAGGCCGCGCTGCAGCTCGCGCTCCGCCGGAGGGACGTGGGTGCCCGTGTTCTGCTCCAGATATATGCCGAGCAGTTCGTCCGTGCCGCTCTCCGTCCGCGGGTCCATGGCTACGGCAACCCTCGTGGTCAGGATGGTCTTCATCTTGGTCGGATCCAATTTAGGGCGCCCTCCGGTGGGCTGCGGAGGTGGCTGCATGGGGCGGAGATTTCGAGGGGGATCCTTGGGTGGCGCAGGAGGCGGGAGGACTGGTTGAAACTGCTGTATGCTGCCCTTCGAGATTGGCTTAGGTGGGGGTTTGGGCGGGGCGGGAGAAGAATTTCTGTGGGCTGCGAGGATGGACGCATGTCGGCTCTGCACTATCGCGGGTCGCGAGCTTGATTCTGCAACAGGCTTTGGGGCAGCCGGTATCCTTGAAGCGCGGGCACCGGACGAGGCTGACGCCTCTTTGGAGGGCCCGGCGACTGGTGGTGGTCGCACAGGACGCACAAGAACCTTCGTAGTGCTTGCTTTGGAGCGCTTAGGGTCGTCAAACGCGGACGCGAACTTGCGTGCAGGGGCCTTCCCGGCAGCACACTTGGAGTTCTCAAATCCATCTGGGGTGTGCATTAGCTTGCGCTTCTTCGGCGAAGGTCGGTCCTTTGAGAATTCCGGGACATGTTAGTGCATACACCCACCAAAAAAGTGATTCTTTTGCCAACCATAAAGTCTCGGGGTATTGACATGATGGTACCGGCGGCCCCGTGTTGTAACTTGTGGCTGAGGGTTGATTTATGCGGAGTTTGTGTCCTACGCGTCTCACATGAAGGGTATGGGCAGAGTATAGAGCATATGTGATCGTTGTATGCCTAGAAGTACGAGGTCGTCGTCAACACGTCCAGAGGGTGGTGGCCATGATGGTCGTGAATGAGTAGTCTCGCGGACGTCATTCTCTGCGTGAAGTCTATCGGCGCCTATTCCACGTGGCCACGGTATAGCTCGTCGCGCCAATTACGGTGCGGATGCGCATTACTTACGCACAGAACTCACTCTCGCACCAATCTTTCCCATTCGCTGATAGAGCGTGCTCGCCTTAGCGGTAATTGGGCGCGTCACGGCTGCGTTTGTTGGGTAACATGTCGGCAGGAGACACCGCCATAGAGTTACTGGACGAGGTGAGTCCATTCGGCAAGACCCATTCGAGTTCGCTCAACTTATTGTATGCTCAGGCCAACCTCTCTGGAGAGAATGGGGAGATCTATCTGTTTCAATGGCTGTCATCGACGGAGAGATTGGCTAAACGGGCAAGCCCGGTGCGCAATTTAGCCTCCTGCACTCTGGGCAGTTCTGACATATGCACCCATACTAGGAGCAACTCAAAGCGTGCCAGACAGACTTGGAAGCGTCCATGGTGAAGATCATCTCCGCCCCCGAACCATTCCCACTGCCAGGCCGCCCCATCAGGAGGCTAGTCGCAAGCTGTCTGCATGCGCTATACCTCCGAGGAGAGACCAAATCCCTCTTCGATACTATCCAAGCCTTCTTGAAGATCCTCGCGGAGACTAAACCGCCGGCGAAGGAGGCTAGCCGCATGTGAGTCGACAGACGTCCCGTCCAGTAAATCACACTCTGAACTCCAGGCAGCGCCGCGATCTACTGTATTGGAGAGCTTATGGGTACCTACGGATCCCAGGTATAATCATCAGTCACCAACAACCCCAGCCTGATACTAAATCTGCCACAGGTTATGTCCCAAATGGCTGAAGTCGCCACCGTGACCATCAAGCTTTACCGCTCTTCCAGCGTGCGTGAACTCGTTCACCCCTGGATGACCCGGGAACTCACAGCAGTGTGCAGCCTATCATACTCAGAACCTACGCGCTATATGCTCTCTCGAAGGCACTTGGTACGGCAAAGCGGGCCGTCACCGATTCTGTCGCCAGAGACATCATCAAACACTGCAGGAATGCGCTCGGAGACAAGGCGTTTCCTGTCCAGCGAGCTGCCTGCGAGGTATGTCGGTCGCTAGTTCTTCCGGTGACAACCTCTTATAGCGATGAAGGTTCTGATACTCATGTACCCCACTGGTGACGGCACTCGATCCGTGGCAGACGTTGAGAACATCCTGAACCTCTGCATCAGGAGCCTTGACGGTGCAGACCAGCTCACGCGGAAGTCCCTGGCCAAACTTGCGGCCCATATGCTCGCGTCGACGCAGATTGAACGTGTCGTCCCCGTGCCGGACGCAGCCAAGAAGGGCAAGAAGCCACAGAACCAGGACGAGGATGAGGACGCCACGGTAGCTGCCCACGTAACGACGGAGGAGCCCAAGCCCATCATGACCCCCGCAGAGATGCTTCTGCAGTTGTCTGCTCACTTCAACAAGCTCCAGGCGTCACGACGGACGCGAGTGGGTATCTTCGACATCTACTCCGCACTCTTGTGGCAGCTGGGATCGAGCTTTGTGGAGAGCAATTACGCCCTCGTTGTCAACCACCTCATGACCGAGATCGTTGCAAACCCCCGTAACTCGGGCAGCCGCTACGAGGTACTGTTCGCGCGCTCGCTGATCGAGCTTATCCTTCGTGACCTCGTCGGCGTGCGCATGCTCGGCGAACAGGCGCAGATCACTGCTATTCAGGAGCTGTCTAGTACGTATCTAAAGCGCTGGCCCGCGTTGATGCCCGGTCAGTCTGCACCGAGCCCCTTGTGTCTGGTCATTGCTCTCCGAGAAGTTAGCGGACTCCTGCAACAGCTCGGCAATGCTCCCGGGCCCGTCCAGGTATACGCATCCTCATCCACGTTCTATCCAAGCTTATACTAATGCAATGTAGGATGCACTTTCTGATCCTTTGCTCAACCTGCTTTCGCACCCCAATCATAGCGTTCGTATCAATGCTGCATGGACGCTGCGCAGTTTTTGCTACTCTACCCCTCTTCGCTTGCCCAAAGTACTGCTAAGTGTCGTCGAGAAGCTACAACGCGATGTTTCTTCCCTCACCACCCCCGCCGCGCCATCCGACATCCATCTCCGCGCCCTAGGGCACGCATACGGTCTCGCAGCTCTACTTGCAGTCATCCCTGATCGTCCACTATATGTCTCGTACGACATCAGCGCGAAGGTGTTCGACATGGCCGTGCAGATCCTCAAGCGTGCGGGCGAACACGACGTCAAGGTCGCGCGCGTCGAGATCGAGATAGCGTGGACGTGCATCGCGTCGCTCATGACGCTGGGGCCCAACTTCGTCCGTCCGCATCTCCCGCAGCTTCTCGTCCTCTGGCGCAATGCCCTTCCGAAGCCCACTACCAAGGACGGCGCGGCCGGACGGAGCGTCGCGGAGTGGGAGTTCCTCCTACACGTACGCGAGAGCACCGTCGGGGCTATCCACTGCTTCCTCAAGCACAACTCCTCGTCGCTGGTCACTGCCGATGTGACCAGACGCATTTCCTCCATGCTGAGCAACGGCCTTGCGTTCGCGAACACCTACATCACAAACCGCCCGACGCTCAACCAGGAGGAGCTCCAAGTGGAGTCCAAGAGCCTCGGTATCGACGGCCGCGAGGCTCTCCTGCGATCCCGCATCTTCCAATGTTTCTCTCTAGTTGGCTTTTCTGGCGTCACCGAGTCCGTGCAGAGCTCTCTATTGCAGTCTGTGATCACCCTCTTTGCCAGCCCTGACGGGTACACTGGATCCTCCATGCAGGCAGCGATCGCTACGTCTTCCGGGACGTTCACGTCTATCTGGCAAAGCATCGACGGCTACGCGTACGGCCTGACGAACCTTGAGGTCGACGACAACCCGGACTGGATGAACAGGGACAGTATTGAGAGCTCCATCGACCAGCTGGTAAACTAGCTTGCTATATGCTACGTAATCCCCCGCTCACATGATCTACAGTGCCAGAAGCCCATCATCACCGCCCTTGAGCACGATACGCTCTACTTGTGCCAAAAGATCGTCTCCGACGCTCGTGGCAGGGCTCCGGAGCCTCCCCCGGCGGCCACAGCAGCCGTCGATGCATCCATCCAACTTTTTGCACAGTTGCTACCCCTGCAAGACGTCGCGCAGACCACTCGCATTGTCACGCAGCTCTTGAACTCAGTGGGATCGGCCAAGCTCGACAAGAACACAGGCCGTAAGGCTGCGGCGCTGGTGAACACGACGTTCGCTGTGGTCTTTGCTCTTCGGCAAGGAACGTCGGCGAGTGCGCGTCAGGTCTTAGGCAATTCCCAGGTTGCTACGCCGCTTGCGACCTTCTTGAAGGTATAACAGGTCATTTATGAATCAAATATTCCCTTACTCAGTCCCAACTTCAGGACGTCGTGGTGGATGGAGACCCTACCCTACGGAAAGCGAGTAGCGAAGCCATTGGTCGATTGGCAAGTGTCGCCGGGACCAACTTCCTCACCAGCCAGGTGAAGACGCTTGTCGATCAAGTAGTCAACAACCGTGACCCACACGGACGGGCTGGTTGCGCACTGGCGTTTGGTGCGATCCACGCTCACGTTGGCGGGCTTGCCGCTGGTCCCCTGTTGAAGACTACGGTGCACGTCCTCATGTCTCTCGTCAACGACCCTCATCCTGTCGTTCATTTCTGGGCGCTCAGCGCTCTCGCTCGGGTCATCGACGCTGCTAGTCTTGCGTATGCTCCGTTCGTATCGAGCACCCTCGGCCTGTTGTTCAAGGTCTACATGATGGAATCACACGAGCCGGACGGCGGTTCGCTGAACCATGTCAACATCAGCGGAGACTTACCAGCATATCAGGTCGTCTGCCAGAACATTGACGCCGTCATCACCGTCCTTGGCCCCGATATACAGGAGTCGACGCGCACTCGGACACTAGTACTCGACCTTGTTCACCAGTTCATCGATGAAGAGGACGACGGTATCTGCGTCGAGGCGATCAAGTGCATCCAGCACTTCCTCATGTTTGCCCCCGACCATGTCAACATCCCCGAGCTTGTCACCCGCTTCAGAGGTTACCTCGCGTCACCCCGCAGGCCCCTCAAGCTTGCGTCTATCAACGCGCTCTACCAGCTTGTTCAACGAGACGCGCTCAGTATGTCCAAGCTTGGTGGGGACCGGCTCGTAGAGGAACTCTTTGCCATGTTGGATGATGACTCGTCTGTCGACGGGGTGCGGAACGTCATCGCAAGCTGGCTGCAGCAGACAGTCATATACAACCCTTCCGCCTGGATCGACCTCTGCCAACGCATCATGTCGCGGACGACCGCCTCTCAGCAGGCAGCAGATGCAGCGACCAAACGTGGAGATGTTGACGATGAGGGGCAGTCGCTCAGCGTTGGGACCAACACCGCATCGTCTCGACAGACATCCCGCTGGCGGACACAGCTCTTCGCGCTGCAATGTCTACACAACATCTGTACTGTCGTCGGACGCTCTGGGCGGAGGGAACATCTCGACATCGCTTTTGCACGCAGCCAGGGTATCCCGGTGTCCGGTTTGCTCGTCTCTCGCGTGCCGGACCTGATCAAGATTGCGTTTACGGCCTCCGCGGCGCATGTCACGGAAATTCGTCTCGAGGGGTTGACCGTGCTGACAGATGTCATCGAGGTATGTCGGCCTTTTTCTCCGCTGGGGTGCGTTCTCAGTCTTGCCAGATATTCGCCAAAGTGCCCGATCCCGACTATGAAGAGAACTTGCTCCTAGAGCAGCACCAAGCACCCATCACTGCAGCCCTAACACCCGCGTTCTCATCGGATTCCTCCGCAGAAATTCTGGCCTCCGCCATCGGTACATGTGCTATTTTCGTTGGATGCGGCGTGGTGAAAGACGTTGGTCGCATGGGTCGAATCCTGAAGCTTCTCACGTCCGCTTTGGAGCAGTCAAAGGGTGAGACATCAGCTCTAATTTTGCTTTTCACATTCTTGACACGGACATGCAGGGTCCGGGATGCTTGCCCTCGGAGACGCTGCCGAGCTGAGTCCGAATGCGTCCGTCATGTTGCGTATCGCGACGCTTTCCGCATGGGCCGAGCTAGAAGTAGCCAGCGCTCAGCAAACGTACCTGGTTGAGGTGGTGAAGCCCTATCGCGCGACGCTCACCCCGCTCTGGGTGTCCTGTCTGCGCGACTACGCCAGTATCAGGGTCGATGCGGAGTCACTGGATGAGACCGCTGCGGGCGCTCTGGATTCCTCATACTCGAGTCTCGGGCGCGAGGTGCTACTACCTGTGAGTTGGGGTTTCTAACCCAGATGAAAGCTATGCTGAACATATTTTAGTATTATGCGAAAGCCTGGTCTATCATCTTACACGCCGTGGCGATCGCTATGCAAAAGGACGACCCCAGTGTCCTCGCCGCTATGGACGGACAGGAACTAGTTTCGGACCAGCCAGCGGCGAAGAGCGCATCGAATAAGCGTGATGAGCCTACCGTGTTCTTCTTCGTCATCTTTGGTCTGGTATATGAGGCATTGGCGAGCTCAACCCCGGACGCCGACGCCGACGCGCAACGTACCTCTATCGTCTCCCTGCAAGCGCTTAAGTGCCTGATGCGACGGAAGTACTGCGGCAAGGTCTTCAGCGACCCACCACTCTTCGAAGAGCTGCTGAACTTGTTCTATCGGATGGCACTGACGGAACCTTCCGGAGTCCAAATCCATCTCGTTGAGGCCATCGCAAGTTTGGCGGAAAGCATCAAAGCAGACAACCTCACGTTGGTGACACGCTCTTCATCTTCAATTACATGCTCATGTATGCGACCGGACAGTAACGGGCACTCGCCAGGAACGGCGGATGTGCTGTCTTCACCGTTAGCCCACTGCTTACGTATATGCGCATATATCCTGCGCAGGGTGATTTCTGGACCCCAGAACGGCGCCATCCGTGAGTATTCCGAGCTGTCGTTCATATCTTAACGGTCTAACAGCTTGTAGACGATGGGGCAAGCCCTGCAGAGAAGGTCAGGCTTATCATTGCCGCATTCGAATCCTTCTCTGCCGTAGCTGCATCCTTTGGTGCTACGCAGAGAGAGGACTTCAGGGCGATCGCCATTACTCTATACTGTGGTGGGACAGTTCTCGTTTTTATTGCGGTATGCGGTTACTGAAATATATCCAGAAATGTTGCGGGACGAGGTGTCAGAACTCGACCTTGTTGGACCTACCCTGCAAGCGCTGAAAGGGCTCCTCGACCGACCAGCGAATTTGCCAGACCCAGACAACAAGTTTGGTCGCATAGTACATGGTTTACTCTCGGCATGTCTACTCAACGTGGACGCCATGAGGTGAACGCGCTCGTATTTTCAACACAGGTCTTTTGCTGAACATTTCACAGCGGCAGAGAGGGTCCGATGTGCAACAAGAAAATCAAGAACAACCTCCTTGCTGCAGTCCTCATTCTGACAGTCCTACCCGGGACAGTCCACGTTGGACAGCCAATCATCGAGCATTGCTGTTTCATCATATCTCAAAAGCTTGTGGAAGGTAGCGAGGTGAGTTAATTCTGTGATGTAGAGATGGAAGTCTTTTAACATGCTACCATAGCTGTCCTTGACGGCCGCGCATTGCGCAAAGACCCTTATCACGGCATCTGCATCCGGCAATCCTGTGTTGAAGCAATGCACCAGGCTACTCCTTCCCGGCCTGGTCGAGTGCCTCGCGAAGGGCGCTGCCTCCAGCGATGACGCCTCTCCGTCCGAACAGGTACTGGCGACTGTGAGCGAGATACACAAAGCGCTTTCTGCTCTATTCCAGTCTCTCCCCGAAGACATCCGTGAGTTCATCAGGTTAATGAATGCAGCGGATTTTTCTGACTGCAACTGTAACTTGCAGGTCCGCGAGCTCTGGGCGTCATTATGCCCGTTCTCATATTGTTCTTGAACCCCACACGACAACCGCCGACTGCTCTGCACACACAAAGCGTCACTCAGCTACTTTCTCTCGCTGCTGCCTCTCCCACTGCTTTTAAGGACGCCACCGCTCGGCTCGAACCTCCAGTGAGGGAGACTCTGGAGACCTCGGTCAGGCAAGCTCTGGGCGGCAAGGCGACCTCCGCCGAGCCGGCTCGGCCTCAGATATCTCTTCGTTCATTCTGAAGCTAGCTATTTACGGAAGCCCCCCTTGGTTAGGAAGCTGTAGGACTAATCGTGTGTGTAGACTATGATATACCTGTAGTAGTGTAGCAATCATCCGGTATGAGACAAGCTGATGGAGTACTGTTATTACAACGACGACATAGGGATTACGTATTGGCATATATACCTAAGAGTATCAAGAGAGCAGCAAGACGAACAAGAATATCGAGTTTAAATACTATCGGGCGTACGGGTGGAAACCATGCTGTCCTCGCGCCATGTTTCTCGCGGGACCGACGCCCGCATTCATCATACCGCCCCGCGCACGAGCCATGGGGTGCATGCCCGCCCCGCCCATCATCCCCATCCCGCGTCCCATCATACCCGCCGCGTTGCCCATGAATGGCTGCATACCCATCGCCATCGGGCCCATGCCCATCCGCATGCCGGCACCCATCGCGCCTCCCATGCCCGCGCCCATGTTGCCCATGCCGCCGGCCATACCACGCCCCATGTTGCCCATGCCACCGGCCATGCCTCCCATACCTCCGCCCATGCCGCCGGCCATCCCGGGGCTCATCCCCCCGCCCATGCCAGGGTTCATGCCGACACCCATGCCCATGCCGGGGTTCATGCCGACGCCCATCCCCGCGCCCATCCCTCCATAGTCGCCGCCAGACATCGGTGTCGCGGCGGAGCCCATGGGCATCATGCCTTGCATGCCGCTCGCCCCGCCGCCCATCCCGCCCATGCCCATGCCCATACCCATACCCATCATCGGGTTCTGGACCATCATGCGCTGGTAGAGCATCGACATCTGCTGGGGCCCGACGTTCCCCTGTGCGGCGCCCGCGAAGCCCATGCTGGCTGCCGGGCTCGCTACGGGCACGTCGCCGCCGGAGTGGTTGCCCTCGCGGCTTCCGCGACCCGTGCTGCGAGCGGCGTCTCGCTGGCTGCGAGGCTGGGCGACTTTGACTTCGATCTGGGCAGTCGTGAGTGCGAGGAACACGGCATCTCAGGGGCGGTACGTACCTGCTTCTCGTCCAAGAATAGGTTGGGCTGCCCTACCAGCTGCTCGGTATTGCTCGCGTCTTCGAACGTGACGAAGCCGAACCCCTTCGAGCGACCGGTCTCCCGGTCAACCATGACGGTGCAGTCAACGACCTTTCCGTACTGAGAGAAGAAGGTCCGCATAGACTCGGACGTCGTCGAATGTGAGAGGCCTCCCACGAAGTAGCGGGTGTTTCGGAGATGCTCCTCGCGAGGGATTGCCCGTTTCGGGTCGATCTATATTCGCGGTGCGTGAGCGGGTGGGGAGGGCCAGGATATGTAAGTGTCGTACAGTCTTGCCATCCAGAACATGCTCGCGGCACATCACCGCGTTCACCGACGCGGGCTCTTTGAACGTGAGGAACGCGAACCCGCGCGAGCGGCCGTCCTGGTCACGCAGAATCGTGCAGTCCTCGACCTCTCCGAACTCCGAGAAGTACTTTCGCAAACCCTCTGCTCGAACGAATGGCATGGCCAAAGGTCAGTTCGACGCGCTTGTATGTCGCAATGCATGAACTTATACCGTCTGTGGTGTCCCAGCTAAGACCACCAACGAACATCTTGCTGTATTGATTGATGTGTCGTACGAGATGTCGTAGCATAGGCGGACAGAGGCGTCGAGACGTAGCGCAGAAGAGACAAGTAGGAGACAGGTTGAGGTGTACCGAGAGCGCGAATACCGAAGAGCGACGTATACCAAGGAGCGACGTGAGGGGCGACGTGAAAGAACATTAGCTTCCGTAAGGTAAGGACGAGATAGGCAAACTGTAGCTGTGGACGAGACCCAGCAGGTACGACGACGTGGCGAACGAGTGCAGATACGGTGGGTGCGTTCGCTATTCGGTTGTGTAACTTCTGTAGCGAAGTATATAGAACGACGGCAAATGGTAGAGGACGTAGCACTGCGGCGCAGCAACGATACCGTAGACCATATGAAGCGACCGCTGACCGTGCCACACGAAATGAGGAATCTGAAGTGCGATAACTCACCCTTCGTCTTTCATTTCCGATGGCCTTACAGCCCGGCGGCCATCGTCATATGCGTCGGCGGCGCCATTCGTTTTGGACCCAGACGCGTTCGAGGCCTGGTACTGCTGGCGCTCCTGCGCAGGAGTCTGCTTGTACGCAGAAAATTGCTGAGCAACTTGGGCTGAGTAGGAGAGCTCCGAGGACGATGGGGGCTTTGGTGGCAACGAGCTTTCCTTCTTGATCAGCGACTGTTTCTCTTCATGCTTGACTTCTGCAGGGGCAGGCTGCTTCTGTTCGACCGGGCTCTGAGTCGTCTCTTGTTGCGTTGACTCCTCGCGGTTATCTTCGCCGTCCCCGTAAAGATCTGCTTCGTATTCAGTCTCTGTCGCGTACAAAACCCCTTCATTTGACTCACCGTCGTAGAGGTCGCTGTCGAGGGAGCCGGGCATGTTGGTGAATGTCAAAGTCTGAGGAGAGCGAGCTCACAGCGATGAGTTCAAGCACGACGCGCCTCGCAGCGGTTACCCGCCAACACCCCTGATTATGTAATATTGCAGTGCTCTTCTTGCCTGTCCCCATTTGGTATGTTCCGAGATCCAGCTGTAAGGTACGAGTATTTGATTCACCGAATGGGTCAAAGACTGGGTGAAAAAAAACTGGTTCGCCTGTTTACAGATCATACATGTTTCTGAATACATTACAAGCACTGTCGAAACGACAACAGGTATTGTTTGAAGCTTTTCAAACACTGTCCGGTACAGCCATAGTGACAGGAATGCTGCCCGAAATTTCCATCTCACCATAAATCGCCGCGGCGGCCGCCTCCAACGCCGGGATGGTGAACTCGTACGTCGCAATACCAGGGAAGTCCAATCTCCCAGCCGCAAGTAAGTCATATGGAGCGCACGTCGACACCGCGACGATCTTCCACAGACCACCGTCGCTCTGCACCACCTCAGCGACCCGCCGCAAGTACTCGACTTGCCAAGCGCCCTTTTCGAACCCATTCCGCGTGGCGAAGACGACCGAGGACGCGCCCCGGAGGCTCTCCTTGAGCGTCCCGGATATCTCTTCGTCCGGTGCATAGACGACATGCTCGACCGCAGGCGCGCGTTTCGCGATAGAGGCGGCCAACGCGAGGAAGGACGGGCCAGCGGTGTTCCGCAGGCGCCCTGCGGCGTCGCGAAGTTGTCCTTCCGGATCATCTACTGCGGGATTGATGTTCTCCATACGTGGCGTGAACAGTACGGTGGGTCCGGCCTTGGAAAGTGGAGTGAAGGGCTGCGTGTTCGGGATGTGCGAGAGGGAGGTAGCGTACGCGCGCGCGCTGAGCAGGCGATGATCCTGCTTCAACTGGGCCGCGATATCCGCGTCGAAAGGTGTGAAGACATCGTCCCAGCTTCCGGCGAACCTGTCCTTCATCGCCGCGATGCGCGCACCGCTGGCCTCCAGCGCGTCCATGGAAAGGCGCCCGTCCCCCACCGCGGTGTAGGTGGCTTCAATCGCGCCGACGTGGCGGCGGAAGGTGTGGCAGATCATAACGATGTCCGCACCCGCCTGCAAGCTGAGCACCGCGCCCCCTTCAGACCCGTACTTCTCCGCGACGGCCTCCATCTCGAGACAGTCCGTGACCACGACGCCCTTGTAGCCCAGCTCGTCGCGCAGGAGGTTGGTGGTGATCGCTCGGGACAGTGAGCAGGGCATATCGTCTCCGGTCACAAGCGGCAGGGCCATGTGTCCTGTCATGATGCTAGCGATGCCATCGCGCACGACGGCCTCAAACGGCACGAGTTCGGTGGCTTTCAGCGCGGACTTGTCAACGAGGATGCTGGGCAGACTGAGATGGGAGTCGACGTGGGTGTTCCCGTGGCCTGGGAAGTGCTTTGCAGAAGGAGCGACCCTCCCCGACGTGAGAGCGGCGCTCACTGCTTGTACGTAGAGGGCGACGTTACTAGCGTCTGCACTTTTGGTTAGGGTCGCCAAAAGCGCGGAGCAGGGATAGAAGCATACCATCCCCAAACGAACGAACGCCTAGTGACATGTTAGTATATCTTGGAGTAAGTGAGATCCAAGAAAACTGACCGATGACGGGGTTCCTGGGGTCAGAGTTGACGTCGCCAACCGGGCTGTATCTAAAAACACAAGTCATTCAAATTACTGCGAGGATATGGTGGCGCATATCACTCACGCCCAATTGATACCTGCGGCGCGCAGCTCTTTAGCTGTCGCCGCAGACACCTCCGACGCAAGCTCGACAGAGCCAGTAGCGGCTAAGGCCATAGCCCCAGGACTACTCTACATGAGTTTGGTTGTGATGAACGTCAGAAACAATTCACCCACAATTGCGTTCCTGCCTCTCCGCTGGCTATTGCACTGAACGCAGAGACCAGACCTAGGCATTCATCAGATGATATCATCGGACCGGGCCGTCGATGCGAACACAGTGAGTGAGTGAGTGAGGTGTATTTCGTCGTCAGCGCCTCTCGTACATCCTCGATGCGAACACAACTCACCATTCTCTTGATCGATGCCGATCATGAGAGGGCGAGCGTGGCCCGCATTCTTAGCTAACGCCTGTAACTCGTGAACCAGGCGATGAACTTGGGCGATGCCTGATATGATGGTGTCGGGAAATGTGAGCACAGTGGCGATACTCCGACTCGCAGCCACCCACTTTGTACGTTCCGCTTGAACAAGATCACATTACTGCAAGTTTGGTCGATTCCTGCCATGAGACCGAGGGCCTCCCGCCGCAAGAACGCGGTGCGTACCCAAGGTGATAATCCTTGATGAGTGTTTTGATATCTTGGCTGACTTCGTAGCCATGAAATCCGAAGACGAAGTGCTGCCGTTGGTGATGGCGCGTCCAAAGTCATGAGTAAACGTACGCATATTGCATTGCAATGAGTCCTGCACGCCTACCTGCCCAATCTCGCGTTTTTGCTCCTCTGTGAGAGCAGCCATGGCTATGGTATCTTTGCGTAGACTGAGGATTCCAGCACTGAGGGCGCGGCTAACGAATATTAGAGCTGGTCGTCGGAGATGATGGGGGGGTCACCGGACCTAGCACCCACAGGACGAAGTACAACGCGGGACTTTAGGGGCCTTCCCCTTCAACTCAAGCGTCGCCTTTGTACCCTAACGAGCCGATAACGACCAACTTAGGCTGCTATCTCATCATGTGTTCGGCGAAGGCGGCAAGCCACCTTCGACATCGATTGCGGACGTCACTTGGATCGAATGTAGCAGCACAAATGCAAAGCTTACTGTTTATATACCAGGTATGATCTTACTTTATGGCTGGCATTGAGTTTCATAGCTGCGCATGTGCTGCATCCAAGTGTTCCAACCCAACGCTATAATATTATAGCATCCGGCGATGTCGAGGCGTGAGTGTGTCGAATTGACTGCTAGACGCTCACAAAAGATGTCACGATGGTCAGCTGAGACTTCGAAGCGCAACGCTGAGAGTTGAGGCCATGGTGGACAGGCAGAGTAGTGCAGGCCTGTGTGTATGATGAGAGACAGAGAGAGTGTTGGATCAGATCCGAAGCCAAGCGAGCGTACACCGACGTTTCATACGCTGAGCGCTGCCGACCCGGGCCACGTGGGGGCGCACAAGCGGTAAGCCTGAGCTCGGACACACAGCCTTGCACTTGTTCTTGACCCTCACCACGATTGACGGCTTCCTCAGCGCGACTGCCGACGCCGACCCACGCGATGAAGAAGCTGTTTGGCAGAGACAAGCCCAAAGCTGTCAAACCCGCAGGCGATGGCCCCGTCGAAGTGCGCGCCATCTCTCAATTCCCGCCCGCCCGCTATACTGACCTTGCTGCCGCAGAACCACGCGGCCCAACGACACGACAGATCACACCCCTCGACGGACGAGCAATGGGATCTCATCTCGGAGACCGATCCCCTCCAACCCCTCCGTCCACCTACCCTGAGCGCATCACAGACGCCCTCCCTCACATCCATACATCAAACATCCCCACCTGCACCTAATCCCATGCCTCGCGCGTCATCACCGTATACTGTACCTGCCTCGCCACCTCTATCTCATACCAAGCTAAGTTCCAACAAAGACCGCGAAGTGCTGCGCAAGAAGCCGCCATCGTCTGCGCCCAATGCCTTCGCGGCGGTAGGAATACTCAAGGCGCTGGACCCCCATCACTTGGAGCCCGTGGCCTCGCACGATCAATCGGAAGATGGGTATACGGACTCCTCCGTGAGGGAGGACAAGAAGGAGAAGCGAGGGTTCTGGGAGCGGACGAGCCATAGGGAAAAGGACAAGGACAAGGACCGTGCGAGGGAGAAGGAGAAGGAAAGAGAGCGGGAGAAGGAGAGGGAGCGGCGGGACGAGGACGCTCATGCCGAGGTTACGCGGATGATCGGTACGTGCACCCTATTCGATTCCGGTTATGCCTCGTAATCGATCCGTCCATTAGGGTATCTTACCGCGACTGCGTCGGAGGACTGGTCTCTGGTCCTGGAGGTATGTGATAGAGCGTCTTCGAACGACACCAACGCCAAGGAGGCCGCGAAGGCCTTGAGACGCGAATTCAAGTGAGCCTAGTCCCGCCCCAAGTTGTCAACTCACCAATTCCGCCCCATAGGTATGCGGAGCCCGCTGCACAACTATCCGCCGCACGAGTACGCTCCAGTTCCGTAAGTATGTTGTTTATGTCTGCTAACAAGGATCGTTATACAGCTATGGGCTATCATGCTCCGTAATTGCTCGACCAGATTCGTGTACCACTGCACGTCTCGCAAGTTCCTCGATACCCTTGAGGACGTCCTTGGCTCCTCTCGCACGTCTCCTGTCGTTCGGGAACGTCTGTTGGAGGTCTTGGCCGCCGCTGCATATGCAAGCGATCCAGGCACGTGCTGATTCGTATGCGGCAACACATGCGTTTAATAACCACACTGCATCATTGTAGAGGGAGGGTTCAAATCACTGTGGCGCAAGGTTCGACCGGCCGACAAACCGGAAGAGGTAAGTGTTATGATTGCCACTTAGTTGTTTGATCGACTAATATGGGGAACAGGGCATTCCGTTCGATACAGAAGATGCGATGTTCTACCCCGCAACTCCTCGCCATTCAACAGGCCCGAATGTCCTGCAGCCTCCAGTCCTTGATCAGCGTCCCTCACTCAACACCCGACCAAGTTCCAGGTCACAGGCTAACCACGATCAACCGGGAGCAACACCGCAGCGACCAGCACCTACCGTGAGCATTGCGATACTTTCCGGACCAGGCTTCGACTTAAATGCGCGTTTATGATTTCTAGGTAACTCCTGGGAAGACGAAGTCCTCCCGCAACAGGGTGATTCCACCGGAAGAAGACATACGGCGCCTGTTCCAGGAGTGCAAAGTGGGACGCGGTAACGCAAACCTACTGTCAGAGTCGCTTACCTACGCGAAGCCGGAGGATCTCAAGAGCAAGGACATCATCAAGGTCAGCACTGGTGCATATATGCACGTTGAGCGAGCGCTAATACCCTATCAGGAGTTCTACGCTCGGTGTCGAGCGTCGCAAGAGCTCATCTCCGCGCAAATACCATGGGCGTTCGCGCAGGCAGAGAAGTCGCGGCAGGCCTCCGGGAAGACCGAAGCCAGGCCTCGGGAGGGTCGGAGGTCTAGCGAGAGAGAAAGGGGCGAGAGGGGCGAGCGAGAACGCCCGCCGTCTAGTCCGAAGAAGGACAAGGGCGACTCGGAGCATCTCACGACCGAGGAGAAACTGCTCGCGGCCATTCTCGCTGCTAATGAGGAGCTACTCGAGGCGCTCCGGCAGTACGATGACCTCGAACGAGTCGGCATCGAGCGAGACGCGCAGGAGAGGAGTAAGAAGGAGGTCAGAATGGATCGCTCCGTAAGTCCTTCGACTGGTTCTCGCATGCCATAACTAACTATATGCTCACTAGCGGCTACTGTTTGATGACAACGAGCAGTCGTACTACCTTGAGCCTGGACAGCCGAACCACAGCGGCGCTGGCGCGTCATCTTCCCGCAGTCCCTCTCCCTCGCCGTCTACATCACCATCTCCCGCGCCCTCCTTTGTTATTACGCCCACACCCTCCAGCAACGCTCACGGCACCAGCACCACCCACAGTCACCCACTCCCACCTATACCCCATCAACCTATTTCTATCCCAGCTAACAATCACTCCCAAGCACACCCTGTTGCTCAGCAAGGTTCGGTCCAGTCGCTCGCACCTCCTCCACCGGCACCACATGGACCGCGCTCCCCGACACACCGGCCAAACACACCCTCGCCAGAGCGTGGCTCGGCCGGCCGTGCACCAAGGACATCAATCGAGAGCACGCAAAGTGCGGCGCGCCAACAAGCGACGAGCAGGCTGAAAGCGGAGAGTAGTGAGGAGTGGTCGGATCTCGAGGGAGATGTGAAGACTCCCGTGCGGCCGAGTGCGAAAGCGCTCGGGAAGCGCAAGGTGGTCGAGCCACCTCCCGACGACGATCGTACGTGCTCCACTTTGAAGATTGACGTGGTATACTCATGTCGTTCTACAGGCGCGTTTGATCCAAACGACATCTTCTACAACCACCCGAACGACTCGTTCCACAACAACACAAACAACAACTCGGAGGAGGAGGAGTCGGAAGAGGGGCGTGCGAGGAACCCGTGGCACAGACCTGTGCACTACGTGTACGACGCCGCCGCCGAGCGAACGCAGCAGCGCATACGAGAGGGGCGGCTCGCCTCCGCGGCGCTCGTCAGCGGTGCGCTCGTCGGTGGCGTGCACTAGCCGGCGCCCCGTTCCTTCTCCCTCTGTCTACATATTATTGCGCGCTCTTCGCATACCTGCTGTTCCGCACTGCACCGCTGCACATTACCTTTTTATCGCCTTCCCTCGGCCCGTCTTCGCGATCATGTTGTGTTAAACTTAGTGCATACTTACCATCATACTCGGGCACGTCCGCGCGGGGTGCTGTGCCGCGCCGACGTATGCAATCCATGGGGATCTGGTTTCTGGATGGAGGACGGGGTGTATAGTATAATTATAATCTCCGTACACAGCTGGCGGTCGTTTAGAGACCAGCGGTAATATTGTTGCATATTCCATCTGTTGTGCATGCGCGTCTGCTGCATGTTTGTCGGGATCGGATTGGAGGTGTACATTCAATATCCTGCATCGGCGGTGTCTTCGCGGGCCGCTACCCGTTGCTACCCGTTGTCCACTGACCTCATTGCTATTCCACGCCTCTGGCGGTTTCCTAAGATCGCCCATCTTCATAGTACCGCTATCACTGTCTAGACTACAAGTCAGCACGACATAGAGATGTTCGAAGCGCCATACCCGCCATGGGACTTCACAATCAAGGGCAGGCAAGTCGTTCTACCACGGCCCCGCGAACTTATGCCGATGCTGACGATCTTGCTCGCCTAACCTACAGCTTCGCGTGAGTGCCGCACACAATAATTCAGAAGCGCACGGGTAGACATCGTGCTTCTGACACTGGACACGCAGCTTTGAGACCGTCATCAAGCGATGGCCGGTCATCCTCACCGGGATCATCGACAACATATATTGCCGGAACCACGACCTTGGCGTCTCCCTCCGCGACAAGACGGACGAGGCAGAGAAAGCTACGATAGAAGAAATCATCACGGAAGGCAAGGCCATCATCGGGCTTGTCGGTCAGGTCAAATATGACATGGCCCGGGATCGCCCGCTGGAGTAAGTATGTGCACGTCTACCGCGTTTGAAGCTGACGGGAGTCTAACAGGCCAATCCCCGACGACGGGGAGCCGCTTGCTGACGTTTACAACGCTGAGCTCGAGAAATTGGCGGAGACTAAGCAGAATACCTGGCTGGCGGTGCCATGGCTGTATTCCGAGTAAGACGAAGGGAGAAGCACTAAATTGGCTGCGCTGACATATAATGTTGTAACAGGTGCTATCTGTATGGCCACAAATGGGGTGGACACGCCCCGATCGCTGACTTCGCTGCTCTAGATACCGGCTGGTTCGCTCGTACTTTGTGCAGACCAAGCACTGGAAAACCTACGACCCCTTCCTCGCTCAGAAGGAATCCACCTTCCAGAAGAGTTCCAAGGCCATCTACCGTAAGTTCTTAGCACACACGTCAATCTTTTGACTATGAAACGATATTAACGTCTCATAGAGCTCGCTACCACCATGCATGAGCTGGAGAAGGACAAGGACTCTCTCGCCGTAAACCCAGAGAACCTCAAGGTCATTTTCAAGGAGATGGTCGAGATGTGCCTCTGGGGAAATGCCACTGTAAGATGCTCACCCCATGCGCCTCAAACCTTGCTTACGTCGACAAACAAGGACTTGTCGATGCTCACGCATCTATCGCACGAGCAAATTCAACATCTCCAATCTGTGGGAAAGGACGCACAGGCGGCTCGCGCCGAGTTCATCCTCCGAGATGACCAGGAGAAGGTTTGGGATCATCTGAAGAGCTTTGCGGGCAAGGCCGATTCTCGTATCGACTTTGTCCTGGACAACGGTTTGTGGAATGCGCCATATCTGCATCTTCTACACCGCGGCTAACGAGGACAACCGATCCTGCAGGTGGCTTCGAGGTGCGTGTTTTCTCGCCTGGAAGAAGTCATGAGTAATAACACTGTGAATACGTTCCCTATCAGCTGTTCACCGATTTCGTATTCGCGGACTTCCTCGTGACGTACACCCCATACGCCTCCAAAGTTGTCTTCCAGTACGTTAGCCTGGTACACTCTCGAGGGCACGACCACATTAACATCACTTTATTTTAGCCCGAAACTCATTCCTTGGTTTGTCTCGGACGTGACGCCGCCAGATTTCAAGTCCACGACTAAGTCCCTACTCTCCCCCTCGTTCTTCCCCCAGGAGGCTACACCCGAGGGAGCCCCCGCTACTGATTCTTCCGCGGAGTCGCGTGAGCATCTCTACAAGATGGTCAAGCGGTGGGAGTCGTACATCGACTCTGGCGTATTCTCGCTCTCCGTGCCCATCGACAGCCCCCTCGGATCTTCGGACAAGAAGGTGCGTGATCTCTTGTTGGGTAAGAGTAGCAACTGAGGACGTTTGTCCTGCAATGTAGGCGAACTTCTGGACAACCCCATATCCTTACTGGAACATGAAGGAGCTCGCTCCCGAGCTGCACGAGTCTCTCAGTGACAGCAGCCTCGTAATCTTCAAGGTCTGTACCCCTGCTTCGTCGTCGACTAATAGCCTTACCAATCATCTACGATAGGGTGACCTGAAGTGAGCACAAATATCTGCACTGTGATAGCGTTGCTAAACTATACACCACGTTTTCTGCAGCTTCCGCAAGTAAGCTTAACACCCATCCCTTCATTCCTACTTATAGTAAAGCTAATCCACACAGGCTAACCGGAGATATCAAATGGCCAACCTCGACCCCATTCGAGACCGCCATCGGTCCCCTCGCCGGCTCGTTCCCCATCCTCAGCCTGCGCACCAACAAGGCGGACGTCATTGTCGCCATCGACGACGAGATCGCAGAGAAGCTAGAGAGCAGCGGCGAGAAGTGGAGGTACAACGGAAAGTGAGTGCTCCCAAGCTGCGCCGAGTGCATATACGCGCACTTTAGCTCACGCGACGTAGATACGCCGTGGTGCTCTTCCAGCCGCGTGCGGAGTGAGAGGAACCGGAAGTCTAAGAACGCGATGATTGCTCTACAAGAGTCTGTGCGATAGAAGAAGTTTGAACGGGGTAACAGAATTACTAGATGTTGTACACTGTCTCCTGTATCACACTCAATCTTTTGATCACTTCGTTGTACACTGCAGCATCTGTGTACTCTAAGTCTCCTCATCCTCGCTCAACACATCCTCCGCCCCCTTCCACTCCTCGTCCGGGCCCGCATACCGGTCGCACAGCACCCACAGGTCGTCCTTCAGCTCGCGCATCTCGTCGAACTCGAGGCCCATGCGCACCACGACGTCCGCGCGGCGGTCAGCGCACGACTGGGCCAGCGTCGCGTAGGACGCGAGCAGTGGAGCCGTTGCGCTGGACGTGGTGAGCGCGGACAGGGCACGGTGCTTCTCTGATGGGGAGGTGGATATATGGGGGAAGGATGTGGGCGTGGGGTACGCGGTTGCGTGAATGCTACGAAAAATTTGAGCGAGGGAGAAGACGTATGGGAGCTTGGAACGCACCTGAACGGCGCGGGGCTTCTGGCGTCGAAAAAGTCGTCATATTTCGCGTATTCCGAGAGATTGAACCCTCGCGAAACGTGCAGGCGGGCGTACTCTGCCACGCGAGCCTACGCCCACGTCTGTATCAGCGTTGCGTTTGTGGGCGCGAAGGCGAAAACCATCTCACGTTTCCGCGTTTTGCGCTCGCCTCAGTGATCGTAGACAGATCGTACAACCGCTTCTCCGTCTCGCGCGACCACGCGACAGACGAAGGTACCGGGTACATTCCCGCGAGGTGCGAGATGCCCAGGGTGCCCGATGCATTCAGCATGCTGCTCAGCGACGCGATGTCATGTTGGGAGCGTTTGAGCCTACCGAGATATTGAGCAAATTTAGTTGAACTGATAGCGGAAATCCGTCACACCTAAGCGGGAGCGTTGCGCTCTCGATATGCGTAGCAAACAGCGCCGAGGTGTGGTACTGACTGCGGAGCTGTAGTTCTAATCAGCAGGAGCGGCGGCGGTAATCACCGCGGATCTATCGAGAAACTGACATCGATGTTCAGACCCTCGAGCCATTCATTCCGCTGCCAGATGGACGGATGCTGTAACGGGACGCCGATCGTCGACATTGCTTCCAGGCTGCGCATACAGAGCGCATCGTTGATCGCCTTCATCGCATTTTGCTCCTACCAAAGCGGAATAAACGACCGACCTCAGCTATATGCGGTTCGTCGCCGAAGAGACCGACGTACCTCGTCTGCGTGGACCAGGGTGTTCGATGCGCTGGACAGCAGCGCGAATGCCAGCGAGGGTATTTTTGGGTGCTCGTCGCGGAATGCGGTGATAAATGCATCAGTGAACCCGCCGAACGGGCCACAGTCGCTGAGAAGTTGGACGCCCTGGGACGGAGGTTAGATGTGCTCAGGCGGGCATTGCGGCGCGCGCTCGACCATACCTGTAGACCGTCGCATTCCTCAATGAAGAACCTGACGTCGTTGTCCATGATTTCATGTTCCTATGTGCGTTTAAAATCCCGGTGCAATGCTAGCTATTGTGCACTCACATGTTCGTGCTTCTCGAACGTCTCCTTGCTAGCGTTCCACTCACCCTCGGCACGCTCCCACTCGGCGAGATCCGGTAGCTTCTGAAAGCTGCGGGGGTGGTAGTACACACGGCTGTAATCAGACCAGAAGCGGACGTTTGACGTATCGGTCGCAGCGGCATCCTTGTCCTCAAGCTCGTCCGACTCTCCTTCCTCTAAACGCGCCTGATAAGCGCTTTTGGGGATGGGATCCTGGCGGTATTCTACCACGCCGCCTTCCCTTCAGATAACATGTGAGCAGGGTGGCACCATGACTGAATATGCACGGTATACCATGGGGTCGCATCGGCACCGTCTGTGCTTCCGTAGAGTTCATCGGATAGAGCGCCGAAATGGGCTGTGGGACGCTCAACTTCATGTGAGCACGGCGTGGCTTCCGAAACATACATTTTCTGTCAAAGACAAGCACCCTTGGACAGAACGTAGGTTCTCCCTTCAAACGATATGTATTAGCTGAGAAGTTTCACACGGATCTGAGAATCTGTTGGGTCACCTTGCTTGTTACCCCTTCTCGGAAGGACCTGTCGTGGAAGACGGTCGGATCCTCGTCCTCACCATACGTGAAGTAGCTCTCCTGTGTGTTCCAAAAGTGCGTGCCGACGTGGTTTGCGGAGGGCCCTGCCTGGATGTAGAGAATTTCTTTCATGCCTGCCATAATTAATCCTGTATCAGTACAGTATGCGGAACTGTGCACGGTAATTCAGTGCTAGGTTCTCCCAGAGGCAGACCTTTCACGCTTTATCCTATGCGGGAAGGACGAGTGTCAATTGATTCTTAAGGATGGCTTGATTAATGTGGACGGGGGAAGGACTGTTCAAGCAAAATAAGTAATGGGAGTAAAGGATTGCATTCCCAAACGGGCAGGATAGACGCTGGCAATATTGGACTGCTACTTGATACTGTACTTATATTGATATCCAAAGTTGGTGAAATTTCTGTCTACCATCACATTCCCATGTCATTCTGTAGCTACGAATACTATGTATCTTTTTAGTGATGCTAGAACAAAGTTGCGGTGTGGGCGCCTGGCGGTGCTGCCGGTGCAGCGTGATTGCGAGGGAGCGCCCAACAGTGGTGGCGGAAGCAAGCCCGAGAGCCAATGCGGGGAAAGCCATCCCCGACCGGTAGTAGTGCCGACGCCCCCTCTTCCGTCCCACGTCCTTTCTTTCTCCAACCACCACCATGCCGGGCTCGACGCTCATCCCCGTCCTCACTCTCCCTCAACCTCTTGTACTTCTACCCACCGCTAGACTCCAGGTCTTCCTCGACGAACAGGCCGGCTTGAAGCTTGTCCAACTCGTGCAGCGCTCCGACGCCCAGCTCGTCATCGGAACCGCCCTCTGCACGTCCACCTCTGAGATCTTCTCCTGGGGTACCGGTGCACGCGTCGTGCGCGTCGTGCGGACTGTCTCTCGGTCTCTGGACAAAGCTTACCAAGTTACTCTGCACGGTCTTTCGCGGCTGCACTACCCCGACACGCAATCGGGCGCTCCCTTCAGCCCAAGCGACGTAGTCGAGCTCAGGGCAGACCGGCCAAAGGATGAAGGCCCCGCTTCGCATGAAGCTGTGGCCACCTTCCGCGCCGCTGCCACCAAGCTCCTAGACCACCTGGCACAGGACGCCAACCACCAGTCTCGGCGGGATGTATACGTCAAGATATCACACATGCTCGAAGAGGTTTCCGATGACAGGACGCCTTGGATGGCAGATGTCATCGTCGCGGGGATCAACAAGCTTGACTACAATGACAAACTCGGTGAGTGCCGGGTTGTTCAGACGTCTGTGGCGAGTTGGTGTGTCCGTGCGCTGTGTCCGTCCTGTGCAGCCGGTTCTGTCAGCCATCCGCTGTATTTTGGCGGTTGTGTCCGGATGACGCCTACAGGCCCCGGCTGCGCCGTGCATTGGCCCTGCAAGACGCCTTGCGAACCCAGCGGAGCAGGCATACCCTTCTCCCAAAGGGCAATTCTTGTCCGGATTGTCATCCGACATACCCCCTTGTTGTCAGGGGTCCTGAACGTGGGCGACCAGGGGCGACGAGTCTCTGGAAATCCGCTAGTCTGGTGCACCCTAAAGTTAGTTTACGGATGATAATATCTGCAGCCGAGCCTTAGGCGGTAACTCGCGGATTGCCTTCGGCTCAGGCGCATGATAGGCGAGAATATTGGACCTCATCCCGCCTTCCTTATAGCGGCGCAGCCAGAGTTTCTGACAGTTCTCCGCCTGCACATTGACCGCCATCTCACGGCTGTCATTGCTGACACATTACCTTGCAGTGTATCTATCCGCGTCGTCAGTGAACGAACGCCTCCAGCGCGCGACGGAGCTCTTCGTCAAGCAAGCCTCCATTTCGGAGGTGACGAAGAAGATCGCCCAGTCCATAGACGAGTCGCTGTCGAAGCAGCAGAAGGAGTTCTTCCTCCGCCAGCAACTTGCCGCCATCCAGCGCGAGCTGCAAACTCTCACCCGTTCGTCAGGCGCGTCGAATCAGGACAGCGCCGCGCGTCCATCAAGCGGCGTCTCCGAGCTTGACGACCCTGAGCAGGCCGAGGCGGAGGACATGGCCGACATCCGGAACAAGATTGAGGCAATGGCCAAGGACAGCGAGGAGCGGAAGATGGCCGTGCGTGAATGGAAGCGGTTCCAGCGGATACCCGCGGGCAGCGTCGAGCACGGTGTCATCCGCAACTACGTACGGCCACTGCAGCCCCTTAACCGCACGCATATACTTACTCTCTGACACAGCTGGAATGGCTCACTTCGATACCCTGGCCTTCGTCGGCGGCGTACGCCGATGTCTCCGTCGGCAAGCTGCGCGACCGCGCGTTCCTCGAGGACGCGCGCAAACAGCTTGACGAAGACCATTATGGGCTTGAGAAGATCAAGAAGCGTCTCATCGAGTATCTCGCTGTTGTTCGCCTCAAGCAGCTGCAGGCCGAGCGCGAGTCGCTTTTGCAATCCTCGACGGGCAGCGCCTCCGAAAGCGAGTCCTCCCAGCGCACAGCAGGTGACGCAACCTCGCGCGCGTTGGCCTTGATATCAAAAGCGCTAAACTCTGGTACCACCGCAGGCGCAGAGGTGAGCGACGCAGGCAAGAACGAGAGTAAGGCTGTGTCCACCCAAATAGGGGCTCCCGTGAAGTCGCCGAGCCAACCAAAGCGAGGCTCTGGTAGCAAAGCCGTCAAGGGTCCGATCTTGTTGTAAGTCTTCTGGAGCGATATCTTCGCAGTTTACTGAATTGCATGCTAGGTTTGTTGGTCCACCTGGTACGGGCAAAACCTCGCTCGGGCAATCCATCGCCCGCGCGTTGGAGCGGCCATTCCAGCGTATATCACTCGGCGGCGTCCGGGATGAGGCCGAGATCAGGGGCCACCGGCGAACGTACGTCGCGAGCGGTCCAGGTGCCATCGTGCAGGCGTTGCGTAAAGCAGGACGTCCCGATCCCGTTATTCTACTGTAAGTAGCTCATCTGTCCACGATGTCGAACCGTCGGGAATAAGCTGACGCTGCCCGTAGTGACGAGATAGACAAGATTGGCCAAAGCAACTTTCATGGAGACCCTGCGGCTGCGCTACTAGAGGTCCTCGACCCCGAACAAAATCATTCATTTAACGTGAGTCTAGAAAGCATTTCTGAAAAGGTACGACGGCTGACTTGTCTCGCAGGACCATTATGTCAACGTCCCGATCGATCTCAGCCAGGTACTCTTCATCTGCACATCCAACTCTCTGGAGACAATCTCCGCACCTCTTATGGACCGCTGCGAGGTCGTCCACTTGTCAGGTATGTCTTACAAGTTTGAGGCACATCAGATTCATTCTCACGGGCATGGTAGGATACACCTACGACGAGAAGCTACACATCGCCCGCAAGTTCCTGCTCCCGAAGCAGCTTAGGGCGAACGGCCTCACTCCAGGACACGTCACGCTTACCCAGCCCGCTCTCCTCCGGATCGCGACCCACTACACGCGCGAAGCTGGCGTCCGGTCCCTCGAGCGCGCCATCGGCGCCGTCGTGCGCTACAAAGCCGTCGAGTGGGCAGAGTATGTCGACGCGAGCGGCAACGACGACATCGCGCTTGTCCCCGCCGTCACCGCTGCGGACCAAGTGGCCGAAAAGGCCGCGGGGCGCGCACGAACGTACAAGAAGGCGGTCGAGGAGGACGAGCTTGAGGCGATCCTCGGCATCGCGCGCTGGGACGAGGAAGAGCTGCACCGCGAAGAGCGGCGCGGGCTCGTGTACGGGCTGGTCGTCACGGGCATGGGCGAGGGCGGGATCCTGCCGATCGAGACGAGCGCGGTGCCTGGCACAGGCCAGCTGAAGCTCACGGGCAGCCTGGGCGAGGTCATCAAGGAGAGCGGCGAGCTCGCGCTGAGCTGGGTGAAGAGCCATGCGTATGATTTGTACATCACGAAGCTGCGCTCGCAAGATCCACTCAAGGTGCCCGACCCGATTGATATCCATTTGCACCTCCCGTCGGGGGCGGTCAAGAAGGACGGTCCTTCTGCTGGGATTGCCATGGTATGTTCATGCCATAGACGTCAACAGCCTATCAATACCTACACAGTACTTACTCCCTTTTTAGACATGCGCATTCGTTTCCCTGCTCACAGGAGCGTGTATACCCACGAACGTCGCCATGACTGGCGAGGTACGTCTCTTGATTTCAGTTCGCCGACTGTCTCTCACCGCTCCCTACAGATTACGCTCCGTGGACGCGTCGGCCCTGTCGGCGGGATCAAGGAGAAGGTGCTCGGCGCACACCGCGCGCAGATCACGAAGGTCATCCTGCCCTGGGCGAACCGCAAGGATGTCGAGCACGACGTGCCGCCGGAGGTCCGCGCGGAGATGCAGTTCGTCTTCGCGCGCACGATGGACGAGGTCCTCGAGGCCGCGTTCGGCAAGGGCGTCCTCTCCTGGCGCCACGCCATGGTCGTCATGGAGAGCCGTCTGTAAAGCCCACTGGGCGGAGGTGAGGGGGAGGGTCGGCGCGCCCAGGGTTCTATTGTATCTTCTATGTGCATGCTTTAAACTAAGACTGCGACGGGACGGACTACTGGAGGTGGATATGCCATATACACAGCTGTAGTTTTAATGAATTCTTGTATCTACAGTTCTGCGAATATACCTCATGTACAGTTTTGATCAAAGGGGTGTAATTGATTGGTTCTACGTATCTTTATATTAGTCTCCCAGAGGCAAACCTTTCACACTCTATTGGAGGAGGGGAGGACGAGTGTGTAAAGTCTATATGTGCGTCTTATTCGCGCCCGTCCTCGGAGTTGCTCGCTGCGAACCATCACCACTAGGGTCTCCGTTTCCTGAGACCTGAGACCTACTTCCTACCGCCTGCAGCTTCCTCCGACTCTACGATATCCACTGGCCTCATCATGCCCACCCATGACGGTCTCAGTGCGTGCCATACGGCCCTACGATGTGATGATATCCTGGCGATGATATTCGAGACCCTGCAGCCCATGGAGGACCACACGCTGGACCGGGCCACTTGTGCTAACAGTGCACTGGTGTGTCGATGGTTCTACGAACCAGCTGGCCGGGTCCTCTGGGAAGAGCTCCGAGATCTGTCTCCCCTCTGGAGGATACTCCGGCCTCTGCCCCTCGAATTGGCGGAACGACGCTACAGAGATCGCATCATACCGGAGACTTACTACAACTCAGTAAGTGGTCTGGCTGGCTGTATACGAGTATTGGTCATCGGTAGTAGTACTAGTGGAACTCATACCTCCCCCGCGTACTAGATCCTGGAGGAAAAGCCTTTCCTCGATCCTCGATTGTGGAAAGCTTTCAAGCAATGTGTATCTCGGGTACGGGAGCTCAAGCCTTTCAAGCACGCATATCGGCCAGAAACCGCTGAAGGAAACTTATGGCGTGCGCTCGTTAGCCATAACGATGATAAACCCTTCTTACCCTCTCTCCAACGGCTGTATTATCTGCACTCTTCCCCAGCCCCGGGTGACCTGTTCACTCTCTTAGCACCCCCCTCCTTGCAGACTCTCCAGGTCACCTATTGTGAATGGCACTTCGTCGAGTCGGTGGCGTATCCGGCCATGGAGAGTATAGTGCCTCTTGTTGCGGAACATTATCCATCCCTGCCTGCGCTCCGCATCGCTGACTGGCGTGGTCCGGCTTCCACTTTGCTGCCTGAGCTGCTCCTCTGTCGGAATCTGCGGTCCTTTACAACTGAAGAATCGCCTTCCGTGAAGTTTGCGCCCTTTCACATACGCACGCTTCTGGACTCGTTGCCCAGGTTGGCTGCGCTGAAGGTTCACGTCGAAGACTGCGGCGAGAAGCAACGCAATGCGACGCCTATATACGCCCCCAACCTCCGGACCCTGTGCTGCATTGGAACGTGTGCGGACCTCGCCGGCGTGGCAGCTATGCTGCGTGCCTCCGCTCTGCACGAGCTCGAGTTGTGGATCACAGACGAGTCAACGATGACGCCCTCCGACCTGGTTGAATGCGTACAAAACGCGACCTCCGCTCACCTCTCCAGCGCCCTGCGGAAACTATCCATCACATCTGGCCTGCCACGCAAATTCCGCAGAGTGCCCCTGGGTAGAACGCGCGCGTCGTGGGCAAGCGGCTTGCGCCCCAGCCCGACGCTTCAGCAGCTCGAGCACTTCGAGCTGTCGGTGTCCCCAAACCTGTTCGTGCCGTCCGTGACCGACGCCGACGCGCTCGCCATCGCACAAGCCATGCCCCGCCTGCGCAGCCTCAGCATCCGCAACCGCCACTTCAACAACGTGGGCCTGCCCTCCCTGCACGCGCTCCTCCACTTCGCGAAGTTCTGCCCAGACCTCGAGCATCTATCGCTCGAGGGGCTTGGGGGCACGCCCATTCCCGATCTAGGCGCGGTCCGCCTCGCTGCGCCCTCCGCGCGCGGGCACCCGCTGCGCTCCCTGCGTTTGGTGACGGTGAACTCAGCGGTGGACGCGCCGGACGTGCTCGCGGAGCTCCTCGACTATCTGTTTCCGCACTTGACTTTCCAGCCGCCTCGGCGTGGTACGGCCTTGAGATTATCGAGCGAGACATGGGATGACACCGCCCGTCTGCTTGTGCTGCTCCAGCGCAAGAGAAGGGAAGCGGCTGCTGTCCCCGGCAGCCCCGATCTCGAGACATGGGGCGAAGAGACCGCCGGCACCTGCAGAACTCTGGACCCGGGCATTCACCTTTGACGTCGACGTCGACAAGTGGGAAGAAGGGAGGCGTTCAGGGGATCTTCATGTGCGTACTCCGCGCGAATACGTCGACGCGGCGGATGGCTAGCAAGAACCGTGAGTCAATCCTATACGAAGTTCCGCGCGAGAACTTCGCCGTCACCACGGAGAACCATCAGCCACGACACGAGAATATCTTCGTTCGTTCGTTTATCATGAAGAGACGATGTGTCCAAGAGCCCTATTAAGAGACGCAAACGAGCTCGCACAAATTGTAACCAATAAGGGAGTATTATATGCATAGCGTAGATTCCGCAATTCCTACACTACTAAAGACAGCGGGCCGTAACGAGGGGACTATGTCTAGAAGTGGATGGGCTTGTCGAACGCAGCCATTGCCGCCTCCTTGAACGCCTCGCTGAGCGTGGGCTGTATGGAGAAAATATATGGTGAGTATGAATGTCCTTGCAACAGGTAGGGAAACGGAACGTACGTGGGCGTGGGTTGTCCGCGCAATGTCCTCTGCGCTCGCACCGTACTCGACAGCAAGGACACCCTCCGCAATCATCTCACCGGCGTTAGGGCCTGCAACCACAACTTGTCAGAAAAACCTGTTTGGTATCATGGAGACTATATTGACTCACCGATGATGTGTACGCCGAGAATGCGGTCGGTCTCCTTCTCGGTGATGAACTTGACGCTGCCCTCGGTGTCGAGGTTCGTCTTCGCACGCGAGTTCGCTGCGAAGGGGAACTTGCCGACCTTGTACTGCACACCCGCGGCCTTGAGCTCTTGCTCGGTCTTGCCGACCCAAGCGACCTCGGGGTGGGTGTAGACGACGGACGGGATCGCGTGGTAGTTGACATGGCCGTGGCCCTTGCTGATGTACTCAACGGCGGCGATACCTGCACGCACAAGGGAGGTCAATACCTGCCCGGACAGTATATGAACGTGGGAGAACACGGACCCTCTTCCTCGGCCTTGTGCGCAAGCATCGGGCCGAAGGTGACGTCACCGATGCACTTGATGCCCTTTACGCTGGTGTTGAACTGGTCGTCGATGACGACGCGGCCGCGGTTGTCGAGCTCGACACCGGCAGCCTCGAGGTTGAGGCCTTCGGTATAGGGGCGACGGCCAACAGCGACCAAGACGACGTCCGCCTCAAGCTGTAGGGACTGCATGAGACTCCGCGGCGAATGTATAATTGTTTGCAACATACTGTTTCCTCCTTGCCGCCCTTCGCAGCCTCGGTCTTGATGAAGACCTTGCCGTCCTTCTTCTCAGCAGAGAGGACCTTGGTGTTCAACATGAACTTCAGGCCCTGCTTCTGGAGAGAGCGCTGGAACTGCTTGCTGTACAGACTATGAGTGTCATTCGCAAACTTGTAAACGCAATGGGACGTACGCAATCTCCTCATCGATACCCGCGCCACCAATGCCACCCAAGAACTCGACAACGGTAACCTGAGCACCGAGACGGCTCCATACGGAGCTCATCTCGAGACCGATGATACCACCACCAATGACAACCATCTTCTCGGGGACCTTCTGGAGCGCAAGAGCACCAGTCGACGAGACGATCTGCTCCTCGTCGATCACAATGGAACCACCGGGGAAGGGAGAGACCTCAGAGCCGGTCGCGATGATGATGTTCTTGCCGTTAACCTCGGTCTCGCCACCGTCGTTCAGCTTGACACTGAGCTTGGTGGAGTTGACGAAGGAAGCGGTGCCCTTGAAGTAGTCGACCTTATTCTGCTTGAAGAGGGTCTCGACACCCTTCGTCAGGCCAGTCACGGCATCCTCCTTCGCCTTCAGCATCTGAGGCAGGTTGAGCTTGACATCGGTGACTATACAACGATGGAGACCGTTCGTCAGTTATTATGAACGTGGTTGGGAAGCGTTTGCGGACACACCATCAATACCCCTCCGCTTCAGGTCATGCTGCGTCTGGTGGTACATGTGCGAGTTGTTCAACATAGCTTTTGAGGGAATGCATCCGACGTTCAGGCAAGTTCCGCCAAGAGCACCACGCTTCTCAATACACGCCGTCTACGGTCACGAACGGGTTGAGTGCGCTGTCCGTGCTGGTCCGATACAAGCAGAATGAACTCACCCGCAGACCGTGCTGAGCGGCCTTGATCGCAGCGACGTAACCACCGGGGCCTAGCATGCATAGTTAGCATCGCGTCGGAGCGGATTCGACGAGGTAACTCGCCTCCACCGATGATGACCGCATCATAGGGCTCGGAGGAGCTGGCAACACCGCGCTGCTGCTGCCAGCGACCGACCTGGGCACCAGCAGTCTGACGCAACCGGCGCACAGCAGCCTGCATATACATCAGTACAGGAGTTCGGCCGCTGCAGTCGATCGTGGCACGCATACCCGGGAGGAGGATTTCTGAGCCTGCAACATGACGAAGAGGTAGGAGGAAGAGTTTTGGTGACGGAGACCGCGCGCGGCCGAGTTCACTCAGCATCCCGCAAGCGCCCATACCGAGCTCCGAAATGCACCGCGACCAATCATCGCCCTCGACGACTTATGAGACGATAGCTGATGCATTACAAGCGTTTTACACATAGGGATAATCTTATACAGACAGCACGATGAGAGACTAATCATGCGCGCCGACCCCGAGGTACTACATGGGAGGTATAAAGTACCAAAGCCCGGAGGGAGGCTGTCATGTTAGCGCCGGGGATTCGGCTATGGGACCAGCTCGAGGAGTCGGACGCCGGGACAGTTGACCTCGCGATATCTTCAGCCAAGATGTGCTCAGGTCACGGAAGACTGAAGACGTCACTTTGGGACAAACCCGATATGCACGCGAAAAACGCTGATGGTAGAACATCTCGCGACAGTCTAGACCGTCCTGTGCACCTGTGTCGCCTTGAGGTAAAACTAGTCAGGAGGGATGGTAAGAGGCGAATCGAAAAAAGGCGCACCGCTGCAATGATGTGGTAGAGGCGAAGGGGTTCCAAATGACGCAGATAAGGCTGCAAGACCCATCACTCATCAGCTTCTTCCAGCTCCTCGTCCTCGTCGAAGTCCTCATCCTCTTCTTCGAGCGCGGCTTCCGCCTCTGCTTGTGCTTGAGCGGCAGATGAAGCCTGAGCAATAGCTTGCTCCAGGAGCTTTGTCTGCTCTTCCGAAAGCCACGAGAGGGAAAGGGGAGGTGGTGTGGACGTTTCCGTTTGTTCCGATCTTGCTGGTGCTTCCGTGGGAGGCTCCGGGGGTGGGTCCAACGCCATAGGTTCATCGTCCGCGGGAGGATGCTCCAAAGGTTGTTCCGGTGCAGCGGACGCGGGTGGTAGTAACTCTTGAGGAACGGCCGTCTGTTGTGCGCGTGCAATGATGCTGGCCAGGGTCGACTGGCTGACGTGTGGAGGGGGCATCGGCGCGGGCATAGCTGGAGGACCGAGACCTTTGGAGACCTCAGCTTGTAGTAGGCCGTGTATCGAAAGAACGATGTTATGTGCCTCGAAGACGATCCCCGGGTCGATTTCGCCCTCCTCGGGCCCTGCGTGTTCGTTCATAGGCATTCCCCCAGCTGTTGTCGCGGCGATGCCGTTCCACAGCTTCGCGCGCCGACTGCCCTCTTCGTCTCCCTCCCCCCTCTCGACCTCGACCTCTTCCACCTCGGCGTATGTGCATGCAGTGTCGACCGGCTCGGCCTCGCCTGGTCTGCCCTTGCCGCCCGCCCGGCCCCTAGCATCTTTGTGGCGCTTGATCGCGTCCCGACGCGAGAATATCTTGTTGCACCCCGCGCATCTCCACGCCTTTTTCTCATGGAGTAAAGCATGACGCTTGAGGTCATGGTTGCGAACAAAAGAGGCAGGACAGTGCATGCACCGATACGGGCGGTGTTCTAATGTGTGGAAACGCTGATGTGTGCGCAAAGAGTAGAGTCGGTGGAAGGTCTTGCTGCATCCAGGCACCAGGCAGGGGTAGACGGCGGTCCCGATGTCAGGTGGGGGAGGGGGAGCGCTTGGGTGCGGGTGCCAGTGAGAGGGATGGTGCATCGGCGGGTGTCCGATGTGTATGCCGCTCAGCACCCCAAGCATTTGCACGAGGCCCGCCAGCTCTTGCAGAGCCGGCATCCGCCCGTCAAGGGCGCGTGGGGCCGAGGTAACCGCGAAGAGGAAAACCTGATGAAGCTGGAGTTGGATGGACGAAATCAGCGCAGGCTCTACCGAGGGGCGGTGGGCAGGGGCGGACGAGAGCGCGTGCGAGATAATGCGGACGGCATCGCTGAGCAGATGCAGCAGGTCGGGCTGGTCGATAGACATAGAGATGCGCTTTTGCGGAAAGCTGGGGCCCAGCTCGGCATGGCGGCCGCCCTCGTCCGCCTGGTCCCGCTTGCGCTTACCCTTGTCTAGCTGTAGCGCAGGCGCGTCAGAGTTGCGCAGCGAGCCAAAGAGTACGTCCGACTTGGCGAGCGAGAGCACGATCTCCGTGAGGGTGCGCGCGAGCGGCTTGGGTATTGAGGACGCGGAGATGCAGCGGTTGAAGACATCGAGAAGGTTCGCACCTTCGATCCCCGGGACCTGGGAGGTGGTCATGGCAGACTGCACCACCGGGTTGTGAGACGCGAAAGAGATGATAGCCTTCATCGTCAGGAGGGCAGCATCCTGCTTTTTTCTATATGTGCTTTGCGGAGGGGCTTCTGGATGCTGGTGGTGCACTGGGACATCTTCAGTTCGAGATGCGGGAGGAACGCTTGCGCTTCCAGAGACTGCTGCTGCTTCTGCTTGGGCTTTAGCAATGTCGGCGAGTAGTTGATCCCCGAGCCTCCGCGCCATTTCCTCGGCCTCCGCATCTATGTCCTCTCCTTCATCATATTCGTCGCCCTCGCCGTCCTCGTAGCCCTCTTCGTCGTCATAATCCTCACCCGCGTTGGTGGAGAAGTCGAAATCAGGGAGTGTGATGGACATGGGCGAGCAGCGACAGGGCAGGTTAGACCGAATCGGGAAACGAAATCTCGTGCCACAAATTCTGCATGGAGGATGTGTGGTCTTGTTAGGATCCGGGGCTATCATCCCCATCAAAATTACCAGAAGGAGAAAGATGACGTCCACAGTCGTGCCGCCCTCGCGGGTCAGTCAATGGCTTTGCTCTCAATACTCATGACCTCTAGACGCGTTCTCTATACCACGACTTCCACGAAACGATAGTGACACACAGATGGCGCAGCAGCCCCAACCCCCAAGCGTCCATTTGCATATACCCCAGTCCACCAGCACTGACTCCAGTGGTACAATCACGCCCATATCCCAGCATTCGGCCGCCCTGCCCTCGGCCGCTGCATCTACTCTCGAAACTGCTTCCTCCAAAGAAACACAAAGTCTTTCCACTACGCTTGCGGGGCAACCCTCTACCTCGAAGCCTGCGCAGCCGCGCGTAGACGACCAGTCCTTGGCCTTCAACAAGTTCATTCTGTATGAGAACCGACTGCGCTTCTATGTTGTCGCGTCGAACACCTCCGACTCACGACACCGCATAATCAAGATTGACCGGACATCACAGGATGAGCTTGACGCGGTCGAGGATGAGGCCATATACAGCGGCAAGCAGATGAGCAAGATGCTCGAGATGCTCGAGAACGGCAACAAGGGTTGTGGTGGTCTTGGGAGGGCCAGGATGTTTTTCGGTGTCGCAGGTAAGTGAAATGAGATGATCTCTGAGCCTGTCATCCCAACGCCTATTTAGGGTTTATCAAGTTCACCGCCGGGTGGTACATGATTCTCATCTCAAAGCGTTCCGTCGTCGCACTCATCGGAGGACACTACGTGTATCACTGTGAGAGCACGGATATCATACCGGTTGCGTTCAACCACAAGATAGACAAACCTGCCGAAGAGCAGCGCCTCTTGAATATCTTCAAGCAGGTGGATATGACCAAGAACTTCTACTTCAGGTAGAGCACTATCCATCTGCCGTCTTCGTACTGCCGTGTTCAGTCCCGCGTACAGCTACACCTATGACCTCACCTCGACCTTGCAACACAACCTTACCAGGAGCGGTCTTTCGCCGTGTAGACAATGGGACATGAACGACAGATTCGCGTGGAACCACTACCTGCTCACAGCCGCCTTCGGCACAACCTCCGGGCCCTCCACAAAGTCGCACTGGTTAGTTCCCCTTATGCATGGACATGTCGACCAAGCCAGTAAGTGAAACGGTCGCCTCCGCTCCACCTGATGAATGAACAGTAGGCCGCAGAGTTGACGGTCTTGGGACGCGTGGTCTTCATTACGCTCATGGCACGGAGGTCCCGCCACCACGCAGGCGCGCGGTATCTAAAACGTGGAGCCAATGATGAGGTAGGTCTAAGAATCAAACCAGGTGCATGCATCGTACTCAAAGACATCAGGGTAATGTGGCGAACGAAGTCGAGACGGAGCAGATCATCTCAGAGACCTTGACGACTCCGTTCTACTATCCTGCCCCGAAGGATGGTCCGGACGGAAAGCAGGGCCGGCGTCCAAGCCCGAACTACACCAGCTACGTCCAAGTCGGTATAACTATCATATCAAAACTAGACGTCCGCTCATGCACCAGCTTCAGTATCGAGGGAGCATTCCGATCTTCTGGACACAAGAAGTCACGAGCATGGTGCCGAAGCCTCCGATTGAGAGTTAGTGAGCCACACGACGTTAGCGAGTACCACTCACGCCATTTCATTCGCTAGTCCCCGTCATGGACCCGTTCTACACTGCTGCCGCGCGTCATTTCGACGACCTATTCAAGCGATACGGCCAACCGATCATGATCCTCAACCTGGTCAAGAAGCGGGAGCCGCAGCCTCGCGAGTCCAAACTTCTGGAGGAGTACACCCAATGTGTACGGTACCTCAACCAATTCCTACCCAGTGATAAACGGATGCTGTACCGCGCATGGGACATGGCTCGTGCCTACAAAGAGTACTCCCATCACCTATGGATGTCCTTGATCGAGAGTTAACCAAGGCAAATAGGAAAACGCAAGACGTGATCAGCTACCTGGAAGACATCGCGGAAGAGTCCATCGAGATGACCGGATTCTTTCACACCGGCCCCGAGCCGTATTCTCATTACCTGCAGACCGAGTCTGAGTATGATCTGTGTTCTCTCCTGCTGCGTCCTTTTGACAAGACATTGCTCCAGGGATGATGACTATACATGGCGCAGCACCATATCTGTCCAGAACGGAATCTGTCGGACCAACTGCGTCGACTGTCTAGATCGCACAAATGCTGCACAGTTTGTATTCGGAAAGCGCGCCCTAGGTCATCAATTATACGCCCTCGGTGTAGTCGACACGCCGAATCTCGCATTCGACTCCGACGCAGTAAACATGCTTACCGAGATGTATCATGACCATGGTGATAGTGAGTATCGCTGCGTAAGATCAGCTATGACATTGCTGAGATGCTTCACCGCAGGCTTGGCCCTGCAGTATACTGGTAGTGCGCTCGTGAACCGCGTGGAGACGTACCGCAGAATGCCTCACTGGAACAGCCACTCGCGCGACATTATCGAGAACCTCCGTCGATTCTATGCCAACTCTTTGCTTGGTGAGCCCAGCTCCATTTACCGGTCGATCCTCCCCTAGTAACACGTCACAGACGCGGACAAGCAAACAGCCATCAACTTGTTCCTAGGTGTGCCAGCGGAGAAGACGAGCACACGCGCTCCTCCTCAGCGGGGAAACTACCAGAAGTGGTTCAAGGACGAACATCTCCAAACGGCATATCCACAGGAGGACTGCGAGAAAGCTGTCAGGCAATACGTCAATACTCGGGGCGACTACTGGATAGAGTATTATCGACCACTGCTCTTCACATCCCTTGGCAAGCACTTCGCTTTCTCCATGAACAGCACTCTCAAGCTGCCGGGGTAACGCTCTTTCCATGCGTTTTCACACGAGGTCTGATCATGTGGCCTGTTTGGTCTACAGGAAGACCGCCCGAGATGTCAACATGAGCCCCTTCCTCGCGCATCACACCCATGCACATCACCCCAGGTATTGCATTTCCTGATCTATAGACGCTACCGATTAAACGTATGTTGCAGGTTGATGGACGGTGTCCGTCGATGGATGGGGACGAACTCGGGTAGCTCGCGTACGTCTCGCATTGACCGTGCACAAGAGCAGAAGTCAAAGAAGCCCCACACTGCCGACGAATCCGTACCGGATTCTCTCCCAGACATCGTCCTCAGACTTCTCGACCCTGTTGTTAAGGAAGAGGACGAGTACCAACAGTGCGTGCTACGTTCGCGGGCGTTAGAGGTCCCCGCTGACGCAGTGGGTCTGCAGATACATCGAGCAAGGACAAGAGCTTCTCGTGACGTCGAGTGAGGAGATCGACTACCTCAAATCCATCTACACGAAGTACATCAGCGCGGTCAACATTGCTCAGGGGACTGCAGAGCCGATTGAACTTCAGGAGAAGGACGAGAAGATCGTTTCCGCGTATGTCGACCGGGCAAACCCTCACGACCTAGAAGCAGGATTCACCACCACGAACTATGAGAAGATCATCGCCGAGTTAACTATGATGGATTGAAGATGATTATGTCTGACGACGTGCCGTATTTGTGCGTGTGCCCGTAGCTTCACAGGCTGCTTTACGCGCGTTGAGCGCTAATATCTGACCGTTGAATTCCGCAGTCCGCCATCACCGTTCAACGATGCAATGTATTTGTACTATTCCCCACATACCTTTAGGAACCTCCATGTCTAGTAGCGACGTCGTTATGAGGCAGTATTATACGTGCTAGCTAATTACCTGCTACTGGGCACATTTCCACGTGGAGGCGGTGCCACCACCTGATCGCAAATCGAATAGCAACGCAAGCCTGACATTGACAGTGACAGATGCGCGAAGCAGCAAGGTACACCTCAACCAGTTCCCAGTACAGCCTATGGGGTAAATTTTCTCAACTCTTGCGTCCCCAACATCCCACCAGCTGTAGACCGTTGCAGCACGACCAGGCCAGTGAGGGCCTGAATAGATACTAGCATCGGCATGCCTCTCCCAATCAAGAGGATTCGCAAAGCCACCGCCGACAATGCGCTCTCCGTCCTCATCCTCACCTCAGAGGTGACAAAACAGATCGCGGACATCATGCAGTTCCCGCCTGCCCAAGCCGCTGCCGGCGTCCTCCTCCTCGTCTTCGAGACCATCCAGGTGCGTAAGCGGCCCCGATCGACGGCGACTGCCCGGCACGGAACAGCTTTTTGCGATCGTGGCTCGTAAATGCATGCTTAATTGCCTTTGACGTCCCTGCAGAAAATACAGACGAATAGGGAGGGCTGCTACCGCCTCGCTCAGCGGTGCCTGGCTATGCTCGTCGACATCCGCGACCACATGTCGGACCGCTGGGACAGCGCACCGCCCTCGTTGCTGAAAGCCATTTCGCGCTTCGAGGAGTGAGTCAAGCGCAACGCACAGGTTGACCTGCCACTTACGCCACTGTCCTAGGACGCTCAAGTCCATACATAAGTTCATGCTGCAGGAGGCCGACCAGAAATGGGGCGCACGCTTGATTCGGAAGAGCACCATCGAGACTAGTATGAAGCAGTATCATACGGCCCTTGACGATGCCTCGAGGTCTTTCCAGGTACAGTCCTCTCAAGGATCAATAGAACGCTATCATTCATCGCAACGCTGTAGATCGCGACGCTCATCAACATCCACCTCGCCGTCGGAGAAGCACCAAGTCGACCGAAGGATGCAGAGGCGTCAACGTCCGCCGCCGCGGGGGCGAACACTGGCGGGGAAGCAAGGGAACCTACGCTTCCTCCATATCCGACCGGACAAGAGGTCATTGTCAGCGATGTGATCGAATTGTGCACTTCTCCCGTGTCTAGGTCGGAGACAGTAAGCCTTCGCGTATCGCCCAAACTGCAAGAAGCACTAACATGGTCTATAGACGGATTCGTTCAGTAACATCGACACTATGAGCACTATGAGCTTGCCCAGCTCGGGAGAATACGAGATCATCAACAGCCCGGAAACGGAGGAAGACCTCCGTATCACCGAGCACCATGGAGTAGCTTTACGCATTACAAAGGCCTCTGAATACCTTTTCTGACTTCAGATCAGTTCAACCAGTACCACCAGTCACAATTCCGCATGAAGGCCAAGTCCCGCATCAAGTCTGGCTGGTGGGCCGGCGGAATCGAAGGCGACATAGATGGAAGAAATTCAATGATGATACCGTACGAAGGTGACCGCCCAGTTGCGATGAAAGTGAGTAAAAGAACGTCGTATTGCCCTCTCTTTCCTCACGCTAGCCGTCAGCGATGGATGAGAGACGTTAAGATGCTACAAAACCTCTAGTGAGTCGTTGTGGTCTTCGATGCCTCTGCATATGTGCTAATTACAGGGTATAGCCATCCAAACCTGCCTCAGATGGTCGGATACTCCAATGACGAGACTCCTACGCCATTCATTCTTCTGGCAAATGGTATGTGACCAGCCGCTGCAGTGATGCCATATTAAACACTCGTATTTGGCTACATACAGTGCAAACACGACTTCCGCAAGCGATGCTTTTGGACGCCGTGAAGAACAGCAGCCTAGCAGCATGCACGCACTTGCTACTTCGCTTCGTACGTTTACCTTTGCCCGCCTGTGCACTACACCCTAACTCCCATCCAGTATCAGGACACACTGGTGTGCTACATACGGCTACTGCCCCTCCATATTGCTAACCGCATATATTGTCCAGGATGCCGCGCTGTACCTGCAACGGCAACGAGACCTGTCAGAGTCTAAGCTACAAGATTACATTGAAGTGCGTTCTGTGTCGACGTTTCTACCCTTGCAAAGTTCATAGACCGTCTGCCCTCCATAGGCTTCGGACTTCAGGATCGACGCGGAGCAGACGGTCGTAATGGGCCTCCCTCCTCCCGAGGTCGACAACATCGTATCGTGGAGAAACTTCGGCCTCGCCCATTCCATCCGGAGTGTATACCTCAATGTGAGTTCCCATAATGGAAAACGTATCGTGCATTGAGGAAAGCTAACAACGAACCGCGTAGATCTTGCCCAATCGAGGATACGCTCGAGAGCCATTCGACACCAGCGATGACTCCAGTAAGTCACCGTTCGCAACCATTCACGCAGGCACCTTACCCTACTCGACGCATCAGCGTCAAACGTGAGGCAGCGCAAGGTCAATCATCTTACGATGCTTGCGCGCGCCCTGCTGCCCGACTCGGACAATCTCGAGGTCGTGAAGAAGCGCCTACAAAGCGTCCTACGCGTCACGGAGGAAGAGGACGAGGAGGCCGAGGTGCTCCCCTTGACTTTGCGACAGATTCGCAAGGCGGCGTTCGCTGCGGACGTGCACAACCAATCGTGGTTCCGGAACAATATACCCCCACACAAATTCTCGGTCGGAGACCTTGGGTATGTGCCGAAGGGAGGCGCCGACGACTGGGCCGACTTTGTCGTGTGCTGCAACGTACTTGAGGATGGACTCGCCAAGTTTGAGACTTCTAACTCGGCAACAGGGAAGCAGGGGATGTGGGCCAACCGAGGTTATGAGCGACAGGACATACCGCCATTTGAATTACCTGGGGGCGTTCATGGGTACGCGGGATCGTTTCGTCCCTCTGATAAAGTGCCTCACATGCACTCCCAGGTGGCCAGTTGCCGTGCTACCAGAGGCCGAACTCGACATCTACGTTGTTGGTGAAACACTGACTGAGCGGGTCAACCAAGCATGGGACTGTCTACTCGACGCTGGCCGTGCACTTGCGAAGAAACACGGTGTCGCGCCCGAAGAGCTCATCCTGAGTAGGCGCATTTCAAATAATCCTTCGCACACACGCGCAATTCTGACATTTCCGACGCCCCAGTAACGAGAGTCGGGACTGAGCAGCGCTTCAAGGTCCGCGACCTCCGGCGGATCCAGTACTGGCCTGCCAATATGGGAATGCCCGCCTTCCCGCATCACCAGCAGCACTCATTTGCACACCAGCCTTTCGGGCATCAACCTTTCGGACAGCAGCAGGGCATGCGGGTACCGATACCGCACCAAGATTTGGGCCCCAAGATATTCTACCTGTTCACTTCGGGGGAGAAGAGCTTCCAGTCGCATTTCTCGGAGCGACCGATGCCCATACCGCCGGCAGCGGGCGAAGAACCGTCCCAGCTGGACGCCAACAGGGTCAAATGCTTCGCATATCCTACCGCGTCAGTTCACTCAGGCTTTCCCTGTTTTCGTTCTGGCTGACCTGTGTATCCCAGTACCTATGGTTTCTTGGATTATGTCCAGTTGCACGCGGAAGACTTCGCCGACTGAGGTCACATCCTATTTTCCAAGGGTTTTATCTACTGGATTATGTATGGTTGCAGATGTACTACTTCGTACCTTTGTTGTAGGGCTCCCAAAGCATAGGTGTGGCGTATACTACCCGCCGACGTTGGGCATGTGTTTCCGTTATCTCCCAACACAAGTCGTCCCCGATATGGCAGATCTATTGCCACTTTAGGCGCATGACGCACCCAGTTGCACGCGACGCTCGGCAACATCGTCTCTCGTCCAACCCTCATCGACTCGCGCGGAATCGAGGCTGTCCGTGGTTCCACTCTTTCATCCAGGACTTGTCCGCCAGGATGCCACACAACGCCTCCTGGGACCTCACGTCAAGCCTCCACGATGCATGTATCTAGCCGCAGGATACGGTTGACGGGCGTGCGAGACATCGGCATTGCGGAATGGATGGGACCGTTCCGTCCGATATGAACGTACAAGCGTCGCCTCTCGACATTGTATGAACATATGAATACCTCCTTTGGTGGCGAACCGACGGACACCGGAGCTCGCTGATCAGAAGGTGCCGTCACTTCACGTACTGCGCGCTCGCAGCGCTTACCACGCCTCCAGATAGCGATTGTGTCTCCCCCATGAGCCCCTAACTTCTCCCGGCCAGGGGAGACACTCTGGAGGACCTGGACAAATGAGGTTCCGTTGCCTTCTTGATGCCTGTGACGCCGCTTACGCGCAGATGTCCGACGTATCCGTCCAATACAGCGGGAGATCGCACACGCCGGTCGCAGCTTCTTATCGCGCGCTTGCACGGAGGTGATAAGAAGCCCTGTGGAGAACGAGCGCGAATTTAAGTATAGAACCCATGACCTTGCAAATAAATCCGCCCCCCGTAGTTCTTTGCGGACGACCATACCCTTGCTGTACGACCGCTTCACGACACCATGGACCACGAACGGGCTACACACAAGACGGCCATTGAGTTGGCGGATGAAGAGCTCCTCGCGAACTTGGGCTACAAGCAGGAATTCCAGAGAGCGTTTACAGGACTAGAGGTGCGTACATACCGCTTCTCTCTACACTTGCAGTAGAAGATGTCTCGACGTCATTTCTCGCCGGTACTGCTTGTGTGAATCAACAGGGCGGCTAACCGTTTGTTCATCTAGACATTCGGTATCGCATTCAGTATCATCGGATTGCTCCCATCTATTGCGTAGGTGAGATATGATCAAGCTGTGGACTTTCCTCACCTCTCTACCTAGATCGGTTCTCGTGTATTCCATCCCTGATGGAGGACCATCCGCCATGGTCTGGGGTGTAAGTGCACCTGCCCTTCGCATTTCGGAGTACCGGGTGTTCACCTCTTCTCACACAGTGGCTCGTTGCGAGCATCTTCATCCTGTTCGTAGGAATGTCGATGGCAGAGCTTGCCTCTGCAGCGCCCACATCCGGTGGAGTAAGTGTGCAATGATGCAATGCGTAGCTGCTTCCACGTCTGACACACTACCAGCTCTACTTCTGGACGCATTCATTATCCTCACCAAGATGGCGGAACCTGCTTGCGTGGGTTGTAGGATGTTCGTACTCGGCCATCCCTTGACTATTGGGAACGCTCTAATGCGCTCTCCCTCTCTAGATGCAAACACCATTGGCTCGATTGCATCCGTCGCGTCGATTGACTGGGGCTGCGCTGTCCAGATCACCGCAGCAGCGAGTATTGGAACGGGTCAGACGTACTCCGCTACAAATGCGCAGACCTTGTGCGTCATTCGCCTTGTTCGATTGATGATGCATCCTGACTCCTCTCAGCGGTGTCTACGTCGCGGTGGTGCTCACCCATGCCGTCATCTGCTGTTTCGGAACGCAGCTCTTGGCGCGTCTGCAAACCGTCTACGTTGTTCTGAACGTTGTGTATGTCTACACGGCGGTTGACTTCTTTAGTGGTTTCGTGCTCATGATTGTCCAGTCTGTGCCTCGCGGTCATTATCGCCTTGCCCGCCGCGACGCCGAAGGAATTCCGGAATACCGCGTCTTATGCGCTCGGCAACTTCACCAACAGTAAGCACTCGCAGCAGTATCGCGACCATCTCTCCTCTCTTATACTTCGCGACTTGTAGCGAGCGGCTGGCCTAGTGGCTTCGCCTTTATCCTCAGTTTCCTGGCACCGCTCTGGACTATCTGTGAGTTCGTCAGTGAACGCCCTTGTGTGCCGTTACTTACTTTCGTCACGAATCATCCCAGGCTCGTTCGACTCCAGCGTGCACATCAGCGAGGAGGCGTCTAACGCTGCTACCGCTGTGCCGTGGGCAATCGTCTACGCCATTGGCATTGCCGGAGTCCTTGGATGGGGTAAGTTACGTTTTTCAGCTTCGTAGATTCCAGAGATTCAATACGAACTTGTCCTCAGCGATTAACGTCGCTCTTGCGTTCTGCATGGGCACCGACATGGACAGCATCATGAACAGTCCGATTGGCCAGCCGATGGCGGAGATTTTCTTCAACAGCTTTGGCCAGAAGGGAACTCTTGCGTTGTGGTCGATCGTCGTGCTTGTGCAGTACGTGCCTCTACTATGACCATTGACTAGTCGAAGGCTGATATCGTATTTCGCAGGTACATGATGGGCTCCAGCATGGTCCTCGCTGCATCGCGCCAGTCCTTCGCCTTCTCGCGCGACGGCGCGCTCCCCTTCTCATCATGGCTCTACCGCATGAACAGCTTCACCAAGACGCCCGTCAACACCGTCTGGTTCGTCGCCGCGTCCTCTATCGCCCTCGGGCTGCTCGCCTTCGCCGGCGACTCCGCCATCAACGCGATCTTCTCCATGTCCGTCGTGGCGCTGTACGTCGCGTACGCGATCCCCATTGCCGCGCGCTTCCTCGGGGACAACGACTTCGCCCCTGGCCCGTTCACTCTCGGAAGGTTTAGTGCCCCAGTGGCGGCGATTGCAGTCCTGTGGATGCTGTTCATGGGCGTCGTCTTCTTGTTCCCGTCCTCGCCGGGTCCTGATGTCGCGGATATGAACTACACCGTCGTAAGCCCCATTTCCGCTTCACAGGGTGCATAGGGTGAATGCTGAAATGGACCACTCTAGGTTGTTCTCGGCGGCGTTCTGTTCCTGTCCCTCGTGTGGTATTACTTCCCGAAGTACGGAGGCGTGCACTGGTTCACGGGCCCCATCCCCACCATCGAGAAGAAGTCGCAGCAGCCCTCTCCCAGGACGTCTACGTCGGATTCCGTGGGGAAAGAGAAGGAGAAGGCGGCGGTCGATGTGAGCGAACGCGAGGCGTCATGAAACCGTCGCTTCGTCGGCGAACTCTCTGGATTGGAGGCGTGTACGACACTGAACTGTATAATTCACCACCTGAACGGATAGACCATTTTCTTATCTCCGCGAGCGTGTGCATTCCTCCCGAAGAAAGAGAGAGAGCCGCCGGAGGCCCTCAGCGGCGCACTGAGACTCAGACGCGGCGCCGGGCGAGCTCCTCGCGATCCTCGTCATGGTCAGCCACCATGCGGCCCGGGTGATCCGGCTGGAGTTGTGTGATTGTTTTGTGACTCCGGTCACATTGCCCAGAAGAATGCGGTCAGTGGCTGGCCTGAGGCCTCACTCAGCTTGCTCCCGACCACCACCGTCTCTGACCTCGACGACGACGACGGCCTGGTGCCGATATTCCACTTTGATCTGCTGCATCATCCTTGCTTTGAACGCTTTGTGTCTGCACTTGTCTCTACCGCGCATCAGAGCTCGAGCCGGCTGTAGCACTACCAGATCAAGATGCACTCCGATGCCTTTGATGTCATCCCCTATGAGGTACGTGCTCATGCTTGCTCTCCACTCAACCAGTGCCCATGAGGCCGCTTAGGATATAAAAGGCGACTGGAAGAAGCTCGGCTCGGGGTCCTTTGGCAATGTCTACAAGGGTGAGTGCCGCACACAGACGGACGCGTCTGTGCTGCTGCGGGGCGGGGCTGACTTTAGGCTTTATAACAGCGACCTACCTCGGGATCGATGTCGCGATCAAGGAGGTACTACCATCGAACGACTACGACGTCGCCAAGTACTTTGAGAGGGAATGGCGGCTCATGAAGTGCGTTATACCTCTCCATTCCTGAGCCCCTCTCATCCCGGCACGCATATAGGGAGGCGCGCCATCCTAATGTGGTGCTCTACCTCGGCCTCTCCCGCGCTCCGGACGGCCGCATCTTCATCATATCGGAGTACATCGAAAGCGGCAACCTGCGCATGTACATCCACGACAAGTCGAAGCCATTCCCATGGCGGCTCCGGCTCTCCTTCGCCACAGACATTGCACGTGCCCTTGCCTACCTCCATGCGCGCAAGTGCATCCATCGTGACCTCAAGGGCGAGAACCTGCTTGTTACCGCGAACGGGCGTCTCAAGATCACCGACTTCGGGTTCGCGCGCATCGCCGCGCGTAACGAAGAGGAGAGCAAGCGCCTTACGTTCTGCGGCACAGACTCGTACATGTCGCCGGAGATTTTGCTTGGCAACGAGTTCGACCTTCCGACGGACATCTTCTCTCTTGGTGTCATATTTTGCGAAATCCTGTCGCGAAAGCTCGCGGACGACAACACCTTCCGCAGGACCGCGCCGTTCTTTAACATCGACGAGGACGAGGTCCGGACGTTGGCTAGCACGGGCTGTCCACCGGGTTTGATTGCGCTTGCCCTGGACTGTCTCAAGCAAGTGCCCGGCGAACGCCCCAACACGCGGGAAATTCTGGACCGTCTTAGGGAGATCGAGGCGGAGGTGCTTGCGCGGCCGGAGGCGGACGACATTCATCTGGGAACTGTCAGATTCATGTCCGGGATGCGCAGACCGGGCGCTGCCCCGCGAATCCCGAGCTTCGGTCAGGGGATCTCCGCCATGGGCGCCGCATCCAAGACGGATGTCCATTCTAGCGACGAAGACAGCGACGATGAGTTCGCGAAGGTTGTCGATGGGCTTAGCAAGGTCGATCTCGCAAGCCAGTGGAGCGGCGCAACGGACGGTATGTTGTCGGCTGTCGTTAGTCAGCTTACATCCCCCTTACTGACCATAATAGGCCATGCGAGCAATAACAGCGCACAGCCATTGATCGACAGCACGTCGAGCACGTACTCGGATTATAGCACGACGGTGATCCGTGGTCACTCGCCCGCATACACGGACGCCCCACCGTCACTTTCCTCGATCCTCACTATACGACCCTCGCCCAACCCCAACGGGTCAGACGACCTTAATGGCCATCCTCTCGCGACGGGTGCACACGGTCCGACGCCAACTACTACCACTATACCCACCCCGTCGGACTCAATGCTCTCGATCGACTCATTCCACACTGCGTCCTCTTCCAGCATGATCGCGCCTTCCATCGCGGTCGCAACCGAAGGCGGGTCGACGATCCGCGGCTCAACTCTTCCCATGGTTCACCGCTTCACGCTCATCAAGCCGGGCTCAAAGAGGACCACGAACGGGCGGGAGAAGGACGTCCCCGTCCGTAGCGCGTCACCGTCACGTTCTACAGAGAACCTGTGGAACCCGCTGGAGCTGTTCTTCACGAGCACGTTGTTGAGCGCAAAGTGCGACGTCTGCGCGAAACGCCTCGGGTGGAAGCCTGTCTTGGAGTGCGATGACTGTGGCATGAAGTACGTCCACTGAACCATCCATTTGTAGCGAGTATTGACTGACATACTATAGAACACACATCAAGTGTGGCGACCTCGCGCCCATGGACTGCGGCGTCCGTGCCATGCAGCCGCCACCCCAGCACACGACCCCGCAGACCTCGCCAAGCGCCAAGCTGAAGGCGAACGGAAAGCACTCTCCGAAATGACCGCCATGACCGTCACGACCGTTCCCCTGCATTCACGACCTTCACGAGCACCAGCCAGCGATCCGTTCTACATCCACATCCGCCTCCGTATTTATCGAGCTTGCGTTTCCCGGACCCGTTCTCCTCTCGCAATCATCCCACAGGACATTCGGTGTCTGCATGTATTCTTATACCCGGCGCATGCCCAGTAATCGACGAGTCAATAGAATGTGTAGCCCTAAGTACCCGATGCACGCTCCGCAGTGCAACGCGCGCACGATGTGTACGATAGCGGGATGGGGGTGGGTCCTGTTGTAGGGCACGATCCTAGTGTGACCTGGGCGCGGTGTGACAGACGCGACAGGCGCGCGTCGCGTAGATAAGAGAGGCGCGCTGCCTTTTACGGGCGTCTGTCAGAATTTTCTGCCGCCAAAGAAGCCACCCAGAGATTTCAGCGGAGTCGAGTCGAGTCCACCCGGCCGAGTCAGATCCTGCCTCCTCCCTCTCATCCTTTCCTCACACCACCACCATCATCTGCCACCATGTCCGAGTCCAAGGGCCGTGTTCTTCTCGCGTACTCCGGGGGCCTTGGTACGTCGCGCGATGCGCACAAGTGCGCGATCGCAGTCCGCGCGGGGTGCCTGTACTGATCGCGCGCGCGCATACAGATACTTCGTGCATCCTCGCATGGCTGATCGAGCAGGGCTATGAGGTCGTCGCCTTCATGGCTGATGTCGGCCAGGAGGAGGTGCGTTGATCGCTTGCGCGTGTTACGCGAGACGCTACAAGGATCGGGTGTGCTAAGATCGTGTACAGGACTTTGAGGCTGCCCGCAAAAAGGCCCTCGCCGTTGGCGCGAAGAAGTTCTTCCTTGAGGTACGTCTGAATAATCGTACTCGCGATGCATTTCTCATTATGATCTGGTTGTACAGGACCTCAAGCGCGAGTTCGTGACCGAGCTCATCTACCCCGCGCTCCAGGCGAACTGCATTTACGAGGTGCGCTGAATACGCGCTCGCCTACATATCCTTTCGTTGACGCTGGTAGGGTTTCAGAATGTCTACCTGCTCGGTACGTCGCTTGCGCGGCCGGTTATTGCTCGTGGCATGATGGCCATCGCGGACCGGGAGGGATGCGAGTAAGTCCCCTATATCATTTCAGTCGTCGCGTGAATTAAACGTCTACTGCCTTCAGCTTCGTCTCGCATGGCTGCACTGGCAAGGGCAACGACCAGGTCCGCTTCGAGCTCGCGTTCTACGGTCTCAAGCCCGACATCAAGGTCATCGCACCTTGGCGCATTCCTGGTGGGTTCCCATGCTCCTCCGCCGTCCTCCATCCCAGCTAACTTGTGCGCAGAATTCTACCACCGCTTTGCGGGCCGTCAGGCGCTCCTTGCCTACGCCGCCGAGAAGCAGATCCCCGTCCAGCAGACCGCCGCGAAGCCCTGGTCGACCGACGAGAACCTGTTCCACATCTCCTACGAGGCCGGCATCCTCGAGGACCCCGACACCACCCCTCCCGCCGACATGTGGAAGCTCACCGTCGACCCGCGTCAGGCCCCAGAAACCCCGCAGGCGCTCACGATCGAGTTCGCAAAGGGTCTGCCCGTGAAGGTGACCGTGCCCGACGAGAACAAGGTGTACACGGACGGCGTCGAGATCTTCCTCGCGCTGAACGCGCTCGCGCGCAAGCACGGCGTCGGGCGCATCGACATCGTCGAGAACCGCTTCATCGGGGTGAAGAGCCGTGGGTGCTACGAGTCCCCGGGCGCGACGATCCTACGCGCGGCGCACGTCGACCTCGAGGGCCTCACGCTCGACCGCAACGTGCGCGCGCTCCGCGACCAGTTCGTCACGATCGAGCTCAGCAAGATTCTGTACAACGGCCACTGGTTCACGCCCGAGCGCGAGTTCGTCGTCAGCGCGATCCCCGCGAGCCAGCGTACCGTCAACGGTCTTGTGCGTCTCGAACTCTACAAGGGCAATGTCATCATCAAGGGCCGCTCGTCCAGCGAGGTACGTATTCTGGGCTTAGGAAGTGGCCGCAGTGGCTGATCGTGCGATGTAGGGTCTGTACGACGAGAAGGAGTCCTCCATGGACGAGCTCGGGGGCTTCGAGCCGACCGACACGACTGGCTTCATCCAGATCGAGTCCATCCGCATCAAAAAGTAGGCATTCTTTGTAACCTCTTACCAGCACTTTCTGACGAGCATCGTGCAGGTGGGCGCAGGCCAACATCCGCAAGGGCCAGGCCGGCATCGAGCCCAAGGATGTCTACGGCAGCCGCGTCTAAGATCTGATTGGCGGGGCCTGAGGAGTAAAAGGGGTGGTCGAATGGAGGCGGATGTCAAAACTATAATGTATCATTACCTGCAGCGATGCCAATGTGACAAAAATCGCGATATAGAGTGGATGTACCTGAATTGCGCCCATCTTACTGTCCACTGCCAGCTTCAAGTTGGAAAACGTCCGCCGCGACACGAAGAGACTGTCGTTTTCCGATGCAGCACAATGTCAACAGAAGACAGTGTAAGTATGCTAGGCTAGCCATCCACCACGTTCAAATGTGTCTGCGCGTACTCAGGATATCTCCTCCCCTCCTCTACGTAAAAGGTATATGTCCGGTTTCAGGGTACCACAGGGCTGCCGGAAACACCTACAGCTTCCCATCTCTTGCGCTGGAGCAGCACAAGCCGACGGGCGGTCTCGCCCCAAGTGCAGATTGAAGTTAACTTATTCGGCTGAATTGTCAAGCGTGGAAACAGATAGTCGAGGAGCTCCGCGAGCGCGTCCGGCGCATCCACCGCTGACTTATAATCCGCCGACAAACACAGGGAACGTAGCCCGTGCGCGCGTGGGGGTGTAGTGAGGCGGACAGCCCCTAGATCCGGAATCGGCGTGCCCTCGAGCCATTGGAGCGACAGCTGTCCCAGGTCTGGGCAGTATTTCGCAAAGTGGAGGAGCGCGTGCGGGGAGGGCATGCCCACGTCACGGGAGTGGCGGTTGCCAATGGCGAGGCTGCGCAGACGGGGCATGGCGTGTGCGATGGCGAGCGCGTCGTCGTCGGTCAAGGACAGCGCGAACAGGCTTGGGGATAGCGACAACTCGAGGTGCTCGAGCTGCAGAAGCGTCGGGCTGGGGCGCAAGCCGCTTGCCCACGACGCACGAGTTCTACCCGGGCGCACTCTGCGGGGTTTGCGTGGCAAGAAGCCTGGCGTGATGGATATTCTCCGCAGGGAGCCGGAGAGGTGAACGGAAGTCACGTTTTGCATGCATTCGACCAGGTCGGAGAGCGTCATCGTTTTCTCCTCTGAGATCCACAATTGAGTTTCCCATTGTCAAGGACCGTAGGTTGCGGCAGAGGAGAAGCTCGGGCAGACATGCAGAGGTTGAACCACGCCAGTCTTCGCAGTCGATGATTCGAAGTATGGACAGGGATGTACAGTGTTTTGCGACGGGAGGAATTAGACCCCCGCGCCCGACGGCGAAGTGTCCAACCAGGCGGACTCTCCTTCCGCACTAAAGTCCCAGTCACGATAGACGGGCCAGAGAGAGTGGGGGGAGGAGGTCGCCAGAAGAGTGAACAGCTCGTCGCCCAGGCTTTCGAGAAAGCCATACCATCGCAGCCGTTGAAGAGAGGGCAGTTTGTGATCGTTATGGCCAACCAGCGCACGGCATGAGTTTCCTGCGGCGGCGGATTCAAGGCTGTCGGACGTCCTTGAGCTCTTGTACCCGAGATCCACACAAGTGCCACAAACTGGGATCAGGGAAAGGCTTCTCCTCCAGGATCTAGCAAGGGCAAGGATGTGAGATCTGCTACCTCTGACCGATCCTCGGATGAGACAAGCATAACAAACACTCACTGAGGTGTAGTGTACATCTGGTATCCTGCTATCTCCAAAATATGTCGCTTTAGGGGATAGAGGCCGGAAAATCCTCCAGAGCGGGGTCAAGTCTTCAAGCCCTTCCCAGAGGACTCTGCCGGCGGATTCGTAGAACCATCGACACACAAGTGCACAAATTGGCGCAAGTGACCCGGTCCATCTCGTCCTCCATGGGCTATAAGGTTTCAAGTATAATCTCCAGGATATCGCCACATCGCAGAGCTGTGTGGCACGCGCTGAGGTTGTCGTGAGCGGTCATGGATGTGCTCGAATGATGGAAGACTCGGAGGGTTGGGGGAAGCTGTAACTGGCAGGGATTAAGATCCGAAGAAACGGTGGTGCTTTACGGACGATATATCTAACGTAGAAAACAAATATCTACATAATAAGCGGTGCCTATAACTGCGGGATTGGGTTGATGGAATCTATGTACGTACATTGAGGTATTAGCATGGCATGAGCTAAACTAAGCGTGCGTGATTGTCAACAGCAAGAAAGCAGTGGTCCAAGAGAGCATTTCAGAATATGACCGGGAAAGGCGAGTAGAGACAGATGACAAGCATATGAAGCGCCGAATTTACTTCGGTGGTCTCTGGGGGACGAACGAGAGCACCTTGCGCACATTGAGCACCGGGAGGCGCTTGACGATCGCCGCGCTGCCCGCCTCCATGTGAGACGTATCGTTGCAGTTGTTGATGAAGTTCACCGCGCCGAGCGAGAGCAGGACGCTGAGCGTTTGGTCCATGCCCGCCCACGCGTCCATGTCGACGTCCTCGATAGCCGCGACAGTGATGTGCGCGATGATGTTAACGGTAGAAAGGCGGACGAAGGCATGTGGGTCGAGTTGTGCGAGAATATGCCCCGCGAGGAATAGGGAATGGAGCTTCGCATCCACTGTGAGGGTGACCAGGTTGGGTGGATAGTGCGGCACTATTGCCACTACAGGCGGACATTCGTTCACCTCCTTGGTGTCTAAAACGCGCTGACATGTGAGCTTGGTAAGATGACCAGATATGCTTGAACGCTACGAACCTTCCTTGCGCCAGCGGGGCAGGACAATATGCAGGTGTCGCAAAGAAGCGTACCCGGCGATGATCTGATTCAGCTTCGCAACCTGGCTCAGCCGGTAGAGCGAGTATATGAACGTCTCCGACTCGACATGGGTCACAAGCCAAGGCAGCAACGTGAGAGGGGTGGGCGCGTATGACTCCGTGATCTTGAGCGAGCGCAATGTGAGCCTCGCTCCGGGCTGCTCGGCGAAGTCTTGGTCAGAGGCGCCGTACCGCGAGCATAGCCGTCCACAGCGCAGAGTGTGTATGAGGGGATATGTCTTGACCAGCGTGTCCATATCTGCGTTGCAACGGAACCAGCAGTCGAACAGGGAGAGCATGTGGATGCGCGGGAAGGAGGACGCGAACATGGCAACGATATGCTGGTCGAAAGGGACATCCTTGAAAGCGAGCCGTACGACGTTGGTCAGACGTGGCGCGATGACAAGGGCGAAGACGCGGAGGTGTTTCGGTGGCCCCTTCTCCTCCAGAAGGGCCTGCAGAGACTCGAAGGCGGTCCCTTCGCCGGCCTCGAAGTACAGCTCGCGCACGTGACCGGCGATATGGGGGTTCTTGACGAAGAGCAGGACGGCGTTCACGTAGTTGCCCACTTTTATGACTATCCTGTTGAACAGGTAGTGCTGCGCCGAAGCGACAAGCGCGTGGCAGACGAGTGCGCAGCTGCGGAGTGTCTTGACATCGTTGTGCAAGTGATCGACGATTTGCTCTAGGAGTTCTAGGGGGAGGCGCCATTTCGGTTGCGGCGGTCGAGCAGCAGGTGTTCGAGCCTGCGAGCGGCGGTGCGTGATGCTAGTGGCGACCTTCCACGTGCGGGAGACAGTGCCGCGAACACCGTCCCACTTGCGCTTCTCAAAGAAGTTTATGTCGAACTCCTTGCTGATAGCCTCAAGGGACTGTTCCATCTTTGTGCACTTCGCGTATACTCTAATGCAGGGAGGGTACTAGCGTAACTGAGTCGTGAGCTGAAAAGTTCAGCGACCATAGGTTTCTCTGCTACTCACCTGTCGCAATTTCGCCTCTTTAGCCCAAGAAAACCCGTAGTTTCTGGTTCAGACGCGATGGCTTCATATGACCCGTGATGCGTTTTCAGCTCCCTTTGCTGAGACGAGCCAAAGGGACAAGGAAAAGTCAATTTCTCGTCCGTAGGTAGACCATAGAGCTCCAGAATAGGACAGCCGCGATCGCAGTTAGGCGTATCAGGGTCCCAGAGATGAGGTGGAGGGTAGCGAAGGACTGAGGAGGAGACCTGTATGGGCGCCAAGGGCATGTACTGGACTCGGGCGCTAGCACCGGCGAAGGCCGAAAGCGCGACATCCTCCAAATTCCGTGCTTGAGGAGACTCGCTCTGCTCGGTTTGCCCTGGTGCTTGGAGTCAGACGTTCCCTTTGGTATCTTTTTCGCGTTGCTTCTGGGCTTGACAAATTCTCTGAGCATCTGGTTTCTCGGGCGGTCGCTGTGCCGAGAAAAGTATCTCGGTAGGCCAAACGCTCATGGCGGCGCACGGAGAAGCGGAAGAGGATTGGGCACAACTTGAGCAGCCCCACTGGCGTGGTCTTGGTATCACGGATCCCATAAAGAGCGTAGAGGTGTGTCCGTAAGTCATATCATAGCGTTACACACGGGTGAACACCAACCTTGTGCAGGACAAATGGCTGCTACTCCCCGCCTTCCTGAAGGTGAAGGGTCTGGTCAAACAACACATAGACTCCTTCAACTACTTCGTGGACGTTGACATCAAGAACATCCTGAAGGCCAACAATAAGGTCACCTCGGACGTCGACCCCCGCTTCTGGCTGAAGTACACAGACATTGTGGTCGGCTTCCCGGACAGAACGGACGCGGACGCCATAGACAAGAGCGTCACGCCCCATGAATGTCGATTGCGCGACACGACGTACGGCGCACCTATTCTCGTGACGATCCAGTACACGCGCGGAAAAAGCGTCGTCCGGCGGGCCAATGTCAACATCGGCCGGCTGCCCATCATGCTCCGGAGTAACAAGTGTGTACTGACGGGACGCACGGAAGCTCAACTTGCGCGCATGACGGAGTGTCCCTTAGACCCAGGGGGATACTTCATCGTAAAAGGCACCGAGAAGGTCATTCTCGTGCAAGAGCAGCTGAGCAAGAATCGTATCATCGTTGAGGTTGACCCGACCAAGGGCGTCGTGCAGGCATCATGTACTTCGTGAGTCTATATTTGCCAAGTGCTCCGCATCACGGATAGCAAATTGATACAGCCACCAAGATCAACGCACGGCGGTCTTAAGTCGAAGACGTATGTCGCGACGAAGAAGGGGAAAATCTACCTCCGCCATAACTCCATTCATGAGGATGTCCCAATTGTCATCGCACTCAAGGCACTCGGCATCCAGTCGGACAAGGAGATTCTCTTGCTGACGGCCGGCAACCACGAAGCTTACAAGTCATCGTTCGCGCCGAACCTGGAAGATGCGGCCAAGCTCGGAGTGTTCACCCGCCACCAAGCCCTGGAGTGGATTGGTTCGAGGGTGAAGGTCAACCGGAGAGTCATGGGGCCGAGGCGTCCTGCTTGGGAGGAGGCCCTGGAGGCGCTTGCGACGATCGTGCTCGCCCATGTTCCTGTCAGCGGGCTCGACTTCCGGTCTAAAGCTGTCTTTGTTGCGACAATGACGCGACGCGTTCTCATGGCCATGGATGACGAGAAGATGGTCGATGACCGGGATTACGTGGGCAACAAGCGGCTGGAACTGTGCGCATGTTTTTTTACGTCGTGTGCGGCAGTAACATGAAAAAAAACTGACTTCGATACAGCGCGGGGCAGCTTCTGGCGCTCCTCTTCGAGGATTTGTTCAAAACTTTTAACGCCAACCTGAAGGCGGCCATTGACAAGGTCCTGAAAAAACCGTCACGCACAAGCGAGTTTGACGCGTTCAACACCATGCAGTTCCAGGGGGACCACATCACCTCCGGCTTCGTGCGCGCTATCTCAACGGGTAATTGGTCCTTGAAACGCTTCAAGATGGAAAGGGCTGGCGTCACGCACGTCCTCAGCCGTCTCTCATTTGTCTCGGCTCTCGGCATGATGACCCGCATATCTTCTCAGTTCGAGAAGACGCGCAAGGTCAGTGGGCCTCGAGCGTTGCAGCCCAGTCAATGGGGTATGCTGTGTCCGAGCGACACGCCAGAAGGCGAAGCATGCGGTTTAGTGAAGAACCTTGCCTTAATGACGCACATCACGACGGACGTCGACGAGGAACCGATCATCAGGATAGCGTTCATGCTCGGAGTAGAAGGTGCGCACTACAGTTCCCGAATGCGTTGGCGCCCCGTGCTTCCCTGACCTGACCTGTCTATCGTAGACATCAGTTTAGCGACCGGGACAGAGATCTATGGCCCGCACACCTTCGTCGTCAATGTCAACGGGACTATCATCGGCCTGACGCGGTATCCCGCGCGCTTCGTCAGCAACTTCCGACGACTGCGGCGGGCAGGACGGTTCAGCGAATTCGTCAGCGTGTACATCAACCATCACCACCGGACCGTGCTCATCGCGAGCGATGGCGGACGAATTTGCAGGCCCATGATCATCGTCGAAAGCGGCAGGCCGAAGGTTATGTCGGAGCATATCGCGGTATGTCTCTATCGCTTGACATTATCTTTGGCACTCACCCATCGATACGCCCCCAGCAATTGAAGCAGGGACAGCTGACGTTCGATGACTTCCTGCGCAAGGGTCTCGTGGAGTACCTCGATGTCAACGAGGAGAACGACTCCTACATCGCGCTGTACGAGAAGGACATCGTGCCTGGGACGACACATCTGGAGATCGAGCCGTTCACACTCCTTGGCGCCGTTGCGGGCCTGATCCCGTACCCGCACCACAATCAGTCGCCTAGGAATACCTACCAATGCGCCATGGGCAAGCAGGCCATTGGCGCCATCGGCTACAACCAGCTGAACCGCATCGACACCCTCCTCTACCTCTCCGTTTATCCCCAGCAGCCTATGGTGAAAACAAAAACGATCGAGCTGATTGGGTACGACCGCCTACCTGCCGGGCAGAACGCCACCGTGGCGGTGATGAGTTACTCAGGGTACGACATTGAGGACGCGCTCATTCTCAACAAGGTACAAGCCACGCTTTATCCGGAGCTAGCCTAGACTGACTATGTGACGGGCTGCAGGCTTCGCTCGACCGCGGATATGGGCGGTGTCAAGTGCTCAGGAAAAACGCCACACTCATCCGCAAGTACCCCAACGGGACGTACGTGTTCATCCCATCCCAATATGTCTAGGACGTGGTCGCTGAGATCTACATCTCCAGGTACGACCGTCTGGCGGATGCGCCCGTGGACGAGACCGGGCAGGTCCAGAAGAAGTACGACATCATCCAACCGGACGGCCTGGCGGGCGTCGGCGAGCGGGTCGACCCGGGCGATGTGTACATCAACAAGCAGACCCCGACGAACGCGAACGACAACTCCTTCACCGGCCAGGCCGCAACGGTCCCGTACAAGAACGCTCCCATGACCTACAAGTCGCCCGTCGCAGGCCAAATCGACAAAGTGATGATCACCGACACGGAGAACGATCAGACCCTCATCAAGGTGTTGATCCGCCAAACGCGGCGGCCCGAGCTGGGAGACAAGTTCTCGTCGCGTCACGGCCAGAAGGGTGTCTGCGGGCTGATCGTGAACCAGGAGGACATGCCGTTCAATGACCAGGGTATCGTACCTGGTGCGTGCCTTCGCACCCGCTCCTCACTGCAGCCGTGTCGCGTCCACGCCCGCCAGGCGGTGGCAGTGATTGATTGACTTTCTTCCGCGCCCCCGCAGACACGATCATGAACCCCCACGGTTTCCCGTCCCGCATGACGGTCGGCAAAATGATAGAACTGCTCGCTGGAAAGGTACGCCCCGGCACCGGCTCTGCTGCCATTGCATACACGGGCCCCGTGCGCGTGGCTCCACTGCCTGCATGCTGAGATCGTCGCGTCGCGTTTTAGGCCGGCGTTCTAGCTGGGAAACTCCAGTACGGGACCGCGTTCGGCGGCTCCAAGGTGCGTGCCGAGCATTTTCCGCTCACAAGCGGGTGAGACTGACTACGCTAGCACAGGTCGAAGACATGTCCCGGATCTTAATTGAAAAGGGCTTCAGCTACGCGGGCAAGGACATGCTCACGAGCGGCATCACGGGCGAGCCCCTAGAAGCCTACGTCTACTTCGGGCCTATCTACTACCAGGTATGTGTGCAGGACACAACTGTCAGTCTGCTGTCGCGCTAACCACTCGACAACTCCGACAGAAACTCAGTGAGTATATCTGACGTGCCGCTCGCGCAGGCAGGTTGTTGACGGCCGGCAATTTTATCTAGAACACATGGTCATGGACAAGATGCACGCTCGCGCGAGGTCCGTATGCGCATCCGATCTGCGTGAATGAATATGGCGTTTCTCATGCTGATGCATCGATTCATGTTTCCAGGGGACCCCGTGCAACGCTGACACGGCAGCCAACGGAGGGTCGGTCGCGCGAAGGCGGTCTGCGTCTCGGCGAGATGGAGCGCGACTGTCTTATCGGCTACGGCGCGACGCAGCTGCTGCTAGAACGCCTCATGATCTCCTCGGACCAGTTCCAGGTGGACGCATGCCAAGAGTGCGGGCTTCTTGGATACAACGGCTGGTGTCCGTACTGCAAGAGTTCGAAGAAGATGGCACAGCTCACTATCCCGTATGCCGCAAAACTGCTCTTCCAGGAGGTACGCCCCGGGGCCCGCTCTCCGCTCCGCGTCCGGACGAACGCTCACGGACGCATCTCTTCTTTTCGTGCGGCCTTCTAGCTCATGGCGATGAACGTTGTCCCGCGGCTGGTGCTGGATGACGCATGATGGGAATAAGAAGCAGCCCTAAATTATATCACACATCCGCATGTTTTGTCAAGGTATCACGTACATCTGTATTTTGCGCACTAACTGTATGACCATTGAAGCTTTGTCAACCGCATCCGTTGTCTGCGCATGCTGCTCATCTCCGTGTCCTGGAGCGCTGCGTCCAGCAAGGTGCGCCCTGGCGTCCCGCCTCTTTATTTGGCCCGGCGAGGGCGCCGCCAGTGCGATCGAAGGCGGAACGTGTATCATCGACTGTGGCGCGAAGGAAGTGGGAAGCATACATCTCGAAGCAGGTGCGTACGTTATCGTACCCCGTCGAACGCTGATATCGGACGACGTTGTGTACCCTACCGAAGCGGAGCGGAGAGCACAACAGGGGTCCACAAGGCGCACATGTCCATGTGGCGGCTGAAATTTTCCGGCACAAGGCAAGATCGCAGCACCGCGGACGGAGTCCCGCCAACGTCCAGGACCACAGAGACACAGCCAAGGGACTCGGAGAGCGGAGCGGCCTTGAGAGATTTGTCGAACGTAGCCAGCCCGTGTGCTGCTGGTCTGATAGAGAGAACAACACGCTTGATTGAGTTCAACCCCCAGCGCAGGGGGGCATGTGTGCGATTGAATTGCGCTGAGTGGATGCTGGCAGTCGCGGGACTCAGCTGAGGAGTGAATATGCCTCGAGGACAGGCAAACTGCACAAACGGCCATCCTCTCCCATCCCCCGCCGGACTTTGGGCGGGTGGTGGCGGCGGCGGGCGGCCCGCGAGTGAGTGCAAGCCGGAGGGGCCGGCGTACAAGAGATCACCGGCCCAGGCCGTCCAGCGTCCTCGCCGGCGCCTGTGTACGGTCCATCCTTGCTGCTCGACGCTCATCTCGCCTCTTCGTTCGACGTGCTCTTGCCGCCTACCGTGTCCGCTACGCTTGCTTGACAAACAGAGAAGGAGATGAACGCGCGTGGTGGAAGTTCTACCGCCCTGCGGCGGCTCATGACTGAGTACAAGCAGCTGACGTCCCAAGGTCTGCATCTGCCTGCCTACAGGCATCATCGCAGTTGTGCCGTATCTGTTCCCGGCTGATATGTTATTGTATCCGTTATTTTGTGTCCGTAGGTGCACCGGATGGCATGTTCACCGCCGGTATGCTCTGAACCCCCTGGGAACTCCGGTACCCGCAGCAGCGCTGACTTCTCGGGCGTACCGCATCCTCGTCCCTCGTCTCCTCGGAAGGCCCTATTTCCGAGTCCGATTTCTTTACCTGGGAGGCCCTGATCGTGGGCCCCAAAGACACCCCTTTCGAGGGTGGTGTCTTCCCTGCAGTCCTGACATTTGTACGTACTTCCATTAACAGCGCCCGCACACACTGCTGATGCCCAGTGCCCTGTCTGCTCATTGCTGCCCTTGTCTGAACCTATTCCTGTTTTGAAACGAATTTTACGGCGGCCATCTGTCCGTACATGCGCGGAAACATATCCGCTAGCCGTCCGACTACCCTCTATCTCCGTTCAAGATGAAGTTCGACCCACCATTATTCCACCCGAACAGTAAGTCATGACAGATACGCTACATCGTGGGATGCGCTACTGCGGGAGGGCACCCGCCCACCTCCGTAGTCTCCCCGATCGTACGGCTTCTTCCTGCCTTCTAGCGAACTAACCACTGCGCCCATCTGCCACGTTTTGTGGTGCGACGTCAGTTTACGCCGATGGCACGGTCTGCATCTCGATCCTGCACACCCCGGGGGACGATCCCACGCAGTACGAACAGGCCTCCGAACGCTGGAGCCCCGTGCAGAGTGTTGAGAAGGTCATCCTCAGCGTAATCTCGATGCTAGCGGGTGCGTTCATCACAGCCTCCCCGTGCCTTGTCCGATCCTGAGAAGTCACTGACCTATTCGTCGTATGTCATATTTCCCCTTTGCCACGTTCCTGCTCAGAGCCGAACCTGGAGAGCGGCGCCAATATCGACTGCTGCAAGCTATACCGCGATAATCGCGCGGTGAGTCCGCGGCCCTGTTTAGCTTCCGTCGCGGCGGAATTCGGGGCACTAACTCACATTGGACTGGTGCCCTGCAGGAATACGAGCGCATCGTCAAACGATCCATCCGCGAACAGCTGGGCCTCTGATGATTGGCTCCCCCGAGCGGCATAATCCCGCAGGTGACGCAGCCCAGCAGGATGGTTGTGCGGCCGATGCTCCGAACCATCCCGGCGTCCCAGTGTGTCTTGCTGTCCGGACGACGTACGTACACGGAGAACACCACCAACACCACCGCCCCGCTGCCGTCTTTCTGGTGAGAGAATACCGAGGAAATATGTACATATAATGTAACAACAGCTCCGCACCATCTCATCGCCGTGCCATGCCAACATCCGCCCGGACGCCCGCCACACCAGCGCTGCGTGCATAGTGTATACACTCGCCCGTCCCGCTCTCGCCATCGCAGGCTAGCCCCGGCTCCTCAAAGACCGAGTCGCCCGCGCTGCCATGACGGCCCCCGCTCGCGCACATCAGCCCTGCCTGGCCATGGCACACGCCGTCCGCCCGCGCCCGCGCCCGCACATAGCGCGCCGTTACCCTCGTCGTGCGACTCGTGCGGCCGCCACTAACCCACTAACCCAGCGCACACGTTCCCGCGGAGCGCGCCCGCCCACCCATCGCGCAGCTCGCCGGCGAAGCCGCGACGCCGCACGGCCGCCCAGTATCCAGTGCCCAGTACCCCCGCTGTGCCCCAGATCGACCCTAGCGGCGCCACCTACGTGTGCGTCAGGGCCCGGCCGGTAACGTTAGCCTGCGTGGGTGCACCCGGAGCGCAGGGCCCAGCTCCGAGTCCGCGAGGCAAGCCGTCCCCCCGCGCGCGCATTCAGACTCGGACGCGATCTCGCGCGCCACATCTCGTGCGCGGTGGCGAGCCGTGGCGTTCTCCCGTCTCCCGGAGCCTGCACGTCAGCCGGCGGCCGACGAGCTTGCATGGCATGACACGGACGGCGAGCTCGTCGTCTCCGGGGACATGCGCCACTGTGCATGCAGCCCCGGGGATTTAGTTATAAGTTTTGAGTATTTGCAAATCTGGGGGCGGCGAGGACGGTCGCATGGGTGGACCGTGGACGGGCGCGCGGCGCTGCGACCTCGGCGTAGTACGTACGAGGCCCAGCTGGCTGCCCCAAGCTTCTCCCGCACGCCACGGAGGTCAGCACGGGCTGATATAGTTACCGCGCTCCACGCGGGCGAGGGCGAGCGAGAAAGAGCCTGAGGCTTTTCATACTTACGACAGCGCGGAGCGCCGCACAACGTTACAACGTACACTTGGCTTAAGCTTCAGCAGCGCGGGCGGCTCGCCCTCGGGATCAAGCTCAAGCTTCAGGCGGACTTTATTCGCGGAGAGAGATTACAGAAGCGTTGTACATACACCGGGCGTACTAGAGAGGAGCGAGGATATTGACTACAAGACGGGCACCGGGATCGACTATCGTATGCAGCCGCCGCCCCAGGCAGGCAGGAAGAAAGGGTGGTGGGTAGATAGATAGGGCAGGTAGTAGCTAGTAGGCTAAGCGGGGGCGGGATTAGATGCGGCGCACCGGTCTAAGCTTCAGGGGCCGGAGAATGCAACGCGTCGTCCAATGGGTGTAGCGGCGCGCGCACGAAGACCGAAGACAGAGGTTCACGGCATCTTCTTGAAGACGCGCGCGCCCGCGGCGGCGTCCGTGCTGCCGTAGATGTGGCGCTGCACGTACGCGTTGCGGAAGAGGCCGGCGGGGTCGACCGCGGCGAGCACGCGCACGAAGTCGTCGAAGCGCGGATAGAGCGCGCGCAGCGCGGCGGGCCCGAGCGGGTGCGACTTTGCCCAGTGCGGCTTCCCGGCGTACTTGAGCATGATCGTCTCGAACTGCGCGAAGAGCTTCCGGTAGGGCACGTTCAGCCCGTATGGTCTGTGCGCGGGGTGCGCGGTGAGAGAGACGGGGGAAGACAGGGAAGAGACGGAGAGCACGGAGGAGGGTTACGGCGGATGAGGTAAGACGATCCGAGTCGAGGAGGCGAGACGGGAGCGTGGGTGGCGGAAGGCGAGGCAATGCGACGCAGTTTGCGAAGACGCGGACATGACGCAACAGAAGCAGCACGGCAGGACGAGCGGGCGGCGGCGCCAGGCACGAGAACACACGCGCGGGGCACGGAGGCGACACAGAAGACGATGCAGACGCAAACGCAAAGAGAGGACAGGGCGGTGAAAGAAGGAAGACGGATGGTGAGCTGCTGCTTCTTGCGCTGCGGACACGAGCAGGGGCACTCACTTGAACTGCACGAGGCCGATCCAGCACGTCCGCTGGGCGTAGCTCGGGCTCAGCCAGATGTCGTCGGGCGCGGAGAAGCGGATCTCGATGGACGAGTGCGGGCGGAGCCCCGCGGGGTCTGCGAACTCCCTGTCGAGCCACGTGCGGAGCTCGCGCAGGCAGGCCTGTGCGTGCTCGTACGAGACCGCCCACTCGGTCGTGAATTGCGGGTACTGTCACGGGAGAAGCAGGGCGTGCAGGGCAGGGCGGTCAGCGGCGAGGAGGGAAGGTGGGCGTGCGGGCAGGAAGGAAGATGGATGGACAGACGGCCGTCAGTCAGTCAAACGTGTTCGTGCGGGCGCGCGGGGCGGGCAGATCGGAGACTGACCTTGCAGTCGATGTTGAAGACGCGGTGGCTATCGTCGACGGTGACGGTCCTGTCGCGCACGAGCCAGGCCATGAAGCGGCCGATCCAGAGGTTGAGGGCTGGGATGTAGCGGCCAAGGAAGAGGAGGAACTGGAGGAGGTGGAAGCCGACGACGGAGTGCCAGAGCCACGTGCCGACGGGTTTCCGGGGCTGTGAGAAGGATGAGCGACGTCGGGAACTCGCGCAGGGCTGTCAGACAAACCTCGGACGTGCGATTTGAGCTGCTGACGCGGATGACGCCGGCGTGGGGGAACCACCAGAGGCGGACGTGCTCGGCGGCGTGCGCGATCGAGTCGAGGTTTCCCACCACGTCGTCGAAGGTATGCGACTCCTGGACCTCCTTCAGCCTGAACGCGGGCTCGACCTCGAGGGTTATTTCGAGGATGAGGCCGGTGCTGCCGAGCCCGCAGATCGACGCGAGGAACAGATCCGGGTTCTCCTCGCGCGAGCAGCGCGTGCGGGTGCCGTCTGCGAGGAGCAGGACGAGGGCCTTCACGTCCATCGAGAGGACGGGGTACTGCATGCCGGAGCCGTGGGTGGCGGTGGTGACGACGCCGCCGAGGGTCTGGTCGGAGATGGAGCCGAGGTTGCGCATGGCGAGGCCATGGCGGGCGAGCTCGTCGTGGAGGACGCTGAGGATGACGCCGGCCTGGGCGACGACGAGGTGCTTTTCGGCGTCGACCTGTGGGGAAGAGCACGGTGAGCAGCGCGTCCACTCAGTAGCGGAGGGCCTGGCGCGGGAGCCGGAGCGTGGACGACTCGGCGACGGCGGCGGCGCGGGCGGTGGCGGCGCGCGAGTGCCTGAGCGAGATGCGTCCCAGATCGAGTGTGCCATCGCGGGCGGCGATCTCCGCAATGACGAGAGATTGCGCGAGCCAAACACGCCCAAATAGGCGAGATAGCGATGGCGTCCCGAGCCCGCGTCTCCCGCCACTTTGCCTTCTCGCTGCACTGGCGCGGCGCGCGCGGCGCTGACTGGGCCGGACGGAGAAGGACTCACCTCGAGCACCCTGTTCAGCCTCGTCGTCCGCAACATAAAGTCCGTCGTGCACGCCAGGTCGCTCGGGCTGTGCCCGATCCCCGCCACCCGCACCGTCTTGCCCTCCCGCCGCGCGAGCTCCAGGACGAGGCCGCACTGCTCCTCCGTCTCGGGCTCGAACACGGACAGCGGCGTGCAGGTGTAGCTGAGGCCCCAGTTCGTGAACGTCGCGCGCGCGTCGTCCGCGCGCAGCGTGACCGGCGCGAGCTGCGCGTAGAGGCTCTGGAGCGGGATGGCGGCCAGCTTCGCGGCAGGCGCGGGTGGTGGTGGGGCGGACGCGTCGGAGGACATGGCGAGAGAGGAGGCGGCAGCGAGCGAACGAACGGTGTGGCCGTCCTGTGTGGCCGCGGGCTGGCAGGCTTTATAAGTTTTAGCCTGCGGCCAACGCGTCCTGATTATGATTGAGTGAGGCTGGCTGCCTCTTTCGATCGATTGCTCAGCTCGCGAGCCCCGACGGAGAGGCTGAGCATGCCCTCCGTCGGACGTGACCGAGCACCCGCGGGGCTCAGGGCCCTCGACCCAAGGCATTTGCCGGCCCCGGGCTGGGATATGTTGGGAACACCGCCCACGAAATCGCACCCGATCGGGCGGACGCTCCCTGCCTGAGTGCGAAATCGGATCCGGAATATGCACGAAAAACAACTTGCAACGGAATCCAAATCCCAAACAAAAAATACCCTCTGCCTCCGCGGGCGCCCTGGGCGACCGGGCGCGCGACTGCATGCGTGGGCGCGAGTTGAGCTGACTCGCGCGCCAGCCAGCGCCCGCGCGAAGCCAGCCTAGTCGTTTCTGGCCACCGACCCAGCAGGTTCGCACCGGGGGTCGGGACGCCCCCGCTCGAGCTGCTGTGCGTCCTTCGAAGAAATGCCTCGCGCCGCTGTCTGCTCCTCCGAAGAAGATAGAGTTTGTTCCGGTGTGCCCCCACCTGGCGCCCCCGATGAAGCGGACCATGGGCATATGTGCTAGGCACACCCCGCGTCCTCCTGGCACCTCCATCGCCGCATCTGTTGTCCGTTGGGTACTTTTTTTTGTGGCCTGTCGATCACGCAACGCAGCACATGGGGCGGTGGTCCACAGCTGCCAGATACGCCGCGATGAATGCTCGGCACTGCTCTCACCCACCCGCCCCCGCGCACCCGGCGTCTGCCGCCAGCCGCCCATATCAGGGCCCCAGGAAGGACGGCCTCGCGACCATCCTGTCACCGAGGGCAACGCGAGATTTCGGCAGAAACGTTACAAACACGCCTGCTGCGACGCACTTACGTGAACGTATCCCCGGCTTCGATACTCGCCCTCCCGCCTCGGCACACAAGGAACTCGACGGTCCACAACAGCTCGTGCGCGTGCGAACGCGATGAATAAGGGGCGTGCGTGCCGCTGCGAACGCCCGCCACGGGTGCGCGCCGTGCACAGGCCTCCCACCGTCCCATCACTGTCAGTCTCGCACCCTCGCACGGTGGGCCCTCGCAGCTGTGCGCAGGCTCGCCCCGCGTCATCGCCGTGGACACCCCGGAAGCCACGCCCGAGCTCCGTCGTGCCCGCGCGCTGCGTCCGCGCTCTCCTGGCGCTCGCCGGGCGCGAGGCAGCGGCGTCCATGTGCTCCTCGGAGTCCCCGTCAGCCTCATTGCAGGTACCCGTTTGCAAGTCCGCCCCCTGTGCACCTAATCTGCCCGCAGTTGCCGGGACGCAGATGATCATGGAGCCCGCGGACATTTCCAGTGTCCACCTTCTTCCACAGTTCCACTCGGGCTCTCGGAGGGCTTACCGGCGGCTGGGCGCGTGGCATGCGTCCGCTGCATGCCGGGCGGATTTTCGCAGGAACGAGCACGGACTCGGATGGAAGGCGCGGCGGCGGACGCGAGATGTACCAGGCCCGATAAGGACGTCGACGCGACGGTGGCAAGACGACGGGCAAATGGAGAGCTCTAGCGAGATCGAGCGCAACGCCGCGACTTATCGTAGGGGTACGCCCGGTCGCCCGGGCCCGCCGCTGCGCTCGTCATCCCCGCGGCGGATGGGAACACCATCGCGCGTCCGCCGCAGGACTGTTTAGCCTTGGGCTTGGGGCGCATCTTCTTCAAACTTCACGGTACGGTGCCGGACGGACGTCTGACTGTTCATCTTGGCCATTGGCTTGGACGTTCGACGTTTGGTAGCCTGGCTGCCGCCTGTCTGAGCACCGAGCACGCCGCACGAATCTCGCGTGCGGCGTCGTCGGTAGATGTGCAATCGCCACACTCGCCGCCTTGCGCGAGCAGATCGTATCGATCTGCTCGGACTCTGCCGCCCCCCGGAGCCGGCGCCGATCCCGGGGCAAGACAGTGGTCAGCCCGGCCTACGCTCCGGGGCCCCGCACTTTCTTTCACAGAAGGTGGCGGAGGCCTGCGGGCGCTGCCGACTGCATAATATATGAAGGGGCTAAAGTTGCGCTGCAGATTGGATCTGCCTGAGCGACGAGGGGCCTGCGCAAATGTATGAAACTAGACCATAGGAGGAATGAGTACTGCACGCCAGCCTCCGCGATGGTGCCCCAATTCAGGGAACCTACTGTGCAGTCTTGATGATCGAGTGCCAGCCTGAGCAGCGGAACCCGGCCGAGCGCGGGACTGAGATAGATTGCAAACTATCGAGGGCAGCTGCCAGCCTAGGCTGGATTCCGCCTCGCACAGAGAGCACCATCGTGATGGCCGGGTGCGCGGACGCGCGCAGCTGTCTGGTACGGTCCGACGAAGTGGCCGATGGCGTGTGCTGAGTCGTCTGCGAAGCGGAAGACCGCTGGCTAGTGCGCGGCGCCACGATGGTCTCTGACGCATCTGCACCATGCTTAAACGGGGTCAGGGACGCGGCGGGTGCCAGCTGGAAATACCCTGCGTCTTGGAATAGCAGCAGTTCGCCGTTGCGGCGTGAACATGCCTTGAGTGTACATCTATAGCTCAAGCAGTGAGTGTTCGAGCGAAGCGGGTCCGGACGCCGCTATCAGCCTGCGCGGGAAGATCTGCTTCGTCTGACGTGGTGCACGACAATATACCACTGATTCTGGTCCTCGCGCAGCACTTCGCCGCATCCCCGAGCCTCCACTTCGGCACGAGGCGCGCGCAGCGAAGACACAGCGCATGACCTCACTAGCTGTGCCCTGCTGCCGAGAAGTCCGCGCGCGACCCGCGCGACAGTGAAAGTGCCGAGGGCTGCCTCTTTCGCGCAGGAAAGCCGCCGTGCTGGGCGGACGATCGGCCGCCGGCCAGAGCCCGGGAACGCCCCGCACCCCTGCAAACCCCGGAGAAGCGGACGCGAGGGCCTCACAGCATGACGTGCGGCCGAGAGCGAGCATAGATAGAGTTGGGAAGTGAAAAGAAGTGTATCCAAGCGTAGGAGGCCCATGCCATATCGGAGGTAGCATACCAGAGATCGCACCGCGCCGGGGCCCTGCACGAGTCCCTCGGGGAGCCCGTGAGCGTGCCTGTGCGCTCACGAGCGGTAGTCGAAGACGACCCTGCCCCAGTCCTGGCCCTGATAGATGAGCACGCCGCGGACCTCGGCGCTGTCCAGCTCCAGCCCGAGCTCGAACTCTGAGCGCGGTGTACGAGGCCACAGATGACCAATCGGGGTATATGTAAAAAGAAAGCGAATCGTCATCAGTAAAGCTCCGTAAGGATGAGTTTGACGAGCACGAAAACGGAAGCAATCCACTGCGCCGAGAACGCTCTATAGGCCACGCTGCAGGGATAGAACAGCAGAGAGCGCGCAGTCGATCAGTAGCATCGATGCCCATAGCAGGGCGCCTGCATGCGCCATCGCGTTGCGCGCGCTCGACTATGCCGAAACAGAACAACGGGTGCATAGGGATGCGGAGGGCGAACGGAACGGAAGGCAAGGGCACGCACCGGTGTAGAACCCATTCGAGTTTGGCACGCTCGCGTTCTGCTGGAAGCTCGGAAGCGCACCGAGATCGATCGTCCACTTGCACAGCTCGTTGATCTCGCCCTGTGTGTGTCCACGGGATCGGGTGCAGCGGGGGAAGAGCGACGCGGAGGGTCAGCAATGCGCGCTACGTGTTTCCAATAACACGCTGCCTCCGACGCGGCCGAGGCGCGCGGGCGTGCGCCAGGACTAGGACGGGACCGCTCACCTCATCAGTGTACCGCATGATCTTATCGCTGTCCGAGGTATACAGTGTCGCGACGAACATCCGGTCTGCGGGCGCGCGACGCAGCGAACGCAAAGGCGAAACGCGATCGTAGACGTGAACGAAAATAGGGGAGCACCAATGGGGGTCAGGGGGTGGTTCATGTGCCGTAGGTCTGAGCGACGTACCGTTCGGGGTCTGCGAGAACTTGCTGTTTTCGGGGAATCGTGCAAACGCGCAAAAGTCAGAAGACCGTGACCGGCGCAGAGGCGGAGACCGGCGTACCAGAACGTCGTCTTGAGGCGTTGACTGTACCGAATCCGAGCACGGGCATCAAACTATGCAATAAAGGGACGAAGCAAGGGAGCGGTGCCACGTACCCCTTCCGCATTATAGCCCCCTTTGCTACCAGGTACTGCAATCTAATGAAACGCCGACCGGATGTATCAGTCCGTGTCCACTTCCAGTGTGGTCGCGGCCGCGCTTGCCTGCTTTCGCATATCGCGACCCCGGCGTCGTTCTCCCGGATATAGGCTGGTCTCTTCAGCCAGTCCTCGTTCTCCGCAGGTAATTTGACCTGATCGTGTGTGAGTCAAGTCCACGAAAAGGGCAATCGAAGGGGGATGGGTGCAATTACGCAGCGCTCAACCTACCTTTAGCATGTATGATTGTGGCGCAATTACACTCGATACGAGTGGCCGCCGAGCCAGCCCGTACTGCGCCGCGCCTCGCACGGTGGCCGTGTCACAGTCGGCGGGGCGCGCGATGACGCGAATACGCGACTTGAACTGCTCCTGCGGCCGCCGAGAAGACGCGCATTAGTACGTGTGAGAGGCCGCTTTCGCGTCCCTGGACAGGGTGCAGAAGACGAATTTGGGCACGTACCTGCACCTTGCGGAACAGGTACTCGCTCGCGGAGAAACCTCCCACGAGGAGAAGCGCATCGAGCCGTCGATTGACCTTCTGCGTCTGTGCTTCGATCAGCTCCAGGACCTGCAACGAAGCAGTGCCGTGCCGTAAGTTTCTCGGTGGTGGGAACGCCAGGGCGCAAGCCCGGCAAATAAGCTGCCCAGACCGACCTCGTCCACCACTGGGTCGAACACCTCCCGCCTGAGCAGGTTCCCGGGGATCGCCACCTCGCCGTTCACCAGGCCCACTGCGGGGTCGTCGGGATCCTCCACGTTGAAACAGGTAAAGTGGAACATCTTGTCTACAGGTTGCCCGATCAGAACGTGCACCAGATGGGACAGATGGAGACAGCCGCATTACCGTCGTCTTCCTCTCCCATGTACCGCAGCTTGTCCGTCTCACTGAAGCTCTCCATAAAATTTGCGAGGCTCACCCGGTCGAGATGCACCGGGTGGTCGGCGAGCAGCGTCTTCATCAGCTCCCGGAATCGCAGGTCCAGGAAGAGTGAGCCGCAGTTTGCGCCTGAGCGCGCGCATAGCTCTGCGATCTCGAGGTTGGACAGCATGCCGATGATCCTGTACACCGCCAGGTCCTGGAAGATGTCACGTTGCCGTCAGCATACGGCCACCGCGGGGACCTCGGATGACGGGACGTACGACAGTGCCACCACCGGCGTCGCAGATCATAAAGTTCTGATTTGGGGACAGCTTGTGCACGTCCGTCAGGTTAGCGCAATGCACGGCCGCTGCTTCTGGCTCGCTGCACGTCGATTTGAGCGTCGGCCGTAGCGCTGAGATGTAGTGTAAACGCCGTACCTGATAATTCGTAGGCGATCTCTCCACTCGTGGTCCCCAGCCCTGGCAGATCGGACAAGGCCGGCGGCAATGGCGGCATCCCGCATCATCTGGCATCCTGTGGCGTCCCATGCGGCGGGTACTGTGAGCCACACGTCCGCAGAATCTGGTAGAGAAGCGCCGATGATCATGAGGAGCCGGAGATCTCACGAGGACGGGGAACTTGACGCACCTAGGTCTGCCACTGCGCCTATTTCTCGCGTGATTTGCTGCTTAGCGTAGTCCCATAGACACGACAAGAAGTCAATGATGAGATCGATAGCTCGTTTCCCTGGCTGGGACAGGACGGGCGCCGGTGAGCAATGTTGTACGCTGTCAGATGCTCAACGTGGCTCACCGGCAGAGCAGGCAAACGAGGATCTACGTTTGTCTCATCCCGGAGGGCGTGAGGCTCGAGGAACAGCTTGAACCTTGCGCAAATTCGTTAAAACGGTTTCTGCAGGCACAGCTTCGGGAGAACACATACCATTCGCACTTGACCGCGCCTGGTACCGGGCCCGCGTTCTTCGCCTCAATGCCCCACGCGATCACCTGGCCTGTTTGGTCATACAGAAGACATGTCGGAATCTTCCTGAACGTTTCGAAGGACCCCGGCCAGTTCAGGATTTGCTGGACTTTGCCGGCGGCGATACGCGAAGATCCATAAGCCTAAGGATAGAAACCGGACATTTAGCACCGGTTCGCTTGGTTTCCAGCACCTTGCAGAACGAAAAACCACGTATGCTCCGTCCTCTCTCATGACTCCACCTTCTGCCGGAGCTCAACCAGGTACCAAGAATCGTAATTTAGACACGTCTGTACCATGCTCAGCATGTGGGGAAGGCCTTGTGCACAAAGGGAATCGGCAATGACGGACGACAGAAAAGACATAAGACAGCAAGCAATGGAAACTCGGCCGACATGGATAATTTAAAATGCCGTTCGGCTACCAAAGAGCGGTTACCAAAACGAGTGTAACGAGAATGCGATCTTGTAGAAAGGGATAGAAGACAAGGCATAACACCTGACAGCTGCATGCCGTGTTTCATGTTGCGCTTCCTTTCGCGAGATAGTGGACCCTCGGAGAAAGACAGTCTGTAACCGCCTCGGGCGGTGATCCGGGTTGATAGAGCGCATACAACATGTTGGCCCTCCCGCGTCGCTCACGTCCGACAGAGGCCCTGAAGCAACATAGTTGTGCAACTTCAGAATCTCAAGCGATACGCGTAACATTTCGGAGGTAGGGAAATTGATTTGAACCAACTATTAGAAGCCACCAGGTACCACGGAGAGGGCCTCCGCGTGGAACTTGGTGTCTCCAATAGCAGACACCGGGGGTAGCCGTCCGTGTAACACCTCGTTACACGCTAATCGCACGAAAGTGTCTGACCATAGGTGGCACACCTTTGTCTGATTGTCCCATCCTGAACGCATCTAAAATGTAGCGAGAAGACCGTGTTACACGCTGATCACACTTTAAAGCCTCGTGTAATCAGCGTGCAACTGTGGTGGCGCGAGTTGAGACACTGAAAGCACAATTGGACTTTGGCTACACCATGTGCTTTCAGTGTTACATCTCGTTACACAGGTCCGTGCCCCCGGTGAGACGAGGCGGTGGGTAGCATTTGAATACGTGACTGAGTTTCGAACGTCTAGTTATCGTTCTTCAGGGCGCTATCAGCCAAATTATCGAGGACTTACCACACCCGAAAACGTGGTACCTTGAAATTGAGCCTTTAGCCTTCTTGAACTCAAAGAATGTACGGCACACTGCTTAACTCACCGAAATCGATGGAAACGGACAGCTTCCCTTCATCCGCAAAAGACGATTGCTGAAGGGCGATGGGAGGGCTGTTCCCTCTTGAGGTGACGGACATCGCGAGCGTGCGATCGGGGCTCGTTCTCGCCATCGGCGGGCTCTGCATGGGCGTGTATCCTGCATACGTACTGCTGCTCACCGTCTCTGGGCGCGGCGAGCCGGGCGTAGATGGAGGCCTGGCGCCATTCGGATACACTCCGGGCGGCGGCGGAGATCCCTGCGGTGCGTACGGGCTGAATGGAACCTGACCAGGCGGGCTCGGAGATGGCTTAGACTCCCATGTCCCATATGCGTGAGGCGGCGGCGTTGGGCCTGGTGGTGGCAGGAAGGGCTTCTCGCCGTTGTTCATGCCCGGCCATTGTGGACTCGGCTGAGGGCCCGGCTGCTGTGCGATTGGACCGTGAGCGCCCGGGAAGGGGGTGACTTGGTGCGCGACCTGGTCGTTGTGGGTGGGGTTGCCGAGTTTGTTGTCGGGCTCGCCGCAGCAGCTCATCGTGGTTGAGGTTTAAGTTACCGCGTCCGACAACGACGGCCATCGCGCGCATATAGTCGGTGGCATCTACTAGCGCAGGCCAGCTGTCAATGCTGTCAAGAGGCGGGGCTAGACGCCCGTAATGCACCGCACCGCTTGGCGCACCGGTAGTGATATTGCTCATTTCGGGCCGCTCAAAGCCGGATTAGGTCAACAAAACGGCTCGCTTCTATTTTGACCAGCTCAACTCGAGCTGAACCGAATCGATAGCGTCACACCGAAGTCCGCTCAGTCACCTCCGAGTCTCCGACTACCGTGTCGCCAGCTTCGCCAGAGGGAAAATGCGGCATATTTTGCAGGCACAGGTAAGTTGCGGCATATAATTTTGCAGAGATGAACCGCGGAAGGCTTCATATTAATGCGTCGGGCTTTCAGTGACCAGCGCCGTGTACCGGGGACCCCCCGGGCAAGTGGATTTCCTTTCCTACATGTTTACTTCCCATACCGTCTACTCACGGGCGATGTACAGGGCAGAAGTACCTCGATGATGGTGCTGATAACATGTCAGGCTTCCGACGAAGCCGGACGTACATGGCGACCCTGAACGTGGACTGGCGATGTTACAAAAACCGCAAAACGTAGCCGAGAAACCAGCGTGTTTCGGCGATCGCACATCGCCCACATATGCCTGCCGCATGGTCGACTTTCCTCGGGCAAAGTCTCGGAGCATCGGCAGGCAAAAGCAGCGTGCCCGAGGCTGTGGGCCGCGGTCAGTACTCCCTCTGTTCTCACACCGTGAATTTGTGGACACGGCTGGCCTTGATAACTCGTGCCGTACCAATAAACAGATACCGAGCCTACCCACTGGCATATCGCCGGTATCATTGGATACATCCATGGACGGAAGCGATAATCAGGCGGTAGTAATGAAGGCGGCTGTTATACGCCTTCGTCCCGAAGGGCCGCAGCTGCATGACACCACGATGTGGCTCGCTGGACGTGTAAGTAGAGCCACGAGGCAATGTCGGTATCTCACGTCGCTGGGTATGGACATGCCATTGCCAGTATTGCAACAAGACCGCACGCTATCTTGGGATCCGTACCTTCCGTGTTTCCGGCGGAAGGCACCGCACCCATCCATTGAGCACACACAACGCCGCGTCGTCGAGATACAATCGAATCAAGACGTCATAAAGCTCATGTGCTTCATCGTGCTTTCATACACGTTACGTCGCGAGGTACGTTGCTCGCCCCATAATAGGTGCCGAAGGCGATCTCCGTCGAAGTTGGCGCACGCACGCAAGCAAAGAGTAATCGTCGGAAAAATGCGCGACTGCGCCATCCTGGCGGTCGTTCAGCACCCGTCAGCTGCAGTTGTTGTGGCGTTCTCCGAGAGGAATCCGTACACGTATGTCAGGCAATTTGTAGAGAACTCGCTATTGCTTCGACGACGCGATTTTCGAAGGCTCGCGTGAGTGGTGTAGCCTTCTGGAACTTGCCGGTCAAAGCTTCGCGCTTGACGACAGATGGAGTAGAGACGGCTTCTTGCGGCACACGAGGCACAAAGGGCTGTGATTCGTGATCAACTGGAGCATGTGGGCTACTGGCATGTCCCGACTCCCGAGGTTCCGGTCATGGAGCCTTAACGAAGTGAATCGCCGGTCCTCGTGTCCAGTTCGGGAGTGCGGGCCTGTGGCTATTTCACAGAGAAAGAAGGCATACCTATGAGCAAATTTTGCGAGTAATCAGAGCTTGATGTGGGCGCGGTAAAAGCGTGAACATGATTATGGACTTTAATGGGAGGTAGTGGGTTCTAGGTCACTTACCAAATGCGGTTGTACAACGCACCCGGCGGCAAGTTGCGCTCGCGGCAAAGGCCGCGCCGCCCTCGTCGTCTGCCGGACGCATACATCCACCTCTTGCCCTCACCACCTCCTTGCTACCGCTAGACTCTCAGCCCTGCAAGATGTCTGCAGCTGCCGCGCCTGTGAAGCAGCAGATGCGGCGCATAGCGGCGAAGTGGCCGGGCGACCCGTTCCGGCCCAACATCCAGTTGAAGACACTCTTTGAGTCCCTCGCGGAGCACCCTAACCTCACACCCACGGCCGTGAACGCGGCGCGTGCGCTCAAGAACGATGAGTTCATAAAGAAGGTACGCACGACACTCCCACTCCATTCCGGCAGCGGAAAATGGGCTGACACGCGCCCCGCGACCACACAGTACGCGCTCTCGGAGAGGACGCTACGTCCGGCCTCGTTCCCGCACTACTACACGCGCCTCGTCGAGGCGTTCGATAAGAGCGCGCAGGGGATTGGTCGCCCGTGGTGGAAGATTTTCTTCAACATCTGGTAGCGCATGAGGCTTCGACTATGGCCGTCTGACTCAGGCCATCCAATTACCGGTGCGCTACCATGCTTCGCTCCACTAGCACCGACGTATTTGTCGCTCATGTCGGCCAGGGACGCCTTGTGCGCCGCACCCACGCACAGCGGACCCATGCAGTTCTCGACGACACGGAAGACGAAGCGATGCTCGCCCCCATCACCCCCGACGCGGCCTCTTTGGACGGGCAGGACCCCGCGGCATCTCCCTGCGCGCCGCGACACTGCTTCTCTCCCCCACGCATATTTCGATTGCGTATTCTATCTGTCTGGGAACTTGCTCTATCACGCAGATAATCGCGTCCATGCGTGTCCATGCCCTTGCGTGCGCGTCCCTCGCGAAAAGGTTCGCGGGAGAAGCTCCGAGCCAGAAATCCAGAATTCTCGCAAGCCAAAGAGACTGCCAATCACTGAGTGTGTTAATTGTGCTGCAACTGCGGCCGCGAGCACGTCATGTGGTGGCGGGTGCCCGCCATTACCAGTGTACTGGTGAGAGACCGGAAGGATGTGTGAAGTCAGTACGCGACCGTAGGGGCGTGTACTACAGGGCAGTCGTTCGTATGCCAAATCGCACGTCGGCGATATCCAACGTCTCCGGACCCGTGCGGATCCGCCGCTGACGCGCACGTCGCACGAGCGTGGATCCCGGTCCCAGACAAACTCGATGCTTAGTCCTCGAGCATCTCCTCCTCGCCCTCTCTCGCCTATGAAAACACACGCGTGATTAGCCATGCTTGCCCTGCCCACGGGCGTGGAGAGCACACGCACCTTCTCGACGAGCTTGCGCCGCTTCTCGCGCGCTTTGCGCTGCACCTTCACGTACCGCGCGAGCGGCGAGTCCTCGACCTTCAGGTCGTCCTCCCACCGCTCGACCTCGCCCGTCTTGCCCGGCGCGAACAGCACGCTCTTGCGCTTCTGCTCGACCCACTGTGCGCTCTCGTCGATCCGGTCTACGAGCACTTTCACAACGCCGGTCTCCTTCGCCTTCGCGAGCTTGCCCTGTGCGCCCTTTGCGCTCTTGATCGCCTTTCGCAGGAGCAGCGTGATGGGCACAACGACCTCGGGGAAGCCGATGCTGCCCTGCACGGGGGGACTCGCGAGGTACTCCGCGAGCAGGAACGCGCTCTCTTCTGCGAGGCCCTCGTTGTACACGCGCGTCTTGAGATACTGTTGGGGCGCGCGGATGTTGGTCTCGAAGTCGAGCGGACGAAGCGTGGAGGGTTTCGGTTTTGATGATGCGGAGAGGGTGGACGTAAGGACGGGGAGGAGGTACGGTGCGAGCGGGACGTAAACGTGCGTATGGCGCGTGAGGTGCAGAAGTGACCGCACAATGTGCAGGTGGAAGGGGAACGAGCGGGCGTTGCTAATAAGTCTGACAGGTCATGGCGTTAGTGGAGCTCGGCTGAATCGGCATGTCATATCTTACTTTGCTGACCCGAGTGCGACCTGGACGAGTGGGTAGATGAGTGCTCTCAGCTCACTCTCTTGTCCCCCGCGTTCAATGAGCGTCTGCTTGTCACATGCCCGCGCAATGACCAATGCCCAGAAGTCGACGCAGTGCACATACTGCCAGTTGTACACTTGCTTATATGCCTCCTACATTCCACGATCAGTATGTTTCGAGCAGGCGCATTTCGGCTGGCGTACCTTGGTCTTCGTTTTCATGCTGTTCCGCAGATGAATGGCCAGCTGCCTGATGTACCCGAATGCATGCTGATACGATGCAGCGTGGTCCGTGCAGAACAACTCGCTCGCCGAGTTCTTCATGAGGTTGATAGCGGGAAGCGTGTGCGCGCTCGTCGACTTGCACGAGCGCACCAAGGTGAGATATGTGTTCTTCAGAACCATGTCTAAGACGGACTCGTCCGTTGCGCCCGCGAGTCGGCGCACAGAGAGGAAGGCGGCAATCCGGACGCTGTCCTCTGCACTTGACCAGTAGCTCAAACACGTCTGCGAGGGGTGAGTGCGGGCGATAATTGCTGCAGAGGCTGGCATACCTTGAGGTAGACCTTGACGGTCTTGCGATTGCTCGTCACGTAGGGCACGAGTTTCGCTGTCTCGGCGAACGCGAGGCGCAGCATGTCGTTGTCCGAGATCTGGTCCATGAACTGCAACACGTTGTGGAAGTATGACAGTATGAGTTTCTGCAGCGTCTTCCATTTGTTGTTTTGTGTTGGGGATTTGCTAGCGGTCGCCATCTGAATGAGTTGATGCAGTACGGCAGGAGGACAAGGGCAACGCACAATTTGCCGTTTGGTAGTGAACGGTATGGACAGTGGTGCTCAAGGATAACTGGAGTGTACTTGAGTGCGGTCGTAACCAACTTATTGTACACTGGAAGGAATTGAGTAGTTTCCCTTGATGTCTAGTCCTGCGGGGCATACCTGACGAGCGGTCTATCCTCCATGCGACCACTTGGTCCTCGTCGTTCATGTGAACCGCGGACCGGAAAGCGATCAACATCTTCCTCAGGGCCTTCAATGACCGATGCTAAAATCCACTTTATGTGAGTAATGAGGTCAAACAAAAATGCAGAGGGACATACGTCCAACAGGGCCTTCTGCCATCGCTGCAGAATCTCCTTGGTCAACACGGGCGTGACGTCCTCCATAACCTCTTCTTCGTCTTCATCATCATCGCCGGCCTGCCCAGCATTCGTATTGAATTCCAGCAACTCGCGGTCATTTTCTTGGAGATACTTGAAGAACTCCGGGTCCTTCTCCGCAAGCTTCGACAGTTCCATGAGATGGGCCTCGCCCTCATCTGGAGAGCAGTAAGTCACGCGATATAGCGTATCCTCAAGTAGCGTGCTCCGTACCATCAAGTTCATCCACGTCTGCGAAGGACTCGTTGTCGTCGCCAAAGTCTGAGCCCTCCTCATCTTCACCCTCGTCCTCGGACATGGCACCCTCTCCGCTCTGTGTCAAGCATAGCTTTCAGTCTCCCATATATATAAAAACATTGAACGTGCATACCTCGGACCCCTCGTCGTCACTCCCTCCCTGCATGAACCCGCCTCCGAGGAAGTCATCCACGGACATCCCCTTGAACCTGATACTGGGTTAGTAGCGAAACGAGTCGAGGGATATCCGCACTCACTTTCCGGAAGTCTCCCCGACTTCCTCATCCCCCTCGTCTTCCCCCTCCTCATCATTGCGAGCCTCTTTGCCCGCGCCTTTGCCGCCTTTCCTCTTCTCGTTCTTTTTCTTGATGTCGCGGAACTTGCGGCGCGCCTGGATGACCTTCTTGAGCTGCCCGCTGGCGGCGAACTTCCTTGTTGATTTTACAGCCTTCTTTCCCATATTTGACGAGACTACAAAGGCAAGAGCGGACGCGTGCAAGGAAGGAGTGCAAGCAACGTGCAAGAGAGCACAACCTGGAGTCGGACGCGCCGCGCAAAACTAAAACTCGCAGGATCTCGATCCCTGGTGGCGGATCAGCCGGCCCGTGCGCGTCTATAGACCGATCATTGCTCTTCGGCGCTTCTACGCTACCAGTACTCTCGTGAGCGCTAAGCATACTCCTCCGACGAGTCCGAGCTGTATCATATCATCGCACATGGCTACACATGCTACACGTCTCGCTCGCCTGTTCACTCCTGATATGCATGCCGAATAAATGCACAAATGGTACACCCTGCTCGTCCACAGCTCGTGAAACCGAATGAGCTGGAGTCTGCACTCGCACGCCCGCTCAATGTCGCCGCGTACGAGCCGGGCCGCCAAGCTGCATACTTTGCTGCTACTCTCTCGTACGGTATCATTGCTGGTGCTTTGGTCTCCTGTGTGTTGTGCCGGACTGTATCGATACGTATCACTGAATACGCTGCACAGGGCATCCGTTCCTCGACGGCAACAAACGCACAGGTATATACATATCACCTTCTGGCCTATGCATCATAACTCTAACGTATATGTTCAACGTCGTCGTAGCATTCTTCCTCGTGAACGAATACCTGTGTGCGCAGGGCCTCTCAGGCCTACTTGACAAAGGAAAGGATAGCGAAGTCTCTGAAGGCTTAGTGGACATAGCGGAACATCACATCAATGTCGCGGCAGGAAAGCTGGGCGTGGAGGGTCTACTCGGCCCTTCAGCACCTAGAGAACCACCTTGATATTCATTTATATTAGGTCAGACGTTTCCATCGAGGGCATGGAGATTGCGCACCGTAGCACAGTATCTGCATCAGCGATCCTTGAGGTATGCCAGTATCTCTTGCACCTCAGGATCACGACCGCTCTCAACCGTCCTGCGTGCAAGAGAATCTACCACCGCCATTTCATCAGTGCCCATCGTATGCTTTCACCTCTCGAAATTGAAGACGTACCGCTGTCCGACCCGGTGCGCGCGATCGCGAAGTAGTTCGGTGCCCAGCCGCTCAGCGTCAGCGGCACTCATGGCGCCTGGGCTGGATCCCACCCCAGGGCCTCCGCCACGGCCTGGTCGACGTAAAGTGTATCATTATCTAGGACGACCTTGAATTCCCGGGCTGTGGCGCTGGGACCTAAGATGGACTGAGTCCGAGCGCTGCCTGGGATCATCCTGAGGCCGACAGCAAGTTTGCGTCCAACGGAGAACATACACGCGTCGCACATTTAACGTAACTGCGTTGACTATCGCCATATGCATGCTTGTGCGATGGCAACTCGGGTGTGGCATATCGTGAGTGGTGTGATTCCAAAGAACATAGGGCCAATGATACAGGGAATAGGGTTACAAGATCAACAGTTAAGCTGGAAACGACGCGCCTGGAGCGGTAGGAGTAAGTGTGTCAACACGCCTCGTCCGGCGAGCAGAAAGTCGGCCTGGCCCCCGCAGCTCGGGATCGCGGATGTTGAGCATGAGACGGGTAATGAGTGTGGTGGAGACGCTGTGCAAGAGGATCGCGAGCCGCCATGATTGAGACACCGTGAGAAGACATCTGCCCGGGAGGAGGGAACGTACACGTTCGTGATATTAGTGCTGATGTTCTTGTACATGGGCTGTGAGCGGGTGTGGGTCAGTTGAATTCAAAACTGGATGCGGGGAAGCGGGGAGCCGGCGGCCTACCTGTGCCAGCTGTCAGATGGAAAACATTAATTATGGTTGATCGCAGGGATGAGGGAAGTATATGCTAGATGTGCGCGTACCGTATATGATAGAATGTTGGCCAGGTAGAAGAGTGAGAGAATCCTGTGTGCGGCGCGATCAGTAGGCACTGGGTAGCGATTGAACACAGTATGTACGCAAAGTAACCTGTACCTATATGCGAATTCTCATCAGCTCTGCGGAAACAATCTTATGAATCGTCCCTCACTGACTGTCTCGGAGTATCACACCGAAATAGCCCCCACACCAGGTATCTCGGACCTGGAGCGCATGCAGGACCGTCAAAACAAACACAGCGACGTCGAAGACCATGATAGCGCTCCACGCGATAGCGAGGTCGTTTCCCCTATGCAGCATAGTCATGAGCATCTGTGGAGAGTGCGCGCAGCCGGCCTTGTGTCACTCACTCTTCTTGGGATAGCACTAGAATGCATCCCGCATGCGCGAGCGTTGCTGAGGGCGCGATCGTTGGGTTCCTTGCCCTCCGCCCAACCACGAGTACCCACTGCAAGTGCAAGGTCAGCAAGGGCGTGAATATATGTCGATCACCGGTCAGGGGGCTCACCACACTGACGCACAAGCCTATGTCAAGGAGCCCGAGGAGCAATACGAGGACGCGGCGGTCTCGTGCGTACAAGGCGTACGTCCGAAGGAGCGTCAGCGCAGCGGCGAAGCCCACTGTGAAGACGCTGATGAACCGACGATACTCATGGAATGCCGGACATCTTTCGGGGTGTATATACTTAGTTCAAAAGACTACGAAGTGCGGGGTGGGACGTACTGCTACATGGATATTGTGTCAATATATTGTGTCTGACACATCTCTCTGGAAACTCACAGACTCTGATAGGACCCCAAAAGACTCGACGATCCCAGGAATCTGGCCGAGGATTGGAATGTACCGATTCAGGAAGAAGAGGAGTGAGGGCCATGTTAGTCTTCCAGTCCAGTATCGTTCCACCTCTCGTGGGATTGTAAGAATGAAGTCATAGTAAAGCAGGGCTACAAGGTATTATGGATGGTCAGCGGGAGTGTAAGATGAATGCGCATGTACTAGGAAAACTCACCTAATGCGACCGCTGAGACAATCCGGTTCGTAAAGCTGTATTCGCCGTGAAATGAACATGGTGTCGACACGACAAGGATGGCACCTCTGAGAGAGCAACTTACACGGCTTCTAGTGCTGCTACGTTACTCATGATTCGTTCGGGCCAGCCCAAGATCAAAAAAAGGAAGTTGACATTGGAGGACGATGCGACAGCCAGTGCGAAATCGAGGCTAAGCTTGCCCAGCTGTTGAGAGGTCGAGATGAAAAGGCCCTTGAAACCGCAGCAGCAGGGAAGCTGCTATGTATATGGGACGCGACACCGAACCATATCAATGACCTGTGCCCTGAATCCGAGTTAGTAGAAGCCATACGAGTCCATGGACACCCAACACCGAAGGGGACAGGCATGTAGCAACCAGCCACAGGTAGGCAAGCCGGTGTGGTAGAATGCCAGGCCAACCGATGGAGAAGTGGTCGTGTCGGCAGATGTAACTCCCTGGATGGTCGCCAAGCGGGATTTCGAGCACAGTGCTGCTGACGGTGAGCGTGGCAGTACACATCAATACTCACATCTGACAATGATCATCGATTTTGGCCGGAGGGACCAGGTAGAAAGTACTGGCCTTCATGAGAGTAAGGGCTGCCTAGAGAGTGCAACAGGGATGCCTCATCCGCGTAGTTAGGCCCAATCAACTCGCGGCTTAAGAGTAAAGGCGAAGTCTTACCTGCAGCGGAAATAATGACGGACGTGAATTGAAAGGGCAAACGATGAAAACGAGGTCGTCATGATGGCTTAGGACCTACTGAGGTGACCATAAATCCGTTTTCCTGGAGGAGCCACATACAGCTTTGAAGAGGTGTGCAGTGTGTGGAGTCGCCTGTCGATCAAACTGTTAGACAGATGCTGCAACCCAGCTGGCATGCAATACAAGCCTCCACGTTCTTGACACCCCTTGCAACCGATCGACAACGTATCTTTTCCTTTGGCGCCGGAGACTACCGTCCTGTATCCGGCACGTCGCGGCCTGTGCGTTTCAAAAACGCCGTGAGCCCCACCAGCATCGGTAAGGCGGCTGCGTTGAGCGCGGCGGTGAGCTCGCCAGGCCCCGTTACGGCTGACCAGTAACCCCGCATGTGGTAGGCCGTAGTTGTGCGTCACGCTGTGCTGTGTGCCGTAGTTAGCGATTCAATAGACCCACGTTCCAGCGTGTTCGGCCCCCATTAGTACCCTGAGCTGAGAGTGCTACGCAGCTGAATGCGCGGATATGCGCACGAGCGCGTCCACATAACAAAATCTGCACATCTGTCAGCTGTCACCCCAGTCCTTCGACGGTGGGAACACACCTATCGTGGATTCGAACCCAAATATCGCTGAAGAATCACTGTCGCAGACGAAAACAGTGCTTACAGAGAGGAATATGTTGGCGAGAAGGAAAAGCACAGGTTCAAGGTCGGAAATACAACACGAGAGAAGCTGCTACTATATCTGGATACAAACATTCGTATTGAACCGACGTGCCTTGGGCGGTGGAAGTGAGGGCGTTAACACGCCTCGTCCGGCGAGCAGTAAGTCGGCCCGGCCCCTCGCAGCTCAGGATCGCGGATGTTGAGCATGAGACGGGTAATGAGCGTGGTCGAGACGCTGTGCAGGAGGATCGCGATACGCCATGATTGAGACGCCGTGAGAAAACATCTGCCCAGGAGGAGAGGACGTACACGTTCGTGATTGTAGTGCTGATGCTCTTGTACATGGGCTGTGAGCGGCGGGCGTGGGTCAGCCGAATTCGAAGCTGGAGCCGGCGGCCTACCTGTGCCAGCTGTCAGATGGAGAGTATTAATGATGATTGATCGCAGGTATGAAAGAAGTAGATGCTAGATGTGCACGTACCGTATATGATAGAATGTTGGATAGGTAGCAGAGGAAGAGGATCCTGCGCGCAGCGCGATCAGCAAGCACCGCGCGTAGTGATTGAACGCAGTGCGTACGCAAAGTAAGCTGTACCTAGAAGTGATTCTCATCAGCTCTGCAGAAAAGATCTTACGACTTGTTCCCACTGACCGTCTCGGAGTATCACACCGAAATAGCCTCCACACCAGGTCTCTCGGACCTGGAGCGCCTGGAGGACCGTCAAGATAAACACAGCGACGTCGAAGACCATGATAGCGCTCCACGCAATGGCGAGGTCGTCTCCCCTACATATCAAACTAATGAGCATCCGCGAGGCGGAGAGTGCGCGTAGCGGCTATGTATTACTCACTCCTCCTGGGATAGCGCTAGAATACACCCTGCATGCGCAAGTGTTGCTGAGGGCGCGATTGTTGGCCTCTCCATCAAATGACCAACCACGAGTACCCACTACGGTTGCACAGTCAGCAAGGGGTGACTATGCATCAATTGCCGGGCAGGAGACTCACCACGCTGACGCTCACGCCTATGCCAATGAGCGCGAGGAGCAATGCAAGAACGCGGCGGTCTCGCACGTACAGTGCGTACGTCCGAAGGAGCATCAGCGCAGCGGCGATGCCTGATATGAAGACGCTGATGAACCGGCGATACTGATGGAACACCAGACATCTTTTAGGGTGTACATACTTAGTTCAGAAGCGATGAAGAACAAGGTGGGGACCTACTGCTACATAGAAAAATTCAATATACTGTGCACGACATATGCATCTGGAGACTCACCGGCTCTGGTAGGACTCCGAAGAACTCGGCGATCACAGGAATGTGCCCAAGGACTGCCGTATATCGATTCAAGAAGAAGAGGAACGAGGGCCACGTCACTCTTCCGGTCCAGTACCGTTCCACCTCTTGCGGGATCGTTAGAATGAAGTCGTAATAGAGCAACGCTGCCGAGTGCCAGAAGACGTCAGTTAACATCAAAATGAATACACCGGCACGAGAGCTCACCGAATGCGACGGCTGAGATTATCCGGTCGGTGTAGTTGTACTCGCCGCTGAGCGATAGTAGTGTCAACTCGATGGGAACAACGCCACCAAAGAGACACTAACATGGCTTCCGCCGTGATTATCGTACTCATGTTTGTTCGGGCCGGCCGAAGATTATAGGCAGGAAGGTAACGTAGGAGGCAGTAGCCAGTGCGGAGCCAACTTGAAGCCTGTTCAGCTGGTGGGGGATCGAGAAGAGAACGCCCTTGGGACCGCAGCGGCTGGGAAGCTGCTATGTATACGGGACGCGACACCGAAGCATATCAATGACCTGTGCCCAGAATCTGAGTCGGTAGAAGTCATACGAGTCGATGGTCACACGACACCAAGGGGTATATAGAGACCAGACACAGGTAGGCGAGCCGGTGTGGTAGAGAGCCAGCCCAACTGATTGAGAAGTAATCGTGTCGGCCGGCGGCGCAATGTAACTCCTTGGACGTCGCCAAGCGGGAGTTTAAGTACAGCGCTGCTGACGGTGAGTGGATCCAGTCGAAGATCATCGAAGTGTGTGTTTGCCGAGGTGCCGTTCAGGTAGGGGCGTGGAGGATGCCTCGGTACGATTGAACGCAGTGACAGTACACATCACATCTAAAAATGATCATCGTGGTTCTTGCCCATGGGACCAGGTGGGTGCGAGTGAGCAAAGCACTGGTCTTCATGAGGGCAAGGGCTAGCAAAGGTCGCTAAGAGAGCTCGACATGCCCTCTCCGCGTAACTAGGCCCAAACGACTCGCAGCTTCAAGGAGAATAAAGGCGAGGTCGTATCTGCAGCGAAGGGCGTGAGTTCATAGCATGAGTGATGTGCGATTAAAACGAGATCGTCATTCGCGCTTACCGAGGTCATTATGAATCTGTTTCCTTGGGGGAGCAACATACAGATTTGAAAGGTAGAAGGACGGCGTTAGCACAATACCACTAATGATGTCGCGATGTTCACCAATGCTTGAGCTATAATGCTGTGGATGGCGAAAACGTACAATTGTGCTGCTCGCAATGAAACTTTCCGTTTCTCCCGCCTCGTTTGTACGCCATTGAGACGCCAATCCGGATTTTCTGCAACACGGGGAGGACGTGGACGTCGTGGTACAAACAGGACAAGGTACGAACTTTAACACCCGCCGGCAGTTACCTAATTAGATGATTATATAAGTCATAAATTCGGGACTATGGGCGTCTACAGCACTTCGTACATTGCATCGATCCCCGCAACCACACTCATCCTCTTCCTCTTCCTCCCCCTTGCCTGTTGTTTCGCACGACACGATGACTTCGAGGACAGGGACGCCAGGCAATGTCGCGTCCAACACGCTACTTCTCCGCCGCCAGCTGACGGAGCTCACCAAGCATCCGGTCGAAGGCTTCTCAGCAGGTGCGTCCTGGCTTGTTCCCCGGACATCCGGATCGCTCACCGCACTCGTCCATGATCTCTCTCCGCTCGCTGTGATCTCGTGTTGCACCTTGCTTGCGTTGGAGTGTAGGTCTTGTGGACGATAACAACCTGTATGAGTGGGAGGTCATGATCATCGGGTACGTTCACCAGTAATTGCCCCGCGCGTGTGGCGAAGGTATTGATATACGCGATTGTATACCCCCTCAGTCCCCCTGATACGATGTAGTGAGTCCTACTTGGGTTTTCGCGGCTATCCTTATGAACATAGTGCTGACCTGGGCAGTGAGGGCGGTTTCTTCAAGGCGCGCCTGTCCTTCCCGGAGGATTTCCCTCTAAACCCTCCGAAGATGCGGTTCATCACACCGATGTGGCATCCGAACAGTACGTCGATAAGTCTATATAAGCGTTGCCCCAATGATCTCACTATGCATGGTGTAGTCTACCCCGATGGCGTGGTGTGCATTTCTATCCTCGTAAGCCCACTTCAACCCCTCGTAATATTTCGTGCGCCGACGAAGGTCTCTCTAGCACCCTCCAGGTGAAGACCAGTACGGATACGAGGACTCGGGCGAACGGTGGCTGCCCGTACACACAATCGAATCGATCGTAAGTACACACGCGCTTCAATCACCCGCAGGAGTATCGCTGAACTAAGTTGGCTTAATTAGCTTTTGAGTGTCATATCTCTACTGTCGTCTGACACGCCGAACCTGGACAGTCCTGCCAATGTCGACGCTGCCAAAGAAGTGCGAAATGATATCGACGGTAAGCGGTCCCCGTGAAAGTGAAAATGAAACATACTCATGCCCGATTTCCTCAGGATACAGGAAGAAGGTCCGACGCTTAGTGAGGCGCAGTGCCGAAGAGGCCTATGACTAGCCCCTCGGGATTCACCTCCGCGACTTCCATTCCACTCCCAATCCCCGCCCGCTCGTCCGCGAACATTCTGTGTTGTTAGCCGCTGCTCCGCCACGCATTCACGTCTTCTGGGTTCACCGCTGTATAGTGCTTTGTGGTCCGTCCGCACCCCGCGTTTCCAGCATTCTCAACACGCTCTATACACCTTTCCATCCACTCCCCCCGCTTCCTCTCGCTACGGGTGGCTGGCGCTTGCACTCGCGTGTCGGCCGCCCCCAGACTGTTTCCATAATGACGCGCCCCGCACGCCCCTCTCGCAATGTTGTCAATACGAATGTTTGTATCCAGATATAGCAGCTTCTCTCGTGTTGTATTTCCGACCTTGATACCTGTGTCTTCTTCTCGTCAACATATTCCTGGTTATAAGTGCTGCATTCGTCCGTGATGGTGGCTGTTGCACGGGAATTGGATCGAGGCTGCAATAGGTGTGTGCTCCTGCTATACGAGAGGTTGCGGTGAAATTTTGAAAGCTGATAGACGTGCAGAATTTTGTTATGTGATCTCTCACTCGTGCACATATTCACCAAAGCCGTCGAGAGATACGGATGGGCTAGCAAAACAATCAACGAGTAAGCATTAAGAGCGTATGGGCACATACTGCCACACATCGCGCCATCTCTGGCTGTTTTCAACACCAGGGCATTGTCTCAGCGGCCCACCTCACGTACAGAACCTGGATGCCGTTTTTGCTCGGGGGACTTGAGTTGGCCAAACATTCTCTCGCCCCAGCGAAGAAGTCGCGTGTGAGTGACCCGTCCCCTAGACCGATCAGATATCGACTGAAACGCTAACTACTGCGTATAGCATGCCCTGGTGCGGAATCGCACCTACTGCATGAAAGGTCACCGGTCAGCCGTAACGGGACTTGGCGAACTGACCGCCGCGCTCAACACAGCCCTACCGATCCTGGTGTGGTCTGCGTCGTCTTTGAAACGCACAGGCCGCGACGCCTCGCTGAATACAGACGGTGTCTCTAGCGCGCTAAAGGAAGAGACACGTTGCCGATCGATGCAAGATGTCAAGAACTTTGAGCCCATAGCCTTTGGCCGCAGTCCCAAGGGTGCGTTCTTTGCGTGTTGAGTGCCAGCTGCGTTGCAGCATCTGTCCAACAATTGACCGATAGGCGACTCCACGCACTGCGCACTTGCGCCCTTGTATCTGAGGTGAAATCTTCTCGGCGCAGATCCAGCGAGGCGGCCGTAAGTCAATTCCGGAGGGGTTAACCGCCAACTGCCCCCAGGTGTCAAGAGACAAGCATGATCTGCGCTCATATGGACGTGAGTGTTCCTTATATCCTCGTAAACGCCAGCAGATTTAGTAAATACCGTTCCCAGGTCAGAACGGCGTTACCAATGATATGCGCACCGCCGCCCGCTCCACATTTGCAAGAGATGTCGGCACAGGCACCCTTCCGGGCAGTCATGCTGCGGTGCGTCGCTCGCGAACTTCGGCCGCTATTTCCGAGTCAAGAAGACCGATACACACGTGTGGCAACGGTCCAGCCTGGGCGATATTCCAATAGGGCTCGCGACCCATCGTAAACCAACAGCTAATACACCCCTTGACGTCCAACTTCGTGGGGTCAACTGCATGCATGCCGCGGAATACACACCTGCGCCACCGCGTCCTTGTATATGTAGGTTGTGTCTCCGGGTCCTGGGATGGCATATAAGAGTACTACCTGGTTTCCCAGCTAGCGCTCCCGTGTCATGGCTACTCCCACACACGTCGGCGTCCATTGTGCTTCGCGACCATCCAGGGAGTTACCTTGCGCCGACCACGATGCTTCCCCTTCTCCATCTGTTCGCCCCGCTTCCTCCATTGCGCCGCGCTGCTCACCTGCCGACGGCGGCTGCTCCTCTGGTATCCTCGCAATCCTCTTGTCCTCGGCGCGGAACGTTGGACAAGGTTAAGCTCCAGGCACGACACACTGACAGGGCTCGACGTCGCGCCTCGGGTACATAATGGCTCCTTCCCCGCTGCTACCGTTTCTATGCCCCTCTCTCTTGCGTACTCCTCGCCAACTCGGCAAGCTGTCTGCTGCGGATCTTCGCCGGTATCTCACGCGTCTGCGTAGTTGACTAGTCGCCTCCACTGGAAGGAGTGCACCATGAGTACCGTCATCCCCGGAGAAGTCATGTGAGTCTCTTTCTTACAGAGGTCGCAGCTCCCTCATCCCAGGCGCTCACGCCTCAAACCACGCAGCATCGAGTCCAACTACACCAATCGGATACTGTCCTCTGTCGCATTCGGTGAGTCCCCGGGCACGCGCAAGCATGCATAGTGGACGTGCACTGACCCATGCCGCCGACATACAGCTCTGCTGTACTATGACTTCGTCTTGACGATCCCACAAGAGGTGGAGAGATATTGGGAGCGCAAATTCTCTTTGCCCTCGTTCCTGTTCTTTCTGAACAGGTACATGTCTGTCCTTTGCCACATCCCCGTGATCGTCGAGTTCTTTGGCGTTATTCCCGAGTCTGTGAGTCCTATACGCCTAGTGACACTGGTAGCGCTACCAAATGCTAACGACCTCCGTCGTGCAGCAGTACGTCCCCTCCTGACCCCACTCATCTTCATCGATGAAACTGAGTACATGCATTGCACCAGATGTCGGGAGTTCCAGCAGTACCACCGCTTCATCAGCATGGTCATCCAGGGCGTCGTCGCGGCACTCATGCTGCTTCGGACGTACGCGCTATACGGGCAGGACCGGCGTGTCCTTATACTGCTCTCTACGATCATCGGTACTGGCGGGATAATCAGCGTAGTCCGTCTCATTTGACAATGCACGCCAAGCATATACTCACCCTTACGCGTACGACGCAGTGGGTCCTTGTGGCAGGCCATCGTACACGTCGGCCGACGGTCACCTATGCAGAGGCGATCGCAAAGACAGGGTGCGACCTTACGCTGTCGCAGGAAGAGTGAGTCGCGCAAATCCGTCTTTCCTCCCCAGTTGAGGCTCACGTTGGGGTACAGGGGCTATGACCTCGCCATCGCATGGAGCTCAATCCTGGTCTTCGACGCCGTCGTGTTTATCCTGACGCTGCTGCAGGCACTCAAGGCCGGGAGGTCTTTGAGTGGGAGCTACCTCAGAGTCATGCTCCGAGACGGTGAGCAAACAACGTCCTTCTTGCAACCTCTCGTATCTGACGCCGTGGTACGCCTCAGGAACGATCTACTTTGCGTATGTCTCGACCTCTCTGCAGACCGTGTATGCGGCCTCCGCTGATCGCGCGACCCGTAGAGCTCTATTCGTTTGCTATCTTTCGAACATACTAGCGTACGCGGTGAGTGCGGGTGCTGTTCTCCCTACGCGACCGATGTGTACTAATTGTCGCCGATCATTTCTCACTCCGATAGCTTGCAAAGGTACGGGCTCGTCCACGCTTGTGATTCCCTGGGTGCAGCGATGATTGACCTCGGTATCGCAAAGCCCGTACACAAGGGTGTCAGCACCTCGATCACGAACGTGTACGTCCTCTTTCAAGATAACGCTTCGTTGACGGTAGTTTGCTGATGCGTCGCCGTCTCCATTGCAGCGTCTCCACCACGCTCATTACCCGACTCATGCTCAACATCCGCGACCCGAAGCTGCGGTGGGGAATCGACTCCACGGACTCCGATTACTCATATGCATCCTCAGGCGAAGTGTACATTGCAAGGGGACACTAGAATATCCGCGACGGTTCAGAGCGCGCTCTCTCTGATTGTATCATAATGGTCGTTCTCTTGTATCGGTAGTTTTTGTTGGAATGCGATACGTTAGCGCATCGCAGTCCTGTGTTTATCGACGTGCCTTCACAGGCCACATCCAAGGACTAGTGGCTGAGCTACACTGGAGCCCTCATCTGCTCTCATTCGCGTGCGATAGTGGCGGTCATCATGCGAAGTTCCTGAATCACAGCACCCACAACGACTCGAACACGATGTCCACCCGCCAGCACATCACGGCGAGGCACGGCTCCGGGTAAGCACACGGTCAATGGATATATGAGCTTAACCCAATACGAATACAGTCTACTAACATACTACAGGCGAGACTCGGCCAGCGTACGTGCACTGAAACAATGTCCCTGAACTCGTCGGCCAGGCGATCAGGCCGTCGCGGGTGGGAAGTCGCGATTGCGCAGGAACACGTAGGTATCTTCTGTAGTAGGGGTTGCGTTGAACAGTTTCCCAAGGCGTTCGTCTACGGAAGTGTAGGAGGTTAGTATATGCGCTGCAAATGGGAAGAGATGGAGTGGGTGGACGCACAGACAGGGTCCGACTCGATGTGCTCGAAGTGCTTGAGCGGCCAGCGTGTACCTGCGGCCTGCTCGTCCTTTCGCCTTTGCCTCTGCTCATTCTAAATATGGCACCATGTCAGACCTCAACAGTAGATAGACATGGATGCCAGTAGCGACATACCTCGATCTTGCTCTTCTCGCGACTTGCAAGTTCGTAGTCCCCCTCCCGGATACCCCGCGCGACGTGTTGCCACAACTTCCTGCTCTCGAAGTCCGCCATCTGCTCCACCGAGCCGACAGTCACCTCCTCTTTCGGCGTCCGCACGTCAGTGAAGGTCTCGCCGGTGTCGGAGTCCTTGGACGTCTCATGCCACAGGCCGTCGTACTTCTTCACAGGGTTCGTGGAGCCAGGCGGGGTCAGGACAGCCTTGAAGAAGTGGGACTTGGCGCCGATGGAGAAACCAAAGTAGCCCCTGCCTTCCTTGGCCTCGTAGTCGATCTATCCAGAACGATAAGCATGATTGCACCCACGGCATGTGTATATATGCGCATAATACGTACCGTGGAAAGCCAACCAGACGAGCTCTGGATGTACGAAAGGCCAGTGAGCTCGATGTAGGGCGAGCCGTACCAGATTCCGTCGATGCGGAGACGGGGGAGAGTAATCAGGAATTCCTCCTTGCCGCCACCGGGGAGGTCGACGGTGAGGACGGCATGGCCAATCTGCTTCACGACGATGCTACCGCTGGAAAAGCTGGTCTTCTGCGCGCTGTGGCCTTGCAGGGCAAGACCTTTCGTCGGGTTCGAGATGTAGTAGGCAGTGATTGGCGGGTGGTGCGAGACTTGCTCGACCACCAGGTTTGTCTGTCCGCGGCCATTGTAGTCGGGCCAGGAACCGTAGAAGAGTCTACACCGGGCCAGTCAGTAACTCTGACTCTATGTAGCAGCGTCAGCCACTACGCACTCTCCGAGAACGGGGTTCAAAGGCCTGGTGAAGTTTGAATTGCGAGATGAGTATTTGGCGCAATGAAATGGGGAGAGGAACTGACTTCTTCTCAGAGCCGAGTTTCTCGTTACGCGAGGTGTACTGGCCCTTGAGCGTGCTCTTGAGGTTCGCTGCAATCAGCCGCGCACACTCGCTACAGCGTGATCTGCACTCACTATGAACCACTTGAGAACCGCAATCGACCGCGACTTCTCATCCGTCGCGTCCGCGATCGCTGCGAATAAGGCGGGTCTCTCGCACCAGTATGCTATCCCCGCGCGTCAATCACATGCACCCGATGACACGTGCGATGCAACTCACCAGGGAACTCGGTGAGCGAGATGGGGGACAGAATGAACGGCGGCGCGGTCAAGGACGAGAGGTCTCCGGAGAAGGACACGATCCTGGGTAAGCCAAGACGACGAGCAGTGGCTGTTTAGATCTAATCGGGTGTGGTGGATAGCGCATGCACGTACGACTTGACGAAGGTGGTCCAGCTGGTCTTCTGCGCTGCAGGGACTCCCTGAGCATTCAGACATGGTCGTGGTTGCGGCGTTGCGGGAATCGGAGTAGTTGCGGATGTAGAGATGGCAGAGGAGGCGGCCGGGTCGAGACAATCGTGACGCGCACACGGTCAGCGATTCTGGGTAATCGGCCCTGCAGGACGCTAGATGGACGCACCTCGCCGGGCAATTCGCTGGGGGTTTGTGTGCCAGACATTACAGAGATGTGAGATGAGCGTGAGGGTATCGAGGCTGTCTACTGGGGGATCGCTGTCGTGGATGGAGATGAAGAGGTCGTGGTCGTTGTGTGGAGGGAGGGCGTAAACGCCCGTGGCCAATGCTGTGGCTGACGACATTGCCAGGGCGGTGGAGTACACATTCCTGCTAAAGCTCCTCCCGTCTCGCAGCTGCCCCGTGATACTGTACACACAATTATTCGAATTCGTCGAGGAGGCGTACAATACTAGTCGTGCAACATTACGTATACAGTGTCGTCAAAAGTACATACCGGGATAAATAGTCGTAATGAAATAACGTGCAAGAAGGGCGCGGGTTTGGGCGGCTTGGCGAAAGTGCGAGCCGCCCCTCGAACGCGCCAATCGGTCTATCAGGGGCGTAAGTCTCCCGTGCGAAGAGAGTGCGCGCAGAAGGGAGGGGGGCGTGTGCGAAGGCATGTCTGTCGTGAGTACTCCCAACGTCCGTATGCAGAGAGGGCGCGCGAAAGGCCCGCCCCCTTAACGAACTGTCCGAGGCTCATCCTAGTCGTTTTCAGTCACAGGCGGCAACTCTTCCGAAGGCCTCGCCGAGTCGCGGACCTCCCTCACCTCGACGGCCGTCCCAGCTTCTGCGCGAATAGCGGAGTCGGGCGAGCCCCGGTTGAGTGCAGCACCCATCTCCTCGTCCCGCGCTCGTCGTGTCTGCTTCCCCTCAACGAGGTAGATGAACGTGATGACAGCAGATACGAGCACCGCCTGGAAGATGACCGCGTGGTGCATATTGAGCGGTGGGCTGGCACTGGGTCCTGCGCGCAACGCGTCCTCCGCTGCATGATAAACACCATGGTCAGTTCGTCGTCGGAGAACAATGTGGCATGCCACAGCAAGTCAAACGCACAGAGAACGAAAATAAGCCCGAACAGGTTTGTGCTGTATGAGTGACAGACGTGAGACGCGTCGCAATGGAGTAGCGGGGGTATGGACGTACGAGGCCCACAGGATTGCAGAGCTCCCATCAGCGTTGCGCGTCAGCTCGACTGCGAGCTCCAGTACCGCGGGCAGGAGCGTCAGTCCGGTCGCTCCGATCACTGCCATCAGCACGAAGAGTGCGGCAGCGTTGTTTGGCCGGACTATAGAGCGGCGCACCGCAGTGTCAGCGTGCGACCATGGCGGAGAGGGGGACATAGTACGCACTCTCCCAGATCAGCGCTAACCAGCATGCGGCCAGTACGGGGCATAGAACTTTGCACGAAAGGGCGAGGTGGTGCGTAAGGACCCGATCATATAGCGGAGAGGTGATGGCCGCGGCCACCAGACCGACGAGAAGCAGTACTGCTCCCATGAGTCCGGAGACCGTGTCGGAGTAACCGTAGGGTTCCTGTGCGGGGTGTTGCGGTGAGTACATGATAGAGTTTGGCACCCCAGATCGCGTACCAGATGCTGTGCCGTCAAGACCGTGAAGGCGTTAATCCTATAGACAGGACAGACAGGGTCAGACTGCGGAAGAAGCTGAAACACCGGCGAGAAGACATACACTCCCACCAAAACACCGAAGACGAGCGCGATGATGGCGAAGTCGATACGCTGCCGCATGGACATGTATGTATATTCGTCCGGCGTTGCGCGACCTGACAACGCGCGCGCCATGGACGACATCGAGGGATGCTTTTGCGAGCCGGAGTACGCTGATCAGGGTTTCCATCAGCACAGCTCAGAGCAATAGGTGTTTGCAGGTTCGTACTGGGAGGCGTCGGGGGAGCGTTGCCTACGAGGAAGACAGCCGGCGCCGCAGCACTGAAGATTATAGCCATGACCAATAACTGCGAATGTATGAGCGCGATCCCCGAATGTATGCGTACTATATGCGTACCGATTGACGGGGCGAACCGATGAGCGGCGGAATCAGCTGGCCTAGAGCGCTTCCGACGGGGTTGGCTAACATGGATCGGCGTGGATCAGTTTGGAAGCACGTCCGGACATTCGAAACTACTCACAGATTCCCATGATCATCGTGGCGGTGGTGCGGCCCTTCAGGTCGAACCACTTCTCCGAGTAGCTCGGCACGATGATTTGGAAAATAGGCACAGACATGCCTCCCAATATCTGGCCAACAACCACGAATGCGTATGAGCTGCTGACCGATAGTGATTTCATCGTTCCCAGGTAGCGTATCCACCCGGAAAGAATGAACAGGACGGCTCCGATAAAACACTAGGGCTCAAATTTAGCACAGACTGAGGCATAGAACTCTTGAGACACTTACTGTTCCGCGTGTGCCCAGCCGTCCGTACAGATAAGGCACAAGTATCGAGGAGGGAAGGAAGACAAGGTTGACCACATTCCCGAGCCAGTTGACATCGTTCAGGCTGAACCCGAAGTCTCTGACCACTGGAGTTCACAGGTTGGGTTGGTGGGCGCCCAGGGACGTAGACACGGGAGAAGCACTCACTGTCATTTGCAATTGGGCCGAACCATACCAACACCATCCCCGACACAATGTTGAGCAGCACCTGGAGTAGCTTGCGGTCAATACCACAGCCTCAGGGAATAACAGATGTCCACTCACGATGGCCCCAAGGCCTACCCACCGCCGCTTGTACAGGCGATATGTCGCGATGGGAGGGAGCTCGCCGTCCGGGCTCGGAGCGCGCACATCCTCGGCATCTTTTGCTAAACACGTTGGCTCGTCAGCTTTTGAGTTACAGGATCCCTGCGCCCGTAGCACAGGTATCTCGCGCCCGCCGTCTCCGCAGACACGAGAGTTTTGAAGCCGTGCACCCAAACTTGAACTCACCGGAGGCAACTCTCTCGATCGACCCCACCGGCCCTGCTATCCCGCCAAGCGCTCGCCCGTTAGCGATCATCACTAGCGTGCATTTGCAATTGCGCGCGTGCTCACCTTCCGACTTGTCGAGGCTGCTCTTGTACATCGTCGTGGTGTCGCTGCCAGTGCTATCCGGTCGTGGTTTGGAACTGGAAGAGAGTGTGGGCAGCGGGGCCTCTGAGGCGTTCATCGCGTGGCGACCGAGAATCGGGGCGACCGGATATATAAGTCTAGCGTGTCTTGGTACCTTGGAACTGTCGCGTGAGCACGATGACCGTTATCAGGTGCAGGGGGAGAGCAGGTCCGGCGGCGGGAGGGGTGCACACCGTGTTCCGAAGGCCTTCGAGAAGTTCGCGATCTTTTAAATACAAGCTAAAGAACCAGCGGCAGCATCGGCGTCCGTTTCGTGCATGCGGTCAAAGTGCAGTGTCGAGAGGCTGTCATGCGCAGCGTGCGACCGCGTTCCAAAGTGGCAACAGCCCAGTGGGCGGTGGCCAATGAATTGGTGGAGATACGATAGATGCGCTCTACATGAGCTGATATGCTTTTCGTGCCCGAAACAGTGAGCATGCCCGGCATTGACGCCACTACCGCGCATCATCCCTGGCAAGATGGGGCGTAGGTGCGGTCGAGGTGTATGCAAATGGAGCGGGCGTTCCTCTACGCACTTCGCCGCCTCCCACGCGAAGTGGTCTTCAGGAATCTCCGTGAACATGCGCTCTCCAACAAGCTCATGGATATCCGGGTGCTGCGTGTCAAGTTGCTGACATACAGCATCCGGACCACCCATCGCGTCTCCTGGTTCGGGAAGTTAACGTTACACTACTCACTTGGAATGAATAAGTAGAACGGATAAAAGGGGGAGGGGTATTTTGAGATGGCCGGTAGGAAGCGAGGGCGTGGCGGGAAGGAAGAGAGAAAATACCGTGTTGCTTTCAGGATCGTTCACTCAACTACGTCACGATATGATTCAAGGCGGTGGCTGTTATTCTGATCGCATTGGTGTACGAGGTGAAGCCTCTGCCGAAGAAGTCGTGGAGAGCGGCGCTCGGCTCCATTGCTTTGCTTAGGTAGGAACGACAACTACTCTGAAAGAGTAATCTATACCAGGATGACGTCCATAAGCATAAGGGCACAGATCAGTAAAAAATTCCGACGTAGCTTTTCCATCACATATGTCCGCATGGATCATGATGACATGCAGTATCCGGCATCCTGCTTACGGTGATTCTACATCAGTGACCTTCCTATATGCTTGCCTCTACTTCATGTCTTCGAATGGTGCCGGTGTAAGAGTAGCACAAACTGAACGTTCAGAGGTATCTATGCCCCAGAATGTTGCAAGATGATGACCCAAAGTCAGAGTGGGTCTCAAGACTACAAATGTGATCAACCTTGTGTCCCAAACAGAGCGCAATTTGCCACTCACCGTTTGCTTCGCGTTGATACACCCAGAGCCATATGTTAGCCATGTTATGTTATGATGTTTGAGGATAGACATGTAGACAGACCGCGCCATTCGGCGTATGAATGTGGTCCTTGGCGGCGGTGGAGTATATACCAGAGTAGTAAGGGTAAGATTCGGAAGGGGCTTCCAAATCTTACCACTTTGACGTATGGGGTCAAATGGCGAGAGCGAAACTTACCATTCTGCCCCATGTGGAGCGCGCCGTAGGAGTTTGCTCCAGTCACGGTCGCGCTACCTCGCACTACCAGTCTCTTGCGCGTGTCGCGACGCGTTTGGACGCGTCCACCACCATGTCGCGTCGCATTGTGTTAACGTACGTGCAGCGAGGCGCCATGCTGCCAGGATGCATTCTCGCGAGTCGCGCGAGGGTAACTGGCCGCGATCGCGGGACAAGTGACCAGTGACCAGTGCAACCTCGCGCGACGCGTTACAGGTGCCGCTTTTGAGTACCCACAACCGTGACTGGGTAAGGAGCACCTGAGGGCAGAATGGTGAGTTTCGCATATCTCCGTTTCACCCGCTCGTGAAAGTAGTAAGATTCGGAAGGACTTCCGAATCTTATCCTTACCAATCTGGTCACTCCCCGCGGCGGTGAGTGGATGGAAAGTGGACAACTTGTTTTCAGTGATCTAGCGCCCATAATACATCCATGAGATCTGAGATCTCAGAACGGTCGATCGTTCGTCTCCCGAATAGAAGTGTCCTTGCACAGGTTATAAGGCTCAGCTCGAGGATTCTGCCACTTGAATCACAACCACAACGTTCCCGCTCGCTCCCCCAAGTAAAACTCAAGCAGAACATAGGCACAGGCAGGTGCGGGGAAGAAGATCTAGTGGGCGCTCCATCAGTGTCAGAGGTCCTTTTACGACCCTCGGCCACTCTGACTGGGGTTTTCTCGTCTGCGACTTTCCAAAGAGATGACTCGGATGCATCGATCGCTCACACTTTCTTTCCAGGACTGATTTAATTCTGTATCGGGGAGTTCGCCACCATTCTCTCTCTCTGGAGACGTGCTATACGTCCCGCTCGTCTGACGAGTATCCGCACCATGGCCTCCGCCAACACCATCGAGCTTGCTCAGACTGGCAAACGCGACGAAATCCGCGAACTCGAGAGGAAATACCAGGCGCGGTGGACGGAGGAGCGCGTCTTTGAAGTCAATGCTCCGCCACAAGAGGAGCTCGCAGGTCTGTCCAAGGCAGATATCAAGGAAAAGTACCCCAAGTGGTTCGGCAACGTCCCCTTCCCGTACACCAACGGCTCTCTCCACCTCGGACATGCGTTCACCATCTCGAAAGTTGAGTTCGAGGCAGGGTTCCAGCGGATGGTGGGCAAGCGGGTGCTCTTCCCGCACGGTTTTCATTGCACGGGGATGCCCATCAAGGTGCGTTGTGTCGCTACTGCTACACATTCGGTCAAGGTTACATGATCGTGCAGTCCGCGTCGGACAAGATCATTCGTGAGATCGAGATGTTCGGGGAGAACTTCGAGAGGTTCCAGCCTGAGGATGAGACCGCCCCCGCCGCACCCACGACCGACGGCCCCGCAAAGGCAGTAGACAAGGCAAAGAAGGGCAAGGTTGCGGCGAAGGCCACAGGTCTGCAATACCAGTTCCAAATCATGGAGTCCATGGGCGTACCCCGCGAGGAGATCAAGAAATTCGCGGATCCCTACTTCTGGCTGCAGTACTACCCGCCCATCTGTATTGTGCGTATACTGAAACTGTCATGGCGCGCGGAAGCTGAACGTCTATGTAGGAGGACAACAAGTTGTTCGGCTCGAGAATCGATTGGCGCCGCTCGTTCATCACTACCGACGCAAACCCGTATTACGACTCCTTCGTCCGGTGGCAGATGAAGAAGCTGTACAAGCTTGGCAAGATCAAGTTCGGCGAACGGTACACGGTGTACAGCCCAAAGGACGGTCAGCCGTGCATGGACCACGACCGTTCGGAGGGTGAGGCTCTCGGACCCACCGAGTACACCGGCATCAAGATGGAGGTCGTGCAATGGAGCCCAGATGCTGCGAAAACGATCGAGGGCAAGGTCGGCGGCCGGAAAGTGTATCTGGTTGCTGCTACGTTGCGGCCAGAGACGATGTGAGCACCACCACAGTGGCGATAACTCACGAGCGCTGACAGGTCGGAACGTGCAGGTACGGGCAGACAAATTGCTTCGTCGGCACCGCCATCAAGTATGGTGTGTTCGCGATCAACGAGAAGGAGGCCTATCTCTGCACATACCGTGCCGCGCGGAACATGGCGTTCCAGGGTATTATGGATGTCCGCGGTCAGGTCAACCAGCTGCTGGAGGTCGAAGGGACCGCGATCGTCGGCACCAAGATCAAGGCGCCGTTCTCAGTAAACCCGGAGGTATACGTGCTCCCGATGGATAACGTGCTCCCCAGCAAGGTAAGTCGAGGTCTGCAGGCATCGTAAACTGTTTGCTGATCGCCTTCAGGGTACCGGTGTCGTCACTTCGGTTCCGTCCGATTCGCCAGATGACTTCCAGACTGTGATCGACCTCAAGAAGAAGCCCGAGTTTTACAAGATCGACCCCTCATGGGTAGCGTTCGAGCCTCTGCCGGTCATCTCTACCCCCACCTACGGCGACATGATCGCCCCTGCCGTCATTAAGCAGCTGAAGATTCAGTCGCAGAAGGACACCAAGCAGTTGGCGGAGGCGAAAGAGATTGCGTACAAGGAGGGCTTCTACAGCGGCACGATGCTTGTCGGAGAGTTCAAGGGCCTCCCCGTGCAAGAGGCAAAAACGCGCGTGCGCGAACAGCTGATTGAGGCCGGCCTGGCCTTCGCATACGCAGAGCCAGAGGGTTTGATCGTCTCGCGCAGCTCGGACGAGTGTGTCATCGCGCTCATGGATCAGTGGTACCTGGACTACGGAGAGCCGGAGTGGAGAGCACAGGCCGAAAAGTGAGTTCAGTCACGACGGCCGTTAAAGTTTGCGCTGACGCCCTTGTGTCAGGCTCGTTGCGAGGATGGAGACGTACAACGCCGAGACCCGCAACGCGTTTGAGGGCGTCCTTGCGTGGCTGAACAAGTGGGCGTGCGCGCGGACGTATGGCCTGGGCTCAAAGCTCCCCTGGGATCCGCAGTTCCTCGTGGAGAGTCTGAGCGATTCGACCATCTATATGGCGTATTACACCGTCGCCCACCTCCTCCACAGTGCGTATATCTCTCCTCCCGATCAACTTACCTCTGACATTGCATAGGCAAGCTCGATGGTAGCGAACCCGGCCCTCTCGGGGTTACACCAGACCAGATGACTGACGAGGTTTGGGAATACGTTCTGAACGACGGCGCCTGGCCGGAGCCGGCGCCACTATCCAAGGACAAGGCGGACAGGATGAAGAACGAGTTCGAGTACTTCTACCCCTTCGACGTGCGCTCGTCGGGCAAGGACCTGATCCCCAACCACCTGACGTTCTGCGCATACAACCACGCCGCAATTTTCCCCGAGGACAAGTGGCCGTTGAGCATGCGGGTGAACGGCCACTTGATGGTCAACGGGCAGAAGATGTCGAAGAGCAAGGGCAACTCTATGACGATGCGCCAGTGTATCGAGAAGTTCGGTGCGGACGCGACGCGGTTGTGCTTGGCGGACGCCGGCGACGGTATCGAGGACGCCAACTTCGACGAGAAAACCGCCAACGCCAACGTCCTCCGCTTGCATACCTTGATGGCATGGTGTGATGTAGGTGCTTTCCGTTAGGCTACCGGATCGTTATTCATGCCATATTCTCCAGGAAAACGTCCAGAACAAGTCTACGCTTCGCCAGGGCGCTAAGAACTACCACGACACGGTGTTCGAGCAGGAGATCAACGACCTGATCGCGAAGACCAAGGAGTTCTACGCGCAGTACGTCTCAAGAATCGGGGCAGTGGTGCTGTCACGAATGCTTATACTCCCCGCAGCATGCAGTACAAGGACGCACTCAAGTACGGCTTCTTCGAACTCCAATCGTCGCGAGACTGGTACCGTGAAGTCACTGCGGACGTTGGCATGCACGCCGACCTCACAGTGTGGTGGATTCGCGTCGCGGCTCTCATGGTCGCCCCCATCGCCCCGCACTTCGCGGAGCACGTATGGTCGACCATCCTGAAGGAGCCCAAGTCCGTGCAGCTGGCACAGTGGCCCGAGCTCAGCACGCCCGTAGACCAATCAATCCTCGACTCCGCGGTGTACATGCGCGGGACGATCAAGACGATGCGCGACGCCGAGCTGTCGCTGCTGAAGAAGATGGGCAAGGGCAAGCAGGGCCAGGCGACGTACGACCCGAAGAAGCCGCGCGCGGTGCGCATCTACGTCACCACGGCGTTCCCGGAGTGGCAGGAGCAGTGCGTGCAGGTTGTGAAGGAGGCGTACAGCGCGGAACACGACAAGGTCGACGACCAGAAGGCGCGCGAGCTGCTGACTGCGCGGGGCCTGATCAAGGACAAGCGTGCCATGCCGTTTGTACAGGCGTTCAAGGTGAGTTCCCAACGGATGCAGAATATCGCGTAGTTATTCACGCGCAACCTTTTAGAAACGGATATCGCAGTTCGGTGCGCAGACCGCGTTCAACCGTTCAGTGCCGTTCTCCGAGGTCAAGGTGCTGCACGAGATCCTGCCGTACCTCAAGCGCACGCTGAACCTCGAGGACGCCGAGGTGCACCTGGCGGACGACGCGAAGCAAAAGGACCTGTCCACCCTCACGAAAGCCCTCATCGAGAGCGCGGAGCCTGGCAACCCAGCATTCGAGTACTACAACGTTTGATGTGCACCGTCTTGTTTCTTGTGCGTGGGGTAGAATATACAACTGCTGTGTTCAATGTGCATTAGAATTTGCTTTCAAAACCAATGATACGACTCCCTTCCGCTCTACACGTATGATAATAGTAGTATCCCGGCAGTAGGTACCGAAAGTCGCCCGTCTCCCCAAAGCTAGCCCTTTTCCCCTTGGAACACATTACTCATCGAAGCACGACAAGAGGCCCGACGGTGTAAGCTTCTGCAGCACGACCCCCTGCGTCGCCGCGTCCACATCCGCTTTCGTGCTCGCGTTCATGACCGACACGCTCGCGAAGCACCCCGCGTCGACCACCGTGCGCTCATCCGGCAGCACCGTGCTCCCACACGTCTGCGCGTCCTTCGTCCCCGAGCTCGGCGGCAGGATCCGCGTGAACACCCACTGGAAGTCGCTCGCGGCCGTGCAGTCGCCCGAGGGCGCCCCAGAGGACGAGAAGGTCGTGCTCCCAAAGTTCACGTTGAGCGTGATGCCTTGTGGGAGGATGGGACCTGAGACGGGGCTCGTAAGGAGGATCGAGGTGAGGTTCGTGGTGAGGGCGGCGTAGATGAGGGCCGAGCGCGTGCCGGGGGAGGTCGGCGCGGAGGTGAGTGTGGTGTAGGAGACTTGGGAGAGGGAGGAGGCGGAGAAGGCGACGGAGGGGATGCCTTCTTTCGCGGCTTCGCACGCGGCGCCGCTAGAAGTGGGCAAAGGGACGAGGGAGTGAATGGCTGAAGGAACGAGAGTGAGATGTGCATGCTTACACGGTACCAGAGTTTTGCGTGACTGTTCCGAGGTTGGCTGCATGGCAGGTCAGCGACTGAATGCGAGAGAAGAAGGGTGCACGCACTTCCGACGTTGGGTCCGCTCACGACAAAGTCGGGAGCAGATCCGAAAAATTGGGGCGCGAGGGTTTGTATCCCAAAGCGCACGGCGTCAACTCTACGCGTATCGCACTCGTCAGTGTCTCTACCCTACTGCTATATTTGCTCAAAACTCACGGGAAGGAGTTGACGTAGTTGAGGCGCGCTACGCGATCACCCTGTCAGCTCTTCTAAAAGACGAAACGCTGGCGCTCGGCTCGGCTGCTCACTGTCAGTCGCGTTGAAGCCTTCGGCGGGGGACCCGGTCGGGCAGGTGTCGAACTCGCACGGTTGCTGCAGTTTGACCGGAGTCGCGGTCGATGAACCGGTTCCGCTCTTGTTCTCTGCTGGAGCGGAGAGAACCACCTGCAGGCGCGCGCGTTCACATCGGAACAGCAGGAGTTGTATATAAGAGACGCACATTCTGCCCCGCATCAACGAGCGAGTTGAACTGGGCGCGAATTTGCGCGACGGCCCACCCGTCGTCGTTCGTCAACACGATGTTCGCCGCATGCACGGTGAATGCTGCGTTTGAGAGCGCGAGGATGAGGAGAGAGGTAAGTTGTGTCCAGGATCGCATCTTCGTTTGCAGTGGCTTCCAGCAGTTACCCGCATACTGAGCGAGCCTTTATACCCCAGGCTCGCCTTCGGTAAAGCACCTGGACCCGAGCTACGCACCTGCGAAGCGCAAGGAAGGCGCATCACCTGGCTCCGGGGCATGCGCTGACCCCCGCGTGGTACATGGCGCACGTTCGTGCCGTCACCATGGTCGGCATGAGAAGCTCCCACCCTGGAAAAGGTTACAAGTGTATGTGAGAGCATAGCGGCACTTCGAGCAGTGTGCGCCGCCACCGGAGATAAGTGCGATGAACGTTCAATGCGGAGGGAGGCCACGAGGGAAGGTTCTCAGAGAAGGGGGCATACCAAGTCTGGTTGGACGATCAGGGCGGTTAACCGCAGGGCTATGGGATGAAGCTGAGTTGCTACCCCCGACCTGCTTCGGTCTTTCTGATCTCAGTTTTGCTGGAACCAATAATGACAGCCTCAGCATGTCGAAGACGGCCCTCTGAAAGATTCAGCAGCAAGCAAGTAAGTGATACCTGACTCACTGACATGGGCGGCCAATTGTCGGGGCAAAATGTTAATCCTAGAGCATACATGGCGGCGTGGAAGCATTCTGTTGTACCATAAAGTTGTATGGGGTCGCCGCGACTTAATCCGAGCAGCGAGCCGGCAGCGTCGTTGCCTACCTTCTGACCAGGGGATGCAGAAGTGCGGTTGCGTCCTTCATGGTATGACTAGCGTGCTTGGGTAACGTGGAAATACCAGAACATGGCCAGATTTGTTCGTTGAGGTCAAACAACGTCACCCCAATATTGAAACCACATTTTTGCGAACGCTGTGTTATTAGCGCGAACGCGCCGAGGCGCAACGAACACGTTCGCGAGAGGAATAATAGACCATGCGCACACAAGCGCACGCAGGTCTCTATCTTTGCCAGACCGTCAGCATACAGAGCAGAAATAAAACGTTTGACACGCACAGGTGTGATCTAATTTCTCTTAGGCAGTTCACTTCTTAGCCTTCCCCTCCCGTGGCGGCACAGGCTCCACATTCTCGTCGCTCGCTTGGTCCATCCAGTTCATGTCGGAACGTTCGCCCCCAAGCTCGCCAAACCGCCTGCTGAAACGACCCATGCGGCCCGTCACTTCGTCCTCCTCCTCGTCCATGCCGACGAAGCGAGCGGCATTCCAAAGCGGGTTGTTCGTCGTGTCACGTGTGAGGCGAATGAGGGATCGTGGGGAGGTGGTGTAGTGAATGATTGTCGAGCCGTCGACGCGCACGAGCCGCTGGGGGAAGACCGGGACGGTGGGATTAGGGAGCTTCTTTTGACGGCGTTTCCAGACGTGTGTGCGGCCGTACGGCGAGGACGAGACGGAGCGCGTCTGCAGGGTGCCAGCCGCACAGGCAGCTTTTGCGACCACGCTCGAGCTGGCTGCCGAGCGTGACGAGGAAGAGAAAGCAAGGCAGAGACTCATGGTGTGTGGACGAAGAATGAGAAGGCGGACGTCGTGGCAGGAAGGGGGCGTTGTTTGCGTGTGTTAGGATCCAAAGCCTCCGCCTTCCACTGCCTTCCATTCCTGGAAGTAGCTGCCGTTTTAGGAACTACGCTCCTCTTCCACTCTTCGACCCCTCCGCGATGTCGCATGTCGATCCAGAAAACTTGTCCCAATGCCACCATGCGCTACAGCTCCCTGACATACTTGACATTGTTTTCGAGAATATGGTTCCGGTATGGAACCAAGCGGATCGCGCTACGTGTGCCAGCTGCGCACGCGTCTGCAAATCGTTCCAGCAGGCCGCTACCCAGGCTGTCCGATGGGGAGTACTGTGGTCGGAGCTCAGAGACCTATGGCCTCTTTGGAAGGTTCGGTATCACATACCTGGACCAAACCGGCAGAAAATGACCCCTACTTTGCTAGGGTAAGTAGAAGCGTGCGATATATCTGTTATCACATTCGGCACAAGAACGTCCGCTGCTGACCCTGACACCCCTTAGCTACTCAAAGAAAATCCATATCTTGACCCTATCCTGTGGGAGTGCTTCTTGCGGTGCGCAGCCCGCGTGAGGGGGATCCACACATCGTAAGGGTTCGCCAGTAATCAAGCAAAATTTTGCTGTGCGTTGATCCGCCACAACGATGACAAGACCTTCCTACCGTCTCTCCAGCGACTCTCATGGGTACAGGATAGGAAATGCGGGCCGCACCTTCTTGCTCTTCTGGCACCGCCCACACTGCACACGCTGTGGCTCCGATATCGTTGCTGGTCAAATGCAGATTCCGGAGATTCTAACATCGATTCCGACTTCTTTGCGAAACCCGACGAGGGCCAGGTCCGCGCTACAGAGAATGTTCTATCCTCCATGGCCTCCAGATGCCCTTCATTGCACGCCCTCTATATTTGCCACTCGTTCATCTTAACGTCCTCTCTGCTGCCCGAACTCCTTCGTTTTCGCAAGCTTCGTAACTTGGACTGTTCTATATCCTGCTGGCCCAGCTCTATCCTCTACACACATTCCGACCTACGCGCCTTGACACAGACTTTGCATCTTCGAGAGCTGGCCGTCAATATAGGAGGGTTTCATGGCGGCCAAACGTCGTGCAACGTTATAGACTTGCGGAGGAACTGGCCAGTCTTCGGTTACAAAGGAAAAGAGCACGTCATTTATCCATGTGTAGGAGCGCGAGTCTGTGATTCCTAGTGTTGATCCTCATTACAAAAACTGCTCGTCGACAGCTACTTAGTCTAGGGGAGATTCCTGTGGATGTTGTACGACGAAGTTACTACTTGCGATCATTTGTGTTGCAACAGTACTTACCAAAGCATGTGTTTACCGACTACTGCCAGGACATAAAACAGCACTATCCGAAGTCACCGTTGGAAACAGGGGTATTATGACTATTTTCAATGTCGTCCGCGAGCTCAACCCATTACGTTACTAGTGTGGGGGACTGGAGAGGGGGAGAGCGCTCCTCCTGGAATGTTCCGATTGCCAAAAGGAGAGACGCACCTACACGGCCCGCCTCACCCGGCGTGCACTTGCGCAGGCGAGCGTCTGCGGGTGATTGACGTCTCTCACCCTCCCCACCACCTTCGACTCCGCTACCCTCTTCGCCACCTCCACCCCCGACCATGCCTGCACAGTCAACAGAACAGAGCTTCCGGGACAACCTCGCGGGGTTCCGCTGGGCACGCGGCAACAACGACGACTCGCAGGCCACCCCAGTCGCGAACGCCAATCCCTTCTCGCGATTCTACAACGCCATTGGAAATGGCTACGTGCCGCTGCGCTCGACGGAGCGTTCAAATGAGGAGGAGGCCTACTTTGCGCTCTCGAGATGGGAGAGGTGCGTCTGCCCGTTCTTGCAGCTCCAGGACGGACGATGTCCGGAGCAGCAGGTCCGAGTACGTTGGGATGCTGACGCGCACGGTCTTGCGTAGGTTATTGGGCTTCGGAGCGTGTCTCCTCGGGGCCGCTGTGTGTTTCTTCGTTGCGTTCTTGACTCTGCCATGGATTGCGCTACGCCCGGCGAAGTTCGCGCTCGCGTTCAGGTACGGAGACGTGCAAAAGTGTGGGTACCGCAGGCTACTGATGACTGGTGCTCCACACAGCTTGGGGAGTTTGCTCGTGATGTTTGGGTACGTTTCTTCTAACCACTACTTCTGGCATGCAGCTCATGTTCACGCTTGGTGCAGTTTCGCGGTTCTCATCGGCCCGCTAAATCACCTCAAGCACCTCTTCTCGAAAGAGAGGATACCATTCTCTTGCGCGTACCTCGCGAGCTTGGGGCTCACACTGTATTTCTCCCTGGGGGTAAGAACCGTTCTGGTCTATATCCCCCTTGCTGCATCTGATTTGGTACACATAGCCCCACTCATATCTGGGGTCCCTCATCTGCGCCATCGTCCAGGTATGACCCGCATCCACTCCCTCCCCGCCCTTTTTCGAGTCGAGACTGACGTACACGACACAGGTTGTGGCACTGCTTTCATACATAGCCGCGTATTTCCCCGGCGGCACGCAGACGCTGCGCTTCGGCGGCCAGATGGCGCTGCGCGGTGCTGGCAGCCTACTTCCCTTCTAGCGCTTCTCCCGCTCTGTCCCTGTATTTTTTCGATACCTTGCTCCATACTGAGATTCCCATTCCTTCACTTGGGTCGGGCGCGTACGCCCGATTTTTCGAGTGCCAACGCCCTGGTTCTGACACACACGTTGTTCCTTGCTACAGGTAACTTATTATACACTCATTACCGTCGTGAACCGATACGTATACAAACTCGTACATCCCACCGACTCCCCCGCGCGGACGGACATAACGCGCTGACGTCTGAAGTTGGGCATATACGTCCTGAAGAGGGCAAGCAGCAGCCCATTTTAGTCCGCCTCCCGCGCCTCGACTTCGTCCTCGAGCCCCACCGCGTCTGCGAGCCGCCGCACCATGATCGTGCGGTAACTGTCGTACGAGCGCCACTCGGTGCCCATCGTCTCCTCCGTCTGTGCGCATGTCAGCGGTCGGTCCTGTATATACGCAAGAGAAGTGCTTACCAAGTCCAACGCCTCGAACGCCTTCAACACGCGCGCGAGCCGGCGCTGCGCCTCTGTGTGGAGTGTGTCGATGTCGGGCGACGACGCGAAGCGCATCGTGTGCGCGATCGAGCCCTTCAGGTCCGGGTTATTGATGTGACGGCCCTCGGAGTAGAACACGAGGTGTCGCCAGAGCAAGAGCTGGAGCATCTCGAGCGAGTCTAATGCGTAGGTAGACCGTCAGTAATAATAGCATCGTACCAGGGGAAGAGCGACATACTGAGGATGGTCTGCGCACGCCGTTTGACATCAGACCTCCAGCGCGAGAGCACACGACTGATCAGCGACTGCTTTTGGCGAATGTCGAGATTCTCGAGCAAGCCTGGATCGGAAATCTGCACAACCTGAAATGTGGCGTGGCGGTGTCAGTGCTAATATACATGTTAGTCGAACACGGTGCGTACCTCCTGGATATTGTCCACCCTGATGTGCTCCCGCGATGCTAGCTCCGCCGAGAGGTCTGCGATACGCTTGAGCGCGTTAGTCAGATTCTCGCACAGGTCGTCCAGCGCCTCGATGGCGTCGCCGATTGTGGGAACCGTTGCTATATCGCGGCGACGTCTCAGCATCGTATAATACAGTGTTAAATACGCTGAGGCTTACCGATAAACCGTGTAGGACGCTCCTCGTGTTTCGGTGCCGTGATTGCAGGGGAGATGACGAGCGTGAAGTCGGCTTCGGTGAAGTCGCTCGCGACACCTAGATATGTGACGACGACGTTCTTGAGCAACTCATCCTTCAGATGTACTTGAACGCGGAACTTCGACTCGGGGCCGTACTCTGAAAAAATGATGTAAGTAAATATGTCTGAGAGACTATAAGGAAATGTGGCATACGCAGTGACGGTGAACTTGCGTCGGCCAACTCTGCATCGGTTTGGGGTTTTACGCTCTCAGTCCAGTGGGGATCGCCTAGACATCTTGCTGCAAGACCGGATATGGCGCCGTGCAACGTCCCGAAGCCAGAGTTTGAAAGCTAGAAGCACTGTTCAGTATCCTCGCTGGGCTCGAAGTTGCAAGGGAACCAACCAGCTCAGTCTTTGGTACGAGGTGCACCACATTGCTGCAGAGTGATACAAGGAGACGGATCTCTTCCATGACAGATATTGAGAGCTCGTCTACTTCGTTTTTGAGGAGGATGACGACGGTGTCCCTATGTGCAGTCAAGAATTGCAACGCCTAGCATAGTAATCGGTCAGCACATATCTATCGCAAGGCAGCTTGGTGATCCTTACGTGGTTCGCCGCGGTAGTGTGCTTGGGGCCTAGCGTGATGAGCATCCCACTCACGAGTTGCAATGCTGGCATGAAGAGCTGGTGATAACGTTGTACCGCAGAAGGCAAGAAGCTATCACGATCTGAAGCAATTCAAGACTTAGGCTTAGGTCAAGGGCAAGATGGCTACGTCATATCACATACCTAGGAAAGCTTGGTCGGCTTCAGGTCTTGCATCGAGGTAATCACAATCCGCCAGGATCGGAAGCGCGCGCGCCTCCAGGAGCCGCTCTGCGCCTTGCCTTGACTGCGCCATCCGTATCAAGAGCGACATCTTAGCCTCATACACATATAGGGGGTTGAGGTCCTCTACAATCTCAAGTGTCAGAGCGAATCACACGCAGCGACACTGTGACTTGCCTGGATCGGGTTTGAGGACTGTTTGCAGCATCAAGTCGGACTCCTTGAGCCCCCGCACGAAGCCTCCCAAGAATCCTTGCCTCGTGAGCGCAGCCAGCGGCGAGGAGTGCTTCTCCCACCGTGATAGCCGGACGAGCGAGTCTAGCAGCATGAACGCGACGGTCTTCCATACTTCTGTGCCGTCGATGGCATCCCGTGAGACGGTGGCCACCAAGCGCTCGATGGCCGGCTTGAGGATCGAGATACTGGTGGCAATGAGGCCCGCGGACTGGCTTGGTTGTCGCCCAAGCTGGCTCGATACGGACACGAGAGACATGCTGTCGCTGAACACAAGGTCATCACGGCTAGCCGCGACGGACAGCGATGAGGTAAGACTGGGGAAGGCCTCATCGTTTGGCCCCTCTACCCCTTCGTCGTGGAGCACCAGGTGCAGGTAGTTGACAAGCGCGGCGTACAAGTTACCTCGTACGAGCTCGAGGCGATTGTTGTCGATGATACACTCCAGTATGCTGCGAAGAAGGACATTGAGTCGTTCTGCGGGCAGCGCACCGGCGTCTCCATCACCACCAGCGGACTGTAGGAGGACTTGATGGCGCCTGTCCTCGCGAAGTTTCGTGATAGTCGATAGGATTGTCTCCGAGAGCAGCACGGCAGTAGACTCCTGCATGTTGGCAGAGTGGAGAGAGTCCGGGAGGACGTGAAGGAGGTCGAAGAGCATGTTTTCTCGGCGGTCGAATGGCAGTCGATCGAAGCATTTCATCAACGCCATGTCCAGCAGCCTGCGCCAGGCCTCATACCCGGTAGCAGCAGCGTAGCGGATCTTTCGCCTGTGGTTCTCGATGGCGCAACTCTCCAGGATGTAGGCAGTCTCCGCTTCCAGGGCTTGACCGTGAGCTTTCGTAGTGATACGCCCTTGCAGGTAAAGCGTCCTCTTCGCTAGCGTTAGCAGTGACAGGAGAGCGGTGCGATCCACGATTTCACAGCCAGACTCATCTACGCGGACGCAGGACTGCAGGTTGAGTTGGGCCAGGAAGTTGATCTCGGAAGGCGTGACGAGTAGGCCATCCGACCAGTCGAAGTCGAGCGACTGGACGAGCTCGATCATCCTCAAGTGGGACTGGCCGACCTCGTGGAAAGGCCGGAACACCTCCGTCTCCCAGTTCTCCGTTCCGTCCTCGAGATAGTCTTCCTCGTTGCCGAACATGAGCTCCAACAGCTCCGAGACGCTCTTGTAGTGGCCGCGGTTCGTGAGCACGTGCAAGTCGAGCGCAACGAGGTCTAGTATCCAGGAGCGCAGCTTCAGGAAGGAAGACAAGGTTGTCACGGTAGTGGTGATGCGCGATCCATCTCCGTAAACGACTTCGATGGCTGGTTGTTGCTCGGCGACAGGTACCTTGAACGGGATAGCTGCGAGATGACGGGCGAAGAAGTCCTCCCTTGTCCTGAGGTACCGCATCGTGGGCTCCGACGTGCGAGGGTGTTGGCAGAGCTGGAATATGACATGGTAGCAGCGTTCAGCAAATGCGGGGAGGGACACGAAAAGCGGCTCTCCGAGAGCATGGCGCCGGCGGCTCTCCTTTCCCTTCAAGCGTGCAACACCGAAGTTGACGAGATCAAGGATGGAGTGCACGCAAGACCTCCGGGCACCGAGGGCATGAGGGTCTTGGATCTGCTTGTCAGTGGACGCCCCACCAAACAGCAGGAAGTGCGCGACGTTGGGGAAGGGGCGGCAGCTCTGTGTGTTCTGGATGAACATATCCAGGATCGCCAAGCGGATAGCCTGGGTAAGCAAGCTGGACTGCCCTTCGACGTCAGGCGCTCCAGCTCCCGTCCATTGTTCCGCCGTCGTCTCCGCGGCCTCGACGTCATCCACAACGTGCGTGTCCAGAGCGCGCAGGTAGCCGTCGAGAATACGGATCGACTCGCTGCTCCGATCCACGATGAGCGCCAGTTGCGATAGAGCGATGGATGAGGCTAGCATCGAAAGTATCTTGACACTAAGCAACATGAGTTCGGGGTAGGCGGGGAAGCAGATATAGGCGGCGATTGCTGGGACATATTCTGGAGCGAATGAGAGGGCTTGGTCGAGGCGGATGAAGTAGGAACCGGAAGGGACATCGCCTGTGACAGAGGGCTCGTTGAGCTCAGAAAGGAGGGGTAGGAAGACGTCGAGGAAAATGTCCTGGGCCTCGAGGACTCGTTGAACAATTCTTAGGACACGGATGATCGTGGTCCGATAGAAGGGTTCTTCGGCGGCCAGACCCTTCTCGAAACCATCCAAACCTTGGACAAGGTAGGACAGGATGGCAGCCTGAAGTGGCGACGCAGTGAGTAACCGTTTCATCAACTCGAAGCCCGGGTGGATCGCGAGCTGGATGACAGCCTCTCGCGTGGGCTGTAACTCCTCGATGGTGGTAACGAGGGACTCCAGATCGAAGCTGGCGAGGCAGCGCTCGACGAAACAGAGGCACAGGTCGTTCATCCGCCATCTGTCGGAAGGACGGAGGTACTCCCGCATTGGTATGCGCGCGAAGACGTTGTCCACAACGAACGACACGAATGGTCCGATTCCAGGAGTCCGATGCGGTGCACCGAGGGTCTCCGGGATGGTGTCGATGGGTGTTGGGCCGGCGACGCGTTCACGAAGGGGTACCCGCTTCGGTGTGTGAATGAGCGTGCTGAGGAGCTTGAGGAAAGGAATGGTGGAAGGATATAACCTATATGCCGCTTCGACCTCATCCAGCTCCAGCTCGACTCCTCGCCCCACCGGGAGAGCGTTTCCGCCTTGGACAAGTCGCACGTTGATGATCTCTAACCGGTCCAAGAGTGACCACACAGACCTGCATACTTCCACGCCAGGGGGTCCGGCGCCCGGGGCACAGAAGGCAGAGAGCGTCTCAAAGATGGCACCTTTGAGTTCGAGCGGTATGCCGAGCGGGATCAGGGAGACCAGCGTAGGGATAGCGCGGAAGCGCGCATGACCGCTTATAGTCAGCCTGGCGGGGATGGACCAGGTAGCGACCACAGAGAGTAGACGGAGGAAGGCCTGCGCCAGTAGAACATCCTGCTGAGAGAGCTGAATCTGCTGCGGTGGGCGCTGTGGTGGTGGCTGGCCTTGCCATGATTGACCCGCGGTGAAACCCTGACCTTGTGGGCCCACGGACTGACCGGAGGCGCCATTCGCGCGAGGAGGTGCGCCGGCTGCTGCCCATGTTTCAAGCAACGCAAAGATCGAGCTCCACGAGACGGCAGGCCCAGTGTTGTAGTTTACCGAAGACGCCGATGCGGCACCAGGAACCACCTCTCCGCCGCCGCGCGCAAGGTAGTTGTATGCTAGCTCGCTGCACTGCTGGCCCGTTGCAAGACCAGAGAGCATGTCATAGAGCGCCATCGACATGTCGACGTCGCGTGCTTGCGTGGACCAGATAGACCATTGTAGGAAACCATACAGCTTTGTCGAGGCAAGCTCCAGCTGTTCGGTGTACGAGGACCGCAAACCAGGAGTCACAGTTCCAGCCCCCCAAAAATGCAATGCCCGTTCCTCCGGAAGCATCCCATAGAGCATTCCGACGAATGAGAAGAACATCGCCATATCGTTGCGTGGGGGAGGCTTCTCAGCCTCGGCCGTAGGCTGTATCGACGAACGGAACATCCTCGACCTGTCTGTCCGTGCGTTTGCGTGGAGAAGGTCTTCTTGTCGCTGCTTGATCTTCCGCAGCTCCGACGACGCCTGGGTAATCAGCGAACGCACCAGGACCTCCAACGCATCCAGGATGATGGGCTGGAAGTCTTCTGCGGGAGGTTCGACTTGCAGGTCCTGCTCTGTCAATGCAAGGACGGAAGATGCGTATGAGGTCGATGGGTACCCGGTTTGCCTCTTCTGGAGGGTCAGCGTGCGGGCCAGATAGGTGAAGCAGTTTCCTTGGACCGCGTTCCATATCTGCGTCTCCAGCTCGTCCGACTTGAATCCTGCCGTATTCTCCAGCGAAGGATCTGCGCGGCGCATCGTTGTGAGGAAGAGCGTCCATTTGAGCAACACCGTGGCCTTCAGCCCCGGCTCCGCCCAATCCTTCGACAGGTCCAGCTTGCGTTGCATCTCTGGGACAAGACTTCCATCTTCGAAGAAATTCTTGCGCGCTTGACCGCCTGGTGAGTTGGGGTCCACCGAGTCGAACGCCGCCAGGACTACGGGAAGGAGGTAGCACACCATTGGGTGGCGGGCGTTGGCACTCAGCCAGTCGACGATCTTTGGAATTTCCTTGGAGGAGAGGAGACCCATTCGTCCGAGGAAGAACAACGCAAGGGCTAGCGTCCGCCGCTCGTTGTTCAGAGAATCGCAGCGTGCATTCAGGATGTCAACACTCAGACTCCCGTTCACCCCTTCTCACGGCAGATGTTAATGTGTTGAAGACAAGGGAATGACGCGTACTTACCTTGGTTCGGGACGACTGTCTCACTGCGTGCGTTCTGTCGCGCTGCCTGCGCCTTGGCGAGCGCGTTCCCCACGTTGTGAATCTCCTGGAAGATCTTCATCGCAAGTGACAGTCCCGTTGCCGTCCTCCCACCGCCTTGGAGAAGTTGTTGTCTGACGAACTGGTTTATACGGTGGTAGAGCGGTGGCGCGTCTGCTCGTTCTGCGTTTTCCGCTGCCTCGAGTAGGATGCGTAGGCATTCTGCAGTTTCGCGCCGGCGCGTATGGTACTCCAGGATGACACCCTCGATTGTTTGTTCTGAGGTGAGATTTGGGTTGTGTGTCATAACGTGTTGTAGGAGGCCGGCGACATAGCGTTCCGAACAGTCGAGCTGCTGGGAGATGAACTCGGTTTGTCGCGCAAAGTCCGCGTTCACGGCCACGGAGCGTCCATTGATCAATATCTTCCCTGAAACAGAGTTAAAGACGCGCCGAGGAGGATGCATGCGCGGACTGACCAGTCTGAAGCTCGCGTTGCTCCTGAGGATTTCTCGCGCCAATGTCGCACAGGTTTACAAGTTGTGGCTTGTGGGCCATGAGCTCCTCGAAGAACTCCTGTTCGCCATTTGGTAGACCGCGAGAGCCGAACGCGGATTGTAGGATAGCGCGGAGACGCGAAACCGACGCCATGAAGGGAGAGAGAGAGGTGCGGAGCCAGGCCCGGACGCGCAGACGCGTGAGGCTCAGGGAACACGCGCTCGACGCGCGCGACATCGTGCCGTCGCTTGCGTCCTTCCCACCACCATCGTCCGATTTCTCCTGGTACCGCTGTTACCCCTCATTTGACCTCCGTCTTCACTATGGGCTCTATCGTATATCGGCAGTATAGTGGCGAGTCTGAATTACCTCATATAATGGCACTCGTTCAACATGAACTGAGTGAGCCGTATGTTATCTACACATACCGGTATTTCCTACAGCAATGGTAAGTCGGTCCTGCAGTGAATCATCAATGTACAACACATATACTGACTCTAGAACGCGCAGGCCACATTTGGCTTTCCTAGTAAGCTTAAGATGTTGTCGTATGGATGGCTGCTGAGCCCCTGCGTCTATTTAGGCTTATCCGAGCCAGTCCTCTGATCCGGTGGGCGTGGTCGTGTGCAAGCAGAGTATGCACAGAGATGTCACGAACAGAGGCTATATCGCCATGTTGAGTGTGCATAAGAACTGGCGCAAGCGCGGTATAGGTGAGTATTTGTTGTTACGCGCCGACATGGAAGGTCATTTATCGTCTCCCTAGCCAGTTCGCTCGTGCGCCGGTCTATCGAGGTCATGAAGAAACACGGGGTTGAGGAGGTAGGGCCGCGTAAGCTACCGACGGACCGTTGTCAGCTTGCTCATGACAGACCCACAGGTCGTGCTCGAGACGGAGTACGACAACTCCGCCGCCCTTTCTCTATATGAATCCCTTGGGTTCATACGCGAGAAGCGCCTATACCGGTTCTACTTGAACGGCAAGGACGCGTTCCGGCTCGTGCTGGTGGTCCCCTCCCCAGACCTCGAAGAAGAGGATACAGACCAGCGCAAACCCTTGCCCATCCGGTTCCTCGCGCCGCCTCGGATGATCACTATCCCTTCCCTGCCCTACGACTCCGACGACGAGGTCTCGTCGCGCTGATCACTCCTCATCCCTGCCACTCCACTCTATTTGTCTTGCTTCTGCTTGCGATGGTCTCTGTTCCTGCCTTCGACTTCACGGGATCTTAACTGTTGTGTGTAACTTATTAATTGCTCCCGCCCTACTCACGTGTATTAGTAGTAGCTCCATAGGGTCTGTTGCAACATGCTACTCATATACTTATCGCCGACCACAGGGTATAGAGGGAAAATGGAAACCCACTAATCAACGTTCAACAGTCAACATGTGTAACCTGAGGAATGGTGATATTCGAACTACGTATACATCCGTATGAAAGGCAACTGGGGTCGATTGATGTACGGTAAGGTGTATTGCTCCCTCCTCCCCCTTCTTTGCCTCGCCCCCAACTGCTCTCATAAGACTGTTATCGACGCTGTTGATAAATACTGTGTTAGCGCACTCACCTTTGCTCTCCGCACCCAGTTTTGGTGTTGCTATATCTACTCGGGCGTTCACCCGCTCTGCACGGCAGATTGCTCACACTCGTCCGCCGTATGTGTCGCGTGGCTCTTCCTTTTCACCAGGTGGAGTCTCGGTACATCGGCGAAATTTTGCGGAACCTGACCTGAATCTCCGTGCGGTGCAGCCATGGATGCAGCATCACAGGTCGCCGCAGAACGACGTGGCAAGCGTTCGAGAGAGTGCATGAACCCAATGGGACCGGGACACCGGACAGCCCACTTACGTTTCTCGAATATTCCGCCAAAGCACACCTTGTGCGGTGCTGACTATTTCTATTACGGGTAGGTAACAGGCTGTTTAGCGCGCGCTCAATACCCGATTGTGCCACGTAAACAGCTGTGCATTCTTATAGCTGTGCTCGGGGTCTGACGTGCTCGAAAGTGTTGACGTGGCGCGTAGCGGACTTATAAACGCGCTGAACTCGAGTGCGTCGACATCACCTTTCCTCCTCCCCTCATCATGTCTCTTCCCCGCCGACCGACGCGGACACAGTCTCGACGACTGCTGTCGTCGATGTCCCTGGTTTTCCTCGCATTCCTCGCACTCATTCTCTTGTGCCCCGTTTCTGTGAACGCCGACGATGAGAAGGCGAAGTACGGCCCGGTGATTGGTATTGGTGAGTAGTGCACTATTGGAGGTGTTTGCAGCGTCGGGTTGCCTGCATTTGGGCACTGTTTGCATCTTGTCGCGTTGGGCGGGGTGCGGCAGCGGTCTCATCGACTGGGGTCCATTTTGAAAGCAGTCTTTCGTGACTAACAGAGCCTCTTCAGATTTGGGTACTACCTACTCCTGTGTTGGTGTTCAGCGCGGTGGACGCGTCGAGATCATTGCAAACGACCAGGGTCACCGTATCACACCCTCATGGGTCGGGTTCTCGGACGACGAACGACTGTGAGCGCAGCCTTTTCTCACTGGGGTGACTGACGCTAACACCGTGATTCCAGTGTCGGTGACAGCGCGAAGAACGCCTTCCACTCTAACCCGGAGAACACGGTGTTCGATGCCAAACGGTTGATTGGTCGCAAGTTCGATGACCCTGAAGTCGCGCGCGACCAGAAGCACTGGTATGTTTCACTCGCGTCGCGTTGTCGCATATAGCTGACTGGTGTTGCAGGCCCTTCAAGATCATCAACAAGGGCGGGAAGCCGAGTATCCAGGTGAAGTACCGCGGCGAGACCCGCGACTTCACTCCGGAGGAAATTTCGGCTATGGTCCTGGGCAAGATGAAGGAGACGGCCGAGGCGTACCTTGGCCGTCAGGTCACCCATGCCGTCGTCACTGTCCCCGCCTACTTCAATGACGCTCAGCGTCAGGCGACGAAGGACGCCGGTACCATCGCGGGCCTCCAGGTCCTTCGTATCATCAACGAGCCTACCGCGGCCGCGATTGCCTACGGTCTCGACAAGAAGGGTGGGGAATCTCAAATCATCGTCTACGATCTCGGTGGTGGAACTTTCGATGTGTCCCTCCTCTCCATCGACGACGGTGTCTTCGAGGTCCTCGCGACTGCCGGCGACACTCACCTTGGTGGTGAGGACTTCGATAACCGCGTCATCGACTTCCTCGTGAAGCAGTACAAGAAGAAGAACGGCGCCGACGTCTCTGGCAACCTCCGTGCCTTGGGCAAGCTCAAGCGCGAAGTCGAGAAGGCCAAGCGCACCCTGTCGAGCCAGCAGTCCACCCGTATCGAGATCGAGGCGTTCGAGGGCGGTAACGACTTCTCGGAGACGCTCACGCGCGCGAAGTTCGAGGAGCTCAACATGGACCTGTTCCGTAAGACGATGAAGCCCGTCGAGCAGGTGCTCAAGGACGCGAACCTCAAGAAGGAGGACATCGACGAGATCGTCCTCGTCGGTGGTTCCACACGTATCCCCAAGGTCCAGCAGCTCCTCAAGGAGTACTTCGGCAAGGAGCCCTCGAAGGGTATCAACCCCGATGAGGCCGTCGCGTACGGTGCTGCCGTCCAGGGTGGTATCCTCGCTGGTGACGAGTCGCTCGGCGACGTCGTCCTGGTCGATGTCAACGCCCTCACCCTCGGTATTGAGACCACCGGCGGCGTTATGACCAAGATCATCCCCCGTAACACCGTCATCCCCACGCGCAAGAGCCAGATGTGAGTCCATAGGACTGTATCTCTGCGTGATGCGATACTGACGCTGTAAACAGCTTCTCGACCGCTGCCGACAACCAGCAGACCGTCCTCATCCAGGTCTACGAGGGAGAGCGTTCCCTGACGAAGGACAACAACCTTCTTGGCAAGTTCGAGCTCACGAGCATCCCTCCGGCGCCCCGTGGTGTCCCTCAGATCGAGGTCACCTTCGAGGTCGACGCGAACGGTATCATGAAGATCTCCGCTATCGACAAGGGCACGGGCAAGTCGGAGTCCATCACGATCACGAACGAGAAGGGCCGTCTGTCGCCGGAGGAGATCGAGCGGATGGTGAAGGAGGCCGAGGAGTTCGCGGCGGAGGACGAGGCACAGCGGAAGCGCATCGAGGCGCTCAACTCGCTGTCGTCCTTCGTGTACGGCCTCAAGACGCAGCTCGCCGACCAGGAAGGTCTTGGCGGAAAGCTCGAGGACGAGGACAAGAAGGCGATCCTCGATGCGGTCAAGGAGACGACCGACTGGATCGACGAGAACGGTCAGTCCGCGACGGCGGAGGACCTCGAGGAGAAGCTCTCGGAGGTGCAGAGCATCGTGACGCCGATCACGAGCAAGCTTTACACGAGCAGTGGCTCGAACGATGAGGACGACGACCCCTTCCGGTCGCACGACGAGCTCTGATGCATCCCTTTGTTCTGTGTTTTTGTTACTTTGGAGCAAAATAATTTACACGCCTTGTCATTACATACCACGCAATAGACTGGGGCTTCACGACACATCATTCCGTTTGTGTGTTACAGTCATAGCAGCCCGAACATCGAAACGCTGAGCTCCGGGTGTCCCGCCCCCATGGGCGCTTGGCCACCACCGACGTTCGCCATACGTATGGCGGTGCGCTGTGCATCATGGAGTTTCTTTGCAATCTCTCCTTTATCCTCCCACCATGTTCGCTCGCCGCTGTTTCAATTTCAGGCTGAGGAGCCAGCTTGTTCTCCAAACCCAACGCACCAAGTCATGGCGTAGCATCGCGACCACTGCGCCCGCATGGAACGCGGAGACGACGCTGCACCGTTCTACTGAACTCGGGGCGGTCGAGGAGACGCAGGATATCGCGACGATGGACAGGTTGCTGAAGATCTGCAGTCAGTGTATACTCGCGCACTTCATCTGTCTTCTTTACTACTTCACGCCTCGAACGGCCGCGAAGAAACTGTACTGAATGGCGGTCCCACCCCATAGGTCAACGCGCGAACCCCGCGCACCACTCGTACGTGCGCTCTCTGACGTCTTCTTGCATCTTCCTCCCGCTGAATGTGTAGTCTCTGTCAGTATGGTGCCCATGCGCTCGAATGGCCTCTGGTCCGAAGCGCTCGCGATGCCCGACTCTCCAGACGCGCACCCCCTCGAACTTGTCCCAGGCGCGCAGAGCACGCTCGTACCCCGGCGCATGCACGATTCGTACTGCGAGATTACGTTGCCGTTTGCGTCAAACCCGCAGCTGCTCGAGAGCTATACGAACGCGTCCGGCGGGATCCGCACAGGCCTCCTAATGGAGCACCTCGACTCGCTCGCAGGAAGCATTGCGTACAAACACATGCTTGGCCCAGACGTGAGCGCGGTACCGAAAAATAACGGCTTCTACATGGTAACCGCATCCGTCGACAGGTATGAACACGTCAGCTGTGTACGGTACGATACTGAGTATATGCGGTCTAAAGGCTAGACATGCTCGCGTCGCTGTACCCTGTGCGCGATATGCGGCTTAGCGGCCAAGTCATTCACACTGGTAGGAGCTCTCTAGAGATTGCCGTGCGCATGGAAGCTTTGGGCGACGGTACAGAGCAGACTGTCATGCTCGGTAAGTCGTGTTGTATCCTGCGTTCTTCCCTCGCGGCTTATATCGCTCCAAGGCCGGTTCTGCATGGTATGCAGGAACGCACGGACGCATGGCTCCGCTCCCGTCAACCCTCTCAGCCTTGACGCCCCCGAAGACCACATACTGTATACTATTGGAGAAGGTGCGCCTTTGTCGTCTTTTCCATCTTTGCCGCCAATGGTATGAAGCTGTGAACCCAGTACACAAGAACAAACGTCAGTCGCGCGCCACACGTTCCTTGAACCGTGTGCCTCCCACGTCCTCGGAAGCCGAGGCGCTGCACTCCCTCTTCCTGCAACACGGCCAAAACGAAGGTGGAGACTCACCGACGGCTCCCGATCAGGAGCGAGTATGGATGGGAGACACTCGTCTCGAGAAGACACTGATCATGTTCCCGCAAGAACGAAAGTAAGCCTACCGTACCAGTTGCTTCCATCAGGATATAACCTTAATTTCAACAGTGTGCACCAGAAAATCTTTGGTGGTAAGTGTGCACTGCCCGCATTAAACGCGACCACTAAGAAACCGGTCTGTAGGCTATCTCATGCGTCTGGCGTACGAGCTCGGGTTTGCAAACTCGTGTCTCTTCACGCGCGACCACGTTACGTTCGTTTCCCTTGACGGGATATCCTTCGCACGGCCAGTACCCATCGGATCTCTACTACGGCTTACGTCCTATGTCGTCAACTCGGCGTCTTCGGATAACTACCCAACCCTCGTGGTGAGCTTGCTTCGTCGGGGATGGCGGCGGGGAATATACGGTAACTAACTTCGTGGTTATGCAGCACGTGTGGGTACACGCCGATGTCGTGAACCTAGCAACGGGCGCAGAGCAGCGGACGAACGACTTCCGTTTCACGTGGGGCAGGGAGAGCGGGCCTCCGCTCAAGCGCATGATCGTTCCCAAGACTTATGGCGGTGGGCTCCCTTTGAATATAACCTGGCGAAACGCTCGATCAATCACTCATACTATTATACAGAGGCAATGCAATGGCTCGAAGGGCGAAGGGCGCTCGAGATGGGATCCGAGATCCGGAAGTTGCGCAAGAGGCCTTAAGCTGAGTAAAGAATCGACACTTCATTTTTGTGGGACGAAACATTATCTGGTAACCTATATATCGCCACGATAGCTTGCCTTCGACACCCAGCTATAGAGGGTATCACATTGTATTAACGAACTCTGGTCGTGCCTTAGGGCATTGAATGTACAATAGTTTCTGATCATCGATAGAGTGCACTCCCCACGGCGCAGGAAGAAACCAAGCCTGCGCGAAAGACACCATGAAAAAGACCAAGATATCTTACGCGGTGAGTCCGTTTCTTGATCCACGGTCGAACGCACTCACTGATGACATCTGTGCAGCAGCCGCTGGTCGCAGTTGAGATTTACGGGCACTACCATGCATCACACTGCGAGCTGTCGTGTTCGTGCCAAGAGATGTTGTCTGTTATCATACTGCAAGCACAGTGTAACGCTCATCCTACTTCGATACCTTAGGTCGAATGGCCTGGGCGACAGGCCAAGCGTCGAAGTGACCCGTGCTGCTGTACGTCATCCCGTAATCGAGTCCATCGCCCTGTTCAATCACTGTGAGCGACTTCCCATGATGACGCATACATGCTAGGTGCTTACAATCATGCTAACAGGGAAGCCGACGTCGAACGGCACTGCGCCCTCGATCTCTTTGATGTGTTCGGGATTGAGCGCGACGCTGAGAGCCGCGATGTTCGCGTGCAGGTGCTCGACCTTGCGCCCGCCGACGATGGGGAAGACGTACGGCGTCTTCTGCAGCAAATACGCGATCGCGACTGTCGGACCGCTTCATTAGCTCAGCTCCAGGACACAACAACAAGATGCCGCATACCGGCTTGGATGTTGGGCGCGCCGACCTGCGCGGCAACCTTCTCCAACACACCCGCGACCTTGCGCTCGGTCTCGTTGCGCTCCCATTCGGGATTGAAGGCCGTCCGGCCTGCGTCGGGAGTGATTCTGTTAGTATCGCAACGAGGAAGACGTGTCATGCGTACGCACCCTTCTCGCCAGTTTCGCGCCGACGCTGCTCCTCCGCGTCTGACCTGATCTTGCCACCAGCAAGGACGTTCCAGGGCGCGAGCGCCATACCCTCCGCTCTCGCCATCGGGATGATTTCGCGCTCGAAGTCGCGCTCGAGGACGCTCCATGCGCCTTGGTACACCGCGAACGGCGTCTGATGGCTCATACGCGCATACCTGTTCGCGCTGGAAACAATCCAAGCGGGCGTATCGGAGATACCCTGCGTACGATCCCCGTTAGCCATCTTACTGCTGATAAGTTCTCCTCGATTGTAGGAGCATACGTACCAAGTACAGGACCTTGCCTGCGAGGATCAATGCATGCAAGCTGTTCATGAGCTCCTCGATGCCGGTGGTGTAATCCCACTGGGCGATGGTATGTGAGCATTATTCTCATCCGTACGCAGTCGGTGATAACTTACCCAATGGACATAGAGGATATCGATGTACGACGTGCGCAGCTTCTTGAGTGACTCCTCGACCGAGATATGCAGCGACTTCGAACTGTTCCCGATGTAAGAGCTCTGCTGCTTGATGTCCGTCCTTCCCCTCTTGTAGTTAGACGTGTACTAAACTAGCGGTCAGAACCTGCGCAGCAACGGGATCATCCACAAGCACAAGACCTACCTTCGTGGCAATGACCATCTGGTCACGGATCCCGCGCGCCTCCATCCACTCCCCGATAATCTTCTCGGACTCCTCGTCCTGGTAGCCGTTCGCGGTGTCGATGAAATTCCCACCGGCGTTGTAGAACGCGTCGAGCAGCTTAATGCTGTCCTCTTTGTTCGCACCGGCGAACCCTCCCTCATTCCACTTGTCGCCGATGCTTGCGCCTCCAAGGCAGATCGGGGAGACGTGCACACCTGCGAGAGAGGAGAGACGGCGGTGGCGGCCGAGCGCGGTGGGCGGCGGGGGAGCGGGAAGGAAAATCTTGGACATGTCTGTAGGTGTGAGAATGGGCTTGTCTGTGAAGGAGACGAGATCAACGCCGCAGCACCATGTCCGTGGCTCCTTTATACCCCCTCGCCTACACAACTTACGGCCGATGCCCACAGAAACCAGTCGGTTGCGCAGCACGTCTTGTCCGGTCACCGGGCTTCAGCGACCCCCTCTGGCAGGTCGCTTTGTCCAGCGAGTCTGTGTTCAAAGGCGCGGTTTTCTGCACCTATTGCCGTACCCATCGCGCGATTATGGCACGAACATCCTGTAGAAATTCCGTGAGCTCAGAAGTGCATCGCTCGCAACACTAACAAATGTTGAAACCAACGTATATGACTTCCTCCATAGTCCACAACTCCTCCGAAGCCCCGAAGTGACAGACCGTCACCTAGAACGCCTTGCCCGTGGTCGGCCGCGTTACGCGGATCGTCCGCAGACGCCTGGTATCCCATGATCAAATTCCGACGCCGGCGAATGATTAATTGGAGCTGATTAACGTCGTTCAGGCTGATAAACACGACCTGGATGCGTTTATGTTCTTGAATGTTCTCCTGGCGACGAGATGTTTGGATGGGAGTACGTATGAGGTAGGGTTTTGTTTCCTGCTAGCACTCTTCAGCGACGGCACAGCCGCTGTGCACCAAAGTTACTCACCAGTGAAGCGACGTCGACAACCCTTCCCATCTTGTAGTACTGCGTCCTGTACGTCCTTGACTTGCCGTTAGTGAGGTCTAGCATCAGCAACTCTACTGCCTAGGGCCCGAGATCATACACTTAACCTCAAGCTGGCGAGTACTGATGCACATTGCCTAGTACTTTGGTGCGTCATCATGGACTCATGGAGATATCAACGCCTCACAGAACGGGTCTCAAAGCAAAATCTCGCGCAGTTCTCCATAGGAGACAACGTTATTGATTCACGACATGCTGTTTGTCTATTGGGTACACTGCGAGACCACCCTACTTGGACGATTCTGGACGAATCGCCTGCTGGAGCGGCCACGGGTCGAAGTTGCCAGCGGCCTTGAAGCCGAACCAGTAGTCGGTTCCGTCGCCCTGTCCAGGCTCAATCAGCTACGTTCCAATGCAGGACTTGCATAAGGTGCTCACGATCATGTTTCCAGGGAAGCCGACGTCGAAGGGCACCACACCCTCAATCTGCTTGATGTGCTCGGGCGCGAGCACGACGCTGAGCGCCTCGATGTTCGCGTGCAGGTGCTCTACCTTACGCCCACCGACGATGGGGAAGACGTACGGGGTCTTCTGCAGGAGGTATGCGATTGCCACTGTTGAGTCGCTCTGTTAGCAGTGTCCTATGATGCCTCGGCGTCCGGCAAAGCCCAAGACGTACCGGCTTGGATGTTCGACGCGCCGACCTGCGCAGCCACCTGTTCGAGCACCGTCGTGACCTTGCGCTCCGTCTCGTTGCGCTCCCAGTTGGGGTCAAGCATCGTCCGGCCTATAGTGCGGGCGTGGCTCGTCAGTGCCATGCGAGGGAGAACTTCGGGAAGACAGCGTGCGTACCCTTCTCGCCGGTCTCGCGGCGGCGCTGCTCCTCCGCGTCTGACCTGATCTTGCCGGCGGCGAGGACGTTCCAGGGCGCGAGCGCCATGCCCTCAGCACGTGCCATCGGGATGATCTCGCGCTCGAAGTCGCGCTGCAGGACGTTCCAGGCGCCTTGGTAGACGCAGAACGGCGTCTGGTTGCTCATACGCGCGTAGCGATTCGCGCTGGAGACGACCCACGCGGGAGTGTCAGAGATTCCCTATGGATAGCTTTAGTCTACCTCGTCCCAGCGCATCGTAAGGAGAGGCGTGCGTACGAGATATAGGACCTTGCCCGCCTGAACCAAGGCGTGCAGGCCGTTCATCAGCTCTTCAATGCTGGTGTTGTAGTCCCACTGTTTCAAGCCCGGTAAGTTGCTAGAATGTTGATTCCATTCGACACGTAGCTTACCCAATGAACGTAGAGGATGTCGATGTACGAGGTGCGTAGCTTCTTGAGCGACTGCTCGACCGAGATGTGCAGCGACTTCATGTTGTTTCCAACGTAAGCACTGTGCTGCTTGATGTCGTCCCGCCCTCTCTTGTAGTCAGACGAGTACTGAAGATACGCGCACAAGATTAGCTTTCAATCATATTCGGAGACTTAGACTGCCTACCTTCGTGGCGATCACGATCTGGTCGCGAATGCCGCGCGTCTCCATCCACTCCCCGAGGAACTCCTCCGAGGTCTCGTCCTGGTAGTTGTTCGCGGTATCGATGAAGTTGCCGCCGGCGTCGTAGAACGCATCGAGCAGCTTGAAGCAGCTCTCCTTGCTGGACTCGCCCATCGGCCCCGACCACTTATCGCCGATGCTCATCGCCCCGAGACAAATCGGGGAGACGTGCACGCCGGCGAGCGTGGACAGGCGGCGGTGGCGGCCGAGCGCGGTCGGCGGCGGGGGAGCGGGGGCCCAGAGAGACATAGTTGGTAGGTATCGAGAGGGTTAAGTTGCGGCAGAGATAGGAGTGGCTGGGGATGAGATGACAACCATTGCGACGCATCCGCTGTTCTTATACCCCACACCCGCATAGTGCCTATCGTGGGTTCCCGCCGGTGCACGCACTCAGCGGGATGCGGAATTTGGCCATCTCGATGTCCGGTCGGGCTTCACTGCAGTCATGAGCCCCTTTTCCGGCTGGTGCACAACGGTTGACACATTCCCCCACCAGCGCCTGCGCCACAACATGGCGTGGCCGTGGTGTTGAGATTGTCGGAAGCAGAAGAGGTGAGCAACATATGGATGCCGGGAGGGACACGCAGACTGCGGCAGAGATGCGAGTTTCTCGAAGCGGTGCTATGTAGTGCTATGTCCGCTCGCCGGTCGATTTGGGCGCTCGCCCAGACTCTCGACCATTACTATCCTCCGACCGGGAATCGAGGTTCATGAAAGGAACGCACCAAGCTTATGGTGCAGTGCATACAGGGACGTTTACTCCTAATGGGATAACCAATTTCATGTATGACATCCACACTGGATCTTGACATCCGAGTTCAAAGCACTAACTGACTCACAACGACATTGAGTATTATGGGGGGCACCCGCGGACAAAAGTAATTTGGACTTGAAACCAGTGTGTTTTGGGCTTCGAACTTGTAATAGAGCTGTTTCGCAACGCGTTTGCCCTGCCTTGGGTGGAGCTCGTTTGGCCTTGCTCCAGACGTCTCTCGTATGGACTTTGGCCTTGCTCCACTCCTGATTTGTACTACCCCACGCAAAATCGCCCGTTGCGAAATAGCTCTAATGGAGGTAACGATTTGAACTTCAAAGCCTGATTGGGTTTCGCACTTCAGTTTCGCGCGGGAAGTTCGATTTCAGGACGCCATTTCGATTTCGGGACACCGGGCCGGACGTGAGCGCTCCGAAGCGCCGCCGACACCGTAACCCGTTCGTTCGCTCCGGCGAGTGCCACTGTGAAGCTCGGAGCTTCGTCTAGCTACTCATTGCGAATCAAAGAGCGTCTGCACTAAACTGTAGCTCGGGTATGAGTACCGGTTCTGTGTCCTAGAGCCATCTCTCTAGCCAGTAGGCTGCTCGTTAAAACCCGCACACTGTCGTTAACCTAGTAGCCCGGAACTGCTGAGTCCTGACCTGTGTCGTCTTGAAGTATATGCGGAGCCGCGCGACGTCCATCTACCGCAAATACGCTCCCGACGCGAGCTCCTCAACGAGGCCGGTGACACTGAGCGGGGGCGTCACTGATACGGGCGCTGAGTCGTCGTGCAGCATCTCCCGGTCTTCGCGCAGGTGCGGGCCGTACCCGTGCACGATTTGCGGTGTCGTGATACTTAGCCGGACGAAGGTGTCATGCGCATTATGCAGCAGGAAGAGGCTGGGCTGTCCGCCGTACGCCTTCCGCCAAGATCCCCTGAAAGAGGTTTGCGAGGACAACGGTATCGAGGCGGGGCATGGCTGCAATAGTAGTCTTGAGCAAGGCGATCTTGCTAGGAGAAAGGGGGTAGACATGTTCGCCAGCCAGATCTCGTGTGCGTCCACGAGCACTGTAGTAGTACTAGTGTTCTAGAGCAGAGGGTCTACGACATACTTGAGTTGTTCACGACCACGGCGCTTGGAACAATGCCACACCTACTATTGTACTAGATCCCAGAAATTTGAGTATTGAAGTAGGCTCATTTGTATTGCTCCGAGAGAAGGGAAAAGATGCTGAAGTATAGAAACAATGGATCAGTGATACAGTGTGCCGGGCCTGCCAGCGAGCAGCGTAAGAACTTCGAAGCATACAAATCCAGAGCCGTATGGAGCTGACAATGTTCTTGACTGTCAGGACCTCCATGTGAGGGCACAGACATGATGATAATCTCATAATAATGGCATAGTTTGAGGCGAATATATTATCAATACATAGTAGCAGCTCCGAGTCTACGTGGTTAGTATGGGAGGCTCACCCAGGAGTATTTCCGTACCGTTCGGAGGTGATGCATCATAGCTATGACATCACACAGTGACGCCGTGGCTGTCGTGTTCACTAAGTAGCCTGCATGGACGTGCTTTGTACGAAAAAAGAGAGCTAGAAACAGAAGAAATCCACAGTGTAATGGAACTTTGAAGGCAAAGTCAGACCGCGAAGTCAGAGCAAGGTCATGAAGTGCACTTCCGAAATTGAAGTGACTGTCCCGAAATCAAACTCCGAAACTCAATTCTTTTGTCCGCGTTGAATACTTTTGTCCGCGGGATCCCCTCATATAGTATGGCGCGGCTGAGCTGCTTTTGTACGATTTCGCTACAATGCAAAACTTGAAGCTCGAGGTGCGTGCATTGATTTCTCATCATAGTGAAGGCAATCGTCGTAGTACAAGGGGTTGACAGCATTTTCTATGAGACTAAACGAGCTGCTTCTACTCAGAGCTCGAAACAGGAGTCGGATCGAAACACTCTCACTCACTCCATGCTTATTGATCGCACGCTTGCATTCGTGCCTAATTTCGACTTCACTTCGTAGAAGCGGGACGAATCGCCTTCTGGACGGGCCACGCGTCGAACGTCCCGGCAATCTTGGACGCGAACGCATAGTCCGTTCCATCGCCCTGTTATCCAGCCTCCGGTGAGCTCCCTTATTCGTCTAGGTCTCATCATGAGCACTCACGAAGAGGTCGTGGGGAAATCCCGGCGCGAAAGGCACCGCGGCCTCGATCTCCTTGATGTGTTCGTCTTCCAGCGCGATGCTGAGCGCCTCGAGGTTCGCGTGCAGGTGCTCGACCTTGCGCCCACCGATGATGGGGAAGACGTACGGGACCTTCTGCATCACGTACGCGATGGCGACTGTACGAGGGCATTGCGAGTAAGCGGCGCCCCCCATTCATGGCCAGCCAAAGAGAATTTGACGACGCACCTGCTTGGATGTTGGACGCGCCCACCTTCGCGGCGACCCCCTCAAGGACCTTCGCGACCTTGCGCTCGGTCTCGTTGCGCTCCCACCGTGGGTCCCGAATCGTGCGGCCTATTCCCCAATCTGTCAACATTCCACTCAGCGATAGCAGCACTACGACAGACCTTTCTCGCCCGTCTCGCGACGGCGCTGCTCTTCTTCGTCAGTCCTGATCTTGCCGGCGGCGAGGACGTTCCACGGCGCGAGCGCCATGCCTTCGGAGCGCGCCAGCGGGATAATCTCGCGCTCGAAGTCGCGCTGCAGGACGTTCCAGGCGCCTTGGTAGACGCAGAACGGCGTCTGGTTGCTCATGCGCGCGTACTGGTTCGCCTTGGCGACGACCCAGGCCGGGGTGTCTGAGACGCCCTGCGCGTAGTAGCCAATAGGTGAGCATTCTTATAAGTTGTATGCGATAGCACGTTGTTGATACGTACCAGGTACAGGACCTTGCCGGCGAGCACCAAGGCATGGAGGCCGTTCATCAGTTCTTCTATGCTGGTGGTGTAGTCCCACTAAAACGTCGCAAGTCAGGTCAGCTTAGAACGTCCATCGCCTTTAAAAATGTCGCAGACCCAGTGAACGTAAAGGATATCGATGTACGAGGTGCGCAGCTTCTTGAGCGACTGCTCGACCGAGATATGCAGCGACTTCGTGCTGTTCCCGACATAAGCGCTGTGCTGCTTAATGTCCGTCTTGCCCCTCTTGTAGTCGGTCGTGAACTGCGAATCGCCCCCGTCAGCACTCCTATCCATGCTGCCATACCCCACGGCGGCGTACCTTCGTAGCGATGACCATCTGGTCGCGGATCCCGCGCGTCTCCATCCACTCGCCCAGGAACTCCTCCGAGCTCTCGTCCTGGTAGTTGTTCGCGGTGTCGATGAAGTTCCCGCCCGCCTCGTAGAACGCGTCGAGCAGCTTGAAGCTGCCCGCCTTGTCCATCGCGCCCATCCCGAACGGCGCCCACTTGTCGCCGATGCTCATCGCGCCGAGGCAGATGGGCGAGACGTGCACGCCGGCGAGGGCGGAGAGACGGCGGTGGCGGCCGAGCGCGGTCGGCGGCGGGGGAGCGGGGGCCCAGAGGTCAGACATGTTTTAGGCTGTGAGCGGTGAGTGGTTGATGAAGAGGGTTGCTGTGCGCGAGCTGATCAAAGTGCAGATGAACGGTGGTGCTGTATCCCGGCCAGCTGCTCCACATTTTATACCTTCAAGTTCACCGTGCTGGCCGAAGGTACACGACATAACTTGCCGTCGGATGTATGCGCATGCCTCATTTACAACTGGGACGCGGGGTCGGACCCGCCAGGAAGTCCCCTTGCATACATCGCACATAGCAGATGTGGAACAGAGCCCACCATGCTACTCACGCACCCTGTAGGACGACAATAGCTCTTGAGTCGGGCTGCCGACCGGGGATTGAGGGAGTCACAGTGAATGCAACACGAGCTCGTCGTATTTGAATTTTGTGGTTTACGGCGTACTCACGTTCAAGTTTGCTGTCCGTATCCCGTGTTGGGAATGTTTGCAGTTCTTACGAGCAGCGCAAGAAATATAGTGCGTCCAACCGTCGACAAATACATTTGGTTGTTCTTCCAAGGCCGGTCGAAGCGTGGGCCATACATTCGCTCGTTACTGCGTATTGAGACCGGGAGGTAAGTTTACTGCGAGCGGCCAGGGTGGATGGGCTGCGGCAGCGGCCATTTGTCGAAATGTCCCGCGGCAACGTTGAGACCAGTGTACTCGAGACCGTTTCCCTGAATGATGATGAGTATCAGCACACCGTACTATTGGAAAAGCTCGGGCGTCCTTACGATCATCGTGTGCGGGAACCCCGGATTGAAGGGCACCGCGTCTTCGATTTGCTTCACATGCTCCTCGGTGAGAGCGATGTCGAGGGCCTCGACGTTCCCGAGAAGATGCTCGACCTTCCTTCCGCCGACTATGGGAAATACGTACGGCGTCTTCTGCATTAAGTACGCGATGGCCACTGCCCATGAGGTGAGCCACCTCCGATCGGCGAATGTGGGTGCACGTCAGCTCCGCCCGGGACGAGAAGGACGCACCGGCTTGAATGCTCTTTGCGCCAACATGGCTTGCAATGCCCTCCAGCACTTTGGAGACCTTTCGTTCCGTTTCGTTTCTCTCCCAGTCCCCTCCCCCGAGAGTGCGTCCTATGTCGCGAAAGTTATACGATGCCAGAAAAATGTGTGGAGGTGTGATGCGTACCATTCTCGCCAGTCTTGCGACGCTTCTCTTCCTCTTCGTCGGTCCGAAGCTTTCCCCCGGCGAGCACGTTCCAGGGCGCGAGCGCAAGCCCCTCGGCACGGGCCATTGGAATTATGTCGCGTTCGAAGTCCCGCTGGAGGACGTTCCACGCTCCCTGGTAGATGACGAAAGGTGTCTTGCCGCTCATACGCGCATAGGTATTGGCTTTCGATACGACCCATGCGGGAGTATCAGAAATACCCTAGTACATGATCAGCCTCGTTCACTCGTCTTCCGACGCGAGCTCCACTTACCAGGTAGAGGACCTTACCCGACGCGACCAGGTGATGGAGTCCACTCATGACCTCTTCGACGCTGGTGTTGTAGTCCCACTGCGTGTCAGCGAGAGTAGTTAGCAGATTATTTATGGTGCGTTGGTACCAATGAACCACATCAAATACACTAATGCTTAGGTGCTTGAAAGAAATCATAAATCGTGAGTTCGCACATAATCTGATGGCTTCTCGAACGGTTCGGTGACGCTGTTGAATGTACGTAACATTTGTTCTTTTCGCGGGGTGTGAGCCAACCAAATGGTTTCCACGCGATGCAAGGAGACAATAGTAATACAAAGACGACGTCTACTTACCCAGTGCAGGTACAGTATATCGATGTAGGACGTCCTCAGCTTCTTGAGGGACGCCTCGACGGAGGTCAGCATAGACTTCATATTGTTGCCGACGAAGGCCGAGTGCTGCTTGAGTTCTGTCTTTCCTCGCTTGAAGTCGGTGGTGTACTATCCCGTGCCACAAATTATAAGATAGAGACCGGATATATGCGCGCATATACTCACCTTAGTGGCGAGCACGATCTGGTCACGGATCCCGCGAGTCTCCATCCACTCGCCGATGAACTCTTCGGAGGACTCGTCTTGGTAGTTGTTGGCGGTGTCGATAAAGTTGCCGCCAGCCTCGTAGAACGCGTCGAGCAGTTTGAAACTAGACTCCTTGCTCATAGTTCCCATTCCGAACTCCTCCCACTTGTCGCCGATGCTCATGGCACCGAGCGCAATGGGGGAGACGTGGATGCCTGCTAGAGGCGAGAGCTGGCGGTGACGGCCGAGCTTCGTCGGCGGGAGCGCAGGGGGATCGAAGAGTCCGGGCATCTGAGGTCACTGCGGAGCAAGCCAAATGTAATCCAGTTACATTCGGATCAAATCCAAAATGTGATAACAATGTGATACGGATGCAGCTGACGTTGCATGTCCGTCATATCGACATCAAAAGGAACATGTCATTGGAATGTAATTGAGATTTAATTTGGGCGCTTCCTGGTGTGGGCTCCATATGCAGCCCGGTGCGGTCCGCGTTTTTCGTCGCTCGCGTTCCCGCCAATGCCCCTTGCACGCAACATAGAAGACATGTCAACAAGGGAAAATATATTTGTGATACGACGACCCCGGTGTAACAATCAAGTCGGTCAAAGGGGGCCCGTTAACTCAAAGTGCGGGCCTCGTTGGCGTGGTCAGTAAGTGTGTTAGCGCGGTCAGTATGTAAGCATGTTAGCGCGCGGTCAGTGAAGGTTAGTGAGGTCAGTAAGGTCAGGTTAGTAATCATTAACCCGAGTCAGGTGAGGTCAGTAAACACATGTTAGTGATTAGTTAGCCGTAGTCAGTGATCATCGATCAGCTATGAGCCCGCGCCGTTGAAGGTAAACAAAATGAACCTCACCGTTGTCCGCGGTCGCCCGCGGCCAGCCAACGAGTTGTGTCTCGCGAAAACACTATCCCCCCGGCAGCTGTAGCTCCGCAGTGAGAAGCCAGAAAGGCAAAGCGAGACCTGCAGGAAGACAAGTACGAGCAAGGGAAGACGGGAGGGGACATGGCCGCCGTCTGAGGCCGGGTCGTCGTGGTTGATATTGAAACGTTGAAGTCCAGAGATCGGCCCCCAGGCCTTAGGTGACAATGTGATATTCCGGAAAACGCCTCACGTGCGTGGCGGGGGATGCATTTCAGTTGAATCTGTGTTTTACGGCTCGCGAATTGCATTCACATGAAATCCAAATGTTATTTAAAATGGCATCCCAATGTAGCTGGTGACATATTTGGCGTGATCTGCAGTGGGTTGCTATGGAAAGGAAGGGAGAAGAGAACGTTTGACGTTGTTCTTAGCACTAGACCTCTTTATATACTGCACAAGACGGCGACGTTCGATCTTGCGCCGTGCGATGACGCGTTATGCAGCGAGAGCACCACCGCAACCGCCGATATGAAGTCATAGACGTGAACAGAGGCGAGTTTGACATATGAGATCTAGATGCAAATCAAGAAGTCCAGCTACCTGAAGTAGCTGGAGCACTCGTCTGTTCAATGTTACTCAGACTGCACAAGTATTGTGTGCTATTGTTGCATCGCCTGGCTATACATTTATAACTAAATGCAGTGTAACCTCTGTGTGCACGTTAAATTTCCTCGAGCTGCAGATATACTGACGCACCAACGCAAATTGTGACAGCAGCCTTGCTGGCAGCAGAAAGATGTTCTAATGCAACATGGCAGTCTATGGTCGTGGATTATCGACATTTCCGTGTTTTACCGAGCACATTTACGCAGCTAAGGCATCCATACCTCTCGCAAACAGCAGTGATATGGCCTCGCAGTGGTGTTCATGAAGAGAGCGTAGATCGAACACTGCGATCGCGATTCGCAGTAATGATGTGGTGCACAGCCACCACACGTGGCAACTCAACGCCACAAAGCGGGCGTCTACTTCTGAGCAGGGTAGCGAGACGGGCGCTTCGCTGGTTCACTCACTCCGGTCCCACCACCACCACCTCCTGCCACCTCCCACGCTTCTCTCTACGCTGTGCCTTCTTGAATATTGGCGTCCAGACTTGTATAACTTGACGTTGAAGACCAGCGAGGGCCCAGGGACGCGTCACAATCACTTCAGCTTCGATCAGGGTCCAAGTGCCTGTTACCCCGCGACTGGCCATAGCCCATTCCCGTAAACACTGAAAGTAGGCAGGTCCATCGACGCAGGGGGACTATTTGCTGATATCGAACTAAGCGCAGCTTCCCTATGAGTGTAACTACCACGGAATGTCTTGCGTCCGCGAACGAGCTGCTCGCTTCGCACAACGCGCTCGTGTCGCGTATACGAAACGCCCAGCGCGGGTACAGAAGACAACTCAAATCTCTCCCCTCACCACCTGAGGAGGTCCTGAAGCTTCCTCTACTGCCCACGCCGCCGCGCTCACCATCCCCATCGCCACCCTCCTCGCCTCTCATCTCGCCGGCGCCGAAACCACCTCGCCCGGATCTCCCGCCGGCGAAACGCGCACGCGTGTCGCGGTATAGCAACTACGTGCCAGAAGAGGAGACCATACGGAACGACTACTCTCAGCGGTATGTGGACGGAGGAGAGTGGCCACAGAACTGGGTGCTGGGCGCGGAGCCCGAGCATCGTTTCGAAGAGTACGTCTGCATATAGCGAGCTTTCCTCTGTGATTGCTGTGTGCGAACTAACCCTCCCCAGGTATCCCAAACAGCAGCGTCTGCTGACTCTGAAGAAGGCTGCCGTCGCAGAACATGCCCTACCCCCAACTTTCCTTCCCTACTCCGAGCTTTCCACACTACATCCCACGAAGTTTGACGTCATCCTTATCGACCCTCCCTTCTCATCATCCTTCTCCTGGGACGAACTGCAGAACCTTCCTATTCCCGCTCTCGCGGCGGACCCTTCATTCGTGTTGATGTGGGTAGGCAGTGGCTCCGGAGACGGCCTTGAGCGTGGACGAGAGGTCATGGCGAAATGGGGCTTCCGAAGATGCGAAGATATCGTGTGGGTGAAGACGAACAAGACCACGAACAGCGGTCCAGGGGTACGTTCCTCAGCCGCATATATGCATATATAGATGTATACTCACCTGGCATGGGCTTACAGACCGACCCACCAACCACTTCACTGCTCACCCGTACCAAGCAGCACTGTCTGATGGGCATTCGCGGCACCGTCCGTCGTTCGACCGATAGCTGGTTCGTGCATTGTAACGTTGGTAAGCCTCTCCTACCTCATTCACCCCCATGTCATGTTCACTTATACTGCACGCTCTTCCAACAGATACGGACGTACTCATATGGGAGGGCGACGAATCCGACCCAACACTCAAGCCGCCAGAGATGCATACACTCATCGAGAACTTCTGCCTTGGCCTGCGCCGCCTTGAGATATTCGGACGTGCGCGTACCGCGCGCCGCGGCTGGGTTACCGTTCTTTCCGAGGGCGAAGAGGACCGCATCGAAGAGGGCATGTCTCTCGACGACGACGGTGCGACGGACGCCGCGGGAGAGGGCGCGATGCGCTGGGACAGAGAGCGCTGGGAGGCACGCGTGAAGGAAGTCGCGGGCGGTGGGAAGCCCGTCGTTCCGGTAACCCCAGGTACGCATCTTATCTTAGGTCTCCACTAGATGTGAGCGGACGTTGACCTCCGGCATACACCCGCAGAAATCGATGCTCTCAGGCCTAAGTCACCCGTCCGCGGCGGCTCCTCCAACCACAACAACGGCATGCACTCCACGCCCAACTCAAACGGCGGCTCCATGGCCACGCCCATGATGGGCATGGGCGGCGGCAATAACCACCGCAACGGCGGCGGCGGCAACGGCGGAGGCGGCGGCGGCGGCTTCGCAAACCAGAATCGCATGATGGGCCCGCCGCAGATGGTGCCGATGAACGGCATGAGCCCAGACATGGGCGGCATGGGCATGATGGGCGGCGGCGGGTGGGGCCAGGAGATGGGCATGCCCGGACTCGGGCTCAACGTCCCCATGAGCATGATGGGCATGGCGCAGCAGGGCATGCCGTTCGGCGGGGGCCAGGGGCGCTTTGGGGGCGGGTTCGACGGGGGGATGGGCAGTGGGGGCATGGGGCGTGGGGGGCATGCTCATGGGGGACATGGGGGGATGGGCGGTGCGGGCGGCGGCGGGATGGGGTGGATGGCGGGCGGGGAGGGTCAGTATATGGACGGGTCTGGCGCGGGCATGTGGGACGGCGGGATGGGCGAAGGTATGATGGGCATGAACGGGATGGGCAACATGGGCGGGATGGGCCAGGGGATGGGCGGAATGAACGGCATGGGAGGTATGAGTGGTATGAACGGCATGAACGGCATGGGCCAGGGAATGGCTCAAGGTATGGGCCAGGGCATGGGCCAGAACCTGGGTTCGATTCGTATGGGCATGAACTCGGCGATGGGCCAGAACATGATGGGCATGAGCATGGGCCAGTGGGGCGGCGAGGGGTACGAGGGCGGGTTCGGTGGTTGACGGGGACTCTGGACTTGGACCTACGTTCGTGCTCCGGACTATGCTGTGATCGCTGTTGTACAAATGTCCTTGTGTGTATTATACGCAATCTGCTGTGACGCTTGCTCTCGCATTCCCTCGGTGCATGATATGAATGCTAGACATACTGATAGCTTTGGATATTTGGTTCGTCGATACAACTCGATAAGTACACGATGATATCACCAATAAGTAGTACAATAAGTACACACAACAGCATCCATCCTCCAAGCGCATAGCAAAAACAAAACAAGATAGCACGATACCTACAGCGACAGCAGATACGATTGGTGACTTGACTCGAGGTCGCCTCGAGAAACGACTACTAGAAGTGCTTCTTTGCGTAGTCGTCCAACTGCGCAAGGAACGCCGTTTGCTCCTCCAGAGTCTTCTGGGCGCTATGGCACTCGTTTCAGCGAGGCTGGTAGAGCGAGGAAGTTCGGATTTGACACTCACAATTCTTGTGCAAACTTCGGGAGGTCCTCCGGGTCTTTAAGAAGGCCTTGCTCTATCAGCGCGCGCTGGCGTATCTGCAGCCTAGAGTCGACGCTGTCAGTGATGCGACAGAGCAAGAATTACAAACGGAGCGAACGCACTTCGAGCGCGGACTGGGCGGTGCCTTGTGATGCCTGCGGCGAGGCGGCCACTCTGGCTCGGACGTCTTGTCCTTCCCCTTCTTTCCGGAATCGCGACGTTCCTTTGCCTGTTTGGCTTTCTTCTTTCTCTCCTGCAGCCGCAGTGAGTCAAGGCACGATCAAGGCTGTAATTGGTTACACACCTGGAGCATGACCTGCATTCGCTGCCCTTCGATGGCGCTCGGGGCGATGAGGTCGTCATTGCGATGGGTATAGTGAACACCGATTGCGTTGAGGGTCTTCTCTATATCGTCCGGCTTGTGGTCCAATTCGGGCGGCGCTATACGCGAATGCAAAATGAGCGACTGGGAGGTTGCTACGAAAACAGATCCCCTACCGTCGTCAAAGAGTAGCGCTCCAAGCCCGCGGAATTCGTCCTATGGAATGTAAGCGCACGCGTCGCATGAAGCAGCTCTGGTAAACATACGTAGTCCTTTCCTGTCTTCGCCTCCTCTTCATACACCCAATGTACACCCGCTTTCTTCGCTTTGGCCTGAGGGCGCTTTACGACTCCGTTCTTGCCACCCATGTACGCAAAGGCCCAGTCCAAGTCACTGACATGAGCCCGCTCGATCTAGCGGCTGGTGAGCATCATGGGTATGGATGTCATTGTCTTGCCTGGAGACGTACCGCCATCTTCGTCGCCAGCGTGTGCTCGTGCAGCTTGAAGATGTTCTGGATTCCAAACAGCTCCCCTCGTTTGTGCTTGTCTCCTTGGACGCCCTCGAAGTATCTGAGATGGTGCTCATGAGCGACGTCGTTCATCAGAATAGCAGGATAACTGACCTTGTCTGGAGGCTGGCGTTGTACCCGACCTGCATCTGCTGTTGCTTGTACACTTGCCGCGCATAGATGAGCTCCTCGATGGAGCCTGCGCCAAGCAGCCGATATACAGCCACGTCTCGTGTTTGTCCGAAGCGGTAGGCTCGATCCATGGCTTGGAGGTCGTGTGCAGGATCTGAGTCATCATATCGTCTGAGAACATTACTTGGGGACAGTGGTAGCCCGACTCACTCCAGTTGGGATCTATTATGCAGCGTCAGGAAACTGCATATCACGATGCAACTTCAGGTGCTCACCAAAGACGACCACCTTGTTCGCCGCCGTAAGATTCAAGCCTGTGCCGCCAGCCATCGTGGATATCAGGAAAACGAAAATAGCAGGATCTTCCTGGAACCGGTCGATCATCGGCATTCCTAACGCAGTGTCAACAACAGCATCATGGCGATACCATAGACTGCTCACGGTCTGGTTGTTTCGTCGAGCCATCGAGCTTCACAAAGCCGTAGTCTGAATGAAGGGGGCTGTCAGCGTACTGCTAACCAAGGCTAACGAGACTACGTACTTCGCGAATTCAGGTGGAACTCCAACATCTCCAATAGCTTCACCGACTTCGTGAAGATCAGGACCTTGTTTCCGCCTTCTCGCTTCCATCCCTTGAGAAGCGTTTCCAGTACCTGTACTTCTATCAGCACATATAGTTCTCAGCCCAGAGACGAATGAAGCTTACCTGCCACTTGCCGCAATACTCCGGCCGCAGCATCGAAGGGCCGTACTTCGGAAGAGCTCCAGTGGGGAATGCCAGTCGAGACAATTCTCGGTTGCGTGCGGTCTACAGAATGTCAGCCAATTTATCAGAATACACGACGTGCACCGCCAGCGAACCTGATCTATGGTGTCCGTCGGCGCTATTTGAAAGAAAGTAAAAGTTAGCGATGGTTCGCCGAATTAGATGCGGTAACTAACCTGGCAGTATAAGGGCCAAATGGTTGGCAATCTTGATCAACGTCGACATGTACTTGAAAAGGTCGCCCGGATGGACGGGATGGCAACATTTCTTCCGCCTGTGTACCAAGTCAGCGTGCGCAGTGAAGGCAGAGCGGAGGAGGTATAACGTACGCCTTCTTTGAGCCACAGTCGCATGCCTTGTCCTTGTGGACCAGGTTCGCGACAGCTTCGAGGTCAAGTATGCGCTTGTAGACGGCAATCTGCACGGGAGTAAGCGGACAGAAGACAACTTGATCTGTCTTTTGCGGGAGCTGAAGAGGAATGTCAATTCGCTGTTAGGGGATGGAGGTTATCTGACCAACCTGGTCCTGAATGATTTGCTTGGTCCTATTTGAAGTTAGCCCCTACATCCGTCTGGCGACATAACATTACATACCTGCGGAGGAATAGGTGTGGCAACAGCTTCTCCGTCAAGAGCTTGGCGACCAGCTATGAAGCATACGTTATCAAATGCGTCTTCGCGCAGGGGAAGAAGTACTTACAGCGGCTTGTAAGTGCTCTTCATCCGTGGCCGACTTGCTCTGGCCTACGCGCAGCGGCTTCTCGACGTACGTCTCCCACTGCTTCTTCGTTCCGACCGACCCTGGGTTCGTCCAGTCCAACACTGTCCAGAGTTCCTCATAGCCGTTCTGGATGACTGCACAAAGTCTGAGAAAGGGTTGCATACCCATGAAGCGCCAGAACATTGTACTCACCTGTACCGCTAAGCCCGAAGCGTCGTGGACACGTGAACCGACTGAATGCCTCTGCCAACTTCGAGCGCGGGTTCTTGACACGGTGTACCTCGTCGATGAAGATGCAAGACCAGGGGAGCTCGTCTATCAGATCGATGTCTATCCGGGCGACTTCGAAGGAAGTCACGACTACGGAGTACGGGTCAGTAGAGTATCGGTGTAGAGTATCGGTAGTTGTTTGTGACGCCGCTACTTACGGACATCCAGGCGGCCCAACTTGAAGTCCGTTAGGACACTGGCGCGAGCCGTTGGTGGTCCGATGTACATCCCGACTTCGAAATATCCCCACTGCAGCGATCGTCCTTGAGATGATGCCCTGGGGATCACGAATGTACATCGTACGCACCGTTTCGAATTCGCGCTCCCAGTTACCCACTACGCTGCTCGGCGCAATGATGAGGCACGTTGGCCAGTCCGCGTTGGCGGGAGGAAGAGTTCGATTGGCCTTCCACTCCTTGCTCTTCTGTAAGCGAGCGACATGGTCGCGACGGCGGTCTACGTCTCGACTATTGCCTCTCTTGTGCATGATGGCGGAGAGAAATGAGATGACCTGGATGGTTTTCCCTGTGTGGTCGTGAGTAGCGGTTCCGGTATTTGTCTGTATACAAATGCTTGCCCTGATCAATTAACTGTTAGTATCTTGGGAGCATCTCAAACGTAAATGCTACGCACTAAGCCCATATCGTCTCCGAGAAGACCGCCCCGTCCTTCGTTATATCTTTCCCAGAAGAAGCGTACACCATCTCTTTGATACTCGCGCAAGAACGTGTTGATGCTTCCGGGAACCTTATGGGCCTTGTCCAAAGCTAATGGTTCGGCGCGCGTCTGCCCCTCCTTCAGAGGGAAGACAGGGCGGACTTGCACATCCTACACACAACTCAGCCTTTGCTCCAATCCCTGCAATAGCTACTCTCGCTTACCTCGGCGGACGACTCCAGGTCAGACTCTTCTTCCTCGGTATCTGCATCGGAATCATACGCAGGTTTAGGCTTCTTCGGAGCTGAAGGGGCGGGAGCGCTAAGAACCCAATGCGGTTCCGCATCTTCGTCCTCGAGCTCCGTAGCAGAGTCGTCCGTAACATCAAGCCTGGGCTTCTTGCTGGGGGACGGTCGTGCGGCTGTAGGGTTCCCAGTGGCGACCCGCTTGACCAGGAGCGGCTCAGTGGGTGGCGGAGCGTCTTCCGGCTCGCTCTCTTCGTACTCCGTGTCGGAGTCGTCGTGAGCACCGGCAGTGGATTTCTTGAGCTTCGCCTTGTCATAGAGCATCGCGAGTGTCTTGGGCAGTGGTGGCGGGACCTTAGGCTCCTCGTCGTCTTCCTCCTTCTCGTCATCGTCGTCGTTTTCTTCTTCCTCTTCGTCTGCGTCTTCGGGTTCATTGTCGCTTTCTGGAACAGGTTTGATCCCCAAGTCACCTACGCGCGAATGAAGTATCAGACGACTGTACGGGAGCTAAAGCGTGTCGAATTACCAAAGTACTGCAAGAGGAGATTCGGACGCGGTGGCACCGCCCCAACACGCTTCTCATCTGCAAGAATGAGCGTCAGTTTCACACAACATGACTGGTGGCTAAGCACGGACTTGCGCGCTGCGAGCCCCTGCCCCCGATTTTGGCAAGGGTCTCGCTCCTTCGCCTCTTACTAGGCCGTGGCGAGTCCGACAGCTCGTCAGACTTGCGGGAAGCTTTCGAGTTCCGACCGCGTTTCAACTTAGGCTCTGGAACAAACGATCCGGGATTAAAATCCGAGTCGGAGTCCTCCTCTGTTTCTCGAATAAGCCACGGCGTGCGAGGGGTAGTGAGCTGCCGACCTACCTAATGGTACAGCGCTAGACGCGTCGTTTCCTGTAATTATATTAGGTTGAGTGGCGTATAGAGCACGAGGAGCAGTTTCCTACGTTTCGCATAGGCGGACGTCTTCGAGGTAGACGCGGCCATGGTGGTAAGAGACAAGTTGCAGTGAAGGCCAGGTTTAGCCGCCATCCCTCGCTTCCTATGGGCCCGATCAATCAGGGTTAGGGTTGCACTAACACAGCGGACAAAGGAAGCATCAAGCGCCCGCTTGTACGTTCGTCTCACCCTTCGCCCCAAGGCAGGCTGAGAATATTTGGTACAACGTGAAATGACTCCTATGGCACACTGCAGAACATGGAAGATGCGCACGTCTCGAGGGTGTGGTATCTTGGGCCTGTGGTCGGACCGCAACGTAAGGCTATGAGGCTGGTATCAAGACCAGTATCATCTCTTTGCTAGTATATCGGTTAGTACACGCGCTTGTCATGTGTATGCGCGCGAAAGCTGGGTTCGACTCCCAGGCAGAGAGAATTTTGCGCATCTGTACTTTTGGAACTCACTACGGCAGTCTCTACGTGCGGGGTATGATATAGTGCGTCGTCCGTATGCATGTATATACTAAATGCTGGTGGCAGTCATAGTGACCTGGCAGATATGCATACATATCATGGTGCCTCTCCCGAGATGTCCGCACATCATGCGTCTCCGTCCTCTCCCTCAGGCTCAGCGACCTGTAACCTCTCCAACCTCATCATCATCTCCACCTCGACCCCGGGACTAACCGCAGACATCTCAGACATATCGTCCTCCCACTGCTCCTTCGCTCGTCTCGGCTGCGGCGCCTGCAGATGCTCCTCCTCCTCCCGCACCGTCTCCTCCGACCCGTCCTCCCCGCTCACCTCCCCAGCCTCTTCTTCCCCGGTACCATCGGCGAGGTCCGGGAAAAACAGCTGCGCGAGTCCGAGGTCGTGGCACCGCGTCATCTTGAGCAGCATCCCGAGCCCGAGGTCGTTCGAGCTCGTGGGCGTGCCGAGCAGGTCCCAGGTCGCGTCGTCGAGCTCTTCGGCCATGCGTCCCCATGTTGAGCGGATCGCGCCGGGGTAGTTGTACGCTGCGAGGATGAAGCATACTGGCGAGCCTGTGGATGAATGATCGGTGAGACAATGTTCGAAAGGACAGAGTGACAGGGAGATGGGTGGGGAGGAATCTTGGTAGTTCGACGCGTCCCTGAGGCGTGCACTTGCCGGAACGATGCCCCGGTCATATACGATGAAGTTGGGAGCATGGACTTACATAGACCGCTGAACTCCTGCTCGCGCGCAAGGAAGGGCGATGACCGTGTCTCGTTCCGCTGCTCCCCGTTGTCTCCAGCGAGGTGGTCTGGGAGGACGTCACCTAGCCGGTACAGTCTCTGACACGCAGGGCATATTCGCGCTGTCCTTCTGCTCTTGTTATACCACAGGATCTATCATACGACGCGTCCGTCTTAAGACTATTTAGACCACTATACATACAGCTGAGACGTACCAGGGCCGTCTCCTCCGGGAGCACCGTACAAAGCATCTGCAGGACCGCCTCCTCCGCAAACTCCGCGCACATCGCGTCGTCCAACGAGGGTGGAGCGGCAAAGCGCGACGCGAGAAACGCGCGCGGATCTTTGACGCGAGGGCCATCTCCGGGGTCGTATATGAAGGGTGTCTTGAACAGTGCCGAGGAAATCGGGGGCTCTGCATCCGTTTCGTCCTGAGGGTATATTGGCAAATATTTCTCGTGTATGTCGTGCTCTACTGGAGGAGTCGTGTCGTGTAGCGGTTCGTCTGAGACATGGTGCGCGTGAACGGGTGCGGCGAGCGGTGGCGGGGTCGCTGGTGCGGGCGTCGGGCTGGGCGACTGAGACGCGGAGGGCGCCGGAGGCGGCTTCTTGTCGACTTTCTTGCTCTGTGCGTTCTTCTTCTTCTTCTGGTTGCGTGGGCCGGGCATGGTGGGAGGAGAGAGGGTGGTTGGACTTGTAGGTTCGTGTGCCTGTCAGACTCGGAGGACTCGGAGAACGTTGCCACACCGCTGAGACAGACGCTCGCTCAGAGGCACCAGCGCCAAATGGTATTGACGCGCCCGTCACAGTAACCGTCGCGATCGGTCACAAAATAGCTTACGCCAAAGAGCGTGGGCGCTTCCTGCCTTCTCTCTTCTCTCCTTCATCCATCTCGCAGCAGAAAAATGCGAAAAGAACATCAGGTTTGGCAGCATGTCACGTTTCGACAAATTCATATTCAGACACCAGAGTAAACGACCTCAAGCGAACCACATAGCGACCAAAGCGACGCTCATCCCGAGCCCAAACACCGATGAGCCCATCCTTTCTGCCCCATTACTTCCGCCCGTCGCGCTTGGCATAGCACTCCCACTATCAGTTGCAGCAGAAGGTGCACCGCTCGTCCCAATCCTCGGCGGTACAGACCCGGTAGTGGTCACCCGCAGCCCTCCGGATCTCTGGTCGTCCGAACTCGTAGCGGTGGCCGTCGCAGCGGTATCGGTAAGAGTTACCTGGGCGGTTGTAGCGACTTGTACGTCGAAAGCGTTTGCAGTGGTCGTGATAATGGTCGTCGAGACGATATCGGCCGCGGACGCGTCGACGGTGCACACCGCGACCGCGCCATTGAGGCCACAGTCTGCGGTGATCGCGAAGCCGAGCTCAGTGTCGTTCTCGACGAGGTGCAGGTCCGTGGGCCCTGCGACCAGCGTTGCTGTTGCGGACGTGCTCTGTCACTCACTGGCATACGCAACGAGGAGGGGAAGTATGCGTACCAGAAACGAAAAGGTCAGAGTCGTCCGTCAACGTTCCGCTGGGTACGCCGGGGCCGATGCGCCAGGTGGTGTGTCCGCTCGCGTCGACGCCCTCAATGTCGGCCGTGATGGGCTGGGGGTCGAAGAACGGGATGTAGAGCGTCGCCGCGGCAACATCTACCACAGGTGAGCTTTCAATTCAGCATCCTCGGCCTCTCGTTCATTATCACTCGCATACACTCACATTGTGCGCTGAGTGCCGAGACGAAGAGTGCTGATGCGAATGACTTCATTTTAGGGCAGATATTGATCCAGTAGCGACAGAAGGTATGCAGAAGGAGTGGAAGATGCTGCCTCCGAGGGGTGGGGCGAAGCGTTGGGTACTGACTGCAGGGTAGAACAGGCTGAAAGACCTGCAGAGATCCTGTGTTTTGAATCTTATACCGGCGCTGACAGCACCACCATCAATCAACATCCCAACTTTCGCACTCATGTCAAGAAGCCTCACGAGTCATGTCGTTACTAGGCCCGGAGCCGCACGCATACATTTCGACGCTCCGTTTTCGCAGGGCAGGCCGTGCCCGAGGACTCCGGGGCCCGCATCGTCGTTCTGATGGCCCTCCATCTCACGGTGAGTGATCAACACGGTGGCAGTCCGCAGTCAAATTAACTCAATGGACCTCCAGGAAGACCTTGTATCATGCATCTTATCGTTTCGCATGGCGCGAAGACCTAGCTGATTCCGAATCTTGATCGAAGGCAGGGCTTAGACGAACAGGTTCTGCACTTCACAGTACTGCGTACCTCGGAGCTTGTGCATGTGTACAGCGTAAGTCTGTCAAGTACACTAGAGCAACACAATCTTTGTGAGCGCTGACTTCTATCGAGATCCGAACGTTCGGAGCCTCGCCGTAGGAGCAGCCTCGCTAAACTCCCTCGCCAACTTCTTCTCGGCCGCCGTCTGCAGACCACAGATGGCTGTGCATATGCAGAGCCTATCGGCGGATGCCTGCACGTAAAAATCAGTGCTCTACGTGCGGCTTCCTGTGTCCGAATGCGAACCCGGAGACTCAAACAAATCGCCTGATAGGTCATGACAACAGTAGGCGAGGGTATCGCGGCCCTCCGAAGATTCGCTCCTCCGTGGACTACCCTCTACCGCGGGCAGCGTGTCTTTGCGACGGACCGTTCAACATTGCTAATCATGATCAGGTGAGTTTTCTCTGAACCTAGCACCATACCACTTTACTTATCGTTCTTCACAGGTGTAACGCGGACAAAATAACGACAGCGCCAGCGGAAATTCCCCAACGCAAAGGCCCGACCCTTTTAACACCATTCGTGGCGGTCCCAGTCGAACCGGGGATCGCACCCGACCCCACCTCCCTGCTCGCCCCTGACCGCGACACCGACGACGACGCCGAGGTTTCAATCGGAGTGGCAGTTACACTTCCACTTCCACTCGACCCCGACGTACTCCCCGTCCCCGTCGTCTGCCCAGCTTGGACCGTCTTGTACGTGATCGTCACGCCTGCGGTCCCGACCTGCACCGCTGACCCACTGGCGCTATCTACCGTAAACATGGTCTGTGTCGTCTGCTCGCCATCTGAGGTGCAATACAACATCAGCCTCGGCGCCGGGCAAGACGGAAGAAAGGAGAGGGAGAAAGGGCACCTGAATGGAAGGACGAAACGGCCTCGGTGAAGATGCCACTCGTAAGCCTGGGTCCGATGCGCCAGGTCGTACTGCTGCTCGGGGCGTCGACGCCGACGATGGCCGCCGTGACAGGCTGCGGGTCGAGCCCGGGGATATAGAGCGTCGTCTGCGCGGCGATGTCTGACATCAAAGGTCAGCGTGAGTCGCTGCGATGATTTTGGGAGTTACTCACGTTGGGCGAGGAGGGCGTAGATGATCGCTACTGGAAGACAGCGCCGCAACATAGGAAACATTGGGGTGTTTCTTGGAGGCAGGTAGTGGTCAGTGAGGATGCTACTGCGGATTCCCGGTGGTCTGGAGCTTCCTAAGAGACGTACAAGCGATAGCTCTCATTCGCGAGGTTTTTTCGGTGCTTTAGTACGAAGTGCAGCTCAGCGCTGAGGCCCGCTCTCCCGTTTGTCGCAAGGTTCGAACTGTCAAGGCAGGCGCGGACTCCACATCCATAGGTCGTCCCTCGGAGGAAGCGCGGCGAGAACGTCCTCAGGTAGGTTTCATGCAATCTACCCGCAGGCTATGGTGAAAGTTTTGGAATAGAATGACAGGGACCAATGATACTCGTGCGTCATTCCTGGAGTGGGTGACTGTGTGGCTGGCATACCCCCCGTGATAGCAGCTACAGGAGCCTCACAACCCAAGACCCGCGGTCTCCCGAAATCGTGTACGTCTAGTCCGTGTTTATACCAATAGCATGCCAACAGAAACTCCGAATCCATGTCGAGTGAACGCGGCGGCGAACTGAATCAGAACAGGTCCGATTCCAGCCCTGCTGCTTGCGTGAAGATCTCAAACGCACGTTACGGCATTGCTAACATGGCGAGATGGCCGAGCGGTCTAAGGCGCCAGACTAAGGATCTGGTCCGAAAGGGCGTGGGTTCGAATCCCACTCTCGTCATATTTTTTCCCCCGTGCAACGTGCACGTATTAAGCGTCCATCTGATCGGGTTTTCGTAGCACTTCATACCAAAGGCGCCGCTCACTGCTTTCGAACATTCATCCTACACACCTGCATACCGACCAGGGCAAATTTCTTGCCCATCTACCTTGAGAACACTGGTCCACTAGGCTCGCAAACCAGCCTATCTTCGGGGCGGAAGATTATTGTTGATCCCGAAGATTCTCAAAAAGTCGAGTCAATAATACCGCATGAAGATGTCGCCACAAACGAACCTACTAATAAGTCTTCAGTCTTCAAGTGAAGAATCCGTTTTGCTTGCTGCCAACTTACCATGAGCTTTCCCTCGGGTTGAGAGCGCGTCTACGCCTTCCAGGCAGGGGCGCTACTATCCCATAGGATGCCTTCGTGCAAATTTGGACCAGACGCGTCACCACGCCGCCGAACGGTCATATCGCCGCTATGATGGACAAGAACGGCAGCATGCGCTGCGACTACACGGCGCGTGGTTGGGACAACTCGGACACGCCTTCGTGGCACGATCTCACCCCGCGTTCGGTCCACACAGCCTAGAAACCTCGAGCGCAAGAGGCGCCACGCGCGGCCGCGGGCCACTACCACCCCAGTGCGTGCCCCTCCTTCCTATGATAGCGGCGTCCCCCGGTCTGAGGCGTGCTCGCCTGTCAGGGCGCGGAGGCGTCAAGAATCGTGATACACGCCACCTCTGCGCAGGCGGTATCACTTAGCATGTGGGCCGAGCAGGCTTGCCACATTTGCCACCAACAGATTGCGATGCGGCGAGCCCGTCATGCGCCGTTCTAATATCGAAGTGGGGAGCCGTGCGTGGCTTTGAAAGCACTCGCCACCTGATTATCGGGGTATATATATCGCGCTGTCTATACCACTCACCTCATCGCATCTCGCTGTGCATCGCTCCCACAGTTCTATTCCTCTTATTGCAACAGTTTTACTGGTATTCCTTCTGCATTATCACCTCCTTACCATGGCCACCACCATCAGCAAAAAGTCTCCAAGTGAGCTTTATCTGTTCAACATGCATATGATTTCAGCTGACATACCGACGGGGACGACGTCCCTCAAAAGAGTTCGAGCTAGTCAGCTGCACAGTGAAGGGCCTGGTGTGGGAGCCTGAGGACGGGCTAACGCGACCGTCAAGGGCTCGGACCATGCCGGCGGTCTGTCAGCGCTGGCAGCCGGCAACCACACACATGGTCACCACATTCGGCACGCTCAGCCCCCGGAATGGCGAACGTAACGAAGGTGGCGGATCTTCGGGGGAGTGCACCTTCAACCCCTCGGACTTCGAGGTGGACTTTTTCAAGACGTGGGTGACGACTCCGCCGACCGAGTTCGGCGACCATGTTCTATGGCGTGTGGTAGGTCCATGCATACACTGGCATGCACCCGCATAGCTCGTGCTGAATGATGACCCGTTGACAGAACGTATGGTGCCAGCAACATCCATATGTGGAATTCAATTGCGGAGGCAGACTCTATTCGTTCCGAGTCGACATCGTCGCGCGGCCGAAGGCAGACGTCATTGCCGCTACCAATGATCAATTGCTTCAAGCCATGCAAGCACACGATGTGTTTGACCCGGAGAACACAGCTTTCGGGACGAGCTGGCGGCAGCGTACTAAGGACGAGGTCACAAATATCCGCAAGGTCATAAATATCCGCATCTTTGTCACGATCCAAACTGCTACCGGTGAATTGATCAAGGTCGAACCCCCGGCGACGTCGTAATCGGACGACAAACAGATACCTTCGGACAACTCTTATTGGGTACTTGCCCGACGTCCAGTTGCGGCGGACGGCATAGGAGGCTTGTTTGAGAACCGGTTGCCTCGCGTGTATGCACGCATAACTAGCCCTGTAAAGTACTTTTTCTCGGGATAGAATATTTATCTCGAAAGCGTCGACCGACAAGTTCGCCTTTGCTACAGCGCGCGTATGGGTTTTCTCTGACACGTGTAGTAAAACAGGCAGCGAGCAGGTTGCACACGGTCTCTCCATGGCCTCGTAGTCCTACTTTCCGCGACATCCTTATAATTGGTCGATTTCCCCGGGCATGATCGTCGGGCCACCGCGCACTTGCCACCATGCTCGCCCGGCGGCTATTCGCCTGTCTCTGTCTTTTTTACAGCTGTTACCGAAATCTATGCGTGGGCACTTCGATAGCGCCCGCGACACCCAATTTACACTTTTTACACTTTCAACGCGAGCTGCTCAAAATGCCGGTTTCCGAGTCCGTAAAGCTTTATTCAAGCGAAATAACTGCATGGGATGCGTGCCAGGCTGTCCACGCATACATTTTGCAACCTTCTACGGGATGCAGAGCGAAAGAAAAATTGCGCGAGGAGCTCGTTGAGCGAGCGCCTATCGGTATGCCATGGGCGCCTGCGTCTGCTCAGCGACCGGAAAGCCTTGCGAAGAAGATATCTCATGGTTGACACCAGCGATGCAGTACTAAGAGCTCATTTTAATGAGGCCCTGTATGCGAACTATCATATAGTGCAACAACCGGCGCTCTAAACGCACATTTGATTGAGTACAAGGGCAAGGACCACCTCGGGCCCTTGCCACGGACGACACTCGACTGTGTGCAGGCTGGAACACTTTATGAGCGACATAAACAATCTAGAACACATTTTAATGCACCCCTGGATCATACTGAGGTCAGTTGAATAGTCTAAAGGTGTGTTTTAGTATATGTTTCGCGGCTTTGTAGCCCTCCGGGCGTTTCGCGTCAAAAGTGTAAAAAGTGTAACTCGCGTAACGTCGGAGTGTCGGCGCATTAATTTCGGTAAGAGCTGTACGTTACTCAGACTCGTCTCGCCTGACTTGCTAGTATACAACACAAACCCTGGAACCATGAAATGCCACCTGCCACCGGATGAGACTACGGCGGGCGGCCACGATCTCCCTTTGTGGTCTCAACTTCATCAATTGCTCGGGACGTATCATAGCGACATGCAGCCTTTGATCAGTCCCGGAGCGTGGAACGTGCTACTTTCGGGCCACCGGACGACCAGGCCATCCTGACGTCCTTCGTTCCTGCCTATGATAGTAGGTGGTACTCACTAATACCCCCAGAGCTTGAATACCAGTGGATACGCAACTCGTGTCTGCAATGGAGGGAAACACCTTCGCCTCCTCGTCATTAATATCAATATTCCGGTTGGTGCTCAGTATGCCAAGTATCGTTGGTCAGCTGCACCACCCGCTCTTCATGCTTGCAAGCTTCAAATTACACACTCAGGCGCGCGGCGCCGGCCTTCTCAAATTTTACGCCCACAGCCTCATCAATCTCAGCCTGAAATGAACCGTATACACACAAGTGTGCCCCATTCACGGCGACGCCTTTCTGGTGCGGCGTGCTGGTTTGCCCTTCCTTTTCAATCGTCGCAGCGGCGTCCGACGGGCGCTGATCTGACTCCAATAGAGCAGGCGCAAGTGGCCATGAATGCACTCGCCACCTCGCCGTAGGGGTATATATACCGCGCTGCACGCAGGTCCTCCATCATCAAATCTCGTTCTGCGCTACTGCCGTCGTTCTATCGCTTCTCCTGTAGCAGACAGCTCTTTGGTACCATATAACCTCTTCGCCACATACCTTCCACCATGAAGTCCGCCGTGCTACACCCTGGAACACCGGAGATCAGTGACCAGTTTGTTGCCCATCACGTCCACGTTCTCCACTGACGTTACTATGCTGTATCACAAAGGTTTTCGGGTCGAGCGCCTAGTGCTTACGTGCGAGACTGATACTAAGCCGTGTCCCCGCAGGTCCCCGCATCGACGCGTCGGTCTCGCACCAGGCGGTTGCGCTCGTCGTAATCGAGTCGAAGAAGAATTTTGATATCAAATTCAACAGCCGGGAGTTTCGCGAGCTCGGCTATGAAGCAGTCACTGTCGACTCCTCTCAGCCGTGCACCGGCGAGGGCTTCCAGCTAGTTCCTAAAGCTAAAAATCCCAATATGAACCAGATGATATACGATGTGGTATGTCCAAATCACGGGTTAACACATTGGAGCCACGCTCATCATTCCAGCGGCATTCATATCGATAGACCGCCGCGAATTTCTTGCGCTCATGGAGCGTGGAGCACCGGCCCGCCCAATACCAAACGCGGCAGCTTCACTCCGGCGCTGGAGCCTGTCCCCTTGCAGGAGCCTTACCACGACTCAACGCAGGTATGGTCTCTCAAACGTTCGAGAACCCTTCAAAACAACAGGTTATGTGCAGAAGATCATTTCGAGAAATATAAAACCCTAGTGAGGGCGGTGAGCCCTTCTGGAGGTCATTACGCCCGAACCTGCGGTGGCGGAACGCGAGCGAGACGGTGCGAGACGGTGGTGCGGCGTGATACGCGGTGCGTCGAACTTCCGTATTTGGAGGCCTCGCTCCACAGATCCCTGAGCAAAGTAAATTGGCGGCGGTCTATCGATATGAATGCCGCTGTCAAAATTGACCACCCACAGTGTGTAGGCTTACCTCCTGAAGGAGCACGCAGATGTGCGTTTTGAGTGCGAAGCGTGTCGCGCTATCAAACGCGTCGACGGTGTGGTCCAGGTTAAGCCGCGTCCCGGTACCGCCGACGTCGCTGCGCGTCCCAGTGCTGGCACCGATGTCGAGGCGGAGCTTAGTGACTCCCGTCTTGCTTTCCCAGCGCTGCCTGCACGAGCGCGACTTCCGGATGATGACGCGGCGCCACGACTTCGAATTCAAGCTGTCACTCCGTACAAGCTCTGGCACTGCTATCGAAGTCGTGCCGGAAGGGGGCTGGGGCAAGACGCGCCATGTGGAAGTCGAACGCGAGGTCGAGATCATGATCATGGGCGACCCGGGGGAGTGTGAGGACGCGCTCGATGAGGAAAGCGAGACCGACTCCGAGCTGGGAGCGCAGGAAGTCAATATCCTGGACGAGCATGGAGAGGCGGACGCAAGGGACACTGTGGACTGGAGAGACGACGAGTCCACGATGGTGTAGCCCCTGCGGCCGACAGGGTGCATCGCGGGACCGTCCAACAGGGGGGATGGCGCGGGTGAGATCGCCGCCAAGCTGTCTGTGGTGTCCATTGAAGACGAGGACGAGCTGTTTGATGATGAGAAGGACGGCTTGCTTGCCGACGAGGACGAGAAGGGCGATATGTTCTCCAGAAGGAAGGTCGCGATATTCGTTGCACTCCCACCGCGGGGGCCCGCATAGGAGTCCGGGTGGGGTTCATCGTATCCCGTTCATGTATGTATGTTTTCGTGTATACCTATATAATCTTTGTAGAGTATATTCAGTACAAAACGGTGATATCCCGACTACTCCGGCTGCCTGGGCCCTCAAGCAACCACTGGCCGCCAACATCGTCCGAATCAAAATCGCTTGCAATATGATGCCGGGCGAATGTCTACTTCAAATTATCGGGTAAGATGAATGAGTATGTGCTACAGGACTCGTACATACAGCCAAGTAAGGATCCGTGCTACAGCGCATCCTGCGTCCGTCTTCGCGAAGCATCCTCGTCGCCCACCTCGGATTGCAACCCGCGGAGCAGCGTTCTGTCATTCTTCAAGCTTCATGAGCAGAGCAGTGTGATCACCTCGGCTCGCCGGTTTCGCGGTTTTGCGTAGTGGAGCGCCATGTATCAGGCACGGACCCATGCAATGTATGGACAGTCAATAGCGTGCAATCGCATCCGTTGAGTTCCACATCGCCAGCGTGGGATGGGATGAAGGGGATGTGCACAGGCAGGCTGTTCATCAGTCGGATGGGGAGGAAGAACCACGCGGTTGCGGTGCGGCGGACTCTCGAGGATGTGTTGTCGCCTGAACGTGGGGGTGCAGAGCACTCGCGCGAGCGAGGGCTAGAGCTGGTATCGCGCCCCCAACTCCTCGTGCTCCTCATCGAAGCCGCTGAGCTCCCGCGCCTTCGCCAGCACCTTGTCCGCGAACCACACCGAGGACATACCAACCGTCCAATAAACAACGAGACGAAATGCGAGGTGGGCCCGATCCAAGTCGAGGAACGCTAACAGCGTCACGCCCAGGCCCCCCAGGAGGTACACCCCAAAGATGGACGTGAAGCTGCCTTCCGCGCACAGCGCCACGAAGCTGCTCAAGTTGCGCGTCAGTGCATTTGTTGAATTTTCAATAATAGAAGAGGCGATACGCAACTAGCTGAGCGCGGCGAAGGCGACGGCGCCGTCCGCGCCAAACACGGTCGCGATGGTGCGCTGGCCGGCGGCTGCGTCCGCGCGCGCGTCGACGGCGGCGCCCAGGGCGTGTACCCCGGCGGTGCAGAGCCCGAGGACGAGACCTTTGGCTGGGGGGCGCAGGAGGCGTCCCCCGCGCGCGGTGTATCCAGAGAGGTAGGCGAGGATCACGATGAGGCCGTTCGAGAGCGAATCGAGGATGGGGCGCTCCTTGAGGCGGAGGGGTGGGGTGGAGTATGACCAGGAGAGGGCGAGTAGGAGGAGCGTTGTAAGGAGGTTTTGTGAGGTGCGGGTTAGGGCGGAACAGTACATGATCAAAAGGGACGCGAGAGCGGCGGAGACAAGGACGGGGGTGTGGTAGGCGGGCGAGAGGACGGTGCCCTCGAGGCCGTCTGCGGTCTTGCGTGGGTTGAGGAGGTCGGTGTCGTAGTCGTACACATCGTTGACCCCAAATACCACTGCTATGCGTAAGATAGCTGCGGGGAACGCGCAGCTGTGCACCCACCCAAAGCCAAGGGAAACGAGAGCGAGAGGAGCTGCAGCAAGAGCGGCCCATAGCCTCGCACCGGGCCTCTGCCGTGGATGGCCCCGATGGCGTACAGAATCGGACCGAAGCACCAGCCCGGCGGCCGGCTCACTCTCAGAATCGTCGTGAGCACGTCCATCCTGGAGTGACGTCGCGAGTCAAGGCGTACGACGCGATCGGCGCGCAGCACCTGCGTGGCACAAGCGAGCGTGACGCCCGGGCAATTAACGCACGTGAACGTGACCGGGCGCGCGAAATGGGGTGGGCGATGACGGCAGGCGCGCCACCGCCGCTCCTTCGCCCTCGACTCGCCAAAGACATGGCCGGCGACCATGGCGCCCACCGACTCCACACCGCAGCCCCAGCACTTAAGCCCCCCGTCCAGAGCCCCTCTCCCCCTCACAGATAGCTGTACTCTCGCCCCCATCCTCTCGACAGCCCACCCCCTTCTCAACTCGACCGTCAGCGACCAGTACACCTGCCTACTTTATCGACCATGTCGACTGCTACTATGACTGCTACACAGACCCTGCCTTCTGTGATGACGACGACCGAAGCGCCGCTCGTCGCAGGGGATGTTCTGCGCGCTATCGACACGCCCGTCGTTTCCCCTCCCAGCGGAACCCCGCCCCCAATCGGCGGCCCGCGTAACAGCTCCCCGACGAACTCTATTGGAAAGTCGAAGGGGCACCGGAGGACGTCTAGCGCTGCCTCGGATATTGCCAAGGCGGCGGGTATTGACCTCGAAGCCGTCAGCATGGGTGAGTCTCTTTTGGCCATATTGGGCGCTATCTGCAGAGAAGGCGGTCTGGCTGGAATACTACCGCTGTGAAAGACTCCACTGCGCGCGACAGAAACACCAGTCCCGCGCGAGTTGGTGAAACTCGGCTGCAAATGACGTCTATCGAGTGGTGCGCAGTCGCTGACCTCTACCACGCAGCTGAGGCGCGGAAGATCATGTCAGAGGAGCACAAGATCCTCGGATTCCGCCCGCCCCAAGGCTCCTTCGCCGCGGAGGTGCAGTCCCTCGCCGCGAAGCACCCCGAAGGCAAGCCCGGCGCCGTGCTCCCGGACACTACCAAACTCAAGGAGATCGCGCGAGAAGATGCGCTCCGCATTCTGTGCGTATACGCGGACAACTCCGAGACAACGAGTATTGACAGCGAAATAGTGCCGAGCGCAAAACGAGCACGGGCGCAGATAAGGACGCGCCCCCTGCTGCTGCGAAGACGAACGGGAGCGACAAGGTCACACCGACACGGGTCTCGCCCCCCGTCGACGTCCCGGGTGTCAACCTGAACAAGATCAGCGCAAGTACGTATTGTCCATCCATGTTTCCTTAGAGCTCCCACTCCACTTCAAACGGGACGTATGGATGGGAAGCACACGCTCTCCACTCCATACGCTCCACTCCGGTGTCTATCCCGGATCCTCTCCAAACATGGACTGATACCCTCTGCTCTTCGCAGCGGATGCACGCGTGCTCATGTCGCACGAACACCGCGCGCTCGGGTTCCGCCCGCCCCCCGGCTCGCTCGCCGCCGAGGCGCAGAGCGCCGCCGCCCGCCACCCGGACGGCGACGGCACGCACCTCGACGACGAGACGCTGCGCGAGATCGCGCTGCGCGACGCGGAGCGCATCAAGGCCGACCGCGGGGACGTCGTTCCTGTGGACGGGGCCAACCTCAGCGCCGTTGGGAAAGGTACGTTGCTCCCCGTGTTGTTGAATGCGAGAAAGCGGTTTGCTGATGGGATGTTGAGCAGAGGCGGCAGCGACGATCGCGAGCGTCGAGGCGCGCGCCCTGGGACACCCACCGCCGTCGGGTAGCATCGCGGCGGAGGCACAGAGCGCGGCGGACAAGCACCCTGCGGGCGGCTCCTTCGACCCTGCGAAGAACCCCGTGGAGATGGAGCAGGTCGTAGACGCGGCGCGGGAAGAGGGCGAGCAGCTGCGCGCGCTGGAGGAGAGCACTGCGACGACGGAACCGAGCGAGAAGACTGCGATGGAGGAGTGAGTAGCTACCGTGTATTATCTGTGCTTAATATGTACTTGTATTGATCTACCCGCTTTGTTGTGTTCATCCTGCATAGGCACAGGTCAAGTCCAGCGAAGGCGGACGCGGCGGTGGAGACGGAGCGGATGACGGCCGCGCCGCCGAGCGTGGTGCGCGGGCTGGTGACCCCGCCGCTGTCGCGCAGCGAGACGGGGGACTCGGTCGAGATCGTGTGCGACGTGCTCGCGTGAGCGCGGGCTGGACAGTGCGTTTATTGGACGTTTGGGCTGTGGCGTGGTTGAGAGCGATGCTGACCGGAGGCGCGGGGCGTGGTCGGGATATCACTGTATTTTTACGGAATGTACTTTATAGATATCGGTATACATACAGACATACAAGATCAACCTGCACAAGGGTGTTGGAAGCTCGTCTGCGAGGGAGGCGGGAAAGGGAGTGCCGTTCCGGCGTTGAACGTTGAACGTCATGCACGGTACCTAGCTCTCGAACGTTGCTCGACCCGCTGCTCTTCGTTTTGGCACGGACACCCGCGGATGGGTAACGACCCACCCGGTTTCCTGCTCGTTATCGTTGCATATCGCCACGACGAATATGGAGGTTTCCGTAAGAGCCTTGTACTCTGGCGAGGCGCTCAAAGTCTACCACGACCTTCCGCCACGCCTCGCCATGTTCTTCGGAGTCCCGTGGTGTCGTAGCCGCACCGCGAGGTATCCTCGACGGTTTCAAAAAGAAGCGGAAACAGATGTGCAGGCTTCCACATTCGAATTCCAGGAACGTGTGCGGCTTGTACGCCTGGACCTGCCATGATTGCATACAGAGCAGCAGGCGTCCGTGAGTGAAGCGGCATGTGCGTATCCACACCCGCACAACAAACTCACCACCGCATCCACAGCCCCCCTGAAACCGATTTTACGGACGTCCATCCCCCCTATGGTATCAACAATCCAGTAGAAGTTCAGGCACGTCCCTTCGAGGAGCTTGTCGACAGCGTCTATGCGGGATATAGCGTTGAGAAGCTTGTGCCCCCCTTCGGGGCAGAGCGGTATATCGTTGAGGACCTTGCGCCGCTGTTCGGGGGAGAGGATCTCTCTAGAGCTCGCTATCTCCAGGCGGATAAGCTGGAATTCTAGGCAACATCCCGACAAAATGTGAGCGGGGGGCGTGGATGTGGCGGGTAGATCGAAATGTTCACCGATGGTCTCCTCCGTGGTAACCTGGCACGTGGTGGCCCAATCCATGGTGGTAACAGGGACGGTGGATGCTGAAGGAGAGATGCTAAGGGTACAGGGTCGCCGTATCGTTGAAGGACGAGGCGACGAATCGCAGTAATTTTGAGTCGAGCGGAGTCAGGTTTGGCGGGAAATGGGCCTCGAACGGTGCAGTATATATACGCAGCGCACTGTCAACTGGCAACAACGCGCCGCACATGCCGCTGCAGATATGGGATAGGGGGGGCACACGCGCCCCTTGAGGCATGCTGGAGGCGTCGGCGCCGCGAAGATATATCAGGGATAGGTTGCTGCAGGAGAAGCGATAGAACGATGGCAGTAGTGCAGGACGAGATTTGATGATGGAGGACCTACTTACGTGCAGCGCGGTATACTTATATGCCCCTATGGCGAGGTGGCGAGTGCATTCATGGCCACTTGCGCATGCTCTATTGGAGTCAGATCAGTGCACAGCGGACGCCGCTGCAACGATTGAAAAGGAAGGACAAGCTAGCACGCCGCACCCTGATGGCGTGGCCGTGAATGCGGCACACTTGTGTGAATGCGGTTCATTTTAGGCTGAGACTGATGAGATTGTGGGCGTAAAAGGAGGAGACCGGCGCCGCGCGCCTTAGTGTGCAATTTGAAGCTTGAAAGCTTGAAGAGCGGATGGTGCAGCTGACTAACGATATCCATACTGAGCGCGGCGGAGCACTGCTCGGAGTGGTATTCAAGCGAAGACACAGTCTTGTCCTCTGTTAGCATATGCCGTTCGCTGAGATGTACAGGAAGGATAGACACCCCTTCCAGTTGTGAATGGCGGTAACCATATAAACGAGGGCCACAAAGGGAGTAAAATGGCCGCCCACTACGCCTTGTGCAACGGTGGCGGATGCTACCATTCTTGTGCTAGAACGCTCCTCTTTGGTTGTGCCATTTTGGGTCGGCGATGGGGGCGCTCCGCGGAGACATCGCAAAAGTCGGCGAAGGACTAGGGCGAGCAGGTTGCAGCTCAGTCGGCGTCCAACGGGGGAGCCAGCCGTGACGTATATTCCTGTTTAAAGTGCGGTGGTCAACTTATCAACCTCGCTGTGTTCTTGCATTGCGTACGGGCATCTGGGCGACATCGTGAGGACGGGGACGTGAGAAGACACATGAGGGAAAACGCTGTATTCCTATTGACCATGCCTAATTCTGTACACGGCGAGCTGCACCTCCACGTCCACGCGACGCTCGGCCGATGGTATCGAGAGCTCGGCGAGTCCCAACAGACCCCACGGCCGCTCTAATGTGCTTAAGCGCTCTCATCCGCGCGTACTCGTTGGCGAAAGCGACGACCCAGTCGGCACCCAAGGACTGCCTCGATTCCCACTCTGCCGCAACGCGCAGGGCGCGCCGTCCCCCGAGTACACAGCGGGCGGCGGTCCAATCTTGATTGGCCTAGTGCTACCTGCATCGTCCAGGCCGCCAGGGACCAGCGTGATGGAGAACTGGAACGTCTTCTTGCACAGGGGCTCGTCCGAGCCCATGTACCGCCTGAATTCGTCCAAGTCCGGGAACGCAGCCTGCACAGCGCGCACCAGCTCGTCGTCGGTGGCGCCGGCAGGCCTCGCGCCCGCCCGCAACTTCACCACGATGGCGACGTGGAAGCCGTGGCCGCGGGTGCGGCACCCGCGGAGCTCGGGCGAGAGCAAGGTACAGCGCAAGACCTGTTGAACGTGGCCGACCGCCGCGAGTGCGCATTAGGGATACGGTACAGGGACACGCGGCGTGTGGACTCACCAGGTCCTGCAGTGCCTTGGTGAGGTCGGACGGGGGAGGCATCGTCGCGATCGCCGTGTCCACATCCACATGCGCCCCGCCCGAGTCCATCATCGACATCATATGTAGCAGCATCGACGTCACCCGCGTGTCCATACACATGTCCTTGTCCACTGCCATCCGGTTCGGCGCAATGTCCTTCGCGTCTGTAGCCACGGGGCGAATCGTCTCGGTGATCTTGTACATGTCTATCTCGTAGTTCGCGCAAAACCCGCAGCACGGCGCGGGCTCCTGGGCAGCTAAAAAGCCCTCGAGGGGGACGCCACGAAACGATAGCACATATGGACCTCTGCCGCCCACGTGTATTTCATTACGAGCAGTCATTGGACACTCCATCCACCATTTCGGCATCAGGCCCTTCAGCGTGGCGCTGACAATGTCAAACTCTTCGACAAAATTGGTCCAGCAACACATCAGTATGTTGACATCATGGGCGCGGCCCATAGGCACTGCTTACCGAGGTGTCGTTGCTCAGCGGGTATGGTGAGGAGTGAATCCTGCGAGGAGATAGCAGAGGAAAGCTGAAGCTGTTGCATCTTGAAAAGGCTGTGGAACTGAAGGAGCGGCGTACGGAAAGATGTGGTAGGGGACGTCGTGCAAGCAGCGCCGTCTTTATAAACCCCTACGGCGAGATGTCGAGTGCATTCATGGACTTTACCTGGCTGTTCTTTTGAGCAAGGACAGCGCGCATCGGACGTCGCTAGGATCGACCAGGAAGGACTCACAAGACGTGCATTATGCCACGACGCTCTGGCGGTTGCTGCAGCACGCTCGAACTTGACGGTCTTTATTCAGGCTGAGAATGACGACGTCCGAGTCGTGGTCACAAAAGCAAGGACATCAGCGCTGCAGCTGTCCCATCACTATGTGTGCGCCCTTCGATTGTACATTCTTGGAGGACACACCTTGTGAATGCCGGCAGTGGCCTAAACTGCGTTCATTCGAGGGCCGAGGCTGGCCATTCGCACTACGATTGATGATAAGGTCCACAAAGGCATACAATGGGCATCCCCGGCGTCTTGCGCAGCCATGCCGGGTGCTGCCATTTTTGTGCAGTGTTGAAGACGAAACGCGTACTCGGCGGGAAGGTGACTCAAACCTGGTTCCGATTTGAGCACTGTGGACATCCTACCGCAGGCCAGTAGGTATGAAATCAGACCGCAAGGCGCACAGGAATGCGGATCCTGTCTGAAATAAGGATGAAGTCAATCACAGGTCGCAGACAAAAGGGAGCTTCGAATGTTTGATCAACCTCGGTGGCGTACCTTCGCCTGCCTCAGCACAGATCTCTGCAGCCTATGAAACATACCGGGTGCAATAATCATACCGCAACCTTGTAGCAAGACCCATCGCAGTCCGCCAGTACGTACTCTGCATCTCTCTAACGTCGTTTGAACAGCTGAGAACGTCGAGTCGGCTCAATGTCCGTCCGTCTGCGACTGATGGAGAGAGATGCTCCACCACGCCGAGGTCGTCGGGCCGCTGTGATCACACCGTGTCCTGCTCGCGAAGGATGGCTGAACGCTGCTCCATCGTTTGCGATTTGGGGTTTGCGACGACGGTGCTTCGCGAAGATGGGCTGCGTGGACGCCTGTGGACGTATAGTAAGAGCACGACGGGTGCCTTCGCTGGGCGCGCGAGTCCTTGGTTGGGGGGTTACGTTGCTTCCGAATTGGCCGTCCATGGGCCGTGCCGCGGTGCCGGCTAGCTAGAGAGATGTTGTCAAGGCTTGTAAAGGTCGAGTCCAACTTGTTGTGCGAGTTGCCCGGCCGGCGATCAATTCGAGTAGACTTTGGGGTTTGCCAAGACTTACACCGGCATCCCGCCGAAGCTGCCATACACCTTACTACCACTCCACGTGGCTACTAACCAGCCCGCCCTGCCCGACGCATGCCGCCTAGTCAGAATCCGTACTTTCTTCTATCCATCCCTGCCGTACGCGCATACACCTCTTCGTCCACATCCGCAGACCGCCTGCCGACATGCCCGCCCCACTAGTACATGTATTCATAGATTCATAGCCTTTCCCCTCCCCCGGGCCCTCGCAAACACTTCATGATCCACATACTTCTCCTCCGAACCCCATCCAAATCATCATCGCGACCGTCAACCGGCGGCCCTTCCTTACACCTTCCCCTGGTCCGCACATCCAATCATCACGCTTCCCAGTCTTCCCAATCCGCCGCACCAATAAACTTACGCCCTCCCCCCACCGCCACGCCTTCTCGCCTTCTCGCGGCTTCTCGCCTTCCCGGTCTCCACCCCGAGAGTGGCGAGCGCGATCGAGCACCCGTCCTTCTGTCGGAACGTTCGCCGGGCACCCCAGCGCGCGTGCGGCAGCGGCAGCGGCAAGGGGGCGCCGCGTACCGCGCGGATCGGATCGGTCGTTGCCATGGCGCTGCGTGCTCTGAGAGATTAATGCCTCATGCGCCCGCCGACGCCGTGCGGCGCAAGGCGGATCTGGTCGAGCAGGGGAACCCGGGGGGGGGGCGATCGTGGCCCTCGAGGTATTTTGGGATTCGAGTGCAGCGTTGGGAGATGGGGTGTCTTTTTGTGGGCGAGAGTGGCAGGTCTTGTGCTGAGAAGCCTTCATTGTAAATGTGGCACAGGCGTGGAATGCAAACCTTCATGAGACAAACGCGACGCCACAGCGTGAACAAGGGCGACAGCGAGCGAAACGCCAGCCTTTTGTCCTTCCAAAGGGAATGTCAACCCTTGAGAGGACGTTTGAACACTAATACGACGCCGGACGAACAAGGACAACATGTCCTCGAAGCGGGACGCTCGCACCCTGCTTGATCTCACACTCAACGCACACCAAAACAAGAACACCATAAACGGAGTTTCCATCAAGCTCTGTTTTATTGGGGGCTCTGCTACAGTGAACGGGGACCTCACCCCGCGTCAAGCGACGTGTCGAGTGCAAATGAGGGCGTGTGCAGGAGAAAAGACAATGCAAAAAAAATGAAAAGGGACGAGGCGAGAGCGCAGAGCAGACACATCGACGGGGGTCCGGAGAGTGGGTAACGGGTAAGAGGGGAATAATCATGACAGTGGAGGGCTAACGGTCCGTGGGGAGTAGGGGCAGACGCGGGTACCCGGCGCGGGATAAGTTAGGGCAGCGAACAAGGCGGGGGTGCGGGAGAACGAAGGGGCGTAGAGGAGGGGGCGGAAGAGCGCGCTGCTTAGAAGCTGCGGCGGTTCTTGCCCTGGCCCTTCGCGGAGAAGCGGCCGCCACGGCCACCCGCCGCGGCGCCCTTGCCTGCTGCAGCGCCCTTGCCCGTGCCCGTCGTGGCCTTGCCAGTAGCAGCGGCCTTCGCGGTCGTCGACGCGGCAGCCTTGCCGGTCGCGGCACCACCGGCGGCGGCGGCGTTACCCGCGTTGCCCGCAGCCTTGCCACCAGCAGCAGCACCTCCAGCAGAGACGGTGAACTGTCGCAGACGGTCAGCAGTGTACAAGGGGGCGCATATAAGGAGCGCGACTCACGTAGGCCATGTCGTCGAGCGAGCCGTGCTGCGCGATGGCGACGAGGACCGGCTGGTGGTTCGCGGCGGAGTTGATGGACGCGATGCGGTAGAAGCCAGCGGGGAGGCCGCCGGCGACCTCGACGGAGAGCACGCCGTTCTTCGCGGGGTCGTTGAGGCCCTTGAAGAACGCGAACTTGCTCGGGTCCGTGACCGTCGTCTGGTCGAGCGACGTGAGCTGCTCGATGACGACGTGCGAGTGCCCCTGCACGTCGCCCGCGCCGTTGATCACCTGCGGCGCCGCGAAGTAGTTCTCCTGCGCGTTCGTGAAGTGGCCCGTCTCGAGGTGGCTGATCGCCATCTGCACCGTGAAGTTCGTGTTCGCCGCGATCGTCGCGCCGTTCTTCGGGTTCACGAACTTGGCCGACGGCATGTTCGCCGTCGACGCGATGATGCCCATCGGCGCGGGGTTGCACGACCCGGTCGTGACCTGCTTGCCGTTCGTGATCGGCAGGTTCGGCACCGTCGCGCAGAAGTTGATGAAGTTGTTCGTCGACGTCGCGGACGCGACCTGGCCGGCCGCGGGCACGTCCTGGCCGTCGTTCGCGAAGCCGGTCGCGATGACCGACTGCACGAGCGTCAATGACGTCTGGGCGTCGCCGCCTGCCGCCGCGGTCTGGGAGAGCAAGTCAGGATAGGGAACAAAGGATGCACGGAAGCTTTACGCACTGAGCCAGTGTTGCCGTTGCCGGCAGCCTTGCCTGCACCGGCGTTGTTACCGGCGGCGGTTCCCGTGCTGGTAGCAGCCTTGGCAGTGGAGGTGGTCGCGGTCTTGCCAGTGCCAGCCTTTCCTGCACCAGCGTTGTTACCAGCGGCGGCACCAGTCTTGCCTGCACCCGCGTTGTTGCCAGCGGCAGTGCCAGTCTTGCCGGTGGTACCCTTGCCGCCCTTGTTGGGGTTGGCAGCGAGGACAGCGGTACTTGTCGAAGCGGCAGCGGCGACAGTCGCAGTGACGGTAACTGTCTTAGCGGTACCAGCCTGTCAACAATTCAAAATGGGTGATCAGCGTGGGAGCGCAGAAACAAACACGGCGTCTTCGAAAAGCTTACCTGGCACGTCTCAACGCTCTTGTTCTTCGCCGCGGCTGCGGCTTGAACGGAGACGGAGAGGGAAAGGAGCGCAAAGAGGAGAGCCTTCTTGGAGAACATGATTACTGATTACCCGTGAGTGAAAAGCGAGGACCGGTCGAATGAAGGAGTGAATGCAAAGCGAGACAAGCTCGAACGTGAAGAGAAACGACCCCGGGTCGCGTAGGGAAAGCAGTAGGCACCGGCCTGAGACGAGGCGAGCAGCAGCTCTAGCAGAGGGAAACGAGAGCGAGAAGGAAAGGGGGGGATGATGGTGGAGGGATCACAAAGCCAAGCGCGACGGGCGTTATATACGAGCACAGGCGCCGGCGCTGATTGGCCCTCCCGGGGCGGACGGCGGACGGGCTAATCAGAAACGCGAGCCCTCTTCGCCTCCTGCCCGGCCTCGTCTCCACAGAAACCACTCGCCCGATCCGTTATCGCCCACAACGGGGCACGTCGCCACGGGGATCTGCCCGAGCTGCTCGCCGTGCACGCTCTCCTCGCCGACAATGCCAAGCACCGCGCCCGACATCGGCAGTGAGCGTGAGCACAGCGCGCAGAGCACCAGAAGACAACATGCGCACATCGTTGCACCCCATCGGGCAGCGTGATGAGGACCATGCGCGGCGGCCAGCACCAGGCACTAGCAAGAAGGCGGCACTGCTCGGCAGCACTGAGCTATTTTCGCAGCGTCCTCCTCGTCCACACCGCGTCCGCCAGCTGCTCCTTCGTGTGCAGCCGTGATCGCCCCGCGCGTTGCATGCTTCGTCACTCGCCCTCATCAGCACGTTACTTTCCTCGCTGCTTCCGCACCCAATGCAAGCCCCTCCAATTGCTGCTCCGAGCGAGGCCGCGGCCGCATCTCCCCCGTCTGACAGTCGTGATGGACAGTTCGCGCGCGACGACAGAACACGTCCGCTGATTCCGATACAGATCCCCCTCCGCGCGCTCACTTCGACGCAAAATGGCGGTCCCACTCTCCCGGCCGCGGCCGCGCTCCCGGCACGGTCCCCGCGTCCCGCGCGCCCGTGCCGCCCTCCTCGGTGCCTTGCTATGCGACTGCCGCAGGCACGAACAGTTCAACCCCCAGCCCGGCACGATCATGATGCATCGCGCGCGCGTCTCCATGCACGAAATTAGACGTCCCTCGACGACGGCGGGGAACACGCGGCCGTTTGTATTTCCGCGCTATTCTCGGGCGGCGCGTTGCGCTATGACATCGAGGACAAGGCCCGTTCTGGAACTTGAAGATGGCTTGAATGGCAGCATGAACGACGCTGTGGCACCGGGGGTGCGGGGCACATTAAGAACACATCATCTCGGTCGCCAGGCACGCAGAGACGCAGACAGACGCACTTCCAACTTCTTGCCCGTCCTACATCCGCGCGCGCCCCTCTGCGCCCCTCTGTCAAAGAGGAACTGGGTTCGTTCGACGGCTCGCACTATGCGGCGGCGCCGCCCTGGCTGTATCATGCCCCTAGCGCGTTTGGAACCCAGGACTCGGACTCGGACCATCACCCATCGCAGCTATTCTGGTGCGTCGTCGCAATGCTGCTGTACGTCGGCCGCAATTCCGAATACCCTGTGACCGATGCTAACGGTGCGCACCCATGGCCAGTCGCGTCCTCGTCGTTGGGAGTGTTTCGACGCCCATGCTGATGTCGAGACTCGAGGCCCCTGGGCGCGTCTGTCGCGTGGGATCATCATGGCACGCGAGGAACTGATGCTGCAACTCAAACAGCAGCGCATCAAATGTGCGCAGAGGCTGGCTGGGGAGTGAACAGGTTGAACAGGGCGGTCTGTGACCGTATGTTCCCCCAACCTGTCCTCGCCGTCCGGGAATCAATACGATATGTCCTCGGGGAGAGGCGCCAGCGCATCTACCATTGATCAAATTTAAACCGCCGCATCTTTGCTGCGTCCTTCGTCCGGGGCCCGTCGTGCAAACTTCACACCACTCATCTGTCGATGCAGTGTCATCTTGACAGATGCTCGAGCACGGAGGTGGACGGCTCGATGGGCGACGGTGATGTTCGTTCATGGGAACTTCTCGCTCGCAGTGTTGCGCGACGAATCGTGAAGATTTTGGCGACCCATCTGGAGAAGGACGTCGTTCACCCTTCCCAGCCCATTGTATCGTATACACCACCTCCTGTGGCCCCACCACCACCACCACCACCAACCCCAGGTTCCAGGCACCGCCGGTAAGTACACATGTACACACCTGCACCGCATTATCACTCCTGCTGCCTGCAGCACCGCACAATGCTCGTACATCTGATCAGGGCCATATTCCCATGCAGGCGCGGTCTACGTTGATGCGTACTTCAGCCTCTGCCGATGGATCACAGCACCACGACGTCTATCGGTGTTAGAGGCTGCCCCTTGTTGGACGCCGGCGGCCTGATGTATCTGTATATTCCACGGTGTCCCCCTCGCCGTTCCGCGCCTCAGGGATATTGCGCTATGGCACGAGTCGAGGGCATTGTGCGCGCGCTGCTATGGTGCGGACTCCGATATGATGTGGCTTGGAATCCGGATGGGTTCACGCACGGGGGCGGTGGTCGCGGGTGGCAGAGGTGGAAGTCCGTCTGTATGACGCCGTGTCTATAATGCTAAGTGACGGCAGGCCAAGGGGAGGGCGTATGAAATGACATATGTGTCTCCGTTCCTCCGGTAGCGGCCACCGCCAGCGTGAGGAAGAACGGAGGACGTTCTGCTACAAACACTCCGTAATGCCGGTAACCGTGGTCGTTACCTTTGTCGGATGACGAGCTTGGCAGCGACAGCCGGGTCCGAGTGCGTCAACTCACCGCTAACATATGACGTCGGGATGATCAAACAGTACATCCCTTCTCAATGGTTAAAGGTGTGTGCCGCCCGGAATTCACAGGCATGCGGCCCCGTGAGGACGGACACCGCAACATGCTCGCTACCCTGATACCATAACCCGGCCCCACGACCCCCAGCGCATGCATCATCAAAAGGCCATAATCCCTCAGCGGGGACCAGCAGGGACCGGCGTGAGCACAGCACGGGACTCCCGACGGGAACGGTTGTGGGCGCATATGTACACGCCCGATTCAAACAAGCGTTCGCTTGGCACCCGAACGCCGCAGGCCCTGGCATCACGCTTCACCCGCGCACACGCACGCTATTCCTGGCGCCGCTCCTCCCCATGTCTGCCACGGCCAGGGATCGGCGCACCCTGGAGGCTGTCGATGTCATCGTGTCAAGACGCGTGCGGGATGCTGCGCGGCGAAAATAGGCAGGCTCGGGACGCGGTACAGAATCGCCGTTCTTCCCTGTACTGCGTGTACTACTTACTGAGCATCGCGGCAGAGGAAGATGGTGCGTTTGAAAGCCGGGCTGCCGGTGGGGGAGGGACGCCCGCGAATTCGCTGCGCGGGTGCTTCCTGACGTGCAGCGGATGACATTGACGGCACCCTGTCGAGATGCTTCGCTCGCGTATGAGCAGTGCTAGTTGGGCACGCGAGTGCGTACAGTAGAGCGTAGCGTGGAAGCAGACGAGCTCTCGCGTACACGCTGTCAAATAGCGGTGAGCGAGCCGTAAAGAGCATTAACATCTCTCACTGTGGAAGTCGGGGAAGACCCCTGCGGGGATCCCATGCGTCACACTGTGCAATCGCAAGAAGGTGCATTAGATTATTACCGCGCCGCGCCGCGACGCCGAGTACGCCTACGTATTCCCCGACCAATCCCTAGATACCGATACAACTTACTTCGCCGGCGCGCGGATGCGGGCCGTATATAACTACAATGCGCGAGCGCGCACCAAGATCATCCCTGCTGGTATATAAGTTACCCGACGGCGGCGGAGCCTGCACTTGCCGACCGTGGGGGAAGATGGGGGAATAGATGGAGCAAGACGGGCGGGGGACACGAGCGTGTACTGGCCCGGGGAGTCGAGTGAAGAACGAAAGGAGGGTTGCAATAACTCCATGGGCGATAGCAAGGGCGGAGGGAGGGACGGGCGGAGACGTAAGAGGATCACTCGACGTCGATGCGGAAGCTGGTGACCTGCGGAAGGTACGCCGCGCCGGCGAGGTCGAGGACATGCACGTCCTCGAACACTTCGTTTCCGTTGAAGCCGCCGAATATGAAGAGACGACTGTCGGCGAGGCACGCGGCGTGATATCCGCGCGCACTGGGGCACTTGCCGGCGATCTGCCGAGGCTCGTACTGCAGCGAGACTGATGAAATTTGAAGTCAGACAACGAGGTCAAGGCGTCCAACGCAAATACGGAGTGAACCCACCAAGGTTGAAGAGGAGCAGGTCTTGCATGAAGTTCGCGCCGTCGTGCCCGCCGCATATGAAGAGATACGAACCGACCTGCGTTGCACTGTGCGAGAGTCGCTTGTGGTTCTCTCCGAGCTTGACGAGGCTCCACAAGAGGGTATCTGGCACGATAATCAGTCCTCTGTAAGAAAGCTGATGAGAATGCGACCTACCAAGGTTAAGGCACCATATGTCGGAGAAACACTCCCGACCGTCACTTCCCCCGACAATGACCATGACGTTCCCGATCAGGTTGGCGGTATGATAGCCTCGAGGTAAAGGCTTCTTTCCTCTCGTCTCCATCTGTTCCCAGCGCAGGTTGTCGATGCCGCCGCTGAGATCGAGCGTCCACACGTCGTTGAGCGCCATGCTCCCGTTGCCGCCTCCGAAGATCCAGAGCTTATTCTTGTATAGCACGGATGTGTGCGCGCGACGCGGCGGGGGGAAGACACAGGGTCGTTCCGCCTCCGCGATACTGCTGTCCAGCGGGTGGTACCATGTTCGCATAACGGTGTCGAGCACGTAGACGTCGTTGTAGTAATCCGCGCTCTCGCCGCCTCCGAACACGAACAGTTTCCGATCGACGAGCGTTGCGGTGTGCGCACGACACGGTTTGGGTACGACCCCAGTGACATTCGGGTGCGTCCACTGCATCGTCTCTAACCTACCCGCCTTAGCACGACCGGGCTGCGCATCTGTATAAGTATTACGCACCTGTGTTAAAGCAGAACACATCCTTCCAACACGTCTTGTCATCGCACCCGCCAAAGAGCCACGCCATGCTGTCGATCAGCGTGATACTATGCGCCCGCAGACCATGCAGCGGCATGTGCCCGTACACCGGCGCGCAGCTCCAGTGCATGAGCGTCGCCGGGGCGAGCTCAACGTCCTTTCCGTGCGGCAGGTGCGGCGTGTTGCGAATCTTGTGCGTCGGAGGCACGTTCTTCCCCCCTTTGCCGTCGCGCCTCTCCCGTCCTTCCCGTGGCTCCCGCCCCTCCCGCGGCTCCCGTCCCTCGCGTTCCCTTCCACTCTGGCTGCGTTCTCGAGGGGAGCCATCCTTTTCCTTCTCGCGGCCCTTCTCCTTCGCCGCCACGGACGCCGGGGAGCGGGATCGTCGCTTGGGCGTAACCACCCCGCTCAAACTCAGAGTGTCCCCGCTCGTCGATCTTGCCGTAGCTGACCGTACAAGGCTCACTGGGGTGCGTGCGCCCGATGGAGTCCTGGACGACGAGGCGGCGCTCGCGAGGCTGGTCGTGCTAGTTGCCGCCTTGAAAGTCGTAGCCGAGCCCGTTACGGAATGGTGAAAGTAGGGCGATCTCGCGCCGGGGGTGAGCGGGCCCTCTTCAGGCACCTCGCTCAACGTGCCGAACCGTGGAGAGTCCAGTGTCAAGCGGGGGTCGTTTGTTGGCATGATGGGGATGGTGGTGGTAGGAAGAGGAGAGATGCCTTCGCGGTGGCCGGTGATTACGCGCGCGCATGCGCCAACTTCGACCCGATACGACCACTAAATTATGGTGCCTGGCATCGAATTCGTAAAGCCAGCTCAACACACTCAACCGGGTACATAGTGTTAGTACTGCACTTGTTCTCTGCAAGAATTAAATGCATGGCAGCCAACGCTACGAGCGCCAAAAGTCATTGCGTTACGAGTATTGTGTTTAACCTCATGATGACGGCCAGATAAATGCTGATTTTTATATCTTAATCCCAACTAGAGATTCGGAAAGAACGTTTGTGTAAAGACGGTGCGTGTTTATAGCCTACGCTCCTCCTTGATTACAACCCCAGCACTACGGCAGGCAGACCAGCGGCAACCCCTGCAGCTTGTCCCTGACCTGCGCCTGCAGCGTCGCGTTGACGTCGAGCTTGCTCTGCGCATCGATGACCGACACGCTCGCGTAGCAGCCCTTCCCGACGACGGTCGACTCCGTCGGCAAGTGATCCGACCCGCAGGTCTCGACGTCCGTCTCGAAGATGTTCCACACGAGGCGCGAGAACACCCACTGGTAGCTCGCCGCGCTCGCGCAGTTGTCGACGGATGCGTAGTTGACGTTAACGATGACACCGGGGGGCAGGTAGGGGCCGGAGTTCGCAGCGGCAGCGGAGGCCAGGGTCTTGACGAAGGTGGTGGTCAGGTCCGAGTAGATGCGCGCGGCGACGGAGGAGGTCGCGTCGGGGGTGGAGGAGAGGGTCGTGTAGGACACCTCAGAACCGCTCACACCGGAGAAGGCGCCGGCGGGAATGCCGGTGCGCGCAGCTTCGCATGCAGCGCCGCTGTGTTTGAGTGAGTATGCAAAAAGGACGCCTAGGTGGCATAGTGAACGTACACAGTGCCGGAGAGCAGAGCTACGAGCCCAAGGTTGCCTGTATGCGCGTTAGAATAGTACAATAATAAAACGAAATGTTGAAGGACTTACTGCCGACATTAGGCCCGCTGACGACAAAGTCGGGCGCTCCGCCGTTGAAGAACTTCGGAGCAAGGGTCTGAATGCCATAGCGGGCCGCGTCCACGCTGCGTGAGGAGTTGAGCTAAATTTCGCATGTATTCAAAATGCAAAGTACGTACGGATAACCATTCACGTAGTTCAAGCGGGCTGGTTGAGTTTTAGTGCATGTTGTGGTACGGTCACAAGAAACTCACTGTTACTGCTGTTGAAGCCCATAGCTGGGGAACCCGTTGGGCATGTGTCGAACTCGCAGGGCTCCGTCAACGCCGTGGGTGTCTTGGACAGGGAGCTCTTGCCAGACTGGTTCAACGCCGGAGAAGACAGAATGACCTGTGAATCGGTCATCAAAACATCAGTAGGCAGTTCACGGACTGGCCCGCATAGTCCAAATACCATCTACATCGCAGCACTCGGGAACATCGGACTTCTAGGATAATTCGCCTAGTATTGGTCACAAATCCTGGGTGGTTCGGGCCGCGCGCAAGGCTACCATGGTGCCTTGCGCGCGACCCATATTGCCGTGACCCAGTTAGAAGGTGCCCGTATTCTCAGGTATCCATTCTCATCTTCATATTCTCTTACGATATGAAACGACCACACACACCCTCGAGACCCACCTGACGGCCGCATTCGATATCGTGTCTGCGTGGAGCGTCTATGATACCACGTTTTCGCACTAGAGATGGGGTTCCACACAGTGCCCAGGGTATCCGAATGAGAATATCACTAGGCATGTCCGGACAAGACCGAGCTTCCAGCCCATCGTTTCTAGTCCCAACCATCCTTCGAGAAAACACTCACGTTGTGGCCTGCGCTAGTCAGCGCATCGAACTGCTGGCGAATCTGCGCGGTCGCCCAGCCGTCATCGTTGGAGATGATGATCTTGGTCGCCGCAGCGTACGTGAAAATGAGCGGAAGCGACAGAAACGACGCGCGCATCGTGCCGGCAGGAGGAGTGGGCTGATGATGGGAGTTGGGAAGGTCGGTAACGCACACGATACGGTCCCGCTGCTCCCCTTATATAGAGCTATCGCATGTGCCAAGGGCGCGAAACTGCACCATATTGGGAGACCACGGTCGCGGTTGCCATATGACAGGAAGTCGGCTCATCTGTTCGGGGAAACGTGCGTCGAAGTGGTGGCTTGCTCGCTTCGGTCCTGCGTCATTCCGCAGCTCACAGTGTGAGCGTTCATGTCTTGAGAGTCCGTGGTCAAGACAGAGAGGAAGGAGGGGGAATATGAGGCGTTCATTGAGACGCAAAACATGCAACGCTGAGGACAGTTGCCTATGGAGATCGGCGTGAAGGGACTGCAAACACATGGCAAGGCGATTGCTGCAGCGCACGAGGATCGGAAATCGAAGGCTCGGTGGAAGCCGGGCATACAGCGCTTTTGATTGGCTTGTCGTGGTGATCAGATCGAATCGTGCCATGACACATAGATAAGATTAGATGTAGAAATTGCTCGCTTCTCCAAGTTCTGCGCCACACGGTGTTATAAGAGGACTTGACTCGACTTGACGGCACGGATCTCAAGTTCTTTCCCCACCAAACTCTTCACCAACTCTACCCACTCGATGGCTATTCAAAAAACCTCCAACGGCGCCACGAACGGCGCACCTGCTGCTGTGCCTGCACAACCTGCCCAGCTTGATGTGAGTCCTTCGTAGCGCTATCGTAACGTATTGCGATCTAACTTCTCGCGTCTGAAGGCTTCGAAGGTCACCATTGCGCTCGCGAACGAGCTCAAGACCATCCCCCATGCCTCGGAGCTCAAGTTCGGCCAAGTGAGTTTGTCACGCGACCTCCCGAGCGACTTTCGGTGTGCCATTTGGACACGGTGCAAGACAAGCTTCACGTCGATGCAGACCCGATGTCAAAGCTCAAAAAGGACCCTCGCCCCTTTCAAACCTCGACTTGCGAGAACATACGAAACTCACAGGCTCGGGCTTCGCCAATGCAGGCTCATCCTAGTTTCAGTGTGATCCGCAAGCAGACGGTGTCTGGAGCAAGTCATACATCGACTACAACTCATACCGTGTTCTTATCATCACCGAGAGTCCTCCACTGTTGATTCTGAAAGCTGATCATATCTGGTGCAGGTCATGTCCGACCACATGATGACCGTCTCCTACGATCCTATCAACGGCTGGTCAGCGCCCGAAATTAAGCCCTACGGCCCGCTTTCCCTCGACCCCGCGAGCTCATGTTTCCAATATGCAACCAACGTATTCGAGGGCATGAAGGTAAGCATCTCGCCAGCTCCATGTCTCTCCATCTCTAATACGCACTACGCGCGTAGGCATATATTGGCCCGGATGGCAAGGCCAGGTTGTTCCGCCCGAACAAGAACATGGACCGCATGACCATGTCCGCCGGACGCGTCGCCCTCCCGCCTTTCGACACGGACGAGCTCCTGAAGCTTATCCGCCGGCTCGTGGCGATCGAGCAGCGATGGATACCCACGCAGAAGGGCCACAGCCTTTACATCCGCCCGACGATCATCGGCACGCGCTCATGTACGCACCTTCCGCCGCCACGCTCCCGGTCCAGCTCTTGCTCACTTCGTCTTCCCAATAGCTCTCGGTGTCGCTGCGTCTGACCACGCGATGCTCTACGTAATCTGCTCACCGACTGGACCCTATTTCGCCACCGGCGCACGCCCGGTTGCTCTTCTCGGCATCGGCGAGAGCGTTCGCTCGTGGCCGGGAGGCACCGGCGGGTACAAGCTCGCTCTGAACTACGCCCCGACGTTCAAGCCCCAGCAGTACGCCGCGAAGCTCGGCTACGACCAGTGCTTGTGGCTCCTGGGCGACAAGATCACCGAGGCGGGCGCCATGAACTTCTTCGTCGTGGTACGGCGGATCGACGGCGGTGAGTGCCCTCTCATCTCCACCATCGTAGCAACACGTCCTGACGACGCTGCCTCTCAGACTTGGACGTATACACGCCCCCGCTGGACGGGACGATCCTCCCTGGGGTCACGCGCGATTCCATCCTCGCGCTCGCCTCCGCCCACCCGTCGCGCACGCTCCTCCCCGGGCTGCCCGAGACCCTCCGCTTGCACACGACCGAGCGCGAGCTCACGATGACGGAGCTCAACGCCTGGGCACAGAACGGAAGTCTGCTCGAGGCATTCGGCGTCGGCACAGCCGTCATCGTCGCCGCCGTGGGCCGCATCGGGCACGAGGGCAAGGACATCAACCTCCCGACGTACGAGGGCGGGCTCGGGCCCGTCGGCCGTGCGCTGTATGACCGTATCTCGGACATCCAGGAGGGCAAGTTCGAGTGGGAGGACTGGTCCGTGGTGTGCGAATGAGCGTTCGGAGATGGTGTGTGAGGATGGTTTCTTGGTTTCCCGGGAGAGATGCAAAATTATTGTAAGGCGGTATCGATGTATAGTGTGCAGAATGTACCTCTAGAGCTAGCAATACAGGGATATACCAACTACCGTCTGGTAAGTAAACATGCAGTGAAAACGTGCGCGAGGATCTGACGGGGATAAACCGACTGACCTCCAAGCATACGAAAGCGATCTTGCCTGCCTCGCACAAGGCCGAGCTACAGGCACAACCACCAGTACGAGGTCCTTTTCACATGCAGCACCGCGCGCACGTTCACTCGTCCGCGTCGTCGTCCGCCCCTGCGAGCGCGGCCGCCCTTCGCTCGAGCTTCTTGGCGCCCCTGCCCAGGCGGTACCGTGTGTTCACCTCGTCCGGCGTGAGCATGCGCTTCCTCTCCAGCAGCGGCGTGTACGTAGACGTGCGTTTCACCTTCCCTCCCCCTAGCGGAAGACTCATCATTGCGCCCTCCGTGAGCGCCTCCACCCCCGCGCCGCCAATGGGGAAGTACGGTTTCGGGAGTGCGTGGTGCGCCTCCGCGGCCTTCAGGAAGTGCTCTTCGAGCGCGGCACCAAGGACGGCACGCTCATGTGCGCACATCATGCCCCGCAGCGGGCTCTTCGCGGTCTCACCCACCGCGTCGGGCTTCGCACGGTCGATGCGCCAGTCGAGCGCGTCGTCGTCGTACCCGCACGCCCATAGCATGAGCGGGAGCGGGTCTGCGATGATGTACTCGGGCTTGCCGGTGACGAGTGGGGGCGCAGGTTCTCCTTCGCGGAAGGGTGGGAGCGGGCGCGAGGGATCCGCGTTCAGTAACGCGGTCATGACCGAGGGGTGCTCGAGCCCAGTGCCAACGAGGAGTAGGATGGCCATAAGGTGGCGGACCATGTTGTAAAGGAACGCGTTCCCGCGCAGGTTGAAGACGTGCATGCCTTCAGGGTTGGCGGGATCGACGGGGTCGACGGATGCGTGGAGGATGCGGCGGGTGAAGACAGTGAGCTGCTTGCTCGCGTCGACCTTGCAGAGGTTGCGGAAGTCGTGTTCGCCAAGTAACCGCGAGGCGGCGTCGGACATCGCAGCGAGGTCGAGTCCGTGCGGGGAGAAGAAGTACTTGTAGTGTCTCCAGCGGCAGCTGTGGCGCGCGGAGAAGTCGTCTGCGACGGGCGACCAGGCGAGGATGCGGATTGTGGGCGGGAGGATGTGATTCAGCTTGTACACGTACGCGGTGTTGTCGTCTTCCGCGTCCTCTGGCGCGGGTTTTGTGGTCATCGAGCCATTGGTTGGAGGTTCGTCGAAGTCGCCCATAAGGCCGAAGTCTCCTTCAAGTCCCGGTCCGTCTTCGGGCAGGTCTTCGGGATCTGTGTGTAGCGTTGGCTGCTCCACGGACTGCAGAGAGCTTCCCGAAGCAATCGTCTTCCCGTTTGAACTGCTCCGCACCCACAGACTGACCACTTGCCCACCCGCGCTCACGCCCTTGTCCGTCCGCCCACACCGCTGCCACCCGCACCCGTCCAAGCCGCCTTCTCGATCCACCAGCTTCGTGTGCACCATCGCATCGAACAGCACACCCTCGACGGTTGGTAGGGCGGGGTCGCGCTGGAACTCCATCCCGCCATAGTGGATGCCGTTGTACGTGAACTTGAGCGCGATCTTGCGCCGCGGATACGCGGTGAAGTCGAGTGTCTTCGCCTGGCGGACCGGTTCAGGCCGCGGGTGGTCGTGGTGCGGGTCCAGACGCTGCAGGCGCGCGATCAGCTCCTCGCGCGACCAGTTTTTGTAGGGTTCCATGCGGTTGAATCTTGCATAGCGGCGTAAGAGACGGTAGCTGGAGCCACCGGTCATGCAACTCGATTGGTACGTACTGCGCTGCCCGATGCTCTGCTAGTACCTGTGTGCCGTACTTGAGCGAGCTGATCATCGTTAGACCATAGCATTTACTCACATAAACTTAGAAGGTAGGATGGTTGCCCAAGGTCAAAGTTGGGGCGTTGAACGAGGAGGAGTCGGGGAAAGCTTTCCAGTGAGTCGATCGAACGCTGTATTGGGCGCTAGTTAAACTCTCCAGATCTGAGATGAATCTGCTCAAAGATCGGTGAATCGCCGCAAGATCTGCCGTCGTGAACGCGTTGAGCACGCTTAAACTCTTTGCTCCGCTCATCTCACCTCCTTTCTCTGCACATCGGTGCACTCATGATGAACAGGGCATGCACAATGTCTCTTTATGTACCCTGAGGCGTTCCTGTATATCTAGGCCATCGGTGCCGGCATCTCCCGTCTCCTTCTAGCACCTCAATGAACGGCGTAGATGAGGCGGTGTTCGTACAATTGAACCTCCAACCCCCACATAAAAGGCGTCGCAACGCCTCTCGGAACGTTGCTACACGCAACCATGTCCAACCCTGTCCCCTTCGGCAACGCTACGAACGTACGCCCCGCGAGCTCCTCGCAAGCGGCCCCCGCGCCGCCGTTGCGCTCCCCGGAAGCGCGTGAGTGCCACTCAGAGTTCCGCAGAAGTCGGGCGGATGGGGGAACAATGTATAGCAGCTGACGCGTTGTGGTGGCGTCTTGCAGCGAAGCCAAAGGTGGCCGATCTGCCCGATGTGGACGAGCCTCCGTTGTTCCAGCCCGAACCGCAGTGGGAAGACAGTATGGCTATTGACGGTCCTGAAGGTGCGTAGGACGGCGGACATGGCTGCGCGATAGTGGGCGTTGCTGATTGCGAGTGGCGCGTCGTCTCAAAACACAGAACTCGGGCCTGCTGGGCTGTTCGACGGCGTCCAGGTACGTCTGTTCGATGCATACATGCAACACCGCGTTGATCAGTGAACAGACTTTTCCCGGCGATGGGCTGCCCGTGGAGAACCGACCGCTCATCTCGCAACTCGTCCCCATGACCAACCTTCGAGAGGAATACGAGAATGGTTCCCAGACCTTCGTGATGCAAATCGACTGGCTCATGAGGCAAGGATGGGTCGGAATCCGTCGCACGCGGGGAGATGGTAAGCCTTGCTTATCACGGCCCACAGTTGGCTGACGCGGACCACATCACCAGGTGATTGTTTCTACCGCTGTAAGTGGTTAGCATACTATTCAGCCGCACACGAGGACTTACTGGAGTCCAACAGCGCTGGCGTTTGCCTACATTGAGCGGATCTTGCACGCCACCGAACCGACGATGGCGGTCATCAGTGCAATCTCCGTTCTCGAGACCACGCCCTCGCTCCTCGAACGAGTTGGGTTTCAGAAGCTGGTGTTTGAAGACTTCTACGATGACTTCCTGGGTCTCATTAATGCAGTCATCCAACCGAGGCAAGATGGCCAACTCTTGACCATCAATTCGCTCCTCGAGGCGTTTAATGTCCCGGAAGGTAGAGTGCTTTGCACTGATTGCAATGGACAGGCCTTCTGACGATTCTATACCAATGCTCTCAGTTTCGAACTCGGCGGTGATGTACCTTAGAATGCTCACCTCTGCGGAAATCAAGTCAGAGGCGTCGGAGTACTCTCCATTCCTCTTCAATCCGGAGACAACTGAGCCCATGGAACCCGAGAACTTCTGCAACAATTTCGTCGAAGCGATCGGGAAAGAAGCTGGTGCGATCTTCTCCCGGGCATACCACTGCGGCGCCGGCTAACATCGGCCCCGTGCAGACCATGTGCAAATGGCCGCTCTGTCTAAGGTCCTGAAAGTGAACATTAATGTTGCATACCTGGACGGGCACGACCCGCAGGGCACGGTTAGCTTCGTGCCGTTCCACAACTCACCGGACCCAGATACGGAGCCAGTCCATTTGCTGTACAGGTATGGAGCTCCCGTCGCGTCTCAGCATGCCTAGTGCTGACTTTGCATTCCTCGCAGGCCGGGCCATTACGACATTCTGGACCGCCGAAGCGAGGACCCCCTTCCGCCTCTGATCATGTAATTCTTCCGCTCCCGCCATTGAGTCCTCCCCCCCGTTCATGCCGTTGGTCTCGACCGGAACTTAACGCCGACTGTATCGCCGCTCTGTGTATGCTTGCCTGACCTCTGAACCTGTATCTTCTGTTGCCAGTGTAACCCGTGTATACCCGCTTCTGAATGCCACGCACATCGAGACGAAGGGCTGCGATCCCCCGTAACGTCGCGACGCGGTCGCCTGGACTGAGCGGCGTGTCCAGGGCACCGGTGTGACCGGATATTGGCGCAGGCGCCCGAGCTTGGGCGCAGATCTGAGACAGTCACAGTCACGAAACGCGGTTGCGTCACGGATGCGCTGGTCCGTGCGGGCGGTCATGTGCGGGCTGTCACAGATCTGCTTATGTAACGGGTGGTTGTTTAACGCGGATTCTCACAGCGCAGCCTGCGCCCCCACCCAGCCAGAGCCCTCTCACCAGCCAGCCAGCCAGCCCAGCCATTTTCCTCTGCGTACGCCTGCGCCTAGCGCTGCCCTCTGCGCCCACCACAACACACCGCGACCACCACCTGCCCCCCGCCCACACTTGTTAGAGGTGCGTACGAGTGCTCATTGCGCGTTATCCGATGCTCGCAGGCGATCGATCCGTGTGCGCTGTCGTCGTCGCCGACGCAGGGGGCGCGGGGCGGCGCGTCGCGCCCAGACGCGTCCCCCACACACGCGTCGCGTCCGTGTCGACGACCTCGCCGCGCTTCCACATTGCTCGGGGACGTGTTGGACGCCCTGCTCATACTCCTCCTGCCCTTATAGATGCCGAAGGAGACGACCAAGACGACCAAGGTGCGCATATATCCACTTCTACCCCCATATATGCGGTCCTATATTCTAGGGCCGTCGTATCTGCGCTGAGCGGTACTGATCAAGCGTTCTAATCGCAGAGGAGGGCGGCCACGAAGCAGGATAAGGCGCCGAAAGCGAAGGGCAAGAAGGACCCGAAGGCACCCAAGCGGGCGCTGTCCGCATACATGTTCTTCAGCCAGGACTGGCGGGAGAGAATCAAGGCTGAGAACCCCGACGCCGGTTTCGGTGAGTGCTCGCTGTCCCTGTTGTCGTCAGCTGGTTCGGTTATTGATAAGACGCGTGTGATAGGTGAAATCGGCAAGCTCCTCGGCGCGAAGTGGAAGGAGCTCGACGACGACGAGAAGAAGGTATGTCTGTTTTATGTAGTGGTTATATGCGGTACTGATGCATCTCGTCATAGCCTTACCTCGACCAGGCCGCGGCCGACAAGTCGCGGGCCGAGGAGGAGAAGAACGCTTACGATGTACGTACTCGCGTTCATCAGAGCTTTTGTCCGCTGCTTACGTTTTCTCGCAGGGCAAGAAGGCCGACAGCGGTAGCGGTGACGGGGACGACGACGACGAGTGAACAATACCCCACACTCCGCCTCTGTATATGCGTCCCTCTGTGTTTATCCTGTGTGTATGGCTGCTAGATACTCCGTGCCCTCGCGTCTCCGTCTCGTCTCGCTTCGCTGCTTGCTGCCCGTATATTACTCAAAACCGTAGGACTCTCCGCCCGTCTCTTTCTATGTACTGTTCTTCGTACTTCGCTAGTCGTATGGCTTCGTCTGCGGGTGCATGCGCGTCCGCGCGTCGCGTCCGTTGTATCAAGAACGACGTCCTGTAATACTAGACGATGATGGTGTACTTGTTATGTTCGGTTTAAATTATATGAAATCTTCCTCCACACGCGCGCGATCCTCAATGTAAACTATCCAACCCGTGCGCACATGGCCGACGATATTCCCTTGCGACGAAGTTCAACATGGTTGGAAAGCAATCAGCATGCGGTACCCCGCAGTGGCTGCCAGTGCCAGCACAGCTGGATGCGGCACCGGAGCGCTCATGCGGGGAAGCGGATCAATCGCGGGGTGCGGGGGCGGAGGTGCTCAGGCTCCTCAAGTGTCCGGAGTGAATTCGTGCGTCGGGCAGTGGTTTGGGAGTGTATTGGAAGTGGTTTGGGAGCATAGTAGGGACGTGGCAGGGGATTGGGAGTGTATTGGAGACGCGGGGTGTATTGGGGACATGGGGGTGTACTGGGAGGAAGACGCACTCGCACGATGGGCGCTTGCTTCGCTCTCTCCTCACGCCGCCATCTCGCGCGCACACCAAAGTCGCACACGCCGCCGCGGGGCTCGTAGCAGGTATGCACTCAATTCTGTATGTACAACAGCGCGAACTGAGCCCCTAGCAGGACCCAACCGGGCACAGAGGACGCCAGTTCGCACGCCCTGCGCATGTCGACTCGCCCACGCGCGACTCTCCTTGCTCGCACCTGCGCTCGGGCACCACCTGCAAGCGCTGGGGCGCCGCGTGCTGCTGACCTCGACGCGCCCGTCGCAGACCCTCTGCGCGATCTCGCGTCTGCTCCATCCGCGCAGGCGAGTCCGCAGATCTCGGGGCGCACGGTGCGGCGCAGCGCCACCGAACAGCGATCTCGGTGCGGCTTTATCTACGCGCGCACTTCAAGCGCGGCGTTCACGGCCACGACTCCGCCTCGTCCCGCCCTTGCTCGCGGCCGCCGACGTACTTCGTTTCGGAAGACGATCTGGGACGAACGTCCTGCACGACGCACTTCAGGTCAGCTCTGGGCGGTGTCTCAGCCGGCGCCTTGACTCACCGTGCTCTCACAGACATAGACTCCGCGCCGCCGGCACGTCCGGCGCGACCTTGACCGCCTCCCGACTCCCCACGGCCGGCGGCCGTTCATGATGTTCGTCGCCATTCCCTGCGCATGTACGTCAGACGACCCATCCGAGGTCTCGAGACAGACATGATACTCATCTTCGTCCGGTGTCCTAGGTATCATCGCATTTCGCGCGAGCATGCGTCCTCGCGGAAGTACGTCCGTCCGCACCGTCCGGAAGATCTACCTGCCTCGCCGGGAGATCGTCGAAGCGCCGCGCGACGATGTGCGCACTCTCACGCGCCGCAGGAGCTTCCACAGCTCCCACATCGGCCGCGCGGTGCTTGAACCTCCCGCGCCGCCCCGAGGTACCCCAGTCGACGCCTTCGTGTACCCAAGAACTCACCTCGCAGGGCATTCGGCAGTGTACTTGGTCCTCGGGCTCGTACCTCGGGACCTCGCGGCCGGAGGATCTACCTGCCTCACCAGGGCATCGTCGAAGCGCCGCGCGCGGGGATGTTCGCGCTCTCACGCGCTGCAGGAGCTCCTGCGAGTCTCCCGTCCGCCGCGAGGTGCTTCAACTGGCTGCGTCGTCTCTAGGTATGTCAATATATGCCTTCGCGTGCGCAGTCGCCATCAAAAACTCACATTTGCGAACCCATCTCGCAGCGCGTTCTGCAGCGCCGTATCGACGCACGGACGCGCGCGCGGGCGCGCTCTGCAGCAACCTGTTTCGTCTCGCGGTACGCGAAGCTTCCCTGGAGGTTGCGGGGACGACCCGAGCATCTGCTCGAGGTATTCCGCTATCAGGCAAGCCGAGTACGTACCTTTGCGTGCTCCACCGCCGCCCATCACTGTCCTACTGATCATTTGAGCTTTGTGCTCCTCCCAGAGTCGAGTGCAACGGCGTGGTGATGGCGAGGGTGCGAGGGTGTCGGCGAGTGACCAGGTACGTGTGTGCAGGAAGAGCAGCGAGACGCTAGCGGTGGTGGAGGAGGCACGAGGTAGGGACATGGGAGGGGGATTGGCACAGGATGCCGTAGGTCAGCGTTTGCCGGCCGCCCCACCATACCAAGGTGCTGCACTCCGGGAGTGCAGCACACGCGGCGCACGTCTCCGCTGCCACGGCGTGTGCGTCGGCGGCACGCGGCATCTCGCCGCGCCCAAAGTGAGTTATTGTCACCTGCTTGACGATAATTCTGCTGACATCAGTTGTGCATACCCCCAAAATAGAGCGCCATCTAGCCTCGCAACGGGGACGCCGTCCTCGCGTAGTTAGTGATCCTCCTGTACTTCTGAATTAATCAATCCCATGTCTTGTGTGCATCAAGTTCTCTCAGGGCGCATTTCGGGGGTTTAGCTTAGATTGGCTCAAGTGTGCTCAGCTCAGCCAGTGGACTCAATAAACACTATCTTGTCAGAATGGCCTTCACTCAAGAATATACTGTCCCAAGGAGCCTGTCTACTGTACATGTACATGCAAAGGAAATTGCTCACCCTCTTGGCACTTGCCTGCATGCCCAGGAGGGTCCCAAAAATATTTGAAACATGTCAGATAGAGGCCCCAACAGTGCTGTCGCGTAAATTTGCACTTACCGAGCTCCGCGCAGGCCGCGCGCAGACGGCGGCCGCACGAACGTAACCCGCGCACCTTGCCGCCGGTCACGGAGCATCCAGACCCGAAAAGCCGATGCCGCACTCCCTTCATCTCGCGCGCTCTGAGGATGCAATCCACGAGATAATCATATATTATTGTACGGACCACAGCGCTCGATTGATGCGTACGGAATCGTCGGGCGCGGGCGCGAGCAGTGTGAGGGAAAGAGACAAGCGAGGGAATCGGAGCGGACGCCCGTGGCACGCAGCGCCACAATCTCTCAGGCGCTCGGAACAATTGCCATACACGGCAGTTCCTGTCGTTCGTCCCTGCGCGCTTGTGCTTCTTGCTCCCTGCCACAACAGCGGCGACCGCAGCACCGAGTTCTCGCTCATCAAGCCCTGTCTGCCGTACCAAACGAAAGTGGAAATTACGACATGCGTCTAATTAGACTCGCAATTAGCTAGGAATCCCGGACACCGCCCCTCTAGTCGACCGCTCTCTGCCCCGCCCGAGAACCCTACTCGCTGCCGATGTCGCTCTCCACCTCGTCCTCCGAGTCGATGTCCGAGTCCAGAATCATCTTCGGCGTCTTGGGCCCGTCCTTGCGCCTCCGGTATGGCCGCCCCGTCTTCGGGTTAATTCCTGACGCTGGCCGCCCTCGTGCCTTCCCGATGTCGTCCCTGCTCTGCCGGCCCCAACACTTCGGCGCCGGACGTACGGGAGGCTTCCCGGGCATGACCGCCTTCGGGTTGCGCTTCGCGAGGTCGATGAACGCCTCATCGGCACGCTCGAAGTACATCTTGCCGCTCGTCCACAAGTCGAGAAGCCGCTGGATCACCGCCTGGCCGCCCGGGATGTCGCTCAGGTTCCCGAATGGGATCGTGTCGAGCGGGTCGAGCGGCGGGCCGTTCGGATCGTGGGGCTCCTCGTTCGCTCGGTTCGGCCACCCCACGAGTCTGTGGCCGCCCTTGACGACGACGCCATTGGCATACTCGACCGCCGTCCACTTCATCTTGATGCGGGGGCCGGCCCGACTCTCTATCCGTGTGGTCAGCGAAAATGGCGGAAGAAATGATTGCGGTACGTACTCAGGTCTCCGCCCATCAGCCCTCTCAACCGCCCTCGCATCTCCATCAGCCGGGCCGAGTACACGACGACACCGGCCGGGCTTGGTTCCGCCTTACTGCTCGCGTCTGCGGGGCGCGTTGTGCGATTACGGGTGGGAGCCATCACGAGGTAGGGTTTGTGAGAAGTCGAGGAGATGATGATGGGCTAACAATGAAGGAAATGCAGGTGGCATGGCCCGCACATCGGGCGCATTTTATCATTGTGCGCGTACCTACATTCCGCGTCGAGCAGGCCCCCGCGTACTGCTGCCAGTGCACTCGAAGATGCCCGCTCAACCCTGAACGGCTAGGTAGGTATGCCCCCAGCCATCCCGTCATGTTCTACTCATGATTTCGTTCATACAGGCCACAGAAAATGCGCAGGAAATGGGCCGCAAGACCGGCTCGTTGCGAGCCCGTGCAGCCAATGACAAATGCAGGTATGTAGTCGCAACCTGCCGAGCCTCGAGCTGTGTTTGAACGTTTCGAAGCGGCCTGGCCGCCGCATTTTCACCGTTTACGCGCAGATGATTGACTCGCACATCCGACACGGCCACTTCGCCAATGCACGCCAGCATCTCACGAACTCCGGTCTAGAGCGAAGGACAAGGTACCGGCTCTCGGTGCTTGTGTGGTCCGGCATAGTGCACACAACAAGTGACCCGCATGCTCGGATTGTGCCCAGCCTCGGTGAGTGCCGCTTTGCCCGAAGGACATGACAGTTTGCGTCATTTATTGATGGACATGGCAGGGCATCACACATCGCTCCGGAGCTGCGTCCTGTCCTCGCCGAACGGGACCTCAATTCGAGGTGGGCTTCAATATTAGCCTAGAGGTGCGTACACAAGTTGAGCGGGCGCACTTCGCGTGGTGTATCTCTAATAACTAATGGCGCGCTCCTCTCAGATACTAACGAGTGTTCAGAAATATATTTATTGAGGCATGTGCGATGTGAGGGCTGCCACGCGGGCGAGACCTCGCGCTTTCAGCGTGCACTAGTAAAGCTCCGTATTGATACGATGGTGATCTCCAAAAGGCGGCGAGTGGAGCCTTCTCCGACACCGTTTTCAGCCGGGGAATATCGTGTCTCGAGCGCGGTCGAGATCGCTGTTTGGTAGCGAGGCTGAATGCGCACGCGCTGATGCGATTACCACATGCAAGAGAGGCTGGTTTCGCCTCGCTCAAGACATGCCTGAGCAGGGCCTACGGAACGCTCAGCATCGTCTAAACGAGCTGAATCTCGGTGTAGTGTAGCATACTCATCCGCCGCAATGTCCGTGTGTTCAAGTACCTCGATCAAACTGCTTCGTCTGTTCAAAGATGCGAAAATATCAGTATAGCATCTTATGGACCGCTCGCAACGACGCCGGCCGCTCGCGCTTGATCTTGATCAAAGTCCCTACGTGTGTGCACGTCGTAGGGCGCGGCCCGCGAGGAAACGAGGCGACTCGTCCGCGAATAGTTGCGACCGCGAGGCCTTCTATCGAGGTACCTAGAGTCTTACACGAAGTTTGGCGTCGAGTATTGCTCCAGATTTATCGGTCCGGCCGGCATCGTTAGGAGAACGTCAGAAATATATTGCTTAACAAGACTGTTACATGTTGAGCAGCCCAACTAGGTGTCTCTAGCTATGCAGCCAGTAGCCCGAGTTTCACTGCACCAAATGTGCTGTGTCGCAAGGCGCAGACTCACCTGCGTGTTCACCCTCCAGATCTACCTTGCAAACGAGCTGCCGGTCGCGCTCGCGTCAGCAGACAGGTACGAAGCGAATAGATGGGTCTAGAAATAACTCACCGCACTGCGGGACCTTCGAACACCTCCCCAGGGTCGTATCGGATCGCGTACTCAAGCCGCGGGCCTCTCACGACTGGGGCGAGGTCTGCCCGGCTGTCTGCCTTCGTCGTGTACAGTCCGGCCACCTGGTTCCGTGGAAGAAGGGCGCGAAGCGCGGCCTTGCGCCCGATTCCTTGTTGCAGGCACGCGATGATGTGAATGTCAGTCTCGAACATCTCGAAATCTACAGCAGGAGGACTGCGTGTGCGAGCAGATGCCCGCCGCCAAGATAGAGTACATTTTGGCACCCTGCACTACACCCCTCTCCCGTGTTGTTGTCGTCGCCGTTGCCAATACTGAGGGCGGCACGATGCGCGATGTGCGACGTCCGTAATCGGTACCTCCTGTTCCCATGGACCGCCCATAACCAGACAGTCTCGAGCCCTCGCGCGCACGTCTACGCCAATCGAGCGCTCTGCCGCGTACCTTCTGCGTCCTGTCACATGGGGATGATTGTTTCGCTTTCTGCCCCACATCTGCCTCCGCACCACTCACCGTTCTCCACGTTCCCGCGCAGGCCTACCCACCGGAACACCGCGCCTCGCCCAAATCGCTGCGACCAATGCGCAACGTCTTCGTAAGATTCCCGACGTGGAGATGCGTCGCGCTCCACCGGGAAGCACTCGTTCGTGCTATTCGCGCGGCTACAAAGCGATCCAGGGGGCGAGGAAATCGATCGAATAAAATTGTCCCCGCCCTCGCATCGCACCCTGATACGACGGCCGCCGCGCGACTAGGACACACCGTGAACAAGGTAGCGTGATTGTCCATGCTCCAAGCGACCACTCACCGTGTTCTGAGACGTTCACGAGTCGATTTCGCGGCGTCGCGAGTGCGGGACGTGTTCGGTGCTCCCCTGCGAAGTTGGGGACAATCTTCCCTCTGCGCGCAGATCGAGCCTCTGGGCGATGCGGGTCCATTGATGTACACAGCAGTCTTGTCCCGCCACTGTCTCGGCAAATGCTTGAGGAAGAGCGTCGAGGAACTGTTGGGGTCCTGAGGGTGCGCTGCGGGATTCCGAGCACGGCTCGGTCTCGTTTGGCCGTCCGCGCCAAGTCCGGCTTGCGCTGTCGCAAGGAATGGGACATTGTAAGCGAGGAGCAGTAGATGCTCGAAACGACCGGCGAACATACAGAAATCGGGCAGTTCACGCGCCATTCGCGCCGTGCTATGTCATTCGCAATACTGAGGTTGTTGTACATATCGGGAAACGGCGCCGCGGCCGCAGATGTCTGTCGTACGGCGCTGTGTGTGGCTGCTCGCGTACCGGATGTGCTTCAAATCCGAGCACGTCAGTGCTCGCGAGGCGTCCGCGCCGAGTGCGTACGATGTCGAGTTCCCGCGCCCCCGCCGTGTCGCACCATCTTGGCGACGATAGGACGCATTCCGCGCCCATTCTTATCGACCAGGGTCGCGCTCAGCCGTCCTGAGCGCCGGCAGATGTCGGTTGAGCGAAGCGGGGGCGCGGAGGACCGCGGCGGGAACCTCAAGGGCGAACTTCGTGCGCGTGTTTGAGGGTCGTCCTATGAGCGCATAGCGGGTGAACCACAGCCCCTGCTCGCAGGATGTAGCTGGAGCACGTACCGTGATCTCCGGCTCGTACGCGTCCCGGACGTGGCATCCTGGACCCAACTGTGGTCTCCTATGCGCGCGGACCGAGGCCGATACTCCGAGAGTGTTCGTTCCCCAAGCGATATTGTAGCGCACGAGAGTGGGCGTCCTGAGCACTGCCATTCGCCGTCGAGTTTCCCAGCAGCTCGCGGCCCTGGTACGTGCTGGTTCGTGTGAATGTACCCGATACAAGATCCCGGGCGGGCAGAGCATCTTGCGAGCGGCGGCGCTGCACAAAGGAGCCTGTCCGAGGGGCGCCCTCGCTCGATCGCGTCGAAAATGAGCACGATATCGTGTGCGTCTCGACCGTCTTACGAGCGAGCCGCGTCGCGAGCACGCACGGCGTTGCGTGTGCGCGTCTTGGCCGTCCTGCGAGCGAATCACGAGTCAGTGGCGCATCCAGAGCGTCGGACACCGCTAGTACATCCGACGCCCGATCTGGCTGCTCGCAAGGCGCAGTCGCACCCCGGAGGTAGCGCGGCGCTGCTTGCGCGTACGAGCGGGCCGATGGCGTGTCGTCCATGCCGTGTTCTTGTCCGCCGCGCGATGTGCGACCGAGCCGGACGAACCCGTCGAGTTCGTCTGGGTATTCCCTCCGAGTCGTCACCAGCGACGTACGCGACACACCTTCACCCCATCGTACAGTCCTCCAAGCGGCGGGGGACGATGCCGGCCGTCCCGGGGCACGCCCACGCCAAATGGCGCGGCGGCAGGGCGCGGACGTGTGCGGGAATGCGCGTTTCGGCGCATCTGCGCGTGGAAAACACAAGGAAACGAGCGAAATCGGCGCAAATATTTTTTGCCCCCAGCGCGCTGGGACTCACGGGGTGGGTGCGCCCTGGTTCGTGCAAGCCGTGCGTCGTCGATTTGAGCGCGTGGGGGGAGATCTCGAGGCGGGGGAGAGATGGCGAGTCGGCGGAGTTGGCGGCGGATGGGGTGTTGTGTGTGCGCGGCGGATTTTGTCGTGGGGCGCCGGAGTCGTCGCGGGTGGTAGGGGGCGTTCTGAAGATGGGGTATGTGCGCGAGAGGCGTCGATACGAGCACTTTTGAGTGTGCTGTTACTGTTTTTGAGCGAGGGTGATCTGAAAAATCGACATTGTCAGCGCAATGTCTGTCCGGATGACTTGGGAACTTACATAGCGCATGGAAAGCGTCGTATCGGCCGTATAGTGCTGAATTGGAGCACGCCAACGAGTCGTAGGTGGCGGGAGAGCAGATGGGACGTCGGGAGAGGGCGGCCGACGAGGAAGCGACGTTGCGGCCGCAGGATGTACGCGGTGTCTTCGTGCATGCACACACATCGACGTCTATGCTATATTGACCTCCCCTCCACGTTTCAGAGAGAAGCGTCCAGTATTGCGGCGGCGGGAGATGTTCTCTGACGGCGCCTATGGGGTGTCCTATCACGGCGCTGTCAGTGCTATACACACCGAGAATGGCTGTAAACGTACATAGAAGAGGCAGGGAATAGTAGCTATCCAGTCGCGTAAAACGCGCTCGCTCAGGGTGCAAGGGACGGACGATGACCGAGAGATTTGCACCGGTGTTCACCGTATTCCGGGCGAAGGATGTCGACGGCGTCTCCGTGCTCGTGCATGCGCCACAAGGACAGCGTCAAGTGTATATTCCGAGCATCTGGGGCGGCCTGCAGCGGGCGTAAAGGAACATGTTTGCCGCCGTACGTACGCGTTGTGTCGAATCCTGTCCATCTGGCGACGTGGGTAGCGTGTCCGCGCCACACCGAGGGCGCACCCGGGCGACCTTGAACGAGCCCCGGTGTGGGCCAAGTCCTGCGCAAAACGACTGGTGAGCAGCGTTGGCCGCGAGCCGGACGCCGACCATGCACGTACCGGCCTCGGCCGCATTTCCGGGCTCGCTGGACGAGGGACGGACGGCCGTATCGGGCTCATTTCTGGGTGTTCCAGCCGTCAGTAAGCACACGCGCACGACGCAAGCGTCGCCGCCTCCGCGGCGGCCAATTTCGGTCTGTGTCTATATCGAGCGGGACCCGCCTCCGAGTCGGCGCATGCCTCGACGGGCGAGCAGAGAACAGGTCGTCTTCGGGCGAGATGGCGTATCGCCGCATTCTCATGCTCTGCGGTTCGCTGCTGAGGTGACGCTCGAGACTGCGCTCTGCTCCGCGGGCGAGCAGGGTCCGGGGTGCGCCCGACGCTCGCCTCGCTTC